GTTATACCCATTTATCAGAGGGATAATACAAAACTGAAGTTGGTTTGTTATCAAGAAACATTTTGATTTAAGCAGAATAATAAAATGGTTATGGTGTTCATATTCATATTAATGGAAAATAAAATTAAGGAACAATTGTAAAAATATCAAATGTTGAAATAAAAAATGGTGGATAAACTAATATAGTTGGAAGATATCCAATACACTTTTACAATAATGAGGAAATGGATTAATCACTAATCGAAGATAATTCTATTTACAATAGTAATTCAAGATGCATTGTTTTAAATAATGTTAAACATTTAAGAGTAATTAATAATGTATGTTATAATATCATAGGAAATGCTATTCATTTGGTTAGTGTTACAGATATTAATAATAGAATTGAATCTAATTTAGTTATTAAAGTAAAATCAAACTAATTTATTGATAATTCTTGTTCTTTCTTTAATTTCCAATCCAAAAATAATTAATTATTAGATATTGATAGATAATCATCTGCATTTTATATTTCAAATCCATTTAATACTATTATTAACAATAGAGCAATAGCTAGTGATTATATTGGATTCAATATATTTATTAATAGAATAAATAATCATAATCATTAAATAGTTGAATCTCTAGGATGGGATGTACTTAATATCTAAAATAATTTTATTCATTCTATTGTAGGTCATGGAATTCAACTCACCATTTTATTATAAACACAATTGCAATAATCAGCCAATTAATATAATGAAGCATCTATTCTTAAATTATTTTCTATATGGTAAAATACATATAATGATTTCAATCTTGTTATAAAAACATAAACTGAAATAATTGAATCATAATTCAATTTCCCTAATGCAGAAACTGTAGATTTAAGTATAATTAGTTCTTCCAATTTTGCAACTTTATTAAATCCTTTGATATTTAAGTTTAAATATTCATTAAATAATGAGAATTTTCTTGTCTACAGATTTAGAGATAAAGAATTTAAATCATTACTAGAAATCCCTGATGAATAAAATTGTTAAATGGGTGATTGGTATAATGATTAAATTACTAAATCTTTATATTTTTGCATTTTAGGATAATAAAAAATGCATAGATTACCTATTAAAATAAAGGGAAAGATATGTATAGAGCTAGAATAATGTAACATTGCAACTGATAATTCAGAATGTCCTAAAATATTATTAGATGAATAAAATGATGATTAATCTTAAGATACTAATGAAGGTTAAGATAATACTAATATTGAAGACAATGATAATACTAATGATGGTAATGATAATACTGATGATGGTAATACTAACACTGATGGTAATACTAATACTGATGATAATACGAATACTGATGGTAATGATGATAATACGAATACTGATGGTAACAATAATAATACTAATGATGGTAATCATAATACTGATAATAATACTGATGATAATACTAATAATAATTAAGGATATAAAATTTATAATTGGTCCTCTCCTTTAGCATGGAAACCAAATCAAATTCCAAAAAGTGGTGAAAAAGTTACAATAAAAAAAGGCTATTAGATAATTTTAGATACAGATCCACCAGAATTAGATGAATTGATAATTGATGGATAATTGATATTTGATGAAAAAAGATAAGAGTCAGTTTTATAAAGCAGTTCAATTATTATTAATTAAGGTTAAATTATTGCAGGAAATAAAGAATAACCATATAAAAGCAAGATTACTATTATATCAAATAATATTTAAGTTTTTAATAGATTTGATTTATATTCCATTATTCCTTAGACATTTAATACTAGATTAGTCATAAGTTCTTAAGCTGGTTCTAATAAGATTGAAGTATAAGAATGTTTAGATTGGTAAATTGGAGATAAGATAGTACTAGGACCCTCAGGAACTAAATGGGATAATAATGAAGAAAAAACTATTTTGAATAAATCAGGTTGTATTTTAACTTTAGATTCTCCTTTGAAATATGATTATTATGGAGATAAATCAATTACAATAATAAAAAACAATATAGGATAACTTGATATGAGAACTTTGGTGGTTCATTTAAGTAGAAAAATTAAAATAGAGAATCTTGATTAAGGAGGAACTATTTAAATAGTTCATGGTTTAATAGAAAATGATATTTATATTGGTTAATTAAGATTTGAAGGAGTAGAAATAGTTAATTTTGGTTAATCAGATAAAGCAGGGTTAATAATAGAGAATATATTTACTTAAGCATAATAAACAAGTAGTATTATTGGTTGTAGTTTTCATTAAAGTAAAGGAAAGTTTTTGAGAATTTCTAATAGTAATATGATTTCTGTTTTAAATAATATATTTTATTCAGGAATAAAAGTATTGGTTGAAATAGTGGATTAGAAATATTTATAATTTAAAAATAATATATTGATTCATGTGAAAAGAGCAATTACAAGTGATTGGGCAGTATTGGCAAATTTTATGTTTTCCTAGAATAATATAAATATTTCAAGATAAAATGTAGATATTTCAGGGAATATTGGTTAAGGTTCAGAAGATGCAGGATTCTATATAGTTTCTATTTCATGCAATGAAATAAATCAAGCTAATATTTATAATAATATTTGTTCTTCAGCATAGAATGCTTGTTTTGCTGTTGTCCAAAGTAGTAGTGTTTGTGATGCTATTTCTTATCTTTATGCTTATCATAGCAAAATTGGGATAATGTTTTCAGTAAATTCAAAATAATTAGAAATGAAGAATTTTATAACAGCTGAGAATAAAATAAATATAATCTTGAAAGGAACATCAAAAATTGAATGGAATAATATAATGAAAATTAATGATGGATATATTACAGCTGTTGCTCGTCCTAATTGTATTCAATGTTATGATAATATTGATAATAACTATTGTTCTTCTACTTTGGGAATGTAATTAGCAACTATTTCATCTTAATCATCAATTCCTAATACATATAATTTATTATCAGATTAATTTGATTAGATAAGTTCTAAACAAGTAATTGATTTAAGAGTTTTAATTACTAATTTAGAATTCAATTAATTTAAAGTAAATAATAATTAAGTTCAAAATTGTGTTGAAAATGCAGTATTCAGATAACACCCTTATGCTATTGATATGACTGGTAGTCATTATTTAAAATAAACAAAATGCACAGAATGTGAATTTGAATCCTTATTATATAAATTAAGAGATTCAGATTTTAATAAAATAGGAATATAGGGTGGGTGTGGTTCTATGGAATGCACAGGATAAAAGAATGTATTAATTGAAGATTTAACAGGAGATTTCTTTGGAGAAATAGGATAAGGTATATCTAATAATACAGAATTTGGATAGAATGTTTAATATTGTAAAAGAATTGAGTAATGGAATGGTTATTGGTGTCCAGGTAGAAATATTTAAGTATTATATTTTATGAGTACTGCTCCAGATGCAAATACTCGTTTATTTTCTCCTGTTTTGTTATCTGATGGAACTTTTAAAAATATTATTAATAGTTGTTATGAATGGAATTGGTTATAGAGTAAACCATAAATGACAAGAGAATCCAAATTTATAAGTTTAATATCATCTAATTCTACTATCATTTTAAATACAACAGGAACATAACCTACTGCATCGAAATTTTGGTTATCCAAAAAATTTGATGATGAAGGATAGAATTATGCTATCATTTCTATTAAATTTAATCATCCATTGATACCAAGAATTTTTAAAAATGGTGTTTTTATTCCTCGTAAAAAAATTATAGATAATGAATGTGGATCTCATAAATATTCAAGAGATGAAAATTAACTTGAATTTTTAGTGAATTCATAACCGGATTGTTAAGTAGATGTTCTGTAGTTCAATTATCTTGCAGTAGCATAATAATTAATAGCAAAAAGCAGTCTTGATTGTATACAGTTTTTATCGAGGATATCCTATATTTTCTCATTGAAAACTTCTAATTTAGATTGTAATTAGAGAAATCCTAAAAGAAGAAGACTATAAGAATCTGATATAATTGAAATTACATTTAACTGGGTCATTATTGACGAAGCTTAACCAGGAACAGAAGCAGCTTATGGATCCGAAGAGAGATTATAATAATATATTGATAAAGTATCTCAATTAACTCCAGATCCTGATTTTGGAATATATGAAATTCTTTCTTTATCTTTTGAAAAACATATTCTAACTGAATTAAACTTTCCAAGTTCTGAACCAACTTAATGTAAATATTAAACTTAAATTTTAGTACCGGATTAATAAGTAGAATCTAATCCTGAAAGCGTAAATTAAGAAACAAATAATGATAAAGCCATTATTTCAAAAAATACTGAAACTTCTGATAACAATGATTAAAATCAAGAGTATACTTTAATAATTGTTCTGTCGATTACAATTCCATTAGTGTTTATCATTGCTATATCAATCTTTTGCATAAGAAGATTTAGATAACGCAAAAGTTAAGTTGTAATTCCTATTGGTCAAATTTAAAAGGATGATACTACAAATAATAAATTACCTGAGACTACTTTTATGTAAAGATCAGCTTTCAAAACACCTAAAGCAGAATATATGGAGAAAATAGAATTTGTTACAAAAATATGAATAAATAGATATTTTCATATAAAGAATAAATAATATATATTAAAAATTTAATATTTATCTTTTATATGTATAATAACACTCAATATATTTGGAAAGCATAATTTAAAATTCCACATGTGTTTTAAGGATACAATTTGATGACTCCATAATCACCCCATTAAGTTCCCCAAGAATTTTAAACAATCCAATTATTAGCACTGTCAAAACCAACAGCCAAAGCATAATGATTAGTTCCATTAGATGTACAATTTGAGAATAATCCTGATTTATAAAATTACCAATTGCTAGCATCAACACCTACAGATATTGGATAATTATTGAGGTAATATTATACATTTGATTAAGATCCTCCAACAAATGAATAACCATTAATGAAATAAGTACCATTTCTTGTTTATTTACAAGTTTAGTTTTTGGCGACATATGGATAATTTGAAGTGTTTGCTAATCCTACTCTTTGAACATATTCCATAGCATAAGCATTATAACCTCCAGAACATCCAGAAGAATTAAAATCACAATCAACAATTTATTATGTTGATGCATTTATTTTTTAATATGCTCTTATTTAATACCAAGCTTCTAAAGAGTTACTGACAGAAAATGCCCATCCAGAAGCACATTATCCTTACTCTTTGACTGTAGTGGCATTTCTCCAATCAACAGCAGTTAATCCTTCGAGTTATCCTTCAGGTAATTATACTTCCAATTGATCAATAAAGAATTCACTCTTTTATAAATAAAGATCGACAAATTCTTCATGAGTGAGAGTCATAAATTAATTTTCACCCATTTAATAAGTGACATCCTCTCTTTAGTTATGTTCTTCAATCATTCTTTTGTTGGAATTATATATTTCCATTCTGTACAATTTTTCGCTTTCAGTATAATATTTGTTATTTTTCATTGCCCAAATTTCAAATTCTGATTTATTTTCATCTTAAAGATGATAATAACCTGCTGTCATTAACAAAGTTACAATAGCTGCTGTTAAGAATTATTTCATAAGAATTATTATTAATTATTATTTTAGTAATTTTTTATTAAAAATATAAATTATTCACATATGGAATATCTTATTCATTCTATAATTATATATTAATTTTCTTTTATAAACAATAATGAATACTTAATGTTAAGTAAATATTTAGATTCATCAATCCATATCGCTAAAATCTTCAAAAGTATCATTCGAATATTAGAAAATGGAAATAAGCAATCTTGTATTTATATTGAAATTATTTCTACTTATATTTAAAATATCAAATTATCATTCAAATTTTTTCTTATGAAAATAAAAAAAAAAAATATGTTTGTCAAAAGTAAAATACTTAATTTATATTCTATCATTCTAACACTACCATAAATAATATTATTAAATTATGAATTATATATTAAATCATAACGTTGATTGTTATAAATTATTTTACACTATCTACTATTAATTAAAATAAACATAATTTATAAAATTAAGAATTACTAGAAGATTAGAACTCTTTATTTATATAGATATTTATTTATTTAATATATATAAGATCAAAATCTTTTTGTTTCATAAATAATCACAAAACTTGATTTTTTGAGTCCTTTAAGGCCTTGTTTGATTTATTAACTTAGATTTAAAAAATATCTCTTGATAAATAAACAATATTTTTATTTTATTCTCCAATAAACATTTTAGAATATCTAAGTCTTCATTAATTTTGTGTAGATTTGTATGGTTAAAGCAGCATAATTTCTATCTCAAAATTGAAAGGAATCACAATTTTGAATAAGAGTTCGAAAATAGAGAGATATTAATATCAGAGATTGAAAAGGATTGACTTCATTTCTACAATTGAATTCTTGAATCTCTCTATATAATATATATAAATACTTAAATTAGCCATCTAGTTTAACTTTTTAAGTATTTATTAGCCAAAGGAAATGTAGATTTTTTGATACTTATTAATTATGATGATTTATATATTTATATTATATATCTAATTAAATATATATAGATTATTGTAATAAAACTTCAATAGGGTTCCATTTAGGTTAAGGTTGGATCCTGATGATATTTAAAGGCTGCCTTGTAAATTTTATTAAAGTCTAGTTTCTTATTTAAAAATAATTAAAATAAATCTTCTCCAAGTTTCTCTTTTATGAAATTTTATCTTTTAGTTAAATCTTCATATATCTTAATGTAATAAGTGGAATAGATACATCATTAATTAATGTTATTTTAGAGACAGTTGGTTGTTCAGAGTTAATTTTAAGTTTACATGATTTTAATTTTTATCTAATATTTTTAATGCTAATCTAAAATTAAACAAATATTAAATACATTATAATCTAAGAGTGCAAGTTATAATTTATTTTTTTGTTTTTCTTTTTCTGAATTCTATTTGACTTATGAATCTCTTTTTTCAATCAACATTTATATAGTTTCATTATCTTAAACTTTTCCTTGAATAAATTAAATCGTTTTTACACGTTCTTTTTTATTTTCATTTGAATTAGCATTTTTAAAGGTCTTTTAGTATAAATATTTAATTTACATTTAAATACATTTTTTATTTTTGTTTTTTAAGATTTAAATCACTTTATAGATCTTCTTAAAATGATATTTTTGCTTCAAGAGATGTTTTAATTTCTAATTAATTTAAAAATTCAACAAAACTTGATTATTAGGAATAATCAGGATTTTCAACCTTTAAATTATATTAAATAGAAATAATTACTTCTATGTATTGACTAACATGAGCCATTGTTTATCTAAGAACTTCAAGCTTATCAGAGATTGCTCTGCTATTTTTTTCAAGTTAAATTCTTTTCACTCTTTATTATTCTTTATCTAAATTTTAAGCATATTGTTATTAAAGTTTTTACATTTTTTATGTTGATTATTATTGTATAATTGAATCTAATTATTAAAAGAAATGATCAAAATCTTCTTTCTATCTAACAGTTCTATTGATTTAATCAATCATTTATTTAGAATAATTCATATTGTTATTAAAAGCATCTACATATTAAATATGTATTGTATGAATTTATTTAATTTCTGCTTCCATTTTACTAATTTCTTATTTTTCATATTTAATCAGTTTATTTAAATTACATTACAAATAATTCAAATCTCTAATCCATTCTTCATTATAGGATCTATTGTCACCACTTATTTTAATAATAATTCTTAATCTACTATCTTAAACCATACTCAATAAATAGTCATGTTCAGCTTCCTCCCTTAATGTTTTGAGAGTCTCAATCTTAAAAGAATAAAATCAATAGAATTTACTTTTTCTTGAATTTAGGAAACAGTATCTACATCTGTTCCAAAACCCTCATTATGCTATAATGTTCTTAAACTAGCTAATTTCTTTGTAGCAGCTTGACTAAATTTAAATTTAATAAAATTACTTTTAATAAATAATATTATCAAGTTCTCTTTTTAAATCCTTTGCTTATTATAACATTATATAAAGTTCTTTGCCATTATGAAGTGAAATTTCACTTTTTAATCTAGGTAAAATAGATTAAGAAGATTTATTAATAGTTTCAGGATTAAATTATTTGTACTTTTCTTTTTACATTTTAGATTTGTCAATTATTCTCATAGTTGTATTTAAAGATACTTCTTAAGTTTTAGATATTGCAGGTAGAGTTGTTTATTTTTTATCAACTTAATTTTATTATTATTATTTCTTCTATTCTTCTATTTCTTTATGAATTTAAGATAGACTCATTTGATCTTCTGTAATGAAGAATTATAAACTAGTAGTATGCATCTTTGTAGATTTGACTTCTCTATAATTAGATTTATTATTTAAATTGTTAATAGTATTGTCAGCCATTGATTTCTCTCTTTTAAATCCTTTTAAACCTTATTATTCATTTTATTATTATTTCATCAATGTCAATATTGAAGTATTTTATTCCTATTTAACAGGAATAACAGATAATTCTTTATCTTCAAAAATTGTAGAATTGACATCCTCTTATTTTTAATACATCATTTTCTTCTTTAATTTAGCTTCAATAGCTATTTTTAATGCTTATTTTGTAAAGGCTTTTTCTTCTTAAACACTCATATATTCTGTAGCTTTGGCAAAACATTATTTCATTTTAGCAGAATAATCACTATGAACAGATAAACAAACCCAAGGAAATTAAATCCAAATCCATCTTTTATAATAATAATCTGTAGGTTTACGTTCACTAACTAATGATTATTCTTCTAATTTTTTAATTTAAATTTAATTATGTGTTAATTTTAATTAACCAGGCTTTTTTAATTAAACATCTTCATCTTTATTTAAATCAATATCTAAATCTCTCATTGATATCTATCCATTTTCTAATTTTTAATATATCTTAGCTTCTTCTGATTCTTTCTCTCTTTATTTCTCTTCTTAAAAACTACTAATTCCTATCTTCTCTTCAAAGAACTTTTTAACTTATTCTCTATTGTATGGAATATCAACATTTAATTTTTCTAATTTAGTTAATATTTCTGGTTTCTTCTTTTTCTCCAATAAACTTATAGTTGTTTATGTTTTCTTAATATCTTCTTCTTTACCAGGTTTCTTTGTTTATTTCTAATCTTTTTATAATACTTATTTTGATTTTAATTTCTCAATCTTTTCATTAATTCTCTCTTCTGGTGATTTATAATTTTCATCATTCTTTCCAATTTTTTTAGGATTTGCATCTATTATATAACATAAATTCATTCTATAAAGTTCATTTAATAATCCAATATCATCTAATTCATCTTCTATACCTTAAATAGGTGGATGTCTAAAACTAGGAGTATGATAAGTTTCAAAATCACAAAATTCTTTTAAGAATCTTGATACTTATACAATGATTCTAAAAATATCTTCACTACTAGGATGATATTACATTGAAAAACCTTCTATAGCTTTATTATATTCAATTACTGGATCAAATCCTTATTCTTCTAATTTTTACCAATATCTACATAAATCATATTTATTATTAGGATTAAATAATAATAGAAAATTTTCAATAGCTGAAACTATTTCTTTTAATTTAAAATATGTTTTAGCCATGAATAAATGATATGTTTATTCTTCTAATTTTCTAATAGAATTTGTTGATTTATTTAAATGATCAGCAATCTCTTCATGTAATTTTGGGACTGAAGAATTATCTTTTAGATATCTTTTTTAGATAATACTCTTAAATATATCATTAGTAATAATCCAATATTCTTTATAATGCATAAGATACACTTTAAAAAATACTAAAAATATCTTCCAATCATTCTCAGTTAATTGACAAATTGTTAATGCCTCCTAAATCATCAATCCTTTTTAAGTTATTGTAAAGCATAAAAGTATTTTTATAAATTTTTCTTAATCTTTAAACATTTTTGTTTGATAATGATCCAAAATAAAATTCACTAAATCCTCTAAACTTGAAACTTCTTATAATTTTGACATATCAATTTAAGAAACTAAAGATTCAATTACTTCTGGTCTAATATCATTTTCTCCTATGATACCAACACTTGGATATGGAATAAGAAGAGATAAAAATGTTTTACAAAATATTGAACTCATTTCACATTTAGTTTAAGTTAGAATATATAATAATTTATCCTTAAGAGTATCTGACTATAATATATTAAAATAGATTTATTACAAGAAATGCTTTTCTTTTTTTGTGTGTTTCTATCATTTTCTCAATAATTTTAGGTTCAACTTTTATTGATATAACTTGAGAATTTATTTTCTATAGATATTACATAGCTCCTGAATTTTTAGATGCTGTCAAAATAACCTTAATTCTTGGAGGAAAGAATTAAGGTAACCAAAAAGAAACATTAGCTTCTTTTGTTATACCATTGCCTTAATCAACAAAATGATTAACACCCTCAAAAATAAGGATGATTCTATTATAAAGAGTTTTAGCTTCTTTAAGAATTTAATTTTCAATATAAGAATTACAAACATCTAACCAATATGCAAAATATTTCCTAAGTTTCTCTTCCAATAACTCTACCTTCTATCCTATATTAAGCAATTCCCTTAATTTAACCAATATTCGATATATGGCATAAAAATAATTACTATTGTTTCCTCCAACCATAGCAAAATGTGGAATAATAATATCCTAATATCTTCCTTTTTTATTGGCATTATGATATCCAATCCACTTAACAAGTAATGTCTTTTTGCCTACACCATCTTCTGCCTCAATGACCAATGGAAGATTTTATTTGCCTTTCTATTTTAAATAAATTAAATATATTACAACATCCTAATCCAACCATTCTTCTATTTTAAGAAAATGTTTATCCAATCCACTTGTTTATTGATTTTTATAGTATTCCATAACAACCTCAGAAGAGCTAAAATTAAATAGCATTTTACTCTATATAATTATTGTACTCTTCTTCTAATTATGCTATCTAAAAGGATAGATTTTACTTTTGATTTCCTTCTTCCATCAGTTTTATTATTTTTATATTAAAAAATAAATGAATATATATAATTACTAATCATCTTTATCTCCTTACATATCTGGTTTTACGATCTTCTTATTTTTATACATTTCTTAGAGCATTTTAATCAAGAAGTTCAATTGAAGGACCCCATTAAAATTGATGATCATATTCTAAATCACATCTAACCCAATTTTTATCATTGATTTAATTTGAAAACATGACATTTTTGAATTGATTAAAATTGGCATTACTTTCTATTAAAGTTCTAGTACTCTTCTTTAAATTGCTAAAATCTTCACCAGTTTTTGGTTCCATTTATCTTTATAAAGATGAGATCGATTCTCTAAGAGCATGAGCTATTCTAGGTTCATATTATTCCGACATTCCCATTTCTTTTGCTGTTAATTCTGCTAATGCTTCTGGTGAATTCATAGTATTGTTCATATCCCATTCCAATTAATCTTTGAAATGAATATTTTCAATTCTTAAATCTACATGAAGATTCTTTAACATTTCATTTTTGGTTGGATAATAACATTTATAACTTTAAACTTGTTTCTTGATTTGAGTACAAATTTCTTATTCAATCACTGATGGTAATTAATTTTCTTCAGTGATTATTCTAGCAAATGTTTCTGGAATCATATGTGATTCATTTAGATTCCAGCAAAAAGTTTAGTATATTTTTTTGCCATCTAATTCAAAATCAATAGTAATTGGAACTAATTATTGATGTTTTGGTGGTTCAATAGGAATATCTTATGCCTTATTTAGTTATAAGTGATTGTATTACAGATTGATTTAATGCTTATTGTAATGTAATATTGGAATTGTTTTTCAATTGTTCCTAAGTCTTACGCAATATGATTTCTTGTCTTTATTATTTGATGGAATTTTAATATTGATTTCTAAGAATATGAAATTTAGATATTGGCAAAACAGGTCTTACTGTATGATGGGACACTAATATTTGGTATTTGAATGATAAGTACTAAATTGAGATGCTCTACTATCAGGTAATCTAAATTGTCCAGTACCCATTCCTTAACCTTTATTTGCATGAAAGGTAGCTATCCATCTTTCCAATAATTCTTCTATTCTTGTACTTTGAGAATTAGAGATATCCTATTTTCGTGGTTTGTTTTTATTTTGCATCCAGAGAGAGAGAGTACTATGATGGATACCTATTTCTCTTGCCAAATCTACTTATTTAATATTGTGTTTTTGGAGTATTTCTTGTATTCTTGATTTGAGATCTTTTTGTATTTACATTAATTAATGGAGGGACCTAAAATAACAGTCGTAATCAGAAAGAGACCATTAGGGAAGAAAGAATTAGCGCGTGGTGATTAAGATATTGTGCAAGTGAAAGATTAAGCTACAGTATTGTTGAGCGAGATCAAGTATGCATTTTGAAATTCAATATACTTTCTCTTTTTTAGGTAGAAAGTTGATCTGACCAAGTATGTTGAATAACATCACTTCAATTTCGACTTAGCATTTGATGAGAGTGTAAATAATGAAGGAGTTTATGCAACTGCAGTACGTCCAATAATTGAAGCAGCCTTTAACAAAGCAAAATGCACTTGTTTTGCATATGGATAAACAGGTAGTGGTAAAACATTCACAATGCTTGGTGACCCAGAAGCTAATGTACCAGGACTATATCTGATGGCTAGTTATGACCTATTCAGCATATTATAAAGAGTAATTTACAACATTATTATTCGATTAGCCAGAGTATGGTAATTTATATGTGACCATTTCCTTTTATGAAATTTATTGTGGAAAATTGTTTGATCTCTTAAATGATAGAACTTAATTGGCTGCATAAGAGGATGCCAAGGGTAATGTTCAAATCAAAGGATTAACAGAAAAAAAAATTCAAAATGTTCAACAACTTATGCAAATCATACAACATGGATAGAACTCTAGAGTGACTTCTTAAAACTCTGCTAATTCTGAGTCTTCACGATCTCATGCATTACTTTAAATTAATTTAAAGCAAGGCAAATTAGTTCATGGCAAACTCTCCTTTATTGATTTAGCTGGTAGTGAAAGAGGAGCTGATGTTAGAGATCAAGATAAAACTACTAGAGTTGATGGAGCTGAAATTAATAAATCACTTTTGGCTTTGAAAGAATGTATTCGAGCTTTAGATCTTAATAAGAATCACACTCCATTTAGAGGCAGTAAACTTACACTTGTGCTTAAAGATAGTTTGATAGGTAATTGCAGAACTGTCATGATTGGTAATATTTCACCAAGTAGTGCTAATAGTGAACATACATTAAATACATTGAGATATGCAGATAGAGTTAAAGAATTAAAGAAACCATAAGAATAGAAAACTGGTGGAGATGCACTTAATAGAGAATTGATGTTAGCTAGAACAGGTTTTATTTCATTTTTATTACTTTAGATACCAACGTAATCCGTAGAGAATATAGAAATCCTGATTCTGAAGATGAGGAAGGAGATGATTTGTATAGTGGACCATAAGGATCTTAAGGTGGTTTGACATAAATGAACAATTAGAAGTATCATAATAACATGACATCTTCATAATAATACTAATAATAATAATTTTAATATACTCAATAATAATAATAATAATAACAATAATAATAGCTACCACCATAAACATAATCTTAATAACATCCAAGAACATTATCAGCTAATTCATAATAAACATTACAATAATAATAATAATATAATTAATAATTCACTAATCCTTATGCCAAATAATAACCATAATAATAATAACCTCCAAATCTTCCAAAATCCAAAAGTGCTTAACCAAATCAACCATAATAATAATAGTAATCATCATCCCAAACATAATTGCCAAACCAACAATTTTTCATGTAATAACCAATGATGCCTCCATAATAACCTAATATTTATTAATAGCCATAATAACCAAATCTTTAGTAATTCATAAATCCTTAACCCTAACCGTAACAATATTAACCATAGATGTATAGCAATCTACAGAAATAAAATGTAGTTTAATAAAATCCATTATTGTTTCAATAATAACAAAATCAATTCCCTTAATAATAATTGTTTCAGTAATACCCTTAATAAGCATATGGTAATAATAATCAATTTTATTAAAAATAACAACAACCATTAATTCCAGGAATAAATCCTACTGGAATAAATCCTATATCTCAATAACCAAATAATTTTATGCCACATTACTTGGATAACAATTTAAATTAATAATAACAAGATCCATTTGTAAATGACGATTTTCAAGGTGAGGATGGAGACAATCTCTTATTGGAAGAAGTAGATCCAGAGTAGGAAATATAAGAATAGAGAAATTAATTATTATCCCAATAACATTAAGAATTAGTGAGCAAGGTTTTATAAGAAGAAGATGAAATCATAGTATTCCATAGAGATCATATTGATGTGATGGTAGAGATATGTAAATCAGTAAATATATTTAAATAATATTTCACTAGGATATGATACTATTGAATTCATTGGATTAGAATCAAGTTGTTGTAGCTGATTATATGGTGAAATTAAAATAGAATTTGCAAGTTAAATAATAAGCAATCAATGATTTCATAACTAAGTTAGGATAATATGAATAATTGTTAGAATAAGTATGAATGTCTATATAATTTTTATAGGAAGCTGAATTAAATGAATAATTGAAGGAATTCGGATTGGGTAATAACTCAAATTAAACAAATATATAATGATAACTAATCATAATGTTAACTCTAGATCATATGATCTTCCTGTTATTCCACACCCTTCATAATTGTTTTACAAGTCTTATTTCCTCAATGTTTCTTAAAAAACATCTATTTCTCCCTAATAGTTGTTTAAAATCAATAATCAATCCTAAAAAGTCTATTCTCATTTACCATTTGAACCACAAAAATTGGAGATCATCTTCGACAATATACCATTTTAATAAGCATTCTATCAATAATTTATTAATTAACCATTCCAAATTTCAAATCCAAAATAAACCACTCTTATTACAATCTTAGAATAAAAAAAATATTTCACTATTTTAATTATTCATAAATCTAATCATCATTAATAAAAATCATCAACCGTAAATAGAATATCTCAATTCTCAACAAAGTATATTAAATTACTATTTTAATAATTAGGACTAAAAAACAATTCTTATTGAAAGTTAAATTGATAGTGTTTGAATTCAAATTAACATATAATAAGGATTTAGCAGAAAGACTTATTAAAAAATGAATAAACAAATAAGGTAGAATTTAAGTTTATGATAATGTCTAATATAATTAATTATTATTGTACAAAAAAAAGATGACTAACTAGTTGAGTTGAATATTACTGACTAAAGAGTCTTAAAAAAAAGAAATTAAAATGATTAGGGTTAACTTTGATGCAAAATAATCTTTACAAAAAATACAACTTGTTAATTCTTTATCACATCATTAGTATAATAAATATAAAAACCTGTATGAATGAAAAAAAATAATTTGTAGAAATAGTTTGGAAAGTTAAGGCTGTTAATTTAATTGGCGTATTAAAAGGAATAAGTTATTAGTATTTAATTAATAATAATTATAATTATTTTATTTTATTTTCCAATTTTGACTTTCACTCCAGATGCCACATTATCTTAAATTTAATAAAGATAAAGGATAATAAAATATTATGCTGAAATCAAATACTATTTTCATAGCTTAATGCTAAAATATGATTATTCTATATAATTTTTAATTATTTTCATATCTATTTTTAGAAAATAATTTTTACATTATAATATTGAATACTCTTATTCTAGATTATATTCTTCTATTATATTTAATATTCACTTAATTTAATGAGATTAAAACATCAATTATGGATAATTTATGATAGAATATAATCTTTCAATTTTATTATGAATGTTATTAATTTGATATCTTCAAAAATTCAACATATAACCTATATTATGATTGAAACTATTTTTTTGAAGTTTATAGACAGATTAATTAACTTTAATTTATAGACGATTTGATTTCACATAAATTATTATGCATAATTAATTAATTGAAAGAAATGCTATTGAAACTCTTTTGAATGTTTGTTACGATGAGTAACCATAATATGATGATGATTATGAATAAGAAATTAGATAATTATTGAAACGAACTATTCCAGTTAGACCAAAAAAAGAGGATAATGAAATCTCATCACGATAAAATACAATAAGCTTTCGTACTCCATTAAGATATTAAAATGAGTTTAGATTGAAAACTGAAACAAGATCTCAAATTAAACAACCAAAAACTCAAAGAATACCTAAAAAGATTCCATAAATAACTTTGAAATAATCAATAAACCCATAAGCCAAGTCATTTCGTGATATTAATCATAAAAATTAAGTTCCACTTAAAGCTTCGATTGTGTCCTTATAAAATTCAACTGGATATAGCTTTCTAAATGCCTCTGAATATTAAAACCCCGTATTAGTATTTTAAAAAAAGTCTTTATATCTACCGAGATTTGTCTTAAGATTAAAGTAACAACAATTATTTAATTAAAAGTGAATTATATAAAATATTTTATATACACTATTCACCAATTATTTTTGCATCTGTCCATAATAATTGAATTTAATCTCTGATTGTCTTACATTAAAGTTTGTACTTTCTTTTCTAATTCTTATGCATAACCTGCACAACCTTCTAAAGCTAATATCTTATTTCTAGCTAAATCCAATTCTTAATTTCTTTATGTAAACATATTTTTTAATTTTTCAAGTTCAGTACATGTATTTCTAAGCTAACCTTCTAAAACAATGACAGTTTTTTAAGTAATTTGTTTTTCATTAAGTTATTCCCTTAATTAATCATTTTCTATATTTAATTAACTAAATTTGGTAGTGTATTATTCTATTTATGCTTATAAGTCATTAATTTATGAACTTAATTACCATATATGATTTTCTAATTATACTTTTTCTGTTGAAAATTTCATTTAAATTTATGTTTCTACTTAAATTCTCAATTAATCATATTATTATTTAGCAATTTTATCAAGTTCATCAGTTAATAAACTAATTTTCTTTTAGTAATTATCTTTTTCTAATACCCATTATTTTTAAGCTTCTTTTAATAATGATAACTAAATTGTATAAAAAATAAAAATATTACTTCTTATAATTATTCTTTGTCTTTTTCTTGTTCTCCTTTTTTCTTTTCTATTTAATATTTTAATTATGCAATTTCTTCTTATTTTTTATTATTGTCTTCTCTTATATATTCTGTTTATTATAGTTCTTTTTTTAATGAATCAATTTTTTATTATTAAAATCTTACAATTCTTTAATTTTCTAATTATATTTCTTCTAATGAATTTGTTATCTTTTCTAAATCTTATTATAATATTGAATTATCTTCTTCTATTGATTCAATTTAATTTAATTTTTCTTAATATTTATTCAATTATTTCGTTTTGTCATTTAATAAATTTTATAATTTTAAAACATGTTCAGTTTATAATCTTAATTTAGTTTCTAATTCTTATTATATTTCAAGTAAAGAATTCTTATCTTTTTATAATTAAATAACTTATGATCTTAAATTTCTCAATTCATCATTTTAAGAATGATTTGATTTTGTTTATGCTTCCAATAAAGTATTTTTGATCTCTAAAGCTTGAGTTTTTTCTAAATATTCAGATGTTTTTTAAATTTACTATTATAATTATTATTTCAATGAAGAGAGTTCTGAACAATTTGAATTAGTATTTTATTCATGCAATTATAAAGAATTTTCTAATTCTTTTACTTTTAAGATTAATTAACTTTTCTCTTTTCTAAGATTGTCTAATTAAGTTTTAATTAATATCTTCTCTTATTGAACATCCATATGATTTGATGATTATTAAAATTATATATTGTATTTCTCTTATCTTTCTTATTCTAATTGTTTTTAAGTTTCTTCAAATACAGATGATAATTATTCAATCTATATTTAATATTATTCACATTTTCTTTATTGTGTTTTATTTAAGGATTCATATTATTATAATTGTGTTTTCAATTATTAGTTTTCAGTTTATAGAGTTTATTGTTTTATTTCCATTAATCGATACTTATTTGAATTCTAATTTTTTGGATCTTGATTGAGTTTAGATAAATTTTCAATTTCTAAGTCTTTTTCTAATAATTATTTTTATAATTGAACAATTCTTGAATCAACAAATTAGTCCATCTCATTTGAATTTATTTTCATGGTTTTTCTACCATTTTAATTCTAAGTAAGAGTAGTATTATTATTTTCTTTATTCATTCCGTTAAAAAAATATAATATAATTAATAATGCTAAATTCTTATGATACTCCAGATTTTCGAGAAACTATAGAATATAAAGGTAATCTGGCAATTAGACCTATTAAATATGATTTGAAATTGTTTGATTCTATTGAAACTCTCATATGTCCAGAATTATAAATAACAACAAGATGTTAACAAATATTCTTTTTTATGCAAATGATGTATTTTTTTGTCATACATATGTTTTATTTGATAATACCTAAAACATTTATTACTGAAAGTCCTTTAATATATGTATTTTCATGGAGGTAATTGATTAATAAAAATAGTATCCTTGTAGTTGATTCGTTTTAGATTAATTTATCACCAAATACTTCTAAACGATTTCCTATAAATATATTACTATTTACTTTTGGAAGTTTCGCAAGAGTTTTTGTCTATTTATTCATAAGCGAATATTTTGATATATCTAAGTTTTTGTTACTCAACTTAATGACTATTTCTTTAATTATCTACATTAGATTTAAAGTATTGCAATAAGCTTATCATACATATATGGAAATTAATCAAATGAAGAATCCCTTCTAATTAAATGAAGAATTCATGAATGAACCATAAGTAGATAAGGATTGGGATTTATTAATGAGTAGACAAGAAGAGGATCTAAAATAATTAGAAAATGATAGTTAGGAATAAGAGGAAGAAGCAAGTGAAAATAGTTTAGAAAGGGAATAAGACTAAGTTAAATCTAAAGGGTAGAAGAGTGAAATCACTAATAAAAATTAACCTATTCTTAATGAATTAAAATAAGAAGAATAACTTAAAAATAGCTAAGTTATAAACATTAACAATATATTGGATTTTAAAGTATTCTATTATAATTATATGATTGCAATTATTGTTCCATGTTTTATGTGGGCATTTTTTTATTTCCCTATTAAATAATTGATTTCAGTACTCATCTTCAATATGCTTTATCTTACATTTATATGGATACATTGCAAAACTTACTATTCAGAGAGAAGAATATTTGTATTAATTTACAATATGGAAAATGCTTATTTACTATTAACTGCTTATTTTGATTCTGATTTCTTATGTCCATGGTGGTTATTATATGAATTAATTAAAATGGGAGATAAAAATTATTAAAAGAAAATGAGATTATCCTCTTATTGATTAATTATTTATTTTTTAAAAATAGTTTATATAATAATATAAAATCTATCTATATCTTATTTATATAAATATCAGTTATTTTCTAATTAATAGGAATATGATAATACTAAAGACTTTGCCATTTATTCCTAATTTTTATATACTCCTGGCATTAAAATAATACATTCTTCTTTATTTTTGATAAATCCATCAATAGGATCATTCTTACTTTAATTAAATTATTGTCTTTATCCAATTGATTAGATATCAAACTATAAATTTGGATCACTTATATAACAATTAAACATTATTTCTGATAATTTATCTAACAATATCAAATTATACTATTTACTTAAAAATTATTCAATTATATCTTAATTGTTTAACTTTAAACTTTTTTACAATTCTATAGTTACATTACCTAAATTAAGCATGCATTTTTCATAAATTTATTTGTAATTACTTTGAAATGACTTTCTCAATACATTTATAATAGGTCCATCTATTGTAATTAAACAACCAACCTTTTAAATATATTAAATAAATTACATCTTTAATATTTTTGAATAAGGGTGTAAAATAATCATTAATTATTTTATCTATTCGATACATTGCAGTTTAGAAAAAATAAATAATTCCCTTCATGTTTAATTCTTGACTTAAAACATCAAAAAAAATATCAAAACATTCACATTTGTAAAATTCTGCTATTGAATTACTTAATTCATTTGCCATAGGAAATGTAATGCTTGTATTTGCAAATCCAGAAACCATACATCTAAGATTAGATTACATTTATAATATTTCTTATTATAGATTTTGATTCTCCTTTGTTAATATCTCTTTTTCTTTCTTTGTTATTTATAATTTATTCATTAAGATCTTAATTTTGCCTCTCAATTCATCTTATGTCCCATCCAAATAGTCATGAGGTCTTTAGAAATTTTCTTTGACATAATTATTCTTCATATTTAAATTATGCTGTTAAAAAGTATATTTATATTTTAAATTTAAATAAACAAAGCAGTTAATAATAATGGCCTTATTAAAGGATGATACAGCATTCACACATGTAATTGCTATAGATTTTGGGACTGGAGCATCAGGGTATACATTTAATTAATGTAGATTTGGATTAGCTCCAAAAGTTTTAGATAAGGAAGGAAAACCAAGAATTGAAGTATTTAACCCTTGTGATGATTCAGATGATTAAAAAACACCCACAGCCATTCTATTTGACAATAATGGTTAATTTATTGAATTTGGATCATAAGCTCTATAAAAATATGCCAGTATTTTAGATGATGGTGATACAGCTTATCTATTTTAAAATGTAGTTTAACATTTAAAATTATTAGTATAAAATGCATTTATATCATATGCATAATCATGCAAGATCACTTGACAATAGAGAATTACCTTTAATGTTATTAATTAAAGAAACTCTTAAATATATAAGCAATAAAGCAATATAAAAATTAAAGGAACAAGTAGGAAAGGTCATATCTACTAAAATAAGATGGGTATTAACAGTTCCTGCATTATGGAGTGAAGAACATAAATAATTTATGAGAAAAGCAGCTGTAGAAGCAGGAATAGTTGAAAATCTAAATTCTCCAAATTTATTATTGTGTTTAGAACCTGAAGGAGCATCAATATAATGTAGAGAAGATGCTGAATAAACATTAAAAGAATAAATGGCAAAGAGTTCTGTAGTTATGGTACTTGATTGTGGAGGTGGCACAGTTGATATTACAGTTCATAAATTATTATGTGAACCTAATGAGAAATTCTTATGTAATGAATTGATTCCTTCTTCAGGAGGATGTGAATGGGGTTCAAAATATGTTGATTTATATTTTGAAGAATTTTTAAAAGAATTTCTAGGAGATAAATTATTTAGATGTTATTTATAAAATGCAATAGCTAGATTGGATATATTAAGAGATTTTGAAATTTTAAAAAGAAAATTTAAAGGGAATAAGGATGAAAGATGTATGATTAAATTTTCATATTTGGGTGAAGAATTAAATACTGCTAAATTAACACAATTAGTTAAAGAACATAATTCAAAACATGCTGCAGAATATTAGGTTAAATTAAAAGGTCTTTCTAATGTAGAAATTCCATCAGCTTTAATGGCATCTTTTTTCTAAACTTTATTTGAAAACATCAAAAATAAAGTTGCTCAACTATTATAATAAGTTGAATAGAAAAAGGAAAAAGTTAATTTCATTTTTATGGTAGGAGGATTTAGTGAATCTCCATTTTTGAAATCAGAAATCATTAAAAGATTTGAGAATAATGCAATTTAAATCTTAGTTCCAAGACGTCCTTAAGTATCTGTAATTAGAGGAGCATGTCTATTTGGTTTAAGTCCAAGATCTATTACAAGTAGAATAGCTAAAAAGACATATGGAATTAATACTTTAACAACCTTTGATGCAGAGAGACATCCAATAAAAAAGAAAGTAATTATAGAAGGAGAGGAATTTAGTGAAGATGTATTTGATGCTTTTGTTAGAAAAGGAGATGCTGTTGGGTATATATAATATATAAATATAATTCTTTAGTTGTGATGAAGTACATACTAAAATATATTGTCCAGTTAGATCAAGATAAACTATAATGAGAATAATCTTTTATGTAACTGAGAAGAGAGAAGTAGAATTTGTTGATGAATAAGGAGTTTAATAATTAGGGGAATTGTGTATTGATATTGGAAAACCACTTTAATCAGTTGAAGATAAAACTGTTAAGGTTACACTTCTATTTGGAAACACTTGTATTTATGCTACAGCTACGAATAAGGATGGAACAGAAATAAAAAATTGTGAATTCAAATTCGAATGCGGGTAATGATAATACTTAATTAATGAATATTCTAACATTTTATTTTTTATTTTCTAACAATTATTATTATAATAGTATTTTTTAAATTAAATTGTTAATAGGTTCTACTTAATTCACATACATATATTGAGAATTTCTAGAAATCTATAAAAGGAATATTTAAAAAACTAAGATTTTTAGACATTGAGAGATTAAGTGAAATATATTAAAAGTATATAAATATATATGTAAATGGAATATGATTAATTGATTATATAATTAGAAAATGTGTTGGAGAATTGTTGATTGAAAGTAGAAGAACAATAACATCATAGTCTTAAGATATAATGGTATTTTTGAAAAATGAAACAAATATATGTTAAACATATAATAATATATGAATATTACTAAATTAAAAGAAGATAGAATATTAAAATTGCATTTATAAATATGTAAATCATCATTATCATTTTTATTTATGATGGTGACACCATTCACACCAACATTATTTAGTTTATTCTCTTAATTATTTTCTTCTATTATTTATCTCTTGTAAATGTTCTTTTTATAAGAATTCTAATTCCTTTCTTGTTTATGGGGATACTGATGGACTTCCCTACCATCCAAAAGACTTTAATAAATTTTTCTCACTATTTGAAGGTGATATTGATCTTCTAGAAGATTCTTACATATAATTTGTACGAACAGATCCATCAGAACTTAATTATTATTCCTTTCTCTTTTTTTTCTTTAATTATCTTTTCTTTCTTTATTTATCTTTTTATTCATCTTCTTTCTTTAAATATTATTCCAACTCTTCTAATTAAATTTAGTATTCTCCCTTCATCTTATCATAATTTTCTAATCTCCTTTTAAATATTTCTCCTATTTATTAATAGAAAGTATATTTAATGATTTATAAACTTTATCTTTCTCTATATAGAAATGTTAATTTCTCTTTAATTAAAAGTCCAAAACATATAAGCAATTCCTCTTAAGCATCCTCTTTTGTTGAAGCATGTTAGTAAAATGGTTGAATTTGTGCCTTATTTAATAATGCATTTAATAAGATTGCCTAATAATAAAATATAATATATACATCATATGGAATTTGAATTTCACATTTCTAATAATCATATTTAATAAAACAAATAATACTGCATGCACAGTCAGGTTAAGGGATTTATAATTTAAAATGCTTTAAAGCCGCCTAAATATTTTCTTTACAAGATGGACAGAATTTTTTGGTTTTCAAGTAATTCTAAATCCAATTAATTTGTGATTACTTATAAATGATAATCAAATTCTTTATCTTAGATAATACAATTTTCATTATCTTCCACAATTTCATTACATATGTAATGAACATGTTCCTAGATATTTATTTCTGGGACTTATTTCAAAGAATGTAATTAACATCTCTTCTTATTGTTTTGTGAAGTTGGCTTTTTAAAAATACTAGATATTATAGATTTTATTGATTCTCCATAACTTTATAGTTTTTCAAGAGTCTTGGATATGTTTTAGGAATTGATCACATCATCATTTAAGGCTATATCTTAGTTTATGGTAATATATTTGTCTTTTCTGTTTATGGTAATAAAATCTTTAAGGGCTGAAATACAACCAGAACATTCTAGATTGATTTATTCAAGGAATTCTGATTTTGATATCTATAGGCATTCTATCATTTCTTATTTTGATAATTTATGGGATTCCTTGTGTTAATCATTTTAAATACCATGCCCTATAATTGCTTAAATGAAAATATTTTAATTTAAAATTTATGATTGTCACTTCAAATATAGTGAATGACTTGAACACAGCATTTTAACTCATTAATATGGGCACAAACGATAAAATAAGATAAGGAGAGCAATTGTTATAACAAATAAGAGGTGATATACAATATCCTAAAGTGTTATTCGATTATTTTTAAGCTTATGAAATTAGTCTAGGGCTTCGAGCGGCAATTGAATTAAAGTTATGGTTCAAAGAATATCGTAATTTTGATGACTACTAAGCTTAATATGTTCAAAATGTAGTGTAAACAATCAAGCAACACATAATAAGTGCTTATATAGTCTCTGAAGCACCATTAATTCATCAATTGAAAGATGCAATTGTTTATGTTGCTTCAAGAGATTTTCCTACTTAATGGCCTACACTTATGGCTGATTTAAATCAATTCTTAACTCATCCAGATTATGTATACAAAACCTTGAAACTCATATACAAATTGACTGAAAAATATGTTTATCAATCAAGAAGTGATCCTTTATATGAAGAAATCATTATAACATGCGACACAATCCATCACAATTTGTTATTGTTAGCTAAATCATTGATACAATAAATAGAAGCCCTTCAAAATCTGAAATTATCATATGAAATTCTGAAGACATTACTAAAAGTGTTTTACAATTTAAATTTTTAAGTAATTTAAAATAATAATTGAATATTTTAGGATTTACATCCACATTTTGAAGACAATCTTCAATCATGGATGGAATTTATGAAAGTAGTTCTAAGACTCTAACCAGTATAAGGAGTAGAATAATTCCTATTCAAATGTAAAGGTGAAGCTCTTAGATGTGTTTTATTATATGCAATGAAGTATCGTGATGACTTTGGTGACCTGATCCAAGTATTTTCAAGTGAAATATGGAATGTATGCACCTAGACTAGTGCTGGAAGAGATAGTGACAAGGTTACTTTAATCAAATAAAGTTTTAGATTGTATTATGTGCACTTAGATACTTCAAGACCTTAATAGCTTGGTAAGACATGAAGACCTTCTTTGAATAGAATATAAAGATTTTAATAGAGAGTTTAATTATTAGAAATTTATCTTTATCAAGTAATATAGATTTATTAATAATTTATTTTAGAGGATGAAATTGGAATGTTTTAAGATGAACCATAAGAATTTATAGAGAAGTTTTTTGAATAAAGTGATTTAGAATCTAGAAGAGCATAAGCAGTTGAATTATTTAAGACAGTTACTAAACACTTTAATTAATAAGTGAATGTCATTATTTAAGAATATTTGTATAGATTTATATATTAAATAAATTAGATAGGCTTATATTTAATCAGGAATGAATGGAATAGATAATGAAATAATTCTTATTAATTTAATTATTGAAGCCAGTACAAGTTCATTTACATCAAAAGATGGAACAATTGATATTATTTTATCATAAGAAAATGTTCTTGGATTTTATACTCATTGTTTAAAACCTAAATTAGGATAAATATTTGAATTACAATAATAAAATTAATCAGTTGAATAAAAATTCACACCAATTTAATTAGCATTCTATTGTAGATACTTATTTTATTTCAGAAATGTAATTGATAAAGTTGAATTACCAACTCTAGCTACTTTAGTTTCAAAATTATAATTAAGCAAAAAGATTACTTTATCAAATATAGCTAGTTATACAGCATATTCATTAATTAATGTAAGATAGGATGTCAAGAATTATGCTAATCATTAGTTATATTTTGAAAATGTTAATATTTCACAATATTTATAATTGATTTTGACTGATTGTTATAATAATATTAAATAATAATAGAAATTAGAAACATATAGTTTAAAACTTACTAATTCATTGATTACTTTATTGAAATAAGAGATTTTCAATGCAATTGCTGCATTATGTAATTTACTCTAAGATTTACTTAAAAATATTAAGTTAGAATATGAGTTTTAGAATGTCCATTTGGTTTTTGAGATAATAGCTAGTGTAGTTGATGTTTGTATTATAGCAAAGAATTCTGAAGCTGCTAATTAGTTATAATAAAGTATATTGAATCAATTAGATGAATTACTTAGAGAAAATAAGGGTGATGTTACTAATTTTGTCTTATAAATTTATTCACTCTTTTTATAAGTTTAAACAAATGCATCCTCATATTATCAAAATCTATTATAAAATTTCCTTGAAATATAAAATTGGAATGAATCAAATTCCTCATTGTTTCAAGCTTATATAATATTTTTCTAATTTGGATTCTAAGGAACTAATTTACCTACAACTTAATTATAGGCTATCTTAAAATCAATTGTTTCTCATAGTACACCATCATATACAGAATTATCTAAATTCCTCATAAAATCTAATTCATAATGGACAAACATAGTTTTGGCAATCATTTTTGAATAATACAAAATATAATAATAATCTTAACCTTAAATATCCTCAAAATCAAAAGCAACCCATTTGAGTTAAAGATTAATAAATAAGGAAGTATTTCTATTATTAGCACATGTTTTTACATCTTATGGAGTTGAAGTGCTTATAAATGAATGTTCTAAGATCTCTCCTCAATTACTTGAGAGTTTTTTAATAAATGAATTAGGAATTATAAAATCTATTTCTTAAAGGAATGAAAGAAAATTAATATTTACTATGTTGTCTGCTATATTATTTTCTGGATCGTAAATTATTCATTTAATAATATTAGATTTTTAAGTTAACAATCATGGAATCTAGTCTTTTAAGCAATGGTTGAAAATATAACACTTAAAAAAAGAAATCCTTTAAAATTTATGGGAAGAGTAACAGATAGAGAAGTAACATCAAGTTCTGGATTCTAACCTTTGAAACCTGTTATTGCTAGAAATGTAATCATTTTATATTTAAATAAAATAGAATACTGATAAATTATTAAATGATGAAGATAAATTATTTAGTGCATAATTCAAAACTTATTATAGTAATCCAATTGTATAATAATAATTACCAATTTAATAATTATTAACATAATAGTAATAAGAGTTGTTAAGTAATTTAATACAATCTGTTTGAGTATGATATCAATCAAATTTATAATTTATTTAATTTCTAAGTTTATTCATAAAATTATATATCTTAAAAGTTAAATTAAAATATATATATTTTCATTAATATTACAACTAGATCTCTAATAAATAAATGATTTAAATGTAAACTAAAATAGATAATATAAAAAGTAGATATTCTTATAATATTAATAAAAATATATATAATAAACATAATAAATATTAGATTGTATATAAATATTCAATCAAAAATACAATCCTAATGCTAGAAAACTAAATAATGTTCCAGATGATAAAAATAATGAAGCAAATAATCCAACAGATAATTCTTTTGTCAATGATCTTTATGATTTATTCTATGTAATTTAATAACTATATTATTTATTATATATAATACATAACAAAATATGATAGGAAGCAGAATCCAATAAAAGTTAATACAATTGCTAAATTACTATAATGTTTTGTATCTATTGGAGGTTAATAAGCTTAATATCCCATTTTTATTAAAAATAAATTATATTATATTAATATATTATAATTTATTAATACATCTTTTATATTAAAACATTTATTAATAATACTATTTCATAAATATTTCTTGTCATCCTCTTCTAATCCTTATTCATTTTACAATCTAAATACTTCTTTAACACTTGCTATGTTATCTAATCCAATTAAATTTTATCTCTCAAATATTTATTTACTTGTATCTTACATGGCTTTGATACATGCTCTTAAATTATGATTTGCCCAAATTGCTAAACTTACATCTATTAATCATTTCTATAACCTTACTATGTTTTCTAAATTCTTCTGTTGGTGTCTTGTAATAATTGGTAGGAACTATTACAACTGGTAATCTATTATTCCATGCTTTTAAAAATTATTCAATTTCTGTAAAATCAGATTTCTTACTATGAATCAATATAGCATCAACTCCTGCCTTTCTATAAGCTTCACATCTCTCTAAAGCATTTTCTAAACCCCATCCAGCAATAAATGATTCACATCTAGCCACTATTTAAAAGTCTTTATCTCTTTAATAATCTTTGCATGCCTAAAATTACTGTTTTCATAACCTTGATCTTATTTGAAAATTCCTAAATATTTGCCAATTCTTAGGCCCCATCTCCTAAAGAGTTTCTTTTAGGAAAGATCTTATCTTCAAAACAAACTCCAGCAATTCCTCTCTCTTCTAATTTTCTCACTAATCTTCTTGCATTATTGTAATTTCCAAAACCGGTATCACCATCCATTAATATTGGAATAGTAGTTCTTTCTGCCATAAATTCTAATACTTCCAACAATTAAGTCCATGAAGCTTCATTACAATCTCTAACTCCCAATTAAGCAGACATTGATAATCCTGAAGCCCAAATGCCTTTAAATCCTGCTTCTTATACAATAAGAGCTGAAAGTCCATTGTGAGCTTCCATTATAAACTCTAATTCTTTTGATTATATTAAATGCTTTAATTTAGTTGTTCTTTTGGAAAACAATAATGAGGGCCTAAGAAGAAATTTGAACATCTAATTAAAATTTAATTTTATTTTAATTTTTTCTATATAAATAATTTCTTAGATTATATCCTAATTTAATTGACCACATGATTATAATTATATATATTATAGTTTATATACAGATTCCATTTTATTATTATTATGTTCAAAATTACTATAGTTTATAATAAAATAATAAATAAGTTAATGTAATTGCTATTTTTAAATAAATAAATATCATAATTTTTTATAAAAACTTCTTTATTCTTCTAAATCTGCAATATCATTAATTTATTACAATATAACACTACTATCAACTTTTGGATGCCTTGTTTACAAATAATTGAGTAATTTATCAGTTTTCTATTTGTTTATTAGGAAATATTACATTAAATTTAATTTATGATCTTAAGAACATATATTCAGATTCTCCAATCCATCGATCACATAATTATTTTTTATTTTCTAAAAGATTTTGAAATACAGGATCTAATTGTTTTTAATAAGGAATAGAAAATTTTGGTAATTCAGTATTATTAATAATTTATTTTTTCTTATGAAAACTTATAGGTTTAACAACACCTTAGAAATATTTATTTGTATAGGTTTTTGATAACAATTACTATTGTAAATACAAATCCTCCTTTCTTTTAGTTTCTGTTCTAATATTATCTGATTCTGGAAGTCTATCAGTAGATGATTTTTTAGCATTTTAATTTTATTAAAATATTTCAGGTAATTTAGTATTTTTGAAATTCTTTTTGACTACTACATCTCTTTGAATTTATCTTGGAGAATGTAAATCAAATTCATTAAATGTAAATTAAACTGGATTTGATATTGCAGTTTCTGAACTATTAATCCAATACATAAGATGTCTCCTTTAATCTAATGAAAATTCATAATATGGTCTTGTCAAAGCATCTTTAACTTCTTTCATTCTTAAAATTTATAAAATATTTGGTCTTTAATTTTCTCTTATTGTCAAACAGACATTAATAAGTTTGATTAAACCTGGAGAATATATATCAGGTATATTAATTTGTATTCGACCTCTCCTTAATTATTCTTTAACTTGATTTTCTAGAGTTGTTGTTGGGAATAGTAATTTTTATGAAACCATAAAATAAAGAATATGACCAATTTACCAAATATGTGATTTTTAAGTATAATGTCCTTCAAAAAAGTATTCATATGGTAAATAAATAGCAGCACAAGGTAATTAACAAAGAGTTTATCTAGAAGATTTATGGAAATCNTAGTTTATAATAAAATAATAAATAAGTTAATGTAATTGCTATTTTTAAATAAATAAATATCATAATTTTTTATAAAAACTTCTTTATTCTTCTAAATCTGCAATATCATTAATTTATTACAATATAACACTACTATCAACTTTTGGATGCCTTGTTTACAAATAATTGAGTAATTTATCAGTTTTCTATTTGTTTATTAGGAAATATTACATTAAATTTAATTTATGATCTTAAGAACATATATTCAGATTCTCCAATCCATCGATCACATAATTATTTTTTATTTTCTAAAAGATTTTGAAATACAGGATCTAATTGTTTTTAATAAGGAATAGAAAATTTTGGTAATTCAGTATTATTAATAATTTATTTTTTCTTATGAAAACTTATAGGTTTAACAACACCTTAGAAATATTTATTTGTATAGGTTTTTGATAACAATTACTATTGTAAATACAAATCCTCCTTTCTTTTAGTTTCTGTTCTAATATTATCTGATTCTGGAAGTCTATCAGTAGATGATTTTTTAGCATTTTAATTTTATTAAAATATTTCAGGTAATTTAGTATTTTTGAAATTCTTTTTGACTACTACATCTCTTTGAATTTATCTTGGAGAATGTAAATCAAATTCATTAAATGTAAATTAAACTGGATTTGATATTGCAGTTTCTGAACTATTAATCCAATACATAAGATGTCTCCTTTAATCTAATGAAAATTCATAATATGGTCTTGTCAAAGCATCTTTAACTTCTTTCATTCTTAAAATTTATAAAATATTTGGTCTTTAATTTTCTCTTATTGTCAAACAGACATTAATAAGTTTGATTAAACCTGGAGAATATATATCAGGTATATTAATTTGTATTCGACCTCTCCTTAATTATTCTTTAACTTGATTTTCTAGAGTTGTTGTTGGGAATAGTAATTTTTATGAAACCATAAAATAAAGAATATGACCAATTTACCAAATATGTGATTTTTAAGTATAATGTCCTTCAAAAAAGTATTCATATGGTAAATAAATAGCAGCACAAGGTAATTAACAAAGAGTTTATCTAGAAGATTTATGGAAATCTGTAATTCTAATTTAATATCCTTCAGTTCTTACTAATAGTAAAATATTTTCAGGAATTAATACTCTATGTTATATTCCAAGTTCATTTAATTATAAGAGAGCATATGCCATTTATAAAAAGAGTGACCAAATTATGCTTTCTTACATTTTGTAACCGATGTGTTGTAAAGTAAAAGTTTTAAGATCCCCTTAATCACAATATTCTTATATTATAACTAATTATTGTTCTTCATTTTCAAGATATTCAATTACTTACAATATAAATTGATTCTTAATTTGAGCTAACATTTTAATTGCATTCAATCCTCACAATCATTATAAACCATACCTTCATTTTTATTTTGTAGATAAGTTTTTTATATATAAGTCTGGTTATCTTGCATTGATCTTACTTTCTCTATTCTCACTTTTTTACTCTAATAAATTTCTTGAAGTATTTCGTAATTTAATTACATTATAATAATATAAATAAGAATTTGAAATATAATTATTAGAATGAGTATTCCTAATAAATATAAATTTAGAATATATATATATATATTTGTAGTAATTTAAATACATTAATTATTTTGAATAATTTATATTGTATATATATATATATATTCTAAATTTATATAAATAATAATAATAATGAATTTATTGATATAAGTTCTTTTAATGTTTGTTTTAAAAGCAGAATTAGATTATCCATATAGTTGTGATTGTTAGGAACATGATAATTAAGATAGTTGTGAATAACATAAATGTTTATGGGATGAAAATTAAATTGGAACTAAGAAATGTAGAGTTAAAGGTTGTTCTGAAAGAGGAAATAAAGTATTAAATAATGTTTATCTTAATTTAGGTTGCTGAATGTGTTGCTCCAAGTTAATTTTATTCAACTAATAGAACTTCTTGTTATCCATAAGGAATATAAACTGAAACATGTGAACCAATTTCATCATGTGAAGAATTAGATGTATCAAAAATAAGTCCATCTTATGCAAGACGTGTATGTAAAGTTAATTTTTGTGGATATAATAAAACTTCTAAAGGATGTAGATCAGTTTCTACTTGTAGTGATATTACTACTGAAGATGAATGCAATAATTTATTTATTAATGAACTTCCATCTTTATTTTAACCTATTGCTTATTGTTATTGGGTAGGAGATGTATGTATGACATCTACAAGATTTTTTGGAGCATGTGAAAATAGAAATATTAAAAATAAGAATTTATGTAAGACTCATGGTTGTTAATGGAAGGATAATAATTGTGTAAATTTAAATTGTTCTACAATTACAACAGATCTTTGTTCAAAAGAACATATTGATTCATTTGGCAATGTTCATATTTGTTCTTTAAAGAATTCTTAATGTAATTCAACATTATCTGCAGATATAAGAAAGGAAGACTGTGACAAAATGACAGCTCATACTTTTGATGAAGCAGCTTAAATTTGTAAACCTTGCAAATCACTTGCTAAATATTTAGAAAAATTAGCATCTTAATAAATTATTACAGAATCCTATAATATTATACTTATGCTTCACATAATAATGATTGCAATAATATGATTATAAAAATTTATATTAAATATAATATATGTAAAAAATTAAAAAGGTATACACTTTCTTAATCTTAGAGTAAATATCGTTTAAAAGATGTGATTGAAGGCAAAACAAGTAATGATGAAAAATCTGCTTAAAAATTTGTTTAACTTTCGCATATTAAAAAAAATGTTTAAGAATTTAACGAATTGAAATCAACACTTCAAGATCGTAAAGTTACATTTGCTAAATTTGCATTTCGATAATAAGAATTGATAGACGATAAGAAACTAGGTCCTGTATTGAAAGGAATATGTACAAGAACAAGAATAGGATCTATGTAAATAACTGAGTTAATACCAAAGTTCGATCTTTATAAATTTCTTAAATAAGCTCAGTAATTATATAATCTTAAAAAAGTTTAGAACCTTCCAAAAGAGTTCTTAGAAGGTATGCACATTGGGAATGGGATTAAGAATAAGAAGAAAAGAAAGAAGTTCCTCCTTCTTATAAATTTACTTCAAAAACAGAATTTGAGTATAAAAAGAAATTGGAAACAAAAGATGCTGAAAAAAAATTAAGAAAAGATATTATTAAAAAATGGGCTTCAAGTCTACCAGATGTTGCTGGATTAACTGCTTTTGGTAAATAATTTACTATGCAATCATCTCCACTTAGAAGTACTAAAACTACATTATCTAAAACTCATACTTATTTCAATCCAAATCCAAGAAGTGAATCACTTTTATTTGTTTCTGGTCTTATTCATGAATTAGATGAAATTAAATTAGACAACTTAAAAATAAGAAAGTATTATTAATATAAATAAAATTTAGAAAATTAAGAGGTACTCAAAGTTCCTTATAAAAAATAATAGAAAAGTAATAATAACAAAAAGTAGCTCATATAGAAATTAATGGAGAATGATTTACTTTATGTATTTATAATGATATAATTCTATATTACTTCTATTTAGAATTTATTATTTTTTTTTTAAGTAAATTGATTTTTTTTATATAACAAAAATACTTAAAACTAACAAAAAGGATTATAAATTATTAATTTTTATTAAATAATGTTTGTGGATAAGAATTTAGGGACCACTAAATAAAAGCAATAGAAAATTGATATTAGTGAAATAGGTAAGTAAAAGATATAATTTAAGAATAACTCTAAAAAAAAAAAGTAAAGTAAGATGCTAACATAAACCCTTATACAGGAAATTAATATTCAGATGATTATTATAAAATTTTAACTGTTAGAAAGTAGTTACCTGCTTGGGATGGTAAAATTGTTATATGATTCTTAATAGCTAAGGAATAATTGTTTATGTTAATGGAGCAATATCAAGTGATAGTTTTACAAGGAGAAACTGGAAGTGGTAAAACAACTTAAATACCACAATTTTTACTTGAGAAATATAGTAAAGGAAGAGGAATTGCATGTACATAACCTAGAAGAGTGGCTGCTATGAGTGTAGCAAAAAGAGTAGCAGAAGAGATGGATGTAGCACTTGGAGAAGAAGTTGGTTATTCAATTAGATTTGAAGAGAAAACATCAAATAAAACTATCTTAAAATATATGACAGATGGTATGCTTTTAAGAGAGTATTATTAATTCATTTATTTATTAATTAGAGCTATGCATGACCCAAAATTAGAAAGATATTCAGTTGTTATTTTAGATGAAGCTCATGAAAGAACTCTTAATACAGATATATTATTTGGACTTTTGAAAGAAATCATGTTAAAGAGACCTGAAGACTTGAAAGTAGTAATTATGTCTGCAACTATGGATGCAGAAAAGTTTTAAAAGTATTTTCATAATGCTCCACTTTTGGATATTCCAGGAAGAGTATATCCTGTAGAAATATTCTATACCTAAAAACCTGAAAAAAGCTATCTTGATGCAGCAATAAGTACTACAATTAATATACATGCATACGAAGATCCAGGAGATATCTTAGTATTTCTTACAGGAGAAGAAGTAAATAATAAAATTCTATTAATTTCTATAGGAAATTGAAGAAGCATGTAAAAAGATTACTTCAGAAATATAGAAATTGGGAGATGATGTTGGACCAGTTAGATGTGTACCTCTATATAGTACATTACCACCAAATTAGTAATAAAAGATATTTGAATCTGCTCCATAGCCAAATAAAAAAGGAATTCAAGGTAGAAAGATTGTTGTTGCAACTAATATTGCTGAAACATCTATTACTATAGATGGAATATGTTATGTTGTAGATCCTGGATTTTCTAAATAAAAAGTTTATAATCCAAGATTAAGAGTAGAATCATTACTAGCTTCTCCAATTTCAAAGGCTTCGGCTTAATAAAGAGCAGGTAGAGCTGGTAGAACAAGACCTGGAAAATGTTATAGATTATATACTGAATAATCATTTAATACAGAATTAATTGATAATACTTATCCAGAAATATTAAGAAGTAATTTATCATCAGTAGTTTTGTAATTAAAGAGATTAGGAATAGATGATTTAGTTCATTTTGATTTTATGGATCCACCTGCTCCAGAAACATTAATGAGAGCTTTAGAATAATTATATTATTTAAATGCATTAGATGAAGAAGGAAATCTAACTAAATTTGGATAATAGATGTCAGAATTTCCACTTGATCCATAATTATCAAAAGTACTTCTGAGTAGTAAAGATTTCTATGTTACTGATGAAATATTAACTATTGTAGCTTTGTTATCTGTTTAATAAGTATTCTAAAGACCAAAAGATTAATAATAATAAGCTGATGATGCTAGATATTAATTTGTACATTAAGATGGAGATCATATAACATTTTTAAATGTTTTTAAAGCATTTAAAGAACATAATGAAAGTTCTGATTGGTGTTATTAAAATTTCATTAATTATAGAAGTTTAAAATCAGCAGATAAAATCAAAACTTAATTAAGATAAATTATGTAAAAATAATAAGTACCATTAACTAAAACTGATCCATCAAATGCATTATATTATACTTATATAAAAAAAGCTTTAATTGCTGGTATGTTTATGTAAACAGCTCATCTAACTAAAAATGGAGCTTATATGACAGTCAAAGATAGTTAAATAGTTGCAATACATCCATGTTCTGTTTTAAATCATAAACCAGAATGGATACTATATTAAGAATTTGTGTTGACTTCAAAAAATTATTTAAGAACAGTAACTGATATAGAAGGAAAATGGCTTTATGAAATGTGTCCAGAATATTTTAATCCAAAAACTATAAAAAATATTGAAACAAGAAAGGAATTTGAAAAAATAGAGAGATAAGTAATTATATTAGAATATATTTTAGGTCTTAGAAGAATAGAGAAAGAAGCCTGATCTATTAACTGTTGAATAAATTTAAAGATTGCATAAAGATATAAAATCAGAAAGAACTTAATCAGTATCTTCATCAAAAACTATTCAAAAGTGATCAAATTTTCATGTTGTATTTAATAATTATGTTTATAATATATTTATGATTGACTTAATATATATATCCTCTTAATTTTCTTAATTATGTTTTATAACATTATTATTAATTAATTCATATTGATTTATATTTTATATTTATATTCTTTTTTAAATAATTATTATTATATAAATAACTAAAATGAAAAATAAAAAGATTATTTATATTAATAAATATATAATATTTGTAAGTATTTCACCTATGACTTCTAAAAGAGATATCTTTAATACTAACATAAATTATAATATTTACTTTCCTAATTCACTAAATATTCTGTTTTGTAATCTCATAGCATTCTATATTTTCATATCAAGTTCTGCTTCAGTCAATTAAGTATTTGAGGATAAATTAGATCTTGAAATTGTATCATGAGTGACTCCTGGTTTTGTCAGATTATTTTATGAAAATGTTTTTGCAGGAACAGTTAATAATGTAGAATTTTATTATTCTATTTTTGGACTTTTGATACTTTATTAAGCTTATTATGGTGTTTAGGGTAATACTTAGATTTATTACTAATCATGAACTATTGATCTATCATCTATAAAGTTAGCTGCAGAAACAATTTAATCTTTCTGAACATGTTATGCAAGTTATTATTTTGGAGATTCCTTTTAATTAGCTTAGATTTTTTGTTGATTTAAGAATAATTTTGTACTAATCACTTGATAATTAGAAATAGCTTTTGTTAAATCAGCATCCCAATCATCAATACTAATTGATTTTGAATTTAATTATTATTATTGTTTTTCTGCTAATTTTATAATATTTTATAGATTTTATTATGTTTTTTCATTTACAAATTTATCAAAGGAACATTTTCCATCTTATTCCATTGCTTGTAAAATATTTAGATCTGTTAATTCTACTTCTTTTTCTATTAATTTACAAACTTCTAAACTTTTATATAATAGAATTGATATTTATTTATCAAGTTTTCTAAGTTATTTAATTAACCATTCTCCAATAATATTACATTCCCAAGCTTAACGTACATGTTAAAGTCGTCCTTCTGGTAAATTAATCTTCTTAATTTGAAATTTATGAAAATCTTAAATAAAAGTCTTAAATATTTTCCATTCTTCAAATTACTTTTAAGAATAATAACTTAAATATTCAACAATTTATTATTATGTTAAGATTTTTTTAGGTTCTATTTCAGGAGCCAATTGCCATTTAGATTTTCTTGGAGCTTTTCTTAAACCATAATATTTTAAAATTTTCTAAAATATATCAACAATTTAATCACTTTCCTCTTTATTAAATTATTTCTCAACTAAAAATTCAACAACTTCATCTAATGTAATTGTCCTTACATCTAAAGATATGCTTGATAAATTTTAATTTCTAAAGAATCTTGAATTATTAATTTAGTCAACTTTTTATTCCTTATATAAAAACAAATCTATTTAAAATTAATTAAAGAAATCAATTCTTTCAGCATTATAATTAATAGCATTAACATATATATCTTTAACCTTTTAAAATTTTAACAAGATATATTGTAAAGGTGTTCTTTATAAATTTTTTGACCAAACTCTTTTAATATTTATTAGAGTATTTCTCTCTTATATCAAATCGATATATTATTAAAGTTTAGTCTTAGAAAGTATTGATTTTTCTGTATTTTCTAAATGTTTAAGGCAAACTTTGAAAGCTTTCCATCCTTCTCCAAGAAAAGGATAAAGAGAAAATTTAATATAAACATTTCTTTATTTAGCAGCATTAACACTTAATAAATTTTTGATCTTATATTTAAGTTTAAAATATTTTTAAGCATTATGTAGAAATGCATTCAAATCTAATAGAAATGAATCCATATTTGCTAGTTTAACTAAAAGCATATCTTTAGGTGAATCTCCCATTTTAACATTCAAAAATAAAATATCAATATCACTTTTTAAGAAGTTTTCATCATAATAACAAAATTTAAGAAATTTCATCATGTTTTCTTTGGATATATAAATTTAATGATATTATTGCTTTTACTTTTTTGATTATCTTTTCTTATTAGGTAAATTTTCAATTTATTAATTTGGTTAATTTTATTTTTATATAGTCAAACCCATTTCATAAGCTTTCTTTATTAATTCTTTTTTATGTATTTTAGGATTTTCAGTTGAAAATTTGTAATCCTAATCAAACAATCCTTTTTTTATCAATCCTTTCATAAATCTTTTAAATATCATTGCATATTCAATATTCATTCTCTAATTAATTATAATTAAATAGTTATACAATTCCTTTAGTATAAAATTCTTATCTTTCCTCTTTATTCATTTCTTTCAATATCTTAATGTATTATTCATCAACCATTTTCCTTTTTCTTTTAGATAATTTAAGTGTTTGAAATGGTACAAATACATCATCATGTTCTAAAACTGATTATCCTCCCTTTGGAAACAATTTTTACACATAAAAGAAAGGTTGAACCAAATGTTCATCAAGTTATTTCTTGTCATTTTTAGTATATTGGATATCTGGTTCTACATCAATAATTGGACACTTTTTTCCTTATACTTCCATAAATTCTTTATCTCCATATTGATATGTTGCAGGTTAAGGAATAGATGTTTATGTTTTGGCTCTTTTTTATTTACTGGGAATTGGATGTATTACACCTAATTTTTTATGATTAAATTTTGTAAATCGAAATCGCTATGGACTGACACTAAATTATTTAAGCACTCTTTATATAGTTTCTTCTGGTTTTGCTGATTATGCTCTCTTCTTTTTTCTCATATAATCTACATTCATAAGCACAGGTGGCATTTTTTAACTGAATATTTATTTTAAACTAATATATTATTAAATTTGGGAACTAGAAAAAATAAATATATCTAACTATTAAACATGAACAAAATTAATGAATTAATAATTTTTTTATTTCCTTATTAGTTAATGATTCCATTAATACTATAATTAAGTGTTGTAAAACTTTAACTCTATTTTATAAATTTTATGTTGTATAAGATAAATAATCTATATATTTTATGCATTTTAATATAAAAATAAATGATATATATGATTTATATTCCTCTATATACTCATATTAATTTAATTTGCAAAAATAAAAAGTTCCCTTTAGATATTGATATTAAATGTAATTTTAGAATAGTTAATCGTATTTGAAATTAACATAAATTCTAATTTTTCATATTTTATTTTTTAAATAACAATATAATTATAAGATTATTGACAAATAATATATATATTCTAAATGTATTATTAATTCATATAATAAATTACAATATACATATTTATTTTGTAAGTATATAATTTTAATATTAAATATAAAAATAGTATGGATTAACAAATAAAAAAAGAGGATGATGAATTTTAAATAGATGAGATCAAGTATTAAGTAAGTTCAGCAAAAGTAGATGGAAAGGAATATTATTTGTATGAATACAAGAAAGAATTGAATAAAGATGAGAATGATAAATTAAATTAATTCTTGTAAAAATTAGAAATTGGATTAAAAGGAGAGGAAGGAATGGAAGGTGTGATGAGTATTTGTAAAGGATGGAAAAAGGAATGTGAATAAAAGTAATTTTAATGATATTAAGTATTGTTTAATTAAAGAAATTACAAAAATTTAAACACAATTTTCATGAAGAGGTTTTTTTCTTACTAGTTTTAAAATTAAACTATAATTGAGCTTAAGGATAAAGGGCTTCTTTATTATTTTTTTCCTTTATAAGAACATTTTCTAAACTCATTTTTTAAGATTTATTAGGCTATAATAAGTTTTAAGAATACTCTTATTCGATTAACTGCATTTTCAGTATTAATTTTTTAAGCATAGACTTATGTATCAAATATTCTTGGTTCTTCAGATTCATTTTCATCTTCCTCTTCTACTTTAATTAGATTTTTTTATTATTCTAATTCTCTTATTTTATCGAATAAAGTTTTCTCTCTTAGACTCTCCTGATAATCCAAATATTTCTATTAATTATAACAGAAATTGATACTTTCTAATTATCTACTTTCTATTCTTTCGAACTAGTTTCATCTCCTGAATCATCACTAAATGCAAGGTCTGCTTTATTATAATCATCTTCTTCTTCCTAAGATAAAAGGATGGTTAAAATAAAAACTTTTTTTATGATTTAAGTATCTACATTAGTTTTATTTTTCTTTACTATAGGAGGTTCGTATTCTTTAGGGTTATCTATTTATTATTTAATTTATGGTTAGACATATTATTTGAATCTAGTATCATTTCCATCTTATATTGCTTTTAAACATTTTTACCATAGCTAAGAAAGTATTCATTGTAATACATCTTTAAAAGTTTGGATCTCAGATTCACTCATTTATAATTATCCTTTATCAGAATTTTTCTTTAATTTTCCTATTACTTCATTTATAATGTTTTCATATTGATTTTATGTTTCTTGAGCTTATTAATCCATTGTTTATGAATTTATATGATTTTTTTTTAATTATTTATTAAAACAAATTTAGATGGTTTTTTACTTATAAATGGAAATATAAACAAATAGTACATTTATAATCTTTAAATGTATATGATTTAAGTAACTTAAACTATATTACTAATATTTTCATTATAAAAAATATATATAAAAAAATTATATTAACAGTTATGATCAACTAAATAAGGGAAGAATAACCACCATTAAATTTGATAAGATCACCTCAATTAGGAGCATTTCAAGGTCCTCGTATAGCAGAATCAATAATAAATCAATAACCAAATGTTATTGGAGGTGGAATTGAAAATACAAGACAATATTGGAATGAGAAAGAATAAAATTGGTTAAGATTAAGTGTGAATTTGAATCCTTTAGCATTTGCAAATTATGAACTGTTTAAAAGTGCAAATATAGATATCTCAGAATCTCCAAATCCAGTATAATGTATATTATGCTTCATCTTAAAATTTATCATTCTCATTCTTTATTTCTTAACTCCTTACTATCAAACAATGAAACTATATGAAGCAATAGTTATATTGGGAGCAGTTGATTTTTGGATAATCAAAAATATTAGTGGAAGGTATGAAAATACATAAATTAGGAAAATTAGTTGGACTACGTTGGTGGGTTGAAATAAATGATTTTGGAAATGAAAGTTGGGTTTTTGAAACATCAACTTAAGAAAAAGGAGAAATTTAAAGAATTCATAGTAGAATATTTTGGTTTGTATAATTATTTATGTTTTTGATGTTTGTTGGGATGTTTATAATAAATGCATCCTAATTACAAATAAGTATCTCAATATGTATGTTTTTTCCAGCAGCATTTACAGGATATAATTTATATGCTTTTAATTTATGTAATAAGATTAAAAGATCAAAATTAGGAGAATCATTTTTGTAAATGAGTGCTGGAAGAAAATCAGTCAAAATGCCATTAAAATTAGAATGATAATTTATTATTAAATATATTAATGAATTAAAAAAAAGGAAAGGCTATCCCTATGTAAACACTTAGTTTTACAATCACAAATCAATTACCTCAAATACAAACCCAATCTTTGACTTAAGTTAATAATCAAATTTAAACTGTCCAATCAGCTAAATAACCTCCAAAACCATAAAAAATGTTTTCTGATTATATGAAACAATTAATGTAAAATCCAGAAACAAAGAAAATCTATGAAGATGCAAATAATAAAGTTGCAACACCTTTAATTGAAGACTAAAAGTAATAATAATAATAATAATAATAATAATAATCAAAACCATTTTCAATTAAATAATCTTAAACTTCTAACAGTTTCACCACTAATGGTAATTCAACCAAAAAACCATTTAATTAATTTTATGAATAATCCAAAGTTAGAACCATCAATGAATCAATTCCCAGACCTTAATCAGAGAAAAGATAACAAGATAATCATAGTTATGTTTCAACACAAAAATCTGAAGAAATATCTAATGAAATTGATAATAAGAGTGTTAAATCTGAAACATTTAGTATTTCTAAATCTTCATAAGATCTACCTGATTCTAATTCTAAATATGTCAAAAAGAAAAGATAAGAAATTAAATTTGATTCTGATGTATGGGTTAAAAATGAAGCACCTAAATATAAATTATAAAATAAAGAATACAAGGATATTATGAATTAAGTTGAATAAATGGTGGAATCAAGAGAATTATCTAGATAAAAATAATTAAAAGAATTTGAAGGCTTTATTGATAGTAGATAGACATCTAGAACATAAAATAAATAATAAATTAATGAAGAATAAGAATTGGAGAATCAAATTCAAATGTTAGCAATTGAATTAGATTAAGTAGAAAAAATTGAATTAGAACAAAAAACAAAAAGTGATATACAAAGATTTTAATAACTATTAGATAAACCATTAGAAAATGATTCCTAATTCTCATAATTATCACTTAAATAAAGATCTATGTTTATTACAGAATTATTACGTAATAGAGAATAATTTAAGGCTAAAATTACAGGATAATAATCAGAATCTGAATCTCCCCTTAAATTTTAGAAATTAGATAATTAAGAATAATATATTGAATAAATTGAAAAGAAAATTGAAAAGTAATAAGAAAATTTAGAAAAAATAGCAAAATGTAAATTACCTAATGAATATTAATTAAGATTGGATTCATTATTATTAGATATTGATAATTTTAAACAAAATTCAATTAAAAATTATTCAAATCCATTTTAAATTCCTAAAGAAAAGTTAATAGAAATACATAAAAAAATTAAAAAACTCAATCCTAAATTTGTAGAAGATGCTGATCTAGAATTTGACAAGAATTGTATGCTACCAAAAGATCCTATTTTAAGAAAGGAAGCTATAGATAGAATCCTGGAAATAAAAACATAAGAAGTTAACTCAGAAATCTTACAATTAGTTTCTAAAGGAAATAGTTTAGAAGAGAGACCTAAAATGTAATAATTGATTGAATAAATAAAAAAGAAAACTTCATATACTCCAAGTGAATTCTTGAAATAAAAAATGAAATAATTTGATGAGCTTTCCAAAAATAGTTCAAATTGTGCTTAAGAATTAACTACTATATAATGTAATTCAATGTTAAATGAATTCTCTGAATATAAAAAATAGTTAGATATAGCAATAAAATAGAATTATGAATTATTAAATTAGAGTAAGGAATAAGATCTATCAAATGAATTAGAGGTCTTACATGAATATTAACAAAAAGTTTAAAATCTATAAAATGAATACTAATAAGTCCAAGATTTTATAGAAAAATTCACTTTGGATTACTCATTACCTACTATTAAAGAAGAAGATGAATAAAATGAAGATTTGAAAATTTAAATTGAATAGCAAACATAACCTCTCTAATCAATTGAAGAATTAGACTAGGAAATTACAAGAAAAGTTAGAGAATAGCATCCAGAACTTTTTGAAGAATGATATATATATATATAGAATAATTATTTATATTTTATTTGAAATAGAAATAATGAAGTCATATATAAGTATTATCAATTATGTTAATCCATCTAAAATTTTAAATAAGCTAATCTTTTTTTAATATCTTCCCTCAAATTATTTGTTGAATCCTCTTAAATTAATCTATATTTTAATATATTAATACTATTAATCTAAAATATCTTTATCTGGAGAGTTTTGTGTATTAAAATTTAATCTATTGATACTTAATAATTTGTTTTCTGACATTTACTCTGGTTATGAACTCTATCGCCGACTTGAGTACACCTCCAAAACAGGATTATCTTTTAAAACTTTAATTTATATAAAAATAATAAACATACTGTTTTATATTTATATTCTCTATTGTTTACTCTATTCTAAGTAATGCATTTCTAAATTTCGAATTCTTTTCTCATAATCATTTACTATTTAAGAATATTCTTTTTATAAGGTAATGTATTTCTCTTATTATTCATTAAAAATGGAACTATTAATTTCTAATTATAATTTTAATTTTTAGTATTCTTAATTACAAAGTTCAATTGGTTCTATAAATAATAATATTAAATATTACAACAAATTGGTTATTTAAATTTTTGTATTTATTCTTCAATTAATTTATTTTGTTCTTTCAATATTTGCAGCTCATCTTAATCTATGGGGTAATTTTTTAACAATTATTTATATGATATCAACTCTTATTGCATATGATCACAAAATATAAAATAAATATATACTATTGCACTTGTAATTCATCTTTAATTTAATTTTAATTTGCTTATATCATTTAATAGTTATTTAATTCTTATTCATTTATTTTGAGTTATTGTAATTTATTTTAATAAATTTAATTTAATTCAATAACCTCAACTGATTATTATTAATCTATGAATTATAATTTTGAAATTTAACAACTTTATTCTTGGTCAATAAGAATTTATTATTTCAATAAATTACTCAACCAAATCATTAAAGATTAATTGATAATTCTTCTATTATATTATAAATTTATTAAATTGCCATTTTATTTTTAAAATTTTTTGTAACTTGCATTTCCCTTTAATGCATAGAATACTTAAATAAATATGTATATAATACATTTTTTAATTTGTTTGAATTAAGTCCTTTCTTTTATCTTTTCCCCTACCATTATTAATTATACTTTAACATTGTATTAATAAGACCATCTTTTCCAAAAATATTATTTAATAAAATAAGGTCTATTTAATTGTATTTAATTTTATTTGAATGCTATACTTTTACAATATTCTTTTATTTAAACAAACATTTTTATTAATTTATGTTAAATTCTATCCTGTATAATGATTTAATTTCTTTGTTAATAATATTTCAAATTTATTTAAAGAAATCTAAATATATTTTTTCTTGTTATCAATTTTTTTTTTTATTTTAAATAATTAGTTAACTTGCTTTCAATTACTTTTCTATTTAATATTTGATATTTCCATTTACTAAAACATTAAATATTTTTATTTACTTGAATACTTAAAATTATCGTAATAAATCTAATTATTATCCAACATATTTTTATGAATTTTAGAAATCTGTTAATTAATAATTATTATGCAAATAAAGTTATTTTAGTCTATTAAAATATTTAAATAACAATTTTTAAGAGCAAAATAAAATGGCTTAATTCCAATTTTTATGAAATTATTTTTTTGTTTATATATGGTTTTTCCATAGTTTCCAATACAAAATTGTAATCCTTAATTCTTTAACCTAATTAAATTAAAAAAGACTTGATTTCAATATTAAAAATCGTTTCCATTAATAATAATATTATTACAATTTATTTTTTTTTAATTTCTAAGTAAAGTTGTTAAATAATTTTAAAAATTTTGTAGCTTTTTACCAACCTCTAATGAAATTTAGTTTTAAGTTCTAATTCCTTTGTTTAATTGCAAGTTAGAGTTTGTGATCATCTGTATATAATTATGTTATAATCTCTAAATAATCATTTGTGTAAGGTTATATGTCTCTTATTTATGCTAGTTATTATACTAAATTATGAATTTTTAATACTTTTTTAGTTAGAGGAATGATAACTTTATGTAATTTGTTCATAAGATTATTATTTTTCTAAAAAATTTTGATTTATTTTAGACAAATTATCAATATCTGTAGTTTATGTAATGATTTGCTATTTTAATTTAGATATTTATAGATTTTATTACTTAATTTGTTTGTTAAGAGTTGCAATTAATTTATCACCATCATCTTTATTTAAGGATCTTATAGGTGGAATATTTAATTGTTCATTAGATAAATTATTAAAATATGCTGAATCCTTACTGTAGATACTTCCAATTGTAGATATTTCTTATATTTTGTTAGTAACATGATTATTATCTCTATGTGATTTGGTTAATAATTAACTTGATGACAGAGACTTATAAATTGATTACTCTATCTTATTAGCACTCGATTCTCTTGAAAGGTATTTGTTTTTTCCAATAAAATTTACATTGTTAGTAAACTTCAAAAGTTTACGGTTGATTTTATAATCGTTTAATTACATTATTAATATAATATATTTAGAAGTATTTTTAATAGAAATAAGACTTAAAAAAAAAAACTTAGTGATGTTTAATTGTTCTAATAGTTTCATAATCATTATGAATCTTAAATTTATGAATAATTATATGTAAATTAGATAGTGTTAAAATAATCATATGAATAATTATTTATTATCTCAATCCCAAAAAGATCGCAGTTATTTTATATTTATAGAATTGATGGAATCTCTGAGAGTGTGATCATTATTAATAAATAATTCTAATAGCAATATAAATTTAATATAAATCTATTAAAAAATGTTATAACTAATGGACTTGGGAAAAGGAACTAAAATAGAAGCTTCAACACCTGAATTTGTTAATAGATATTTCGAGATAAAAAAATAATTGGGAAAAGGAGGAGAAGGATAAGTTTTTTTGGCAAAACCATATTTTTGGAATAAGGATTTTGATGTTGCTTTAAAAATCTCAAACTAAATTAAAGAAACTGAACTTTAATTCATCTAAAAATTAATATCAATTTAGAATGATATCGAACAATAAGGATTTAAATCCTAAATATATACTAATATTATAAGAATTTATGATTCTTTTTAATTTGATCAATACTCTGCATAGGTGATGGAAGTTGGAAGTAAGAATCTTTTTACATATATGAAAGATAATTAAAATAAACTAAGCAATCTTTAGAAATTTAAAATTTGTAAATAAGTATTATTTTTTTATCTATTTAAGTTACTTAATGCTATTTATTTCATTCATAAAGAAGGGTTGATACATAGAGATATTAAAGGAGAAAATTTCATTTTAGTAAATGAAGAATTTAAACTGATTGACTTTGGATTAATGAGTTTAAATAATAGGATGATGACTTCAAAACAAGGTACTCGTATTTTTTAAGCCCCTGAAATATTTGAAGAAGAAGGACATTACACATAATCATTAGATATATGGGCACTTGGATGTGTGTTTTATGAAATAATTAAAGAGGAAGAATTATTTCCTTGTACTAGGATGTTATTTTCTCTTGAATAAATCAAAAATCATAAAAGAGACTAAAGGTATGTTTATTAACTGATTGATGGACTGAGAGTATGTATTGAATGGAAGGATTTATTAAAATAAATGCTCCATCCTAAATAATTTGATAGAATTAAAATAGAAGAAGCTATAAAGAAAGTGAATTATTGCATAGCTAAAGAGGAGAATAATGGGATGGCAAAAGAATTGGTCAATAATTTTCAAATAAATAATGATTAATAAAATGTAATTAAGTTTGAATTAGAATAAAAATTTAATCTGTAATAATAGGAATTAAATAAAGTAATTAGGGAAAAAGATTTACTCATTAAAACATTATAAAATAAAATTGAATAATTAGAAAATGATGAAAAATAATATTAAGATGATATAGAATCATTAAAAAAAAAAGTTAATAAATTTGAGTAAGAAAGGAATAAATTGGAATAAGAAAAGGAAAATTATGAAGAACAATTTATACAATATTAATAGTATTCTCAAAATTTGTAAAATTAAATGAATTATCAAATAACATAAATCAATAATTAATAAACCTAATAATTTAATTAATAAAGATAGATTTTGGAGAATGATATAAGAAATCTAAGAAACAGAGTACAATAATTGGAATAAGAAAATTAATAATTATAGAAAAAACTCAATTAATCAAAAGATGAAGAAAATACATAAAATTCTATTAATAAAGAAATTATATTTTTGGACAAATTAATTAAAGATATAACTAATGAAATTTCAAATCTAATGAATTAATTAGAAAGCTTTAAAAATATTAAATAAATATTAGCTTCAAATAATACATTACTTAATTCTTAAATTGAAGAAATAGAATAGTAGTTAATAGATAAAAACTTAAATTTATCAAACTATGAAAAAATTAAATTAGAAATTTAAAATTTAGATTAAAGTTAATAGAAATAATAATCGTCAGATGTACTTAAAAATAATTTTGATATTAAAATATAATCAGACATAACATCTCTTTAAAAACAATAAGGCATATAATAATTAACAAATTACAGTATTAATAATTCATTTGATTTAGATCCATAATCACAAATACAATATTAAATTAAACCACCTTTTGGAAATTTTTAGATGTAACCATTTCCACCATAAGGGTATCCACCATAAGGGTTTCCACCATAAGGGTTTCCACCATAAGGGTTTCCACCAAAAGGGTATCCATCTACTCCGTATTAGAATATGATGAATTCATAAATTTAACACAATTAGAATTAATTTTGATTTCTATTAATAAAATAATAAAAGTGGATAATCTATTAGAATTACATTTTCTTCCTATACTTACACATCTAAACATGAATTGCTCATTTGGAAATAAATTTCAGCAGTCCATAATTTATGATGAATAACAAAGTAAGTCTTATATTAATTTATTTAATGAAAAAAATGATTGTGATTAACAATTCATATGTAAAATTAATAATATCATACAAATTTTACAATATGCTTTACCATATGTATTTGAAAAACAATTCAAAATGATGAATAATATGAAAAATATAATAATTCCAAAAGCTTTCAAATTGGAATTTACAATTGATTAAGTCACAAAATAAAATATAATAATGCCCTTTAAATTATTAAGTAGGGATAAATTGATACTAAGTCCAATGTTTTGTGATTTTTACACATATCTAGAGACGATTAATAACAAATAATCTGCAAATTATGAAATTAGTTAAATAGATGCTGATGAATATTATATAATTCTATTATTGTGGAACCTTAGAGAGATCTTAAATTATTAATACAAAAATCATGCTACATTTGAAATAATACTATTTCCTTAATCGTATTCATTTGGAATATGTAAAATTGAAGATAAAATAGAATAATATTATTTTTATTCGCATTCTAAATTTCAACAAATATCTAACAATATTAGTTAAGCATTAAAATTAAAAAAAATAAGTGAATTATAAATAAATCTATTTGAAATTTATTAATTTGATATAACTATAAAAAATGGATAATATATAGAGAAGAAATTTAGATAAAATGAAATTATGAGATAATAGTTTGACTAAAATATAATTGATGAAATAGAAATAAAATATGGGATTAAAAATTAAAATGGTTTTTAAATCAGAAGTAGAAATTCAATATAGATTTAAAGTACTTTATGTCTAACAGGTAAAATATAGGAGGATTAAAATCATATAATCATATTTAAATAAAATAACAATCCAAAATGTGTTTGTGGAAAAGAAATTGATCCATATAGTAGTGACACATTAATAATAGATTAGTATTTAAAAGAGGCTGTTGATTAAATTACTTTAGAATTATAAATGGATTTCAAATTAGATTATAGAATATTTCTTATACCATTATTTTTGGAAATTGAAATAGACTAACATGAAAATGAATGGATTATATTATTTTTTAAAGATAAAAATAATAATAAAGTTTAATTGAAAAAATAAATGTTTAAAGTTAAGATGTACAATGAAAATATAGATTTAAATTAAGATATTGAAGAATATTAAGATAGATTATTTGAGGGAATTGATACTGATGATAATTAAGAATTTTATATGTAAATGGATAAAAATACACATACTAAAATATTAAAAGAATAAGATATATAATTTGTTTGTAATGATGATGATGGATATTATAAAAATTGATATAATATTGAAATAAGCAATATGATTGTAGTTATAAATTAAATTAAATAATTAATTAATGTTAAATAATATTGGATATCTAGCATATATATCAACAATGGGGATATTGTTGATAGCAACTCCATCTTCTTTCATTAAAAAGGGAGATTAAGAATAAGAATAATCATTAATCAACATCTAGTTATTAGGATTACTCTAAACTGAATTAGTAATTAAATAATAATAGTACTTAGGGATTAAGAATATGTGGTTTATATCATTTAATATTATTGGCTGCATAAATACTTAAGTAAGAATAAGTGAAATTCATTTGTTTAAATGTTTATGCACTATTTTTAGTATCAACAATAGGAAGCCTATTTTTTGATGGAGTTGGCTAAATATAATCAGAAAGACTTGAGAGGTATGATTTATATATATATATATAATTAGATTTGGATACTAAGCAGGTATATTCAGTTTTATTGCTTATTATAATTGGCCATAATAATAATAAGAGAAGAAAGACTCAAAAGTGGAAGATTAAAAAAGTGAAGTTTAAACAACATAAAAGGTTGAATAGACAAAAGAAAAAGAAAAGAGTAATGAGAATACATAGAAAGATTAAAAATAAGGAAAAAAGAAAGGTAAAGCAAAGAATGAATGATTCATATTACACATAAATGTCAATATAATTATTTCATTCAGAGTAATCATATTCTGCTTTATTATGCATAACTAATTAATCTCCAACAAAGTAGAAACTATCAGATTTTGTTTCAAATGGATTTTCTATCATTTCTTGACGCTTTTTATTAATATTATATTATACCATAGCTTCATCAATTTCTGGAATTGTGTAAATATGTTCCCAAGTATTAGTTGAATTAGGAATACAAAATGGAAATTAGAATTCATAACATCTTAATAAATGATCTCTAAAATAATGTCTTTCAATAATAGTAAAGTTTTTGACAGGATCTTTTCCAACAGAGAATGTTAGTTAAGCACCTACTGTTTTCAATTCAAAAAACTATGGTCCAAACTAATATTTAATTCTTCTGGCCTCATCTTAATATTCAACTGGTAAATTTTCTTATGTTTAATTAATTTTATACCTATTGGTTATTCATCTGGATCTCTTTCTACTTCAAATAAAACTTAACCTGAATCCATATCACGAATTCTAAATTTCAAAAATTAGATGTTGTAAATATTTGCATTTATTGGACATAGAAAACTAAATATTAATATATATATACTTAGCAGTAGGTCCTGTTAAAGATTTTACATATGCAGGAGTCACTTATTACATATTTATTTTATATATTAATAATATTTGTAATACTCAATTATACTATATATAAATAGACATTTCTAAATGTATTTTTAATTTTATAGATATATTCCATCTAATCAAAATATTTATATGATTATCTATATTTCAATTTAAAATATTATTCTTTAAATTGATATAATTTAATTTATCATAATTGTATCAAATATCAAATTTTAGCTAATTCTTATTCTGCAGAATTTTCTTTTATACGATAAATAAATTAACCATTTTCAAAAATTAATCTATCTGTTAATGCTTAGTAACAATACCAAAAAGAATTAAAAAAACCAATCAAACTGCCTAAACCAAGATCTATTGTTTTCCATATAATTGATTTTATCTTAAAAATATTCACTAAACTAGGCTAAATTGTATATAAAATATTTTACAATTATCAAACAAACTGCTAAAATTGCTGTATAGATATATATGGAGTACAAAGATGAATTAAAATTGCTATTAATTCTAATTGCTAGTATAATTATAATCAGATTATATATAAACATTATCCAAATAGGGATATTAAAGAATATCATTATATATAGTTCCACATTATCATTATAGATATCAAAGAAACATTTTGTTTGAGGCATTGGATAATCTTGACCATATGCATCAATAATAATTGGTCTTTTTCACAAACAATACATACATTATAGATATTAATAAGGGTATTCCATAGCCTAATCCTGGATAATATGACTGCATGTACTGATTTCCTTCACTCTCTTTTAAGGAATGAAATAAACTATGAATTATAATTGAAGTCCATAAAGTACTAGATAGAACACAATAGACAATGAAAAATGACTAGGTATAACATATAACAGGTTTCTCACTCAACTGAAAAGTAGTGTTTCTCAAAAACAAATATCCAATTGAATCACCAAATAGTATAAAATCAAATATTAGATTGAATACAATAATCTATAATACAATAGTAAATTGATCATTCCTTAATTCTCGAAAGCTTCCATAAATATATATTAGAAATCCACAACTTATAATTGAAAATAGACTTAAGATTATTATGATTATTGGAACAATTAAATCATTCATGATAATATATAATTAATAAACAATTAGATTAATTCATTCAGAAAATGAGTTAAATGAGTGAAAGACAGAGTCTCGGTCCGAAGTTAATAGTACGAGCGAACTCTCACTGTACATCTCGTAATGTCTAGGAAGCAACGACTAATGGCTAATAGTCTATCTATGTTTACCAAAGAAGTCTCAATTGATTCCTAAGTTATGAATTATTTGTTTTTATTATTATTATTATTAATGAGTTAATAGAATTCAAATCACCTGTATTTAGTGAACTCAATTATCTCAGCTCCCACTGATCAATATTAAAAGAGACAATTTCACATGGTCAAATTATTAGGAAGAGGAACTGAAGGAGCTGTTTATACAGTAAAGCCTATCAATTGCTAATATTCTAAAAACATGGCCTTGAAACTTTAATTAAATATAAAGGATTCCGAAAACTCTTTTATTCAGGAATTGATGAGTTATTAACAATAATTTGACCAAGATCCAATAAATGCTTCAGGAATAATTTCCATTTTTGAAAAATTTAAATATCAAAATTATCATGCATTACTTATGGAACTTGGTGGATTAAATCTATATGATTTTATTCAAACCAATAAAAATCTATCAATCTAAGAAAGATTTGCCATTTGTTTTGATGTACATAATAACTCATATAATTTTTAGCTTTTTAGACCTATATATTTTATACACCAAAAAGGCAAATTTCATAGAGATATCAAACCAGAAAACTTTATTCAAGTTGGAAATAAATTTAAATTAATTGATTTTGGCTTAATAAAAGGTGCTTCTAAGGATTTACAAAAAACTAAAGGGATTGGATCATATTATTACTAAGCTCCAGAACTTGTTGAATAACGGACTGATTATAATGAAAAAGTAGATTGTTGGGCCTTAGCTTGCGTTTTTTATGAATTACTATCTGGTGAAACATTAATCAAATGTATCAATTATAAATTAGATGTTAGCTGATACTGAATAAGGGATAATGCATGAAATCTTATAATTTAAATTATAAAAGGAGTAATACTTTTAAAGAATTGATAAAATATAAATCCATTAAGATTGTAAAGAAGCAATAAAGAAGATGCTGGATCCTAACTAGAATAAACGTTTATCTATCTTTGATGCATTATCAACTTTTTTAGATCATTAAGAAAATCAACAGCCTAATTACTAAAATGCATAGCCACCAATAATTTAGAACTATAATTAATAAGTTAATTTAACCCAAAATAATCCTCTTTTATAAACTTAATAATAAATGTATCAGAAATAACAAAATATCTAACCTAAGGTGTAATAATAATAATTATAATATAATAATATATAACCATAATAATTAAAATAATAACCATCATTATTCCAATAATAACCACCATTATTACAATAATAGCCACCATTATTACAATAATAACAGCCTTTATTGCAATAATAACAGCCTTTATTGCAATAATAAACACCATTATTGTTATAATAAACACCTTTATTACAATAAGCAGTTTCAAATGTATCAATAGAATAATATGCATAATATTTCATAAATGAAATTATTAATTAAATATTACCTTCTTAAAATTAAAATTAGAGAGCAAATTAAGAAATTCAAAATCAAAATTATGAAAATATATTTGAAATTGAGTTTTAAAATGCTGAGAAGGATATACTTGATGTTTGTAATTAAATGAAAAAGGATATAAATGTAAAGAAAAATTAAGAAATGGATGATCTATAAAAAAAGTCAGAAGCAAAAATATAGGAATAAGAAAGTGAAATAAAAAATAATAATCAATAATTAGAATAAAAAGAATAAGTGATTTCCAAACTTTAATAATAAAATTATGATTTAGAATAAAAAAATTAAGTTTTAGAATAAAAAAATTAAGATTTAGAATAGTAAGTTCAAGAAATGAAAAAATAATTACAAAGATAAAATTAGAATTATTAATAAGAAAATTAAAATCAAGATCATAAATAATTATAAGATCCTAACTAATAATAAAGTAACTTCATAGTAAGCGAAAAAAATAAATATTGATTAGTTTGGATATTTATATTAGAGAGATGTGTTAATTTTCATTATATTTTATATATATATATATAAATTTAATGGCTACCAAAAAGCAACTAATAGATGAAATATGTATTAATAACATTGATTATTTAAGTTGAGATATGTGATTCTATTCTTGAGAAATCATATAAGAATTAATAGAGTTTGGAATTGTTAATTCAGAAATATCCGTTGAACGAAGGAATCTAATAATTTTAATTGGTTCCAGTGAGTTAATATGAAGATTAGAGTAGAAACCAATTAAAGTAATTGACTATTGAGTAGCTGACATATCTATTGGAAGATGCCTAACATACTTTAGATTAAGTAATGTATGAAGAATTGTAAATCAATAAATTGGGATTGAGAGTGCCTAAAAAATAATTAGTAGTCTAAAATTATGAACAATGGGACTTTTTATTGTAATGGCCTAAATCTAATAATTTAGACAGCATAATAATAAATGTTCAAAGCATAACAAGTAATCTGTATATTTAATGATTAAATTGTTAGATAATATATAAGCTTAATTGTAAAGATCAAAAGAAAAATGTGATTAGGATGATCTTGAGAAGAAATACTAAGAAGCATTAGAAAGAATAGAATATTTAGAAATGTAATTACAAAATGAATCAAATAAAAATATCGGATAAAAAAACATAATTTAAGAACATGTATTAAATACAAGAAATCAAATGAATCGATCCAAATAACCAAAAAGAGATAAAATAGAATTGATGGATGAATTAGAAAAGAAATTATTGGATTTGGAAGCAGAAAAGGAGAAAATGTCATCTTACAGTATGGATGCCTTTTCTAAATTACTTTAAACTAAATAATGATTATTATTATAAGATGTATAAATTAAATCAAACTCCATATCTATTATTTTATCTCACAAATCTTTATTTTTTTTGATGTATAATGACAACCATTGAAATAGAACAAATGAATAAACCCAATACTAAAATAAAAAATGTGATAGCCCACCATGGAGTTTAATAATCTATAGGCATTGATCTATCTTTAATTTTACATTCTTTTTTGTAATCCTTTCTAATCCCTTTGAGAATATTTTTAAAATGAGAATAAGAACATGTTAATGCTTAATCATGACAAATATTGACATATGTTCCATTATACATTACTTTAACATAAGGTCCAAGAGTAGAACTATTATATAATTCATAAATAATATTGGCAGTATAATCAGGATATGTAGTAATGCAAGTAGTATTTGATTCAACTTTTCCAAAATAACTTTGATTATAGCATTCAACATTTGTTAAATTCAATGCATATAAAGAAGCATATATACTAGAATCATGAGCAGAATAAGCATGATACTTTATTTTTGAAGTTCCATTCAAAATCCCATCAAAACCATCAAGAACAGTTCTAAAAAATTCACTTGTAAGAAGAGATGCTTGATAATAGTCTTATGTATAAAATAATAAGAATCCAAGTCCTGCAATTTTATCTAATTCTGCCATCAAATCTGGAGTTAATTCTTTAGGATTATCACCTCCATTATATATATTACTAATAAAAGTATCTCTCCATTCATATAGTTCCACTATGTTTGTTAAATTTTGGTTGAGTTCTTTATTAAATCTTTTAATCAATTCTTAAGAACGACTGTTAATATCATAGTATACATCGGTATGTAAATTATGAGCCCCTTCATCCCATAAGACAGGACAAAACATGTACATTACATAGTCTAATTCTTCTTAAATACTATGGATTGGAATAACCTAAATCTTATTAGGTAAAGCAAAATTCTAAATTCCTTCTGGGGCTTTAACATCAGCCATTGGAGGTAATAATAAATCTTTAGCTATTTCTGGAACTATAGGACCCTGAGGAAACATGCCTTATAAATTACTGTATGCACTCATAATTGTTCTTATTTTTATACAAAAAGCCTTACCTATTTGTATTACTACTCTCTATATAGATTTATGTTTCATTAAAATAAGGATCTAGAAATCCTGTTTCTATATATTATTTTCTAAGCCATTATCCTAAGACATAATGTTATCTCATTCCTACAGGAGTCAGTTCAGACATTGAAGATAACATTTTATCATCACAACCCCAATTACAGAAATAAGGTTTTCTTGCTCCATGTCTCCACATGATATGTACTGATAACAATTCATCTCCAAAACAAAAATGAATTAGATAAACTAACAAGGGAATCCATTTAAACATAAAATTAATTTTTAGTTAAATTACATCACAAGTAAATTTTATTATAAATAATATACAATTAAATCTCATTATTAAATTCCCTCATCTTTTATGATTGATCTAAAATTCCTATAAAATTAATCATCAAATATTAATGTCTATCTAGGAAATAGAAATATAGATTATTTAATTGCCTAAAATTGTTATTTATGTTTCTAATTCATAACTATTATGTAAAATAGTATACAAATGACCTGAAACAATAAAAAAATAATACAAGGGATTTAAGTGAAATTAATCAGCTTTAAACACGAAATTAGTAAATTATCATAGAGTTCAGATATTACAGTTGACATGACATTACCTATAATTGTTGCTCCTTCTAATTCAAGTCTTGTGTTTGTAGGTAAAATTGTAAAATTTTTGCTATCAAATTATTAAGTTTTTAAAGTGTATAAAATATATGGTAAGATTTGCGATAATCCTTTAAGTAAGTTTCCGTTCATTGCTAATTCACAAGTAGAATTTGACAATTCTTTAAATTAATCAGTTTAAAATTCACATAAATTTCCTGTACTAATGCTTTTATAAAAGTTGACTGAATTTTCATCAAACAAATAATTAATAGAACTTAAATCTATATTTAATTAAGAAAACTCCTCCACTTTATTATATGCCTAAAAAAATACATCATATACACCATCTATTTCTTCATTCGTTAAAAAAAAATATCTTAGTTTTCTTCTATATAAAACTTCTCTTTATGCATATAAAGTTGGTATATCAACTCCAAGATCACTAATTCTTTGAAAAATAATAGCAGTTTAATCATATTTCTCAAAATATCTCTTTATCAAAAAGAATATCACTACATAGAATGTCAAGAATAAAAAATTATGAATAATTGCTATTGTAGCTGTTGTCCTTAAATAATTATTAGTTATTTTGAATCTTTTTACATCTCTTTTTGCATTGTTTCTATTGATTTAATTATTGGATTCTTCCAGTTCAACATCAATAGCATCAATGTCAAATTCAAACCTTTTTACTTTCTCTATTTCATTATTAATTATACTCAAATGTTTTTATAGTCTCTTTTTTTCATCATCCAATATTTATTGATCCAAATCCATTAAATATTAAAATATTGAATTCATTATTTAATTATACTCTCGATAACTATTTATTATTATTATACATAACAACAAACTTATTATGATGAATGGTAATAATACTGATAACCATTTTTCTCTTTCCAAATTTGACCTTTACAAAGTGGAATCTAAAACTATCTTATTTAAACCATCAAATGTATGTTTAATTGTTAGATAATTCTTACTTGTAAAATAAAAAAATGGACTATCAAATGCCACATTACGTATTGTTAATCCCAGCTTAAAATCATATTAATAATTCATCAAGATATTAGATAATGATCTTATAGTCACATTCTTACTATAACCCACATAAGAATTATTCAAAAAATAGATTGTTATATACTCATCCTTAGATAATTAATCAATCTCCCTTCTTTCTAATACACTATACATACTATCTCTCAAATGTTCATACATGAACTCAAAAGTGGAGAATGGATATTTTGTCAATTAAGCATAAACACTAGCATTTATGAATCCTCCACTTAATTACTCTCGATAATTAACTTAAGAAAATCTTGAAACATAAAAAGATTCATAGGGCTCTACAACATCATATCTTATTGATAATGTTTTGATATCCTCTACAAACTGTTCTAAATTTTCAATCATTAAGATTTGCTATTAAATAAAATAAATATTGTTTACAATTATTAATCCCAGGAATATTACTATTGTATATAAAAAAATAAATTTATTCATTTTTATTATTTTCTAAGATTACTTTTTCGACTTCATTAAAATTGTAATTATTTCAAATTTTTTATAATATTTTGATCTTCTAATTGCAGAAACTGATGAAGTAGATCCGATTTCAAGAAATTCATCATCTTCAGCAATTTTATTTACCTATTTTTTCATATCTTCATCATGAGAATACTTTGAACTATGTAATAATCTTTTTTATGATAACGGTTCAAATACATTGTGACTCTTTCCAATTTCAACCATTTATAAAGTGCAAACCAAATTTGTATCAGTTTAATTAATTGTTTATCGAATATGATCTTATTAAATTATACATAATGAATTTTCAGGAATAGGATGATTATCAATATCAAAATAAGGAATCATCTTATCTTCTGAGTTATTAATTTCACTATTTACGTTGAGTATCTTCTAAGTTGATCCAGGGAATTAAGTCAATGACTACATATATATAGGAGAGTTCTCTCCTTAAATTTTCTTTGATATTGCTCTTATAGTATCTAATTCTACAAAATAACACTTATGTTGGTTTTCAAATTTTCTCTCAATTTTAATATTACCAGTAAAAGAACTAGGGATTTTTGAATAATTATAGTCCTTAACCAACTTAATTTCCTAATTGTAAAATTAATGTTAATGTGTGGATACAAGTTATTAAAAATTAGGTATTATTTTGGTTATATTATATTAATAACCTTTAGATTCATTCATAGATAAGCTGTCTGAAATGTTGGTACTTATATTCATGATTTCAAATTGCTTATCTACGACCAAATATGATCTATAGTCTTAGGATTCATAAAAAAATGTAAGAAAGGAGAATTTATCATAATTTGTTTAATTCATACTTATCATTATTTAAATAGGCAACATTACTTTATCTTATTGCTTTAAAAATGATAAATTTTATTATTAGTAATATTTATTTTATCCATCATTTAAAAATGTTTCGATTAAACTACTATGTTTAAATTAAACATATTCAGGCAAATAAATATTTAAATCAGTGTTTTAATGATATTTTTATTCTGATTATATAATTTTCCATTATTCTAATAAATATAATGCTCTTGAAGATTTCTTAGTTATTATCACATCAAATTCAGAATTTAGTTCAGTAATAAAATAGGCAGGATTTATTCCAAATATTTTGTGATACATTTATCCTGATAATTAATTGAATTTATCATCTTCAAAAGCTTTGCCTTTGTTTATATTAAAACAATCAATATAATCATTAAGAATATGCAATGAGAAGTATTTTAATATATTTTAATTACTGCTAGCTAAATTTAGATTTTATATATACTTGGAAACTGATTATATCTGTTTAACAACATTTCTTTAAATTATTAAATTTATTTTATAAAATGCAATGCATAATTAACATTTCCGAAACAATTATTTTGATGTTCAACAAAATTATAATAAAATTAAATTTTATTTTGAATTATTTTTTTTAAATTCACCATTATTTAAGAATCAGAATTTTCATTTAAAACAAAAGATTTTAAGGATTCATTTAATAATTTGTTATGTTAATTGGATAAAATTATTTTTTCTGTCATTTAAATTAATACTTAATTTAATACTTCAGCTTTTATAAATTCTAATAAGAATATTGTAATTTTAGATAAAGGATTTTAGTTTTTTTCATAATTAAACGATTCTTTAGACAAAAATCTGGTAATATGTTATTAAGCTTGTACATATTATTGATTTCGAAATAAAATCTAAGCATAATCAGTACAAATTAAATCTCTAGATATTTCAATTTTTCCATGAAGTTTCTCTTCAATTTTACTTTCAATAATTTTTATTAATGATAAATAATAGTCTTTTGGTTGTCTTGTACAATAACAACTTTATTTTTTATCACAATTTTGATAATGACTTTTGAAAAGCATAAAAATTTAAAGTTTAGTAACAGACTTTTCTTGATTACTTAAATCTAAAAAAGAAAAAAGATATTTTAATTCATGCACTCCATAATTAGATATTTTATCAAATTTAAATTCATCAAAAAATAACAAGATTCTAATTACAATAATGCATATTAATATCCAATAGTTGTTATTATTAGTTTATTAAGTTAGTAGAACATCAAAAGAAAGTACTAATCCTATGGAACTAAAAATAATGATTGTAGTTGAATAGATTTTTTATGCATAAACTTTGACCCTAATCTATTCTGCAATAAAACAAAATTATATTAGGATGTTTATTACACATTAAATTATTTATGAGAAAAATTATGATTGTAAGTAAAAAAAAAATATGATTTAAATTAATTTTAGAATTTTTATTATGTAAGAGTATGTAGTCATATTAATATATAAATGAGAAGTTGATTTAAATATTAAACCTCTTCTAAAAACAAGTTCTCCTAATATCATAATTATAAGTGTTTCTATCATTATGACGATAGAAACTAAAAATTGTGCTAAATCAGATGAATTAATAAGGCAAATTTCAAATATTAGAGTATAAAATGCTGTTGAAAAATAATAGATATAAAATGAGAAAATGACAGCTATAATTCGAGTATAAAAGGGTAAAGCACCCATTTTATATTGATTTTTATAAGCAATAAAACCAGCCATGATGAATATTAAATTTTGAACAACTGTAAGCAGCCAAAATAGTGCTGATTTAATTTCAGGATTATCAATATATAAGTAGAGTCTTGTTAGCATTGTAATTTTAGTGATGCTATGTTTTAATTATTCATCTTATGTATATTAATAGTAAAATGAATACGAGATTGATTAAGTAATTGAATAAATTATAAGGAGCAATTAAAATAGTTTAGGCATATTGTATTCTAATGTTAAAAAGTGTGACAGCATAAAAATAACCTATTTCTCAAATAGCTTAAATTAAAAAGGCATATATTAAAATATGATATAAGGGAAATATTATTATTAAAATTTTACAATCATTTAGAATGTCATATTAATATTAAGAAATTTGGAGAAAGTAAAATGAAATAACAAAATGGAAAATTGAAATAAAGGTTTTTGGAATATTGTTCATAAATATTAATATAGGCTAATGAAATCAGTTTCTGCTGGCAATAAATTAAGCAGTGGTTTACAATTTTTCGCTAATGTGTTCTTAGAGTCTGTCAACAATTTCTTATTAAGCAGTTCTACATGTTAGAATATTGGAGATACCTTTCAGCTGTTTAAGTTTCATATATTTATGATTAGACAGAAAACCATGCTTATTATCCAGCAAGTCTTTCTTCACTATTTTCCAATTCTAATGAATGAAATTCAATCCATGAAATGGCATCTTCAATAGTATCTTTTTGTTCTTGGATTTATACTTCCAATTAGGCCTTTCTTTCAACCAATCTTGTATGTTCATTTGCCAAATGAACAGAAAATTCAGCCCAATGAGCTGCTTATCTTTCTTCAACATCCTTAAATAGTTTATAGAAAACATAATTATACTGTCTTGGCAGTCTTTTCTTAGACTAATTGTTATCTGATTTCACTTAAAAGTTGGGCAATTTTTGTTAATGCTTTTTAATTAACTCCATGAGTAGCAAGTTCTGTCAAAGCTGCAATGACAGGCTAAAAAATAATAATTAAATAATACTTATAACAGAGCAGAATGTGTTGTATTATCAGAGAGCTTCTTTTGAAGTGAGTCAAATTTGGTTTTGATTTAAGCAAATGAGGCACCTAAACTTAAATGTTAGATAAGTTTGGCAGCATCATCAATGGCATCAATCACATCATCAATAGCAGCAACTTTAGAAACGAAGGTTTCATGTTGTTGATTTCTTGTTGCCTCTTCTCTAGCTTATGTAACTTCATTATTTGCAATATCTTGAATTGTAACTCTAATGTCTTCTTCAGAAACAGCAAGAGCTTCAATTGTGTCATCTCTCAATTATGTGTTTGCAGCTATTTAATTCTAATGATACAAGATTTCCTTCTCTAAGTCCTCAACTATCTGAATATTTAATAAACCATTACTCTGTTGTTAGTAGTTGTATCCAACTCAAAATTATGATCATGATCATTTTAATCTTAAACTATGCCTGCACCTACAGCATTTAACAACATGTTAACTTCATTAGCTGGGGTCTAGGCTTGGAGATGGGCCTTTATTGCAGACAATACAACATGTCCAAATGGGTCAGCATTAATTTGAGCTAATGTTGTATGAATGTCAACAAACTTAGCAGCTGTTATTGCAACTATGAATGCCAAGATAACTAGTTTTTACATCTATATTTTAATATTGATTTAAAAACGGATCGAATTAACTCATTAAATGTGAGTATTTCCTTCTTTATTTAAATAAAACTCTTCTCGAATACTTTACTAAATATTTTTTTAAAATACCTTTTAAATTTTTCACTCTACTCATATCAACCAATCAATGCTGAAACTTAAGACATCCTAACAAACCAATAAATAAGTAACTAAACCTGAAGTAGACTTCAATTTTTATTCTTAGAATATGACAATTGTTAAGAAGGATGACCCAAAGACTTCTATTGATCATGATGAAGAATAAGATGAAACAAATCTAGTTGAGGTAGCCAAAAAACCAGAAAAAAAGTATCTCACATATCTCATATTTAGATAACCCACTATATAACAAACTAAAAATGATGGTTGGTAACAATCAGATGATCCAAAAGACCTTCCAACTATTGGTATTGGTAAGAAGCCAACTGCCTCATTTAAAAAGCAAGATGAGCCTGCCATTGAAATTCGTAATGAAGAGTTCCCTGATATTGCTACTGTGGATGATATGACTAAGCCAACTAAAAAATAAAAAAAAATGAACATACAACCTAAACAAGATTAACCAATCTAAACTGCAACCAATAATGCAGGTTTATTCACTAATTCTAATTCTAAAACATAACCCTAAACAACAGCTAATATTTAAACTAAAAATATACAATTAAACTCTAATTCTGGATCTCTAACATTCACCAATACCAAAAAATAAGAACACACTGCCTATTTCTAATAGCAACAATAAGAATCAATTAAAGCAACCTAATAAGAATAACCTTAGGCATAACCACAAATTTAAGAAACATAAAAATCTAATCCTCCTAGATAAGTCAATCTATCTAGAAACACAAACACAGTTTCTCAATAAGTTGTCAACGAATAATAAAAGTAAATTAAAGTTGAAGAATCAATTCCTACTTTCATCAACTCTAAGGCCAAAGTATCTTATTTGATTTATTCAAGGGTAATCCCCCAGTAGTCTCTTAGTAACAACAACAACCAAAAGAATAACAGACATAGTAATAATAATAATAATAATAATAATAATAATAATAATAATAATAATAATAATAATAATAATAATAATAATAATAATAATAATAATAATAATAATAATAATAATAATAATAATAATAAATAAATGATGATGAGGATAGCGATGGTTGGGAAACTGTAGAAAAGAAAAGAAAGGCTAAAGGGTCTTTTTAAAGAAATTAAAAGTAGACATGATGAGCAATTTAATTATAATCCATTCAAAATTTTAAAATTATGGTTCAATGGTATCCAATTCTCTGTTTGATCGATTATTAAATTTAGAATTTTGAAAAGGCCTTCTAATCTTTTTAGAACCATAGTTTGAGAATATGTATTAGAAATAGTTGCAATTGCAATTCATCAATATTTCAATTCCCATAATTATTATTTGTTACCTTTTTGTAAAAGTAATAGAATTTAGAACATTATTTCTTTATCTAAAAAAAAAATTAATAGTTGAAAATAAAGATAATCTAATAAAAATCTCAAGATATTCCATTAAATCTAATATATATATATTCGTAAAAACTTATGTCATTAAAATTTATAAAACCATTTTCGAAATACTAAATTTCTTTATAGTGAAAACTTATAAGAATTATTGAATTATTAATAAACTTTATGTTTTTTGAGATCATAAAAATTTTTATGCTTTCATGTATTTTTGGTTTTTTTCCTAATCATATGAGAAATTATTCAAAAATAATAAAGAAATTAACAAATACTGAAAGAATATTAATTTAGAAAATTATAAAATATGAAATGAATTGAATATTTAAATTATAAGATAATTATTAGTTTAATATATATTGTATCAAATTATCATTAATTTTTTTTAATTAAAAAATAAAAAGTTGACAATAAAATAATATCAGAATTGTTGATATGCTATTTAATATATAACGTCGTTAAGCAGTATTTTCATGTTTTTAAAATAATTCATGATATAATTGTTTATAAAGAAGTAAAAATAAAAATACAATTTATGATTAAATATCAACAAACGTATTAAAATAATAAAGTTTAAAGGAAAATCTATTTATTTTGTTTTAAACAAATCATTTCTATTTTATAATACTCTGTTATATTCATTGTGATCATATTTTAATCTCAATAAAAAAAATACACAAATATTTAATATTAATTTATTATTATGTTACTTTATTTTATATGAACATGATAATTGAAACATATTTTCTTATATATTTAAAAATTTTAAAATATTATTTTACTATAATTTTATTTTTTTCAAATTAAAGAGATCATATAAAAATATTTTCATCTAAATCTGTTTTTTTTAATAATATAAATATCTTATAATGTTAAATTATTATAACTGAAATTATTACTAAAATGGTTATTTCCTACCATTTGTTCAAAATAAGCTGTCTTATGATTCATATCATATTTATTTCATGCAAATTTTTCAATGTTGATGGTTTGGCTATTTTTGATTAACAAAAAGGTTTCTGTTTATTAATTATTGTAATTTTTATTGTTTTGTTCCAAAAAACTTAGTCATTTATTGCACTCTAAAAACTTTAAATATTTTCATTATATTTATAATCACATTTATATTTACTCAAACCCAACAATAATTTTCATTTTTACATGACCTATAGTTGAAGAAATAAAAATGAATATTGAAAATAAATTTGAATTTAGTGCAGGATTCCTACTATTTTCATTTGAAGAAGTTATTATTAATTTCAATTTGTAGAAAATCTTTCAAATGCATAAGGAAATCTCATTATAAATCTACTCATATATTATTAAATAACAGATAGGCCAATATAATTGAAGATAAATATATTGTTATTTTTAATATATGATGAATTCTTCCTTAATTGAAATCGAGTACAATTTATAAACGACCAACTCATTTATCAAAAAAGTAAGGATAGATGATTTTCAATATTCATTTATTATTTAATACAATATGTCAATTCAACCGTAAAGTTCTTCTTATATTTAGCCGTTTTCTAATTCTTAAACTTATTTTTTTAACATAATTATCTTTTCTTTTTTCTTTTATAATTTATTTCAATTATTATAATGAACAGGCTTCGTTGAAAATATTTTAAAATAATCTTATTAATTTTAAAGATATATTTATTATAATCTTTTTAATATTATTAATGAAATATCTAATAATATAAACTAATTTAAAAAAAAAGATTATATTGAAATATATTCATCCAAGTGATATTTTAATTATTTTATAAATTTAAATTAGTTAATATTATAAAGATTGTATTCAAATCCAAGTATGTGTATTTTATATTTATCTATAAACATAACGTATACTGTTAAATTATTTTATATGATTAAAGAACTATAAATAGAAAGGTTGGATATAATAATGATAGAATTCGAATATAATAATAATCATAATATAACAATATAACAAAAGTATTGTATTTTCGGAAGAATTTGATCATTTTTAATATAATTTGAATATAAAATTTACAGTATATTTAAACCTTTATACAAAAAAAAATATTTCAATTTTTATTAATCCATTAATCAAAAATATATTTTTCAATTTGAAACTAACAAAAGACTTAAACAACCAACCATTTTACTTAACAATCACAAAGACTTAAAAAATTATAACTAAATAATGGATTCAAAAAGATTGAAATAACAATCATTTTTTGTTTTTAATTCTGCATCTAAATAAAAATTCATTTTTTTTTTGAGGATTGCCCTGGTTTTTTTATTTAAATAGACTGCTATGGAATTTAAATGTTAGGCATCTTTTCGTTAATGCTATCTGCTAATTTCATATAATTAAATTCTTATAAAGCTGAAATATAAATGAAGATATACCATCAGTAATTGCTTCTTTGCCTTGCAGCAGCAATCCTTTCGGCAATCTTTTGTCTGGACAGGCGCCTTTAAGTAAAACGATACTTTCGTTTTCTTCTCTGAAAATACAAATATATTTGAAGACCTTAGAGTTTTTTGCATTTTCATCATGGTAGCTACAAACTTTAGCCTAGATCTAAGTTTTTCTTTTCCACTTTTAGAGAGTTGCTTTTAAAGGGATTTATTTTTTTCAAAAATTTTTGTTTTTTCAGATTGTGTGATTTGTTTAAATTTTTCTATATCTTACTGGTTAATTTTTTCATCTTCACTCTCTTGATCTTAATCTTCATGTTTTAGTAGCATGTATAGCATTTCAGTTACTAAAAATTGAAGTATTATGAGTTTACCTTTTTCCGTAACAAATGGTATTGACCAAGAAAAGACATCCATGAAATTAGGTAACAAGTATGGATGAGGAGTATCTTTAAATTATTAAATATTTAAAGTGTTGTTTTCAAATTTGATCACTGCTCCTTTATTCTTATATATATCGCAATAATTAGGAGCTGAAAATATAGTAATAACGACTGGAAAATCAGAACTCCCTTTCCATCTGTGCATTTTATACCCTTCCAATTAGGCTTCATGAGCTCTGATAACAGAAATAAGATTATTTCTTTGTAAAAATCTATGGACTGCATCTACTCCAAAAAACCATGAGCATCCTCTTACTTCATTTCCTCTCCATCCATTTTCCAATGATCCTTGATCATTATCAACTGGGTCGCTCCATAAAATATCACAAAAGAGTCCGCTTCTTGGTGGTTCATGGTATCTATCAATTTTTTTGATATCCTCAAGCTAAAATCGAAAATACAGAACCTTGTTACCGTTTTTAGATCTGGAGAGATACCTCCATGGATAGCTAGAAACTTGTTATTAACTACACAGGCAAGGGGAAAGAGATCGAAGGAGTCCATCAGAAAATCGTAGGTTTCTTGGTCATACTTATAGAGGCCTTGATGAGAGGGTTTTTTTTTGTATACATTCGTCCTTAAAATTGAAAAAGCTTGTTAGCTGTCTACATTCATGATTTCCTCTCAGGAAAAAAATTGTATTTGGAAAGTTGATTTTAATTGCATATACTAGGACGATCACTTCTATGGAAAATGAGCCTCTATCTACAAAATCGCCCAAAAATAAATATTTGGTAGTTTCTATATTGCCTCCGACATCAAACATTTTAACCAAATCATAATATTGGCCATGAATGTCGCCAACAACTGTTAAGGGATCATGCAAATATATGAGATTTCCCTCATTTTCTGTTGTTTTAAGCAAAAGTTACTCAATATTTTATTGCATTCTGAAACTAATTTGATAAGATCATCTTTTGCAATTCTTCCCTCTTTAGATAAATGATCTAATAATATTCTCCAATCAGGTTTATCTAATACTATTAAAGTCTCTTACTTTTTAGTTTATCTGGAAACATAAGTTAATTGGAGAGAGGACGATGAGGAGGTGGCTTCAAAGTTTTTACAACACGATCATTGGATGGATCTCTTAATAATTCCATAATAATAATAAAAATATATAATCAAAATAATTTTCAATATATTATATACGACAAAAGTGATCATAATTAAAAGGTTCTTTGGCTCCTCACTGTAGGTAGAGTGGTTTATTCTGATTACATTTTTCTTTCTCTTGGCCTATTGGTTTTGGAACCTATAGAAGATTTTAAATCTCTAAAATGATTTTAACCATTACCTTGAAGTAGCTTTATGAGTTTTCAATTTTTCATAGTTGATTCCAATTTCATATTGTTGGTCTCGGCTCACAAGAGTATTTTTATGTAAGGATAAATTAAATTAATCAACTGGATTTTTAATTCCTTTTAAAGTGTTTTCTTAAGAGCTTTTAGATGTTTGTTAATGAATAATTTTTGGGAATTCTTCAGGCTCTTCAAAAAAGGCTTGTGCTAATTGTTCAAATATTTTAGTTGAGTTGATTCTATTTGCTCATTAATTAAGATTACTTTATAACTCCCAATTAAATGTTTGATTACTGGGTCAGTCTCTTGAATCTATCATAATTGAATCCTTTGCCTTTATCAATTTCTTTTATTGGTTTATCTTCTGCTTTAATTTAGACATTATGATTAATTGTGGAATTCATTTATTAAGTTAAACTAAGATATTCATTCCTTGCCATTCTTAATGCAGGATTTGTCATATTTTATAAATCTACAGTATTCGGTCTGTTACCCTCTTTGATTCTACCTTCATGAATAACTACAATTCCTGGTTATAAATGCATATTCTCTACAACTAAAGGAGCTATTTAATTAAATTTTAATGTATCCTTTTCCTTATCCTTCTCGTCATCATTTCTTTTAATATTCCAAGGAACTTTATTATATTTTTTTTTTGGATTTATTTTGGCAGCTTGATCTTCTTCAAATTTGGATCTTAAAAAATATTGAATTGTACGCCAAAGTTGAAGCAGGAGGTGGCAATTTAATTCCTTTAGCTGGATTAACAGATATCAATTTGCCATCATAATCATATGTATATTATTTAGATTTTTTATCTTTTGCCATCAATTCATATTTTAATTATTCTTCTTTTTCTTCTTTAAGTTTTCTTCTTTTTTCTGCTTCATTTAATTCTAATTTTTCCTTTATTTACTTTTCTTTTTCATTTCTTAATTATTCTTCTGTGATACTGATATCTAATGGATCAACTAAATCTATAGGCATAGGATCTAATTATTTCTTTTCTTTAATAGATTATGTTTAATCCTAAATTTAATGATTGAAATACATAAATTTTAGATTTTGCAAATATCATAGGACTAGATGTTTAACAAGTGTTAGGCCTATTTTCAGGTTTTATTTCGATATTAATTTTAGATGTCAGCCATTATTCATGCTAAATGTGTAACTTAAAATAATTAAATTATGTACAGGTTCAAAGTCCTCACCTAACCCACCACTTTGAATATCTCTAATAGGATTTTCAGGTTTATAGAATACCTATACTAAAGGCATTACCAAAAGATTTAATGAATTAGAAGCAGAGACATTAGGCAACTTTCTTAAAATTTCATTTTCTTATGCTTTTTTGACGACATTCTTCAACAAACGATTAAAAATCTCTTTAAAATGAAGCTCCCCTTCAATTTAGAAGACTTGAGTGGATAAAGGATCCATAGCTGTATAATAATCATAACAATTCATTTTAGCCATGTCTATCTGCTCTAATTCTACATCTGATTGAGTATTTGATTATTCAGCAATACTAGAAAGATCGACTTAAGATGTTTTATAATTATTTTATTTCATATATATATATTAATCTTAAACGATAATGGGAAAATAATAGCAAAAAGTGAAATGATATCAAACATAAAAAAGAAAAACTTCAAAGATTTACTTATTAGAATAGAATAGTTAATAATTTTTCTAAAATAATATTTTTGATTTGCAGTATTAATAAAATAGAAATGAGAAAATGATGAATTATTGGTGAGAGGAAATTAATTTTAAAATTAAAAAAAGAGAATAAATAACAGCCCAAGATCAAATTTTATCTCAAAAAATTAAGCCAATAGCAAATCTATACTTATTAGATGAGTTTTCATAATTAATAAGATAGATAATAAGTTGTTGGCAAAATATGAATTGAAATCTTGATTAGAATAAATGAATTAATAGACTTATAAATAGGATTTCTTTTAAGAATATTAAGAAAATTGTAAATAAGTTGACGATTTAAGAATATAAAATGATTATTATTAAAAGCATGAATATTGTGCCCGTTTTTGAAAATATTAAAAATTAAAATTATGAGAGCTCTTACCATAATTTGCTTAGTGGCTGCCATATTTGCTTTAGATACAAACAAATTTGCTGTCCTCCTTTAGGCAGGAACAAGAGGAAATGACGCTGTCGAATCAGTATACAACCTTTTGCGAGATCTTAAAACAGAGAATGTTAATGTCCAAGCTGCTGCTGATAAAAAAAATAACACAGACGAAGGTATCTTCTTACTCTTATATACTTTTAGAAATCTTCTCTTAAGTTATTGGTGACTTGACAAATGTTGCTTCACTTAACAAATAATAATGGGAAGCACTAGGTGCTGTCAGAACAGATGTTGAAGCCTAAATTAGAGTATACTCAATATATATTCTTAGGATGGATATTCATGGTTAGCTTGGGCTGAATCAAGACTTGCTGAAATCGAAAGAAGAAATGCTCAACTCTAAGATTAAAGATGTTGGGCTAATGGGCTTTTTGTTAAGTCTCTTGCTGATCATGCTGATGCTATTGGTGTTGTTTAACTCTTGGAATAAGATGTTGCAGGTTTTCTCACTAATAATGCTGGAGTCGAACTTGTCGAAAAGGCTTAAACAATTGCTGATAAATTATCTGCATATAGTCACCTTTTCTAATAAGATGCACTTTAAAAATTCCAATCCCTTGCTGAAGTTAAAAGAGAAGGAACCACTGGAGAATAAGTTCTTGCTATCTTATAAGACTTATAAGGTGAATTAGAATCCACTCTTGCAACACTCTAAGAATAAGAAATCCATGCTGCTTTTGCTCTTGCTAAATATGTTTCAGACACCAATGCTGAAGTCGCCTGGTTAAACTCTGAACATGAAAGAAGAACCTCACTTGTTGAAAAATTAGAAACTGTATCATTAAAATCTATTTCTCAAGTAACTCCCTGCTGTCCTTGCTTAATAAGCCAAAGCCCTCAAATTGTGGAAGGATTCTTTGAATGCAGTTGCCGGAGCTACTGCTGATTTAGAAGAAAAGAGAGAATTCTATGCTTCTGAAACTGCAAGAAGATAAGGTAACATTTTATTTCATCTCTAGAGGAAAATGCGATTATCGATGTTGTCATTCAACTCTTCAAAGATTAAGTCAGATCTTTGGCCTCATAAACTTCCCTTAGAAGAAAGTGATCTGTTCACATTAATAATAATAATATTAACGAATTTATTTTAATTCCTCAAAAAAATTCAATTTAGTCTAATCTAAAAACTTAATAATAATAAAATTTGTTTCTTAAATTCTAAATAGAATTTTATATAAATTAATTTATTAACCAAATATTTTATTTTTAATAAAAATTATTTTACTTTTAAGCGGAGAATAATTATCAATTATAAATCTTATATCATTTTAAATCATTTATTAAGAGTGTATATTTATTTAAAATAAAATATATTTATTTTCATTTTTGTAGGTTTTCATGACTAAATACATATCTTGCAATTAAACTAATAATATTTAATTAATATTTACTCTTGATCTAAAGAAAAACAATAATTCATAATGTGTTAATGTTCTACCTCCAATTCAGGGTCTGGTAAATAAGGAATATCATTAAATATTTGATTGCTATCTATATATATCTTAAATTATACAATTATAAACTCCATGAAAATAACCTAATGATGATCCAAATCCAATAGTTATTAATTAAAATTTTATTGGGTTTCTATACATTTTTAATAAATAAGCAATAATAATAGAACCAGAAAGAAATAAAATTTATGGAACAAATAAATGTTAATATTTAATATCTCTAACTATATTTCTTGTCTCTAATTTTTCTTTGGTATTGATTGGTAATTTGGTGCATTTTTACCAAAAATTAAATTTTTTATTTTAACATTCTTCTCTTCTTTATTTTAAAAAGTCACTGCTATTTAATTGTTTCCTAGATTTATAATGTTGTTTCATATAATCAAAATATGTATCACACTATTCAGATGGTAATTAACTTTTGAATATTATATCTCTGTAAATAAAATCATCTTAGTTTAACTTTTAATTTTGAATATTATTTAGAGTTATTGTAGTTTATCTTAAAGCTTGATAAGCTATGTATTTCTAGTAAATTATTTCATTTTTCCAGGCTTCTGGAATATCAACATCAAATGGATTTACAATCATGAATAATATTATAATTAATTAATATTTTGAAATATTTTTATTCTTTATATTAATATGTGTTTTATCATCCTCTAATTTTGATCATCATTATTTCATGTTCCTTAAATTATTTTAAATATAATCAAATTTAACATTAGATATTCTAAACTATAGTATTTGATTGTTAATTTATATTTTTAAGGATTCCTTATTTACGTTTATACATATAAGTTTTTATGTTTCTTAAACCAAATATCATTATTTCTTCAATTCTTTTATCGTTTAATTTTGGATTTACATATATATTTAAGGTTCTTATACTTTAAGCCATTGAAATTTCTAATTTTGTAGTAATCGAATTAAAAATCAAAAAATTTTTTTACGCTAAATCAACAGTATAATAAAATAGTAAGCAGAATAACATGAAGAAAGTGAGAATAGTTGTAAGTAAGCTTGTTATAATTTTGGATTGGTATTCTAGTAAGAATGAAAAGTAAAATTTCCAAATTATGCCATTAATTTATTAATTAATAAGTGATATTTCTTTTCCTTATCTTTTAATTAATAATTATTAATCTTGGAACTTTTCTCATAAACTCAAATGTTTAATATTTAAAGTAATGAGCAAATATAATAAGAAATAATATCAAAGATAAGTCATCTTTAACTAAGTGAAAGTACTCAAAATATTAAATAATTTTAGCTGATGATGACAATTCTCGACAAGGTAGTCCTGCTTTGGATTCAAGACTCTTAGAAGTAATTAGAGAGTTACCACAACATTTAAAATAAAAGTTGGGCAGTTTAATTCCAAAAACAAATTATCAGTTGATTAAACAAAATGATGATAGCATTTATTATGGAATAATGGAAAATTTATAAAAATAAGGAGAAGGAATATAAATATGGTCAAAAGCAGGAAATTTATTAGAAGGGTATGGAATATTTAATATATTTAGATAATGGGAAAATGATTAATTAGAGGGATATTGTAGAATGAATTACGCAAATGGAGACAGGTATTAGATATTCATATTTTAAATTAGTTTTGAATGTTAATTTAAATAGGGGAGAACTAATGGATTTGGAATATTTAAATCTTAAAAGAAAATAGTAAAAGGTATAATAATAATAAGAATATTATAGGACTTTGGATTGATAATGCAATATAAGGAGAAGGTTAAGAAATAAAAATTGATGGTACAAAATATTTTGGTTAATTTTATAATGGTAAAAAAGATGGTAGAGGAATTCTAATATTAAATGATGGCTGCAAGTATGAATATATATATATAGTTAGATATGAAGGTTAATTCAAAAACAATTTATTTCATGGAGAAGGAACTTTTTTATGGAATGATGGTTCAAATTATACTGGAACTTTTACAAAAGGATTAATTTTAGGATTTGGTTAATATATGAATGGAAATGGTATTCAAATGATTGGTCAAGTAATATAAATTAGTAATATTAATAGTTTACAGAATTGAAATAGCCGAGAGGATGTAATGAAGAAAAAAATCAGCATTTATAAACTATAGTTTTTGTTAATTAGTACAACTAATCTTTAATGATTGAAAAGATTCGAACTCTCTGATTTTGATTTTGATGGATATATATATATATTATTTTAAAAGTACTATTATTATTAATTATTTAATAAATAGATTATTATTTTTTTAATTTATTTATACATTAATTTTTTTTACAATAATAGCAATTGATCATTATTTATATAGTTAGAAGGATTAGATGAAGAATTTGCTGAAGTCCATCATGAATTTCCAAGAAGAATTGATGTTTCATTATACAATATTAGATTCTTAAAGCTTTGAATAAGAAAAGAGAGTAATTAATTTAATAAAGAATTAAGTGCTCCACATTAAGCCTTAGAATAAGCCAAGATTCAAACTTGCTATGTTAAATCATAATTTAAAGGTGCATAGTGACATTATTAATATAAAATGGATCTTACTTCAATTAGATTTTTAAATCAAATCAAAAGATAATATATTTTTAATTTTTTTTAATTTGAAATTTTGATAAAATTATCAACCCTATTTCTATGATCCATTGTTATTCTAAGAATTTAGTTATTATACCAAACAATAATTATTATTTTACTCTTATAATCCGTTTAATTCTTATTTTTTATCAGTTTTTTATGTTATAATTACGGAGGAATCAAAAGTAGGAGGTTCTATTTCCATTGAATTCTTATGATAATTTGAAGGAGGTACCATTAAGCATCTAGTTTACATTTAATTATTATAATTAATAAGATTAGGAGATTTTTATGTTTAGCCTTATTTTATATCTTAAGCTTATATATCTTTAAATTTATTCTCCATTTATTTTTGTTTATAATAATTTTCTATATGCTCATCCCACTATTTAATAGTTAGATCCTTCATATTTTAAATTAACTATTAATATTCTTATGAAAATTAGTCTTCTTTAGAAGAGTATTAAATTTCCATTTACAATTAACAATAATCTTTTATTACATCCATTAGTCTATTAGGAATATCATCTAGTTTTTATTTTTTTAATTATTCATTAGTTTAGTTTGGTAATACCTTTAAATCATTTGAATTATCTGGTACAATTTTTGAAATAAATTTATAAGTATTAATTGATGATAATTATCTTAAAACTTCATCAATAGTTGGTCTCTTTTATGGTATTGGATCAATCATTTATTTAATTAGATATTTTAATTCCTATTTGATTTCTAATTAATCAATTTAATTATGGATTTCCTACTAATTTTAGCAATATTTGAAAATTGCTTATTTAACTTAATCTATAGTATTAACTTGAAATGAAATAAATATAATACAATCAAATAAAGGTGCATATTTGAATATCTCATAAAATAGACATCCTAAAGACCAAACATCAACAGGAAATGAATAATATTCAGATCCATTAATTATCTCAACAGCCTGATAAAGTGGAGTTCCCACCATTTTTGTAAGTCTTATATCTTAGTCTTTTAATTTGATTAAACCAAAATCAATTAATTTGAATACGGAACCACATTAAATAAAGTTTTCTGGTTTAATATCTCTATGTATCAATTTTTTTTTATGAAGAAAAGAAATTGCTTAAGTAATCTAATATATTTCAATATGACACTTACTTATTAACATATTTATAACTTTTAATTGAATGTTTATTAACTTTACTCTTTTAAATAATCATATAAATTTTTTCCTCCAAGTTCCATAACTATTAAATGTTTATCTTACCATTTATATATTTCATAAATTCTAACTAAATTACTTTTAATAAAAGTTTATTTTTCTTTATTATTTTAATAATCAATTAATTCATCCAAAAATTTGAGTTCATTTTCTTTAATTTTTAATTAAATTTTAATAGCAATATTCGTATTATAAACTGTTTCATTTTTTGTTTTACCTAGATAAACAACACCTTCTCCCCCATCTCCCAACTTTTCAGTAAAAATAAATTGACGTTAAGGAAACTCTTCTGTTGGAACCTATAATACTGTATTCTTTAAATTTTTTAAATTTATTTAACTCTAAAACAATTATTTTTAATTGTTTATTTCTTTAATTTATTAACCTTGAAATTATGATAATTATTATTATTAAACTTCTTTAAAAATTGACTCTTGAAAGATTTATTTTAGGCTATAATCTTTGTCAATTACTTAATTGATATTTAATTGATCTGGATTTAATAATAATTATTTAATTAAATTTGTTATTTCTTGATTTTGAATACTGGTTAGCTTAGATAAATAATCATTCTTTTTATTATTTATTTCTTTTTAATTTTATACTTAAATAAATAATATAATAACCTTTAAAAAATTATTCTCCTAAATAAATTTCACAAAACAAATTAATCAAAGATCTAATATCATCATCTTTTGAAGATTATATTAAATTGAATTGTGGAAACTTATTTTATAGTTTTTTCTTCTATCCAAATCCGGTTAATTTAAAAGTATTTTGAAAATATACATAATTTTTTGTATTAAATTCTCCACACACATACTCATTTTCATGCAAAAATTTAATGGCTTTTAAAGTCTATTAATTATAAAATGATAAAAATACTTAAATAAAAATCTTAAACTTATCAAAATAACTTAAAGTTTTATTTTATATTAAATAATCATTTAAGTTACAACCACCTAATTCCATTATTATATATTTTCTTTAATTGTATTCAAATTTCTCATAAATTTTTATTATTTAAGTATTATTATTCTATTATTATTAAATTAGCCAATCAATCATTTTTTCTTCATGCTCCTTAATGTTATTATATACTTTAATGGCAACATTAGTTAGATAACAAGATTATTCTGCTTTTGCCTCATAAATAATTCCATTAGCATCTATTGCAAGTTCCTTTAAAATAACAAATTATCTATTCTAATTTTCTTTAGTTGGAGATTTTATGATTTGATTTTATTAGTATATATTCATTTTTTATAATATAATTTAATTTATAGGGTTTGATTAATATGATATTAAATATCTCATACTTCTTTTTTTTTATATATTAAATACTTAAAGATTACTTAATTCATCTAATATATAGACATTTTAGTCCTAATTGTAATTTTATAATAAAATACTTTTAATCATAAATTAATTTTTTCTCTCTTTTTTTATTAAATTAATGAGCAGAAATTAGAAAAAACAAGAATAAAACATTGAACCTGCAATCAAATAAATGGAATTTAGAAAAAAAAGAGGAGAAAAAATGAATTATTTGATGAAACGTGAGTTACCTGAAGAAGATGATTTTTGGAATAATAACAAATATTTTAATTAAGATAATATTGATGATGATGAGTCTTATTAATAAAAAGAAAATATAAAAGAAGATAGTTTTGATTCAGATTTTATTGATTCTTCAGACTCTGAAGAATCTGAAGACGATAATTAATCACATAAATCAACTACAAAAAAGGTGGATAAAGAAAAAACTAGAGTTATTCGTAGTGTTAGTAAAACATCTTATATTCATGATCATTTTAATTAAGAATATTTAATAAGAGAAGCTGTCTAAACAGAATTACGTAATAAGTATAATACAATTATTATATTAGGGTTTCACTTTAATATTTAATATAAATTGAAGAGGATAAAAAAAAGATTAAAGTTGAAAGAGATAATGTGATTGATGGTCCAATTATAAGATAGTTAGATAATTAAAATGAAAAAACTTTATAATTTATTAATTTTGAAAAAGGAGAATACCCTTAGTTATTTCTCAATACCTCCAAAAAAAATGATAAATCTCAAAAAACAAAATATAAAGATCCTTAAACAGGAATAGGATTTTCCACAATTTAAGAGTTCAAAACAATTAAGAGATAAAATAAAATATAAGAAAAAATCAATTAATTATTAAAGTAAATGAATGGTTGATTTATAAGAATAATACATAAAAAATAATAATAAATATATTATCTATTTGTATTACCAATATCAAGCTTTTTCATATATATCAATAATTTCATTTTAGCAATTTATTATCTTCCAAGTTTGAAAATAACAAAGACATATATACCTAAATGAATAAAAAATACATATCATTTTAATCAAAAAAAAAAATAATCTGTATTATTTAATTGAATTATATTTCAATAATTATAAAATTCATTAAATATACATTTCTAATATATAAAATCTATTTATGATATTTTTAAACATAAAATAAATATAATTTGTGTAAAATAACTTAGAATCAAATTGATATTTTTGTAAATCTTGATTATAATTTTTAGATTAAAACTATTTTATCAAAGTTATTTTATAAATTCTTGTTTTGGAGCATTAAAAAATGAAACACATTAAATAATATATGATTTTGAAGATAATCACTTTAATGTTAAAAAATTCTAATAATTTAAATAAGTATAATAGGTCAATATGTAATTTTTCATTATTGATGATATATGACCCAAATATAAGCTACAATTTTATTATATATAATGTTCAAAAATTAAACAAATTAAATTTGATGAATGAACTAATATATAATAAACGAGAAAATTTTAGAGTTGAAATAAGAAGATAATCTTTACATAATTTATTTTGTTAAAAGAGGATTATAAAGTAAGAGAAAAAGAAATTGAATTGTGAATTGGATTATGAAAAAGAATAAAAAAATAATGAGTAGAATAGCATTGAAAAATGCAAATAGAATGATTATGGTATTTAAGTATTGATACTTATAATTTAGATGAAACGATCCAAGAATATTTATTTTAAATATTTAATCAAGACAATATTTCAATTGCTTTTAGCATAGATTTAATTAATAAAGTTCTAAATAATTAAGATTTAAGAGAATTCTTTGAAGATAATAAGAGATATAAAATTTAACTTTAAAGTTTCTTAGTGAAAGTATAACACAAATTTTCAAAATCATTAGAAAAATAAAAATATGATTAATTATTGTTAACAATTATAGAGTCAGATCTATTAAAATTATCTGATTTAAAATAAGTAAGAAAATTAATATAAAATAGTCATTCACATATTGTTGTAAAGAATTCATTAAAAATGGTATTACAATAGATACATCATTATTTATGAGTAAAATGATGAAAAAATTTTAAAATGCAAGTGAATATTTTTGGAAAGAATTAAATGAATAACATATTGAAAATTAATGTGCGTGGTTGATTATTTTAAAATTTTTAAGAGAAAATTAATAAGAATATGCTATAAGTAAATTATTAATTTCAATGATTTTACTTTTAATGTAAATTGCAAAACCTAAAATATATTAAGGGATTGTAAATGATGAATTAATATTAACATTGAGATAAAATTTGTATACTAATGAAACATAAGCAATAAAATCCTTAGAATGCTTTAATTATATATTTTAATAAGGAGAAAAAGAAAAGAGATTTCTTCCTTTGATTAGTAATGCCTTTTTAGATCTTCTTCTTAATAATCCTCATGCATCATATCTGATATCTATATCTATTCTGGATTGCTTAGAAATAGTATATTCAGACTAGAATTTTGGTTCATCTTTACTTAATAATTAGGAACTTATGAATTGTTTGATTTCTATGTTAAATGATGAAATTATGTAAGTAAATGAAGTTGTTCTAAAATTCCTTTTATTTTATTTAGGATAGTGTAACGATGACTTTATTATGAATATAATAGGTGATTGTAATTTTTAAAATGTTGTAGAAGATTTAACAATAAGTTTAAATAAGAATGTTTAAAAATATGCAAAAAAAATGAAATTGATTTACTTTGACTGAATATATATAATGTATAATAATATGACATTAAAAAAAGTAAGTTACTATTTTTTCATAATTCATTATCAATTACAACATTTTTTCTATTTAATTTCAATTTTGAAGAATCATATATAAGTTCGAATTTATTATCCAAACATTCATACACAAATTTTTTAGGAGAGTAAAATTATGGAGGAGGATATAAAGGATCAATTACAAGTTTTAATAGATTATCAATTAATTATGGCATAAAACCTGTTAATAATGGACCTGTTTATTCTAAGCAAGGGTTTGTATTAGTTTCAATTAACCAAGTATTATATGTATCATCAATCATAAAATCTAATCCAAATAATTCAAATGTATTTTCTCTCTTTAATGGATCTAAAAGTTCAGCAACAGCTTTAAACTAATCTAATGCTATTTATTTCATTTTTTAATATATTTAAATGAATTTTTCAGGTGTTATGTATTTTTTAAATTCTTCAAATGATACTTTATTACCTTTTTCAAATTTACCATAATCTTCAGAATATTTTTAAACAGCATCATTTGTTAAATGTATCATTTTGTTTGATAAATTATTTAAATTAAATTCTTTAGATGATGTTCTTATATAACCATCTTAATACCAGTATCCTTTTTATTGACCATTAATACCTGTAAATAGTATAAAACATCTTATATCAAATTTTCTTTAATTATATAATAATGGATTAGTTATATATTATTAAACAATAAATGTTTTTGATTATCCATTTTTATGTTAATGATTTCCTTTTAAAAAAATATTAACTTCATTAACACTTTAATATATTTAAATTCCATGTCCTCTATTAGTTAATTCTCCTGGTTTAACAATCCAAATTTTTTATGTATCCAAATTTTATATTAAATAATTTTCTAAATCAAATTTATTCTTAATGTGATAAGTTAAAGGAAGAAACTCAAATACATTTAATGAATTTAATTCATAATATTTTTTTAGATTCAAAAATAAATTCTTTTTAGAACCTAAATGAGTGTTATTTTAAATATGATTATGAATTTTAGTTGTTGAAGTAATTTCAAAGATTCTAATATTATTACAAAACTATAAGCATTATTCATAATTTAATAATTTATTCAATTTTCCAATCTATTTTTCTTATATATTCATTTATATTACTAAATTTTTTGGTAGTAATTTTGCATAAGGATGAGAATTTATTTGAACATCCAAATAATCTTATTAAATATTCAAATTATCATTTTTATCTACTTATTCTAAACATGGCATTGTAAATATAAAATTGTCATTTCTAGTTGATTCCCATAGAAAATTTACATTTTCTTTATCATTATCTACAACTAACCACCACCATCTTTATTTCAGTAAACTCTTAACTAAATATCCATTATTACTTTTTGATATATTTGCCTTATAATAATTTACAGTAGGTTTTATGAATAGACCATTTGATATATTGATATAATTATAATACTATCTCATATTTGCATATTTTTCTTAAAAATCTTATTCTTAACAAAATTTTTAACCTTCATAATATATCCCATCAAATTTCGGTTATTTTTTTATGGATTTACTTCTGAGTTTAACCTATTTATTAGGTGAAATCTCTGGCTAATATGATATTCTTGGTTTTAATACTCTTCTCTCAAGTGACTTTAATGTATTACCAATTAGAATACAAGAATCATCACATTTCTCTTTTGATTAACTATTTGTTATTCTTTATTTTAAATGTGGATATATTTATTCTGAAGAGTTGTTTTAGATTATTTCAGTTCTATGATTTTAATTAGGAGTAATTATTGGCATTAATCCATAAGTTTCCCCTGGCTCTTAAAATTTAAATTTTGGAAACCTTTACTCATATCTTCTTTTCATAAAATACTAGAAACCTTATGGAGAATGAGTTTTTCTCATTTAATTCTAATCTGCTTTTGATAATTTATTGTTAATAAAATATTAATCAAAACAAAAAGAAAAAAGTTAAAACGATTCACTATTCATTCTTACAGTATTAATACAAAAAATATCTAGAATACTTTCTATTTATTCTGGGTATAAATATTAAATAATGAAGCATCTTTGAACTAAATCTAATCCAAGGAAATTTAATATATTAGAAATAGTTAAAGGAAATAAATAATAATCAAAAACTTTATATAAAATTAAAAAGAATTAAATAATTTTAATCTTAGAGATTATTAAATATAATAATAATTATTGTTAAATGTATAGACAAGAAATAGATGATATTATTAGATAAATAATAAAATACATATTTTGAAAATAATATCAAATTATGTAAACTATAATTTTTAAATGTTAATTATTCTCTAATAATTATAAACATTTAATTAAGGATAATTAAGTCTTCTTAATAAAATTATTAACTCATATTGATAATAAAATTAATGATAAATCATACATGAAACAATTCTTGCAAATGGAATTTAGTTATAGTTTGTTTGAATAACATAAAAATATGTTTGGTTTTAATAAATATTTATAATTTAATTTTTAACGAATGTATTATCCAACTTGTTAACCATATTAATCTTGTCACATTCCTTTAAATTAGTGTGTGACTTAATAATAATGCTTGGTATAGACAACTCAACCTGATATTAATGGGGCTATAATCAATGAAAGAGAATAATTAAGAATGTAATTAATGGAATTAGAAGACAGATATCATATTGATATTGAAGAATTAAAAATAAATCTTCTTTCTGAAAGTGAAAGGATTCTAGTATTATATTATTCTCAAATTATTAGTAAAAATCTTTAAATGAGTTGGTTTAATAATATGAACCTTAAATCCATTAAAAGGATTCTCAAATTAATATATTAACTTAGAAATTGTAAGCAGCAGAAACTACTTTATAATAAGTTTAAACAGAAAACAATAAATTAAAAGAAGTTGTATTTAAAAAAAAAGATAAAATAAAATATTATAAATAAGAAATGGAAAATCAAAATAATTTTCATATACAGAAATTAAATGAATAAGAATAATTTTGGAGAGAAAGATTGAATAAAGAATTAGTAATATATTATCTTATTATATTTAGAATTAATAAAAATAAATATTATTATAAGAATTTTAATTTGAAAAGAAATCATTAGAAGATCAAATTTATAAATTGAAATCTTAATTAGCTTAATTTGATGAAAAATATCAACAAATTTTATTTGAATTAGAAGTATTATATATAATTAATTAATTTAATAGAAAATAAAATAATAATTATAAGAGAAAACATATGAATGTGAGGAATGGAAAACTAAATGTAGAAGATTAGAACATATGGAATCAATCAAACCATAAACATTAGATCATTCTCCATCTAAAGATAGAATATTAGAATCAAGAATTGAATAATTAGAAAGAGAAATTAGAGTTAAAGATGCTAAATTGGCAAAGAAAAAGGATAAAGTATAAACAGTTATTCAACATGTACCTTAATAAGTGATTGTTGAAAAACCTATTGAAAGAATAATAGAAATTGAAAAGATTGTTCCAGTTGAAAGAATTATCAGAGAAAGAGTACCTGCAAGATAACCAATTGTTGTTTAATAACATGTTTAAAAAAAAGTAGAAAGTGAATCTGAAGATGAAGAATTAATTGAAGAAATTAAAGTATTAAAGAAAAAGATTGTAGAATTACAATAAGTAATTGCTAATCTTAAAGTTTAATTGGAGGATTCTCAAAATGATAGAGATGATTTGTATTAATTTAATTCTAAATAGACAACGTAATTATGAAATATTATTGGCTAAAGTGAGATAACTTGAAGATTTATTACGTAGTAGAAATAGGGAACTATAAGATAAGGTTAGTTCCTTATAGCATGTAAAAAAAGATGATGATAAAATTATTGTTCATGTAAATCAGGGTAAAAACAAGACTAGTCATGTTGTCAAAAGATGAATAAAATAAAACTATAAAATTTTATATATCAATTAAAAAACTATTTATTTCATTTGTGAATAAATCCTTCTCTTATAAATCTAGCCCTTATATTTTTCTAATTATTTAACACTTCATTTGAATAATATCTATTAATATATTATTATGTTTATTTATAATTCTTCTTTAATCTTTTAACTAAAATAATTTCAATAAAAAATGCATAAAAAAAAGAAGTAAAAAATAACATTAAACATCTAATTCTAAAGATATAAAATACATAGAAATAACATCTAGAAACATTTAATCATCTGCATATTTATAGTACTTTTAACACCATAAATTTAAACTAAGTTCTTCAATTTCATAAGCTATTCTTTATACCTATGATAATTTTATTGATTACCTAGCTGAATTCAAATAAAGTATTTATGGATGGTGAATCATATCTAGTATCATTAGGATTTATCAATGATAATGCAATTTAATTCAATATTAAATGATATTGATTTAATCCTCTAGTAAATGCTCCATTTAATTTATATTAGCACTACTCATACTAATCAATTGTTGTATTATATTAAATTTCTAAAGTTACATCAAATTTAACCTAAGAGAATTTGGCAATAATTTCCATAAAACATTTAAAATACTTAATCAATATTAGTCTCATATATTTGATCTTGTTCATCTTCTATTTAATCAATAAAATCTTAAACATTATTTTTGATCCCCTCAATAGCTATATTTGAATTATTTATGTATTAGTAAATATAGAGTTCTTTTATGCTAACCATAGCATAGAGATGATTACGATTCTTAACAAACTCATTTTCATTAAATATCATCAAAGCTCCATTTTAAAAGGCTTAAAGAAATAGTAAATAATAAAAAACAAAAGATGATATAATTAAACTAAAGAAAAAATAATAAAGGAAAAAAGTAATCTACATAATTTATATTATTATTATTTACTTTTATTTTAATCCATTAAGATGATCCTATATATAAATTAGCTTTAGAATTTATTTAACTATTTTATTCTTGATTTTCGTATTTGGTCAATTGATCACAATATGATGTTTATGTTGCTTTGGAATTCAAAAATTTCATTGTTTCTAAGTCAATCAAGAATCTTAATTATAATTTCAACCAAGTTATATATTAAATAGATGTTGTTATCTATTATTATGATAATAAATGTAAGGATTTGATAATAGTCTAAATGATATTAAGAAGTACTTTATTTTTATTAATGATTTTTATAATCAAACTTATATTTGCAATTATAAAGAAGATAATCAAACAAATTGTAATAATAATCTCAAAAATAGCAAATTATTGATACTCATATAATCTATTCATTTAATTATTATATTATTGAAGGTAACTATTAAGTAAACCTACTTATATATCTGGAATAATAATTAATCTAAATTCATCCAAAAAATTAAATTAAGAATTTATGAATTACCAATTAGATTTATTGCACTAATTTAAAATAGCCATAAATTATGAAATTAAATCATTGATTGGATTTTCAAGCATTTAGTAACCAAAGATAATTTCAATAAAATCTTTACTAGTAAGAGATTAATTAATAAATGACATTTATTATTATAACAGATCTGATTATTTTAATAAATATTGTTCTACATCTATATCAGAAGCATTCTGTAAATTAAATAAATAAAAATCCAAAGTATATTCATATGTTTAGATAACACATAAAGAGAGTTTTGAAATTAGTTATAATTTTTAAATCTCTATTATAATATAAATTTACTTCAGAATATATTTAGGCATGTTGAGTTAAGGAAGGACCCTTAAAATATGCAATAGTTGTTAATAAATATAGAGTTGTGATCATTATTCTATTAAAGAATATAAAAAAACTTATCTCTTTTATGTTTTTACTTATTTTATTGTTATCTTATTTGAAGAAAATATTATTTTCAAGTTTAAGCACAACTTCAGTAGGATGATATTAAACAAATTCAGGAAAGACTTATCCCTCAGTTAGAAAAGATTTATTCTGATCTATTCTGTTAGAATCAACTTCTGATATATTATCTATTAAGTACCTTATTGTTGAATTCCAAAAATTCTTGGATCCATATACATTTCAACTAGAGATGGTTTAGATTATCTAATGCGAGATTCAGTAAGGATATTGTGTGTCTTTTAATAATTAATAAAGATTACTTCTCTAAATTATCTTTGATGATATTCAAATATTTCATATTTATTAATTTTAATAATTGTATAATGATCCATAGATATAGTTTTAGTAAAATGAATAGTGGCATCTAATTTAATAATTTTATCTAATAATCGATTTTATGAACAGTATTTTTCAAATAAATCTCTTAAATTATCAAACATTTATTTCATTACTCTTTGATTGAAATCATATAATCTACGAAATAGTAATAGTTTATTAATTTTAATTTTATTTTCTGAATTTCTAAAAATTAATCTATTCTTATTTTAATATATAGTAGATAAATCTGTTTATTGAATTACATCTTAAAAAGTAGATGTTTTTAAATATTCATATTCTTAATTTAATTAATTTAATTTTTTTGGTAATCTTAGTGTTAATTTTACATGTTATTCATCTACTATTTTGAATAATCTTTTATTTGTAAATGTATTATCTGTATTATAATACTCTATATTATCTTCACCAAAAAAAGCAAAGGATTGATCTTCTGATTCAATGTGATATTTATCCATTGTATTAATTTTTGAAGAATTTGTTAATGAATTAAAATGTATGCTGTCATTCATATTTTAATATTTTGATTATGTCATATTTAATGATTTTGATTTTGAATTTAATTTGAATCTAGTTATATCATCTGAATCTAAATAATGTCCATATTTTGAAAATTGAAATAAACCTGTGCATAGTAAGAGCAAACAAGTTTTTTATTATAATATTTAAAATAGTGGTCTAGTAACAGCATCTACTTCCCAATCTCCATTTAATATTATAAAATTTATTTATTCTAATCTTATTATTGGTCTTATCATAGCTATAAAATTAATTTGATTCTATTTATCTAATTACCATTTAAGATATTTTCTAGCTTATATTATATATCCTTATGAATGTCTAACAAATATCTTACGACTTTTATGTAAATTCTTACTTTTTCCTTAATACAAAAATTATTTAATAGCATTTTGATGATTTCTTTAGAAGACTTCAGGTATTAATTAATATATGGATTTTAAATTTTCATATTCTAATACTTCTTTACAAGATTAACTACATTTAATAATTTATCCATTAAGTAATGAGTGAATAATTAAGCTCATATGATTGAATGGCTTTGAATTACTAAACTAATCATATGCTTTAATTTCATAATCACTATCAGAATCTTCATTAATAATTTCTTAATGTAATGTAGCAGAACTTACACATTCAATTTAAGTTAATCTAATTTTTTTATTTAGAATAAATAATCTGTACCTATAATTAATTTATTTATTATATACCAAAAATAAACAAATTTCCATATAAGTCTTTTATTTAAATATGTAGTTATAACATCTTATTACTTTACTCTCACTTCATGTTTCATGAGATTTTTCCATAATTTATTACAATTAGTCATCTCTTCACTAATATCCTTATTTATATCAATAAGAGCCTATTCTAATTAAGGATTCTTATTCAATTTTCTCCAAAACAAAGAATTTAGATTTAATACTCTTAATACTACTTAATATATTTAAGAAACTGTTTCTTCCATTTCTACTACATATTCAAAGTCAAGGACACTATGATATGCAAGACTATTTATATCTGTAACATTATCTTAAATCATAGAAATCATTAAAGCAATCCTTAATTATAAATGTAGATTCAATTATTTTTTCTAAATCTATTGTATTTATTCATATGCTTAAATTCTATTCTTCATTTTAAAATATAGAAATTAAGCATAAATAAACCTTAAATCTATATTTCTAGGTTAATTCTATATAAGTATTTCAAATAATGATTTAATCATAAGTTTTGTGAAACTAGATCGATGATTTCTAATTGCTTAAATAGTTTTTCTTATATCCTTTTACAATTTCGAATCATATGTTATTTTCATTGTACAAAAACATCTCATACCATATTCAGTATATTTATTCTTGCATTTATTTGCTAAATGATGATATATATGACCAAAATAAATTAAATCACCAACTTTATTTACAATTTAATTATTTTTCTAAAATTCTTTAAATACTTAAACTTTAAGTTCCAATTATTTTATATCTTTTGTCTCTTTAAAAAGTGTATGCATTTACAATTTTCTTAGAAATTTTTTAAATATTACAAATACTAAACCATAAATTAGGATTATAGCAAATACTGGCTTGATATTTAATTAAATATGGAGATATTAACCAAAAGAAATACAAAAATAAAATAAGATTGATTATGTATATAGAAACCTAATTTATAGTCTTTAATAATGTTAAATGTTTAAATTATGAATTATTACCATAATTAATATTATACTTGAGCTCAAATTAAAATAAATGATAAAATCCTATAATAATATTTATTGATGATACTTAGCTCCATTTTTTATAACTGAATGTTATAAAGATTGTATTTAAATATCTTATACAAATCATCATTCCTATTGAATAACATGATTTTCTTGTTAATACATCTCTTTTCTTTACCCATTCATTATAGTAAAAGATACTATAAATAATTGAAAATGATAAAATAATTAAGATAGAAAATATACTGAGAATTGCCAAAACAATAAAAATGCTTTCATTTATTTAGGTCTCTTATTTTCCAATCATAAAAGGAAAAATCGAAAGAAATATTATCATCATAGGATAAAATCCAAAAAGTGCAAAAAAGTCAAATGTGTTAATAAAAACCTGGATTTGATTAAAGTATATATTTTACTTTTCCATACCATTTTTTAATGATTTTTATCTCAAACTTAGTCTTCTTTATTTCATTCAAAGACAGCAAAAAGACAAAAATAAAACCAATCAAAACTAAAAATTAAATTGAACTTGCAAATATAACTATGTATGNCATAAATAAACCTTAAATCTATATTTCTAGGTTAATTCTATATAAGTATTTCAAATAATGATTTAATCATAAGTTTTGTGAAACTAGATCGATGATTTCTAATTGCTTAAATAGTTTTTCTTATATCCTTTTACAATTTCGAATCATATGTTATTTTCATTGTACAAAAACATCTCATACCATATTCAGTATATTTATTCTTGCATTTATTTGCTAAATGATGATATATATGACCAAAATAAATTAAATCACCAACTTTATTTACAATTTAATTATTTTTCTAAAATTCTTTAAATACTTAAACTTTAAGTTCCAATTATTTTATATCTTTTGTCTCTTTAAAAAGTGTATGCATTTACAATTTTCTTAGAAATTTTTTAAATATTACAAATACTAAACCATAAATTAGGATTATAGCAAATACTGGCTTGATATTTAATTAAATATGGAGATATTAACCAAAAGAAATACAAAAATAAAATAAGATTGATTATGTATATAGAAACCTAATTTATAGTCTTTAATAATGTTAAATGTTTAAATTATGAATTATTACCATAATTAATATTATACTTGAGCTCAAATTAAAATAAATGATAAAATCCTATAATAATATTTATTGATGATACTTAGCTCCATTTTTTATAACTGAATGTTATAAAGATTGTATTTAAATATCTTATACAAATCATCATTCCTATTGAATAACATGATTTTCTTGTTAATACATCTCTTTTCTTTACCCATTCATTATAGTAAAAGATACTATAAATAATTGAAAATGATAAAATAATTAAGATAGAAAATATACTGAGAATTGCCAAAACAATAAAAATGCTTTCATTTATTTAGGTCTCTTATTTTCCAATCATAAAAGGAAAAATCGAAAGAAATATTATCATCATAGGATAAAATCCAAAAAGTGCAAAAAAGTCAAATGTGTTAATAAAAACCTGGATTTGATTAAAGTATATATTTTACTTTTCCATACCATTTTTTAATGATTTTTATCTCAAACTTAGTCTTCTTTATTTCATTCAAAGACAGCAAAAAGACAAAAATAAAACCAATCAAAACTAAAAATTAAATTGAACTTGCAAATATAACTATGTATGGTTTATCCATATAAAAATGCAAATTACAATATTTTTGAAAGTCTATGATTTAATAAATTTGATCTTCTTAGATATTTTATTAAACCATTAATTTTTAATGCCTACATATATATATGATTATTATACATAAAGAGGAGAGTTTAATAAAATAAAATTTATCCACCCAAAATGTAAAAGATTCCAAAATTTAGAGAAACCTTTTTGGCCTAGAGCGATTAATTATACAACTGGAAAATGGCATAATTTAATTATAAATTATTAGGCATTAATATTTTTATTATTTTTAATTCTGTAAATGAACTAAATTTATTTTAAACGTTTCTATGAATGATAAATAATGATTGTTCATCAAATTTCTTTTTCATAATCATTATACTCTAACAATCTATATGCTGCCTAATAAGCACCTTCTAATCCCAATGAAGCCTATTTAATCACATAAATAGGTATCTAATCAAAAATCTCAGTTAAATGAGGTCTATATTTAATATAGTCTTACTAAAAAAATATATATTATAAATAATTACTAAAAAATTGACTTATGGATTATTAATGATGTAATTAGCAACTCCAATAGAAATATTACCAAACAAATAAATACCTCCATAAGGCATTGTATTGCAAACTAGATCCCCAATTACTGTTCCATAACTACTTAAGAAGAAATCCACAACTTTCTAACATAATTCATCTTTCTTCTCAACACCATATTAAAATACTTATGTTGATGGGAACTATTTAAAATCATTCTTATCCTAAAATTATAAAAACAAAGAATTACTTCAAATAAGACTTTATCAAGATCCTTCTCTATTTAAGACTATAATCCAAGTCTTTCCTTTAAAAAAGTATAAATATATGGAACAGCTTAACCTGCCATAGCTTTTTCTGCTACTATCTAACCTAAACCTAATCTCTTTCTCAAAAATTAAAGATATTCTATTTCTAAATCATTTGATGGTGAATATCCGACATGTCCACCTTCACAAGGCCTTAAAAATAAATAATTTTCATTACCAAATATTATATTCCCAAACATTATTCTGTTTTAAAGAGGAAATTAATCTTGCTACACCTAATCCAGTTCCAGGACCAATTACTGTTTTAACTGAATTTTCTTTTGGATTTGGATTTTTTGGATTCAATTAGATTAAGTCTGTTTCTTAAAGTCCCAATATTCCATATGCCACTGCCTAAAAGTCATTAATTAAGAGAAATGGTTTAATATTGAGTGCTTATCCAATAGCATTTCCATCTACTTAAGTCCATTTAGTATTAGCCATCAAAGTGGAATTATTTTTTATTGGCCCAGCAATACCTAATAAATATACATTTAATTTTGACCTATAATAGCAATTTATGGAAGATTATCCTTTTATACATCCTTTAAATATTCTACAATGTAGTCTTAGAATTGAGGATACAAATCAGTATTATAGGATGTAAATGGTTTAAGTTAAGGAGCTTTTTGGTATGTCAACTTGAGAGAGATCTTGACAAGTTAGAGACGAACATTTGTTCCTCCCACATCACCAATCAAGCAACTTATTTCTTAATCAGGTTAAAGATCCTTAAATATTTGAGACGTCATTTTTAATAAAATATATTTATTTATATATAGATAATTCATTTGTATAATTTGCTATTTGCATTTTTTAATAGTTTGTTTATATTTGATTATAATCCTACTAATTCTGAAAGATAACCATTACTTAAGGATGATATATCTGTTTATTATAAATCTGATAAATGATTAGAAATTTTAATTATTTCTGTTAAAGATACTCTATCAGTAATTGGTTTACTCTTTCTAGAAAAGTCAATGATATCAGAACTGGATTTGAAAGAACTCATTAAATCTTTTTTTGATGAATAACTCTTATAATTATCCTTATCAGTAAAGGATCCAAAAGCAGATGGATATATATTACTTCGTTTAATATCATCTACTGGATTTGATTATTTTTAGCTTGGAGAATAGATTGCATGAGTCAAACCCATTTTTATTGGAGATTCTTATTTTGGAAATTTGTTTTCTAAATGATTTTTAACATATGATGTTGATGATCTTAATGCTTATGCTTATGATGATATTTTCTAATCTGAGTTCTTAAAATTATACAGAAGATCACTCTTCTAAATAAATTTTTGATTTTCAAATCCTTATACTCTAGATTATACTTTATCACGTATTCCTTTTTTGACATCACTCCATGTTTGATAATCCAATCTTTATTGTATTTCTGTACATTTTGTAATTGGAATATCAAATTTACAAGGGGATGATCTTATCTATTAATATTAAATGAAAATTATACAGGAGAATAGGTAGATCTCATTAACAGTTAAATTTATTATTAGTTTATTAATGATTCATTATTATACTAATAATAATAAATATCAAAAAATACAATTAAATATGAAGAAGATCCTTTGTTTAAAGTTTGTTCAATAAGAATATTGAAAATATGATTAAAAATGATGGATAGAAATTTATATTTAATATTACAAATTATAATTATATTGTCATTATCAGCTTCTTCTTAATATAAAATATTTATTTATATCTTTCTTATTTAATCATATTTTCAATATTCTTATTGAACAAACTTTAAATAAAGGATGTTCCTCTATTATTTTTAATAATAATTAATATATTTTCAATTAATTTCTTGTTATTTAATTCAATTGTTTATTATTTAACATAAAAAAATTCTTATTGTTTTAGTATTTAAAACATAATAATGAATTTATATAGTAAAAGATAATATAAGTCCTTCTAATCTCATTAAATTAAAGTTCTTTAATATATCCTTAAATTTTGATATAAATATTTATATAATTCGCTATCAATATTAAATTATATGGATTAATAGGAATCAGCAAGATCGATCAACATAAGTTAAAGTTCAATTGATTATTAGTATAGGTTCTTCACGTTATTCAGATAAATTCTAACCTTAATTAATTTAAATGAACGCTAATCATATTCAAAAGAATAAATTGGATAGTTAGGATTTCAGTCCTGTTTATGAGAGATCAAATGATGAAATGGCACATGATAAATAGATGAGATAAACTAGAGCAAATCTAAAAAAATCATCAAATTATTATGTAAATCACTTAGTATATATATTTATAAGACAGCATCATAATTTCCATAAGATAGAATACAAAATACAAGAGGAAGCAAATTTATTTAATTAATTAAATAGAAGAATCAATTAAAAAAGTTTAAGGATAAATTGTTTCAAAATGCTCATATATATCCTCGTCATCCAAATGAATAATTAACTAATTTTTTAGAAGAGTAATACATACACAAAAATTAACATCATCAAAAAAATTCATAACAAGAAGTTAGATTTGATTAGGTAAATATGGAATTACAAAAGAGTATAGACAATGTTTAATAATATCAAAAAATTCCAATAATAAATCCAACAGGTAAATTTTATATGTTTTGGCAATTTTTAAGACTTATTTAAATAATGTTCTTATTATGGTGGGTACCATTTAAGATATCATTTGATCCACCTAAAACTTCTGCTATGAATTAAATTGAAAATTTGCTTATCTATTTATTTGGAGTTGATTTATTGATAAAATTGAATAGAGGAATGATAGATCAAGGATAAATAGTTTATGATAGATTAAAGATTGTGAAACACTACATTATATATGAATTATATGAAGATGCTATCTATTTAATTACATTAACATTTGTTATTGGAAGTGATCCTATTACAATATATTTCTTTCCTGAAATTATTGTATTAATTTAATTTACTTTAAATTTCATTAAACTCAAAAAAACTATTAATAAATATGGAGAAATGTTTGCAATTCAATCAAATTTTACTGAATTTGTTAGTCTGTCTCAATTAATTATTTTAATCTTTTATTTTGCTCATTTTATGGCCTGTATTTGGTATTATGTTGGTAACATGAGTTAATCTTCCTTCACAAATTCATGGATTCAACAATAAAATTTATAAAATTCAGAAGTATTTCATAAATATGGTTATTCATTTTATTGGGCAACTGCTACAATGGTAACTGTTGGATATGGTGATGTCACTCCATAAAATATTTATGAAGTTTTGTGTACAATAATTATGATATTCTTTGCAAGTGTAGTATTTGCATTTTCAATAAATGCAATTGGAGTGATATTTTCAAATATTGATTTACAAAAATAATCTTATAAGAGAAATCTTATGTTAATTAATCAATATATGAATTCAAATGAAGTTTCTTTATAATTGTAAAGTAGAGTTAGGAACTATTTAAAATATTATTATGAATAATAAGTGAAAGGAAATAAATAAGAAATTAATTCAATTATAGAGAAATTATCTTATAATTTAAAATAAGAATTATTGGAAGATGTTTAAATTAGAGCAATTAATTGTGTTGAATTTTTTATTAAGAATTTTCAAACATCCACTATTCATCAAATTGCTTGCAGAATGAGTATTCAATAATATACTCCAAGAGAAATAATATTTTAATCAAATTCCATAGATGAAAATTCAATATACATAATCCAAAAAGGAGAAATTAATCTTATTGATAATAAAACTAATAAAATTATATAGAAATGTTCAAAAGGTTAATGTTTTGGAGAATTTGAATTTCTTACTTCTTATAAGAGATAAACAAAAGCTATAAGTACTACTTTTAGTTCCATTTATAGAATGAGTCGAGAAACCTTTCTTGATATCATAGCTGAAAATTCTATAGACTTTTAAAAGTATTGTGAAATGAGAGATAAGATTTTATTTAATTATTAAGATTTATCAATTAAATGTGCTGCTTGTTAAGGAGATCATCTAATTAATAATTGTAATTATATTACTTATAAACCTGATACAGAATTCCTTATTAAAAAATAATTATTCAATTCTAATCAAGAAAGATCTTCATTTAATCGAAAAAATCTGAGATTTTAAAGAATCTTTAATAATCATGAAGATCATGATCCCCCAAATAAAATTCAACATTAAGATGAATAAAGTATTTCTTAAGATTCTGGAAATAGATAAAATTCTAGTGTTCTTGAAAGTGAACATTAAAATATTTTACTAAATGATGAAACTACCTAACATATTAAAAAACGAATTTCTTTATGGGTTACTAATCCAGAATAACCATTAATAATGGAGGAAAAAAGTATATAAAATTAATTAAAGTAGAGTCTATCTAAAAATCTAATCGACATAATAGTGATAGTCCAACAACTAAATAATATAAAAAATCTTTATATAATTCATCATAGGATCAATCTAAAAGACATATTACTAATTAATATCTTTAAATTAGTGATTAATAATAATAAATACATTAATAAGTAATGAATTCATCTAATAATTCTTAAACAAAAAGTAATCATTAATTTAATCAATTGGAACATATATAATCATTCCATTCATTTAATTTTGAATTAGATAAAATGGAAACATTTCAAATATACTTCCCACATAATAATATATTAAATGTTCTTAATTCTTACTAATAGTAATAGAAATTACAAAAATTCTACAAAATAAACATATCTTCTAATAAATATAGATTTATATTTATTTAAAAGTAACCATTGCCAAATGCTTTCAAAAAATCATTATATCGCGTTAATAGCTAAAATTGATTTTATATTATCATTATCATTTATTTATTCTATTTTATATCATCTAAATCTAATTAATTAATTATATAATATTTAGGTTAATATATATAATTATATAATATAAATATCTTTTTTAATATATAAAATAATTATTAATTCATTTTAATATTTTATATATTAATATCAAAATATAAATAAATAAAGAGCAATTTTAAATTATGATTTAATTGTTTTCATAATAATATATATATATAAAATTCAATATCTACATTTTAAAAAAATGTCAATATCATTTAAATATTTTGACTTAACCACTTTATCTTATTATTTTTTTTAAGATTTCTCTTAATTAACAAATCTAACTTTATTTGGAGATTATTTATCATCTAATTAAGTTTTTTATTTTTCTAAATTATTTTTAGCTTCTTTAATAAATTTCCAATCATCTTATGAATCATCTTAACAATTATATGTTTATCTATTTGAATCTTTCTTTTTTAATGCACTCTTTAATGGTTATTCTTCTTTAACAGAATCACCTTTAAGTGATTCTTCTCTTTTTACTCTAGATTCTCTTAATTTAACTGTTTTATATGATGATTCTCTTCTATGATGAGAACTATAACCATTTATAGATTCATGACGAGATTCACGTCTAATATCAAAACAATCTCTTTTTTCATAGTTAAATTCTGTTCTCTATTCTTTCATTGAACTAGCTGCTCTAATTATTTCTTGTTGGATTGGTTATGAATCACTTTTTGAATCTTATTTATTAATGGAATCAGTTCTTGCATGTATTTCATTCTATTTATTTTTTCTTTTATTTTATTTTGATTGTTCATTATATCTGTCTTGCTCTTCTTTAATTGAAATTGAAAGATTTTATAAAATCGATTATCTTTCTCTAAGGTATTCTCTTAAAACTTAGATAATTAATTACAATCTTCTAATTGTTATATTTTAAAGTTGAAATCATCTCGAATCATTCTAAGTTTTGCATGTAAAAGTTCTTATTCTTCAATAATGATTTATTCTTTATCAAAAAAATAATCAATATTGCATTCTTCTTCATCTTAATAATCTTGTTATTTTTTATAGTATTAAGTAATGGGCTTATTTAATATTTTTGATTTTTCTTTAACTGAAAAATCATAGTTATCAGAGTTTCTTGAAAATGCACTTTCTCTGCGAGATTAATTTGCTGGAGACAATTATCCTTAAATTGGAGTAACTGATCTGAATGGCGAAGGTGATGCAAATCTATTTCCAAATACTATAGGAGAAGAGCATTTGTATTAGTTTAATTGATACTCTATTCAATTAATATTCTCTAATTACCATGATTTTATGATAAATTATTCATACGGATACTGTAATCATTGCTGATATGTTTTTCAAGAAAATTTTTCATTTTTGTTTGAGTTGTTTAATATTATTTTTATAAATAAATAAGTATATAATTATGATGATTTTATGATCTTTCCATTTCACTTAATAAAAATATATAATTTTTATAATCAAATAAGACTCATATGTTTTTATTCTGATTAATTCATTAATTTATTTCTAATTAGATTATAATTTTTCAGTAGTTAATCTAAACTTTCAAATGGATATTCATCAAAATTTAATTCATTAGTTAAATTCTATAGAAATTATTCTACTAATTATTCATTTTTTAATATATCTATTAATTTTTCTTTTAATTTCCAATTCTCTTATAAAACATTCGAAAATTATTTCTACAGATTTTCTAATTTTTATTTTTTATTTAAATATTTTTGTTAATTTATTTTTAATTATTTATTTTATTTTTAATATTCCTCTCTTAAATTCAAATTATCTTAACGTAATTGATTAATTTCTTGTAATTTCATTTGTATTATTGCAAATTTAGTAGTAAATTAAGGTATATAAGTTCTTAATTATTAAATTCGACGAATTTATAATTAAATATCTTAAGGATATAATTAAGAAATCTATTAATTTGTTAATAATAATTATTATTTTGAATTCTCAATTTACAACATTGTTACTTATTCACTGAGACGTAGAATAGTATTTTGTTTTTCTTAATCAGATAATTTCATAGTTTTTATTATTTCAATATTATCAATTAATGATTATTATATAACATCTTATTCTGAATTTTTATCTTCTGTTATTTCTGATTCTTCATATTCTATATTTTCACATTTTTCTTCTTTTTCTTATTATTTTTATTTTCTTAATTCATCTATTTTATAATCAAGTAATTATATTTAAGTATCTCTTTCTGATAATAATTTTATATATTTTTATTTTAACTTTTCTATTTCTTATGGTAATATTTATATTTATTCATTTAAAGATTAATTCTTTATCATTAATTCTTTAACTTTGCCTCTAAATTCTGCATTTTCACTTTATAATTTTAATAATTATTGCTATGATTTTTATAATTCATCTTAAGTAAGTTTTAACTATTAAACAGTCCTCATTTTATTAAATGATTGATTATGTCTAAAAATAATAGTATATTTTATTTTTACTATAGATTAAACATCGAAAAATTATATTCATGCAAAGATTTTAATTAATCTAATAAATTATCTCTTTGTGCTTCAACAAATTGTATTTATCTTCTTAATTCATTTTCAATTAGTGATAATTTGTCAATATTTTATTATAATATTTTATTTTTTTCTTCTTCCTTAAAGAGTTTATTTTGCAATTCTTAATATTTATGTTTTATATCATCTAACTCTTATCCTTATATTTTAACTGTTTTTCCTTATTCATGCAATATTCTTTCAAGATGGTTCATTTTTAAAGGGTTTTTTAATATGAATTTATAAATATTTATTTTTAAATAAAATAAACAATACCATTTGATAATGAATTTTCTTGTTTATAATTTGATATAGAATAACATACTCTTAAAGATAACTATTCATTTCTTTATTATTAAAAAAAATAATTTTTATAATTTTTTCGACCTGTTTTCAATTACTAATATGGATATTCAGTGTACAAATAATACAAAAAAGTCTATTCATCTACCTAAAATCCATTAAAATTATTCATAAATGAAGAAAGATAAATTAAAACATTTTTTTCGCATTGATAGAAGTATATCCGATACAAAATAACATTATTTTTACCATTAGTCCAAAATATAATAACCTTAATTTATTGATCAACCTTAAACCGAAAGATTAGCTCGAGAGAATTAGTATTTCATCTTTTTGATATTTAGCAAAGAAAAAATATAAGATTTTTAAAAGATTGATTAACCAAGTTAAAGACATTTATTGTTGTAAAAATGGAAAACTAATCCTAATACTGTTCATCGATAAAATAATGCATAAATCTATGATCATAGTAGTAACAATTCTTTCTCTTCTAATAAAACTAATTTATTTGATGAATCTGGATCTGATTCTGATAATTCCTCAAATTAATCTTCAGATGATGAGGATTCTGATCAAAGCTCAGAAATGAGATTCAAAGACATTGAGAAAGATATAGACAAAATATAAAAGAAAATATGTAAGCTATTCTTATTTCATCCTTAGCAAATGATCTCAACAGATCTTATTTCGGTTACATTAAGAATTAAGATAAATTAAAAGATTTAATCTAAACTTTTAGAAAAAGAGATTCTGTCAATCCTTTATACTTTTATTGCATGAATTAAAATCTATTTCCCAAAAGAATTGATCTATCCAATTGTTTAATTGAATAAAAAGAAATGAATTTTAAAGATTTAAAAGTCAATTCTAAATATTTTCCATTGTTATCCTAATTGTTAAAATCCAAAAAGTGTAAAAAAGTTAAATCTATCATCTTATCTTATAATCATTTAAGAGAACATTCATTATAAATATTTATTGATTCATTTCCAGATTCATTAAAAGATTTGAATGTTTCATAAAATGAATTAGGAAGATAGGGAGCTCTATTGATTGCCAAATTATTTAAAAAACATAAAAGGTAATCTTAATTCTCTATTCAGCTTGAAGGCCTTAAATATTGCTAGCAACTTGTTAGGAGATTAAGGAGCAATTACTATACTTAATGCAGTTTAAGAGGTTCGAACACTCAAAAAATTAAACTTGTCTCAAAATTAAATCACTGACAATGCAACTTTAGTATTATAAAATTTTTTAGTATCAAATTTATCAATTGAAGTCTTAATTTTAAATTGGAATTAATTAGGACCTTAATCAGGAATTGGTATAGCTAAAGCTTTGAATTAGAATAAGAATCTAAAGGTGCTAGATTTAAGTTATAATCATTTAGGATTTAATGAAAAGAGTAATTGCATACTTTAATGGTGTTAATTAATTGAAAATCCTAATTTAGCTTTATGTCATTTAGATATTTCATACAATTAAATAAATGAGAAATAAATGATCTTATTGTAAAAAGCATTAATTAAAAATAATACATTATATGGTATACATATAGAAGGAAATAAATGTCCAGCTTTTATTGATGCTTTTGGATTTTTGTAATTTTCAAAACAAGAAAATTTAATTAAATAGGTTCAACAAAAAAAAATATAAATTGATGGAGTTAATTATATCCCTTTATGTAATTCTTAAGATTTATTAATTAATTGTTGTTGGATTTGTTAAGGATGGAAGGAACATTAATTTACTTATACTCCTGATTAGAATAGTGAATAAGTGCCAATATTTTTGCATTTGGATTTTCTTGAGTATTATTATAATTAACTATAGTTATAAGCCTATTCCTTTGACTTCAAGTTTTGAGATGAAATAATAATTGATGGAATAAAATAAGAGCAATAAATAATTAGAACTTACTACTGGAGAAATTATTCATTAATTGAAATCGATAACCGATACTGAAAAAAAAATTACAATGGCTGCTATTGAAGAAGCATATAATGTGGAAAATAATACGAAAAATGAAGCTTAAAATCAAATTATTGAAGAATTTAATAAGTTGTATTACACTACTTATTAAATGTGTCCACCTAAAACTAAAATTTTATATTTTTTCTCTGATCCTCTTAGAGAGAGATACTTTTATGATTCCAGTATAGAATATATCTAAAGTCCTCTCGATGACTTAATTTTATAAGGGAAAGATCCAAAACATTAAATGCATGTTTTTGCTGATAATACTTAAATTCCTTTTTAAAAAATAAAATTTGTAAATGTCTTAAATACTAAGTAAGAATATGTAATTGATGATAAAAATAACTATAAACCTTTAATTAAAGTGAAACCAAGAACTTTATAAAGGAAATATATATTGACAAAATATTTGGGAAAATTTAAAAATAAGAAAGGAAATGTTGCCATCTGGTCAAAAGATGATTCTATTATTTTCAGGAGTATGATTGGGGATTCAGTAGAAATTTTAAATTAAGCATTTGAATAAGATTGGAGTTGCTCAAAAATATAAAGATTTGTAAAAAGTGATTATGAGAAGATTAAATTGAAGGAATATTTTAGATAGAAATATCAATTGATAAAAGATATCTATAAATATTTTTCTAGTTTTGGATATTAACCACCTTTATTTGATGTATTCTGTATCTAATATGGTTAATTTAATAAGATTCTTTCTTCTATTATTGATGGTGAAAACTTAAAATAATCAGATGTTGAAAGTGACTTAGTTTCTATAAAAAATAATGTTGATTCAAAATTTATTTATAATCCTGATAAAGCTATAATTAGATATTAATTTATGGAAGTTCTATTTAGATTAGCTAATGATAAATTCATTCGATCAGGATAATGTAAGAATTTTGCTGATGCAGTCTATAGATTACTGAAAGAACTTGAATAACATTATGAGATTCTAGACAATAGTTAAAAATGGAGAGAAGAGAGATTTTGGACAAAGGAAGTAGATTTGATATTATAATTTAAATAACCCTTTTTAAAAAAGTTGTATGATTTAGCTTCAGATTTAACTAGTAAGAAATGGTATTTTAAATTGAAATGGATATCCATAAAAGAATTCAGAGAATTTTGTAAATTATATACAAATGATGTATTGTCTGAGAAATAAGTGACAGTAATTTATAATTATTCAATGTAAACGTAAACAGATGAAGTAACATAAGATCGTTTTTTAAGAATGACATTTAATGAATTTTTAGAGGCATTAGGGAGAGTTTCTGAGAAAATAAGTCCTGCTCCTATAGGGGAAGATGCTTAAATTTGGCCAATATTAGCAAGACAAACATTGCCATTACATATTAAATTAGAATCATTATTAACTTTTATATTTCTTAAATTGAAAAGGTATTAATTTGATTAGCACTGTTAGACAACCAGAATTTATTTAATATACAGATTTATTTTGTAAAGATATTATAGATGCTTAAGAATCAAGAATAATTTTTATGCCTAAATTTTATGAAAAGTAATCTAGATTAGAGAATTCAGATGAGTTCATAATAACAAATACTTAATTAACTGTATATAATACAATATCCTTTATCAGTAAATATATTGATATAATTAGATTCTCATCATTAACCTTATTTGCATCCAAATTATAGAAATTTCTTATTATAAACAACTAAAAAAAGAACTTTAATTAATCCAAATATTATTTATACTTTAAATAATAATAATGAATTTAATAGATAAGTTTAAGGAAGAAAAACAAATATTGTTGAATAATAATAATAATAATAAGGTTTATAAAAAAATAATATTATTGCAGTAATGGAAGAGTATGATGATTAATGAAATACCTTGAATATAATTTTCTCCTTTATGTTTTTTAAAGTCTAAATGAATAAATTTATTAATCTAATTATTAACATGTTTACTAATTAATGGATTCAATATTATTAAATAAATGTTTTTATTTGTCTATGTCTATGTCAATTATTATAAGTCTTAATTAAATCCATTAAAAGTTTAAATTGATAAAAATTTAGTTTATTTATAAATATAATTAGAAATGAAAAATAGTAATGAGAGATCTAAATGCCAACTACCTCGTTTAAAAGATTATTCAAAAGAAAAAGCTTAGAAATTAAAATCCTTCTTTAGATCCAATCGTAGCATTTCAGACAATAAAATTGCTGAAAGTAAATTCAAAGATTAAAAACTATTAATTGATAATTAATATTCAAATGATCACAGTCTTATGGCTTATTATATAAAGAGTGGTGATAAATTAACAGAAATGAGATAAATTCTGACAAATACTTCAGTTTAATCTGATTAAGGAGCAAACAAAAAGAAGAATTTCCCTTTGGGATTATTAAAGCATAGATTTTCTCCTATTGAATAAGCCAAAAAAGAAACTTAAGAATTAAATGAAGATATATAAAAAGAAATAATTGAGACAGAATAATAATGGATAAAAAGAGAAAATAGTATAGAGTATGAAGATGATGAAGATATAATAAGTAATGTAAGTAGTGAAGATGAACCTAAAAGATTCAATGGAGTTGAATTATAATAAGAGATTAAAAAAATCTAATAAAAGTTAAGTAATATCGATATATATATAATTTAGATCATGAAATAGATTAATCTTATTTTTATTTTATTAAACGATAAGATAGATTAAAAGATCTAGCAATTAATTTTAATAAAAAGAATGTGGATCCAATTCATTTTTATTGTTTAAATGATAATATATTTCCAAAGAGAATAGATTTATCAAATTCTTTAGTAAATGATAAAGAAATGCATTTTTCTGATCTTGGTCTAACCGAAAAGTATTTTCCATTGATTAAAAATTTATTATAATCTGTTAAAAGTAAGAGTGTTAAACAATTATTTTTATGTAATAATTAATTGGATGATAAATCATTACTTTATTTAATTGAAGGATTTCCACTTTCATTAAAAGAAATTAATTTAGGTAATAATGTTCTTGGAAGAAGAGGTGCTATAATATTATCTAATTAAATATAAAAATTTACAAATTTGAAATCATTAAGTCTATAAAACAATTTATTAGCAGATAAAGGTGTATCTGTACTTTTAAATTGTTTTTAAAAAAACATAACATTATTAAAATTGAATTTATCAGAAAATTAAATAACAGATTCATGTTCTACAACATTCTATTAATTTTTATTATAAAATAATTACTTAGAAATTTTGGTTTTAAATTGGAATTAATTAGGACCTACAGCAGGAACTATGATAGCAAAAGGATTATAATAAAATAGATCAATTAAAGTTCTTGATTTGAGTTATAATCATTTAGGATAGAATGAAAGAAGTAATTTCATATAATCTTTATGTGAAACAATCTCTCATCCTTAAATTACATTAGCTCATTTAGATATCTCTTATAATTAATTAAGTGAGAAATAACTAAAGTTATTTAGTGTAGCATTATAAAAGAATAATACATTATATGGTTTACATATTGAAGGAAATAAATGTTCAGCAAGAGTGAATCCATATGGATTTATATAATTCACTAATGATAGTGAAGAATTTAAAGTAGTTTAATAAAAGAAAACTGCCATAGACGGTGTAAATTATATTCCATTGTAAGGAGATAATCTATTTGGAAATGATTGTTGTTGGATTTGTCAAGGATGGATGGAATATAGATTTTAATACAATCCTGAGAATGATAATAATTAAGATCCAATTTTCATTCATCTAGATTTCTTAGAGTAATTTCTGTCACAACTATTAGTTATTAACCAATCCCTATGACAAGTAGTTATGAGTTAAGATAATAGTTGATTGAAGCTTAACAAAGAAAGAGTAATTATTTTGATTTGACAACTGGAGAGATAATTCATTAATTAAAATAATTAGTAAATACTGAAAAGAGAATAACATTGGCAGCCATTACTGAAGCTTATGCAGAAGAAACAAATAAGAAAAGTGAAGAAATTACTAAATAAATGATTCAAGAATTAAGTAAATTTTACTATACTACATATTAAATGTGTCCTCCAAAAAGAAAGATTTTATATTTCTTTTCCAATCCTATTAAGGAAGAATATTTTATTGATCCTAGAGTAATGAATATGCCTGCACCACTTGATAATGCTATTTTATAAGGTAAAGATCCTAAACATGCTGTTCATATCTTTTCAGATGGTACTAAATTAGCATTTACTAAAATACATTAAGTTAATTATATATTTTCAAGACAAGAATATATTATAGATGATAAAGATAATTATAAACCATTAATAAAAGTGTTTCCTAGATCTTCCTAAAAGAAGTATGTATTGAGAAGATTTGCCAACTTTTTAGTTAGAAAATAAGCTCATCTTATAAAATGGCATAAGGAAGATTCTATATTTAGACCATTTATTGGTGATACAGAAGAATTATTAACTGAATGTTTTGAATTTGATTGGAATAGTAGTAAAATAAGTCGTTTTGTTAAAAGTGAATATGAGAAATTAAAATTAAAAGAATATTTCAGATAACATTATTAACTAATCAAAGATGTCTATAAATATTATTCAAGTGTTGGATATTAACCACCTAATTTTGATGTTTTTTGTATTCAATTCCCTTAATATTTGAAATTATTAAATAAACTTGCTATAATAGATGGAGATCTAATAAAATCATAAGATGTTGAAATTGACATTGTTTCTTTAAAAAATAATGTTGATCCTAAATATATTTATAATCCAGAAAAGGCTATAATAAGATATCAATTCTTAGAAATGTTCTTTCGTATTGCTAATGATAAATATGTTAGAACAGATATCCATAAAAGTTATGCAGATGCATTATTTAGATTACTTAAAGAATTCAAAGAATAATATGAACATTTTGATTTAATTTAAGAATGGAGATCTTGTAGATTATGGACTAAAGAATGTGATCATTTATTGTAAATTAAAATGCCTTTTATTAAAAAGCTTTATGATTAAGTTACTGATATTACTAATAGAAAATGGTATTTTAAATTAAAATGGATATCTATTAGAGAATTTAAAGAATTTTGTAAACAATTTAATCTTCATGAATATTTATCTGAAAAACTTTAAGTTATTATTTACAATTTTTCAATGATGACCTAAATAGATGAACTTGCTTTAGATAGAAATATAAGAATGACTTTTATTGAATTTGTCGAGGCACTTGGAAGAATTGCTGAAAGAATCAGTCCTGCTCCTATTCAAGAACCAGCAGATTCATATACTATATTGTAAAGATAATAATTGCCATTACATGTAAAATTGGAAACTTTGCTTACTTATTTGTATTATTAAATGAAATCTAAAGATTTTGAATATGAACAATTTTGCGATTTATTTGTCTATTATAAATCTGAATAGTCTCCCAAAAGTAGTTTTCCTAAAATAGATAAAACAAAAAAATTAGACAAAGATCATGATTATCATAATGATTTAACATCGCTTACAATTTATAATGCTGTCTCGTATTTAAGTATTTTTTAGATTATTAATTTAAGATTAGAATAAATAACCATATTTAAATCCAAAGTATTAACAATTCTTAAAGCAAAATATCATTTAGACATCTCCAATTCGTCCTTTTTAACATATATTTTAAAGTGAAAAAATCAAAAGAGCAAGATTATAACCAGAAACTTATAATTTGGAATCAAGATTAAATTAATAATAATTAAAGGCTCAAAGTCCAAATATTCATACTACTCTCTCTTAAAATGCATGATTATATATTATAATAATTATTTATAAACATTTTGATAATATTTATATGATATTCATTTTGTATTGTTTAACGATTTTAGTAAATCAAATCTATTTTCCAATTTACTATTAATTTCTTTATAATTTAAATTGTTATAGTTGAATTCAATATAATGTTTCTCTTCATTAATCAAAAACATATTATGAATCTTATTTATTTGTAATAATAGATCAATCAAATACTCATAATCTTAAATTTTAAAATGATTATTTATTAAATTAAAGGTAACCTTTGAATGTAGTTCTTACTCATTTTTTAAAAATTAATATAATTATGCTTGTAATGACCATTCTTTTAAGCAAATCTAAAATATCAAGATTCTACAATTACATTAATATCTTTATCTTAGATATCAAGATTACTCTCCTTTATTAAAATGTATTCTTTTTCTTGAAGAATACTTTATAAATTGGTAACTAATAATTGATTTGTTGGATGAGACCAATTTCTCAATTCCAAACCCAATCTGAAACAAAGTAAACTTTCCATCTTTTAAGCTTCAATAGTAAACACATCTGTTGGATGAAATTTATGAGCAATTTTGTAACATCTAAAAGCTTCATCAAAATCCTATGATCATTTAATTTTTCATACTTTTTAAGCATTTGCAATTAATCCAGATAAATAAAAATACTCTATTATAATCTAACTTTTCTTTTCTAAACTTCCTTTTAAAAATATTTTAGACTTAATAAATTAATAACCAATCTTATAATTATATGACATAATGCAAGATTCCAAAAAGGCAATATGTAATTCATTTAAAAAGTTTTATTATTATAATTGCTAAGAGATTTTTAAGTAATAATTACTTTTTTAATATGATTAAGAATTTTTGTAATTATATTTGGATTATGAGTTTTTTATTCTTGAGTAAATTTGCTTAGACAAATTGCTTAGATATTTATAGTTTGAATGCTTATTTTTTTAAAATCTATTTCCAGAAAATACTTTGAAAGCTATAATTATACATTATTTTAATACAAAAACAATATGCTTATTTTCATATTCCGATTAGCTAGAGGCTAAATATTGAAGCTTTAATTAATCACTATCAGATTAGAATGATGCATAAATTTATTATTCATTTGGAATATCATATTCATCTTTTTCTAGATACATTTTTTTATAAATAATAATTATATTAAATGGAATGATTAGTAAATGTGGATGAGATGATAAAATAAAATAATATAATAAGTATTATATATAAATAGCTTCTAAATATTTAATATTGAATGTTGTGTATAAATAATTGAATCTGATGAAAAAATGATTTAAATTAGAAATATCATATTAGATGTAATACTAATTCTTAGAATCAGATGAATTGTTCACAAGAGTCAAAACAATTACAGATTTTGCTAAATAGACAACTGCAGCAACTCAGAAATAAACCAAGAAAACAGAGAAATTGATTGGAGAAATAGAGAAACCAATCAATGTACCACCATTGCCTGCTGGTTTCAAAGTATTTTCATTTTTATCATTAATATTAGGTAGATATACCTTAATTTGATGTGACAAAGAGATTAAATAAACTTCCACGTTCTTGGGATTTACCATAATAATTGTACAAGAAACATCTACCAAAATATAATGTAGGAACTATATATAGAATATAAGAGTTGTTAAATGTTGGTGAAGGGTAAGAATGATCCTTAATTATTTTCAGATATATAGGTTAAACAGTAACAGTAGCAGGTTGGGCTAGAACAGTAAGAGATTAGAAGAATCTTTGTTTCATTGAATTGAATGATGGAACAAGTTTTGGTGGTCTATAGATAGTGGTTGAAGATAAGCTTCCAAATTTTGATCAAGTTGTTAAAGCTAATACAGGTTTTTCACTTAAAGTGACAGGAAATATTGTAAAAAGTCCTGCAAAAGGATAATTAATTGAAATGCTTGTTGCTGATCCTACAAAACATGAAGTTGTCATAGTTGGATAAGCTGATCCTTAGGAATATCCAATGGCAAAGGGAGTTTAGAAACCAGAAACTCTTAGATAAAAAGCACATTTAAGACCAAGAGGTAATTTCTTTAGTGCTGTCACAAGAATTAGAAACAATTTGGCTTATGCAACTCATGTATTTTTCTAAAATAATGGATGTTTATACATTCATACACCAATAATTACTGGAAGTGATTGTGAAGGTGCTGGAGAAATGTTTAGAATTTCTACTATATTTGATAATGATATTAAGAAAATCCCTTAAATAAATGGAAAAGTTGATACAGCTTAGGATTTCTTTAAAAAGGAAGTTAATCTTACAGTATCTGGTTAATTATAAGTGGAAGTAAAATGAAGACTTAATTTATTATAGCATTTTTGTATAAGTATGTCTAATGTATATACATTTGGTCCTACTTTCAGAGCAGAGAAAGCTCATACTCATAGACATTTAGCAGAGTTTTGGATGATTGAACCAGAATTTGCATTTGCTGATTTATTTGACAATATGGAAGCAGCAGAAGGTTATGTAAAATTCTGTATCAATTACATCATTTAAAATAATATGGATGATCTTAAATTTTTGGATAATAGAGTTAAACCTGGATTAATAGATTATTTAAAAGATATTGTGAGTAAAGATTTTATTAGATGTTCTTATACATAAGGAATTGATATTTTATTGAAAGCATAAAAGGCAGGAGCAAAATTTGAGAATAGTGACATTAAATGGGGAATGGATTTGAATAGTGAACATGAGAGATTCATAGCAGAAAAAGTATTTTAGAGACCAGTTTTCCTATATGATTATCCAAAAGAAATTAAAGCATTTTATATGAAAGTTACTGATGGTATATAAATGAAATAGAATATTTTTAGATGGTAAATGTGTTAGAGCAATGGATATGCTTATTCCTTAAGTAGGTGAATTAATTGGTGGATCTTAGAGAGAAGAGAGATATGATGTATTGGCTCAAAGAATCAAGGAATGTGGTTTGAAAATAGAAGATTATGGACCTTATATGGATTTAAGAAAGTATTAGATTTATTAAATATTTTAGATATGGTACAGTACCTCATTGTGGTTTTGGATTAGGATTTGAAAGATTAGTTATGATGGTCACAGGTGTTGAGAACATAAGAGATGTAATTCCTTTCCCAAGATATCATGGTAGTGCTGAATTCTGAAAAGTAAATAATATAAAGTATATTATATGAAAACACAAAGTTTTATCAATTTTTTAGTTTAATCAAATCATACATATTTGGAAGATGTAACATTTTGTTACTTACACTCTCAAATTACTTATCATCTTCATCATTTATACATAATGATGATGATTTACGATAATCGTCTCTTTTAAATGAAGACTTTTCCAATTCTGTTTAAACTTCTTAGATTTTTTCTAAAGTTTAAGGTTCATGAACTACAATCTTTGTTTATCCATCCTCCTTAGGTTATTAGGATTATAAATTCATTTTCTTTAACTAACAATTACTAAATATTAGATACCCAATCATATTAGAATTCTTTCTCATTTATATTAAGTTGTTGGAGTATGTTTCTAAAAAACTTTTTTAAAAACTCATAGTCACTTAATGGATATTATTACACATTTGTCAATCTAACAAATTAAAAGTATTAAAGGAATTCTATAGGCATGTCTTTACAGAATTTTTCTGGTATCATTCGCAACTTTTATTCTTCCATTTGTTTACTTTTAGATACAGTTTCTTTAACTTTAAACATATCTCCATTCTTTAAAAAGTACATAAGTATAAACCCTAAAGATTCCAAGTCATCTTTTGGTGAGGCAGCTTAAATCATAATCAATACTTCATATACTCAATCCCAAATGTTGATTTAAACTTGAAAATTTAGTTAATTTAGTTTAACTAGAGAACTTTGATCCTAAACCTATATATTTTCCATTTTTATGCTTAAATTTAACACTATGTTAAAAGTCGATTAAGACAAATTCATTTTTATTTGGTACTGTTAATATTTTCTTAGGTCTTAAATTACGATGAACAATGAATTATCCATGCATCTTCTCCAATATATTTAACTATCAATATATATATATTATATACCATCTATATTCCTATCATACATATTGTGCCTAAAGTAAAGTTCTTATTTGCAAATTAGAAGCATAATTTCAAACTTGGTCCATACTTGTCAAATACTTAATAATAGTAGTTTATATTCTAAAGTCGTACATCTCCTGAAGCCAATATAGTAGGCATGAATGTCACTTAAATTCATAACTTACATTTTATACCAACATTCATTTTCTTTAACAGTTTCTCTTCCTCTTAGATACTATCTATGTTTGTGTTAGCCTATCAGCTTAATGAACTAACAATAAATTTAAACTCTTTTATACATTACTAATCGCACAACAAAGTAATTTCCTGGATTCTATTTGTTTATCGCTGTCAACATATATCAAATATTCTTACCCAAATATAAATTATGAGTTCCTCCACGATAGATACAACTTTTCAAAGCATATTATCCTCCTATAATTATTAAATTCTATTTTTGTTAACTTTCCTTTGATTTTGTTTCACTCATTTATTAATCAAATGAAAACAAAGAATGGTATCCAAAACTCAATTAATAACATAAAATTCCATTAACTTCTCTTTTCATAATATAATAAATAAGAACATTCAGATCTCTCCAAAAATTAGAAATATATAAAATGTATCTTCAAATAAACTAAAACATATTTGTCTTTTATTTATCAATTAGAAACATAAAAAAATGATTTACAAAATAATTATTCATTTATAGTTCTAAAACAATTTATATTAAACTTAACATATTATTTAATAAGAAAATTAAAGAAAATTGTTTTCATTATTATTATTTATAAAGTTGAACATAATCAATACATAAATAATTAATTCATTAACACTTTAATTTATAATTAGTCTTATTAAGTATTATTTCTATAAAATGAGAAAAAAATTGATAAAAATATCTCTTTAATTTTTATTACCTTTATTTAGATAAATTAGTATTTATTATTATGAAAAAAAAGATTATGAAGATTATTTCATAATTTGAATTTATTTTTAATCTTTATATGTCAATATCTTCATTTCTGAAATAATTATTATCTTATATGATTATTCTTATGTAATTAAGATATAATTATTGAATTTTTGATATTCATTAATTAAATTCAATATTAATCATTCAACCTTATAATTTATATCTATGATCAATGTTAATTCTATATTTAAATTTCTTTTTAGATGTTTATATTATAATTTCCTTAAATTATATAATTCACAAATGATAATATTATAGAAAACGCATATTTATACAATTCTTAAATTATAATATAATTATATAATGTATAATAAGATGGGTAAGTAAAGATATTTAATGATTAAAGTTTATTCATGTAAACTAAATTTAAGTTGTTTATTATAATTTATGAATTATATATGTCAAAATGTTAGAAATCAGACATATAGGGTTTATTTGTTATTTAATTATTAAGGGCTTGGTAATTATGTTTATTTTACTATAAATTAATTGATTCATTTAATAATCCATTTCTTATAATACATTAATTTAAATTATAATGATGGAACACTTATTGGTAAATTTTAATATTGGAAAACTTAAGCGTCCTTCTTATTCTTATTCAATAGTATTGATTACAATTACTTTCTGTCAATTAATCAGTGGAATTTTTTCAAAGTATGATTAATCTTTAGAATACTAGATATTATTTAATCATTACTTATCATTACCCTAATTTATAATTTTCATAATCTTCTCAGATCATCAGTCTAATCAAATACTTAGATATCAATAGTGTGATTTAAGAAAATGAAATAATAATATAAATATTATATTGGTGGTTATCAACATAGAACATTGTGACATATACACTTTATGGAATATGCTACTATTAAGTGAAATATCAAAATAAGAAAAATTTAATGGATTAGTCAAGTGCTAAAGTTTTAATTATTCATAATTTAGATGTTAACCTAACTTTTATTGATTGATTAATGGATAACTTGTTAACCCACTTAACTTGTTTATTTAAATATAGTCTATTGTTCAACTAATTTAAATTGTTTGAATATTGCAATAAATACTCAAATTCAATAAGTCCTAGCAAGTTGCTTCCTATTTATCAGATTTATTTCTTAAAATATAATGATACTATTTTTTATAAATCATCATTGCATAAAGAAAGATGCATTATCTAGTGGATCTAGATTTATATTATTATATTTGGAAGTCTTTAGAATATTACTTAATATATAAATAGCATTTCCAGATATGAGTTAAGAATTTCATGTAAATATTTGATAATAAAAATAGGTTATATTTTTGATTTATCTTGTTTTATCAACCTGTATAGCTTGTTTTCTATTTAAGATAAGTGATTTCAAATTGTTTATCTCAAATCGAAATGTAAGATAAGTATTTAAAATATTTATATTCTCTTTATTTGGCATATCTATAGGATTAACTATAAATTCAATTTCTATACATTTCAAAATTACTCAAAATGATAATTCATTTTCAATTAGTATAGTGAGTGTAATATTAATAATATGGATTTTCTATTAATTTTATTTCAACCAGTAAATATAACATATTTGTTAACCAGCTTTGAATGGTGATGATTTGATTTAAAAAATATTTAATCTTAAATCAATTGCAAAATAGATACATATAAATCATGAATTTGGGTAAGCTGATTCATTTTATTTGGGTATTATATTTCAACATTTTACAAATTAATGTCCTTAAGAAAAAAAAGAAAGATGTTTTTGTATGATGAGAAGTCTATATGATCCTAAGAAACTTAAAGATATAAAAAATTCTTAATTTTCTATGTTAAGATAAAAGACATTATATTTGAAATATTTAATTAAAACATGGTATGAAATATATCTATTTAATCATCCTCAAGATGTAAATATAAGAATGAATTATGCAGTATTTCTTTATTATTAAATGAATAATCAAGTTTAATCTCAAATTTAAATCAAATTAACACGTACTTATAAATTAAATCTATTATAATAATTTGATTTAAGTAAAATTGAAATGTAATTTTAAAATGAAATTATTGATAATAATAGTTTAAGTTATTAAAATGAATTAGATTTTGAATATGTTATTAAGATTGAATAAATAATTAAGTCTATAGAATTTAATATTAGAAATTTTCTTGATTTTAGTATAAAATTTTGGAGACAAGTTAAATAAAAAGTAATTTATGAATAAGATTTATGGAATTTAAATCAATAAATTATTCTAACAATATCAAAATCTGATGAATTATGGAATTAAATTAATAAATACAAAATAATTAATAGAGATAAATTAATTGTTAAGAATTTTCTAATAAGAAGACCTAAATGGTAATTTGTTTATAATTGGTATTATTTATATGTTCTAAATAAAAAAATTAAATAATCAATGTTAGAATATTGTGATTCTTAAAATATGATGTAATAACCTGTTGATGAAGATTCAGGTTCAGATAATTAAAATTAGATTGATTAATTTTCTTATTTAAAACCTTTTAATTATACATCAGCAATATTTCACACTACTTAATCTGGATAAATAGTTAATGTTAGTGAATCAGCATATGATATTTTTGGATTTTAATAATATAATAATATAAATTAATTATTACCAACAACAATCATTAGAAATCATTAATATGGTATTGAATAATTTGTTTAAACTGGTAAAAGTAGATCATTTTATAAAAAGAGAAAGATTTTAGCTTTAAATAATGAAAAGTATCTTATGCCATGTAAAAAGTATTTGAAATGGCATATAAGTCCTTTATCTTAAATTGAATATATATGTATGATTAGACCAATTTATAGACATTAAAGTGTCAATTACATTTTAGTCAATAATGATTGGGAAATAGATTGTGTATCTGAATAAATTTCTGAATTCCTTTAACCTGGTTTATGTTTATTTTTATTATGTCCAAAATTGTTGAAATATTCATATTATTCATAATTTTTAACAGAAGAAGATCTTTAATTATTTAAATTAAAAAGAGCTAAAAATGAAGATACTAATCAAGACTCAATCATAGATGCTAAATTCACAAATAGAAAAATTACTATAGTTCCAACCAATTATAAAAATTAATATGTATAATAATAGTAGACATAAGATCTTGTAAGTATGGTATTAGAAGATGATACAAAAAATGTAGAGGAAAGTCCTCTTTGGATAAATGATGCTTTACATGAAGAATAATAAGAAGAGAAAGATTAATTATTTAGAAGATTTCATAAAGTAGTTGATGAAGATCATGTTAAATTAACATTTCGTTTACCAAAAAAGATTAAACATTTAATAGATGATTATGCTGAAATTAAATAAGAAATATTTTTAAATGGTTTAGATTAAATGACAATTAAATCAAATAAACTTAAAGATTAGAAAATTGTAAAGAGAAATTCTGCTGGTAAACTTATATTTGACAAAAGAATGCTCTTTTCTAAACTATTTTAATATTAAGAATACTATTATGAAACATTATATAATCATTTTAGTAAAATATTTATTAATAATTAGAAACCAGTTTTTAAAAATATTGTATGACTAGTAGAATGTTAAAGACTGTAATCAAGATTGAAGCTTCAATAAGATTTACTAAAAATACAATCATGGATAAATATTAAATTATTAAAATTACTAATCTAAACATAATAGAAAGTTAAGTTTTAGATAAAAAAGCTAAAGTAAATCAATTATATATAATATCTTAGGCTGTTAAATTGCTCAATAGATAAAATTAAGTAGTTAGATAAAGATAGAGTGTCTTTTAGAATCATTAATCATAGCATCTTTAATTTTTCTTAGAATAAAACTTCCAATAGTAAATTGAATAAAATTATTAAAAATTGTTACATTCAAATGGTTAAATTTTATAATATTTTAGTTTAAAATTCTGAAGTAGAATCATATCGTAATACTACAAATAGAGCATTTATGTCTGAAGATTAAGTTATATCTGATTTCAATACTTAAAAAATAACATCATTGAGTCTCAAAACATAAAATAATATTTTTATTAAAGAGGAAAACAATAAACCTGCTAAATAAGATGCTTAACTAAACTTTTTTAAAATTCTTAATAGAATTTTCATTTTCTTTTTAATTATATTTAACCTTATTGTTTTGTATTAGGGTCCTAATGTTAATTAATTTGAATTAGATGAATTAGGGGTATAATATTATATTATTAAAGTTATAAAGTGCAATGAAGTAATATGATTTTCTTAATATAATGATTGAATCATATGATAAATTACTCAATGCATTTTATTGTTAAAATAATATCTTAAGTTAAATTACAAATTAATCTGATTTCTATCAAGACTTATAAAATAGTTTTAATAATCAATTATCTGAAATTAAAAATCTATATTAATAATCAAATTTTGTATAAAAAGTCTATAAATCAAAAAATTATGATAATAACTAAAGTACAATAGATTTAATAAATTTATATACATCTAATATTGGTAATCTTTAATTGATAGATTAAAATTATGATTTTGATTAATAACTTGATTTCTTTAGAACAATATTTATACCTTTCCTCTTTAATTATTAAAGTAGAAATATATATTAAATTATTGATAAACTAATATAAACTTACTAAACCTAAGATGATATATGTTTTACAATTATTATGACATCAACTGCAATATTTGGATTTTATTTAATATACAATATTTTTAATATCCTTAAACTTATAATACAATGTTAAGTATTATATTCAATATCTTTAGAAAGTGGCTAAACAATTATCTTATATTGAAAAAACATAAGTTGAAGAATCAATTAAATTTTATTTAAATTTAAAATTTCAGTTTTCTTGTATAAGTAGTCAAAGTGGCTTAATTTAAAATAGTAAATAAATCAATATATTTTAGATTATTTTTAATCAACAAATTAAACTATCATTAAACAAATGGATGAAGAAGAAAAGAGTAGTAATTTGAAAAGATAAAAGTAAAAGTAATATGAATGGTCAAAGAGATGGAAAAGAATAAAAGTATTTATTAAAATTAATTAAGGTTCTTATGATTATAAAATATCTATTTTTTATGTCAATGATATCATTTCTAAGTTATTTCTACTTTATTCACATAATGAGATTTAATAATTTGATGTCAAATCTATTAAATTCAAATTACTTTACTAAGGAAACTACATAATTGTTATCATTGACTCTATCCAAAGAACTCTTTATTTATGATTTCTATAATCAAACTTATATAGATATTTAAAACTATAAAGAAATTCAATCAAAATACATAAATAATAATGCTGAATTGTAATCTGACTTATATAATACTGATATTGATGAAATTGATGAAATATTTAATGGAAATTTATGTATTGCTACTATAAATTTAAGTATATTATGAGCTATATTTTAGTTGTAAATTTCTAATACTGTGATACATATTTAAATGGGGCATTGAAATATGGATTAAAATCCTATAACTTTTTGCTTTCCTAAATGGCTTAGCAGTTATTAAACCCAGAAGAGGGACTTTACGAAAACACCACAATTGAAAAGATCTTCGAATTTGATTAAGTAAATATATTGTTTATGGATTAGGTGAACAAATTTTAAAGAGTAGGATATAATTAGGCTTGGAAAATTCTTGGGCAAAGATATAGTTAAAATATTGATGAGAGTGCTTAGTTGGAAATAATCTATTTGTATTTCTTATATTTTAGATTTAGATCATGTTCTTTTACTTTTACTTTTGTACTATTCATAGTCCTATTTGAAATAAGTTTCTTTGATCAAATGTTGCAAATAATTTTAGAAGTTCGATGTTTTTATAAAAGATACTTTTCAAATAACACAATAGATAGATATAAGATTATAAGAGCTTAACTTATATAATGTAAAATAATTAATAAATGAGTCTAATAAATATATTATCATTTCTCTAAATATATTTTAATTATTTATATTATATCTATTTTTGAATAGTAAGACAAGTAAATTGAAATCATAATAGAACACAATAATAATTAAAATACCTTAAAAATATATTAATTAATTTAAAATACTTGATACTATAATTCATTAATAATTTTTAATTAGCTTTTCAAGTGTATCTTTAGGTAGAATATCTTTCATCATACTTAAGTATTCAACTATCTATGGTCTATAAATACATGGCTTTTTATATATTGATTTTTAAATTGAATCAAGTAATGATTTAATATAATTTAAAGATTTTTGTGCTTCTTCTGCATTTGACTCTTTTAAATATTAATATGTGTGTTTTAAAATTGATCTAAAAAATTGTTGAATAAATTTGGTTTAAATAGGATTTAATGTTAATAATCCTTTAATAAATCTACATTACATTATCAATTAACATAGTAAAGATTTATCAGATATCAAATTCTCAAATAAATCAGATTCACAATCATCCATGTTTTCACAATACAATTCAATAAATCTCATAAAAATATGATAATCAAACATTGGTTATAAGATATTAGCATTTGGTATAACAAACATTACATTAAAGTAATTTTCACAAATCTTCTCTAAATCTGCATATTCTTCATCTACATCATCCATATGTAAACAAATATCTTTAGCATAATTAAGAATAATTTCATTAGGTAATCCTTAAAATAACTAAGAAAATATCAATTCTTATTCTTCAATTCTAGCTTCAATTAAATTATAATATTCATCATGCATTTCATCAAATTCATCATATAATTTAAATAGAGTTGGTATCTAAAATAAATTATTTTATATTTTTACTTTTTATTTTATCATATCATTAAAACATTGAAAATATTCATTTACTTATTCAAAATCTCTTAATAATTTTTATAATTCTTAATTTTATTCTAATTAAGTTTTAATTATCATTTCACTTGAATTAATAGCAGATATAGATCTTTCAATTTAATTTTATAATCTATCTCTTTTAAAAATCTCTTAAGATATAAGTGTTTATAAATTTCCAATTATTGAATCCAAATTTATTTATGAAAAGTTGTCCATAAAACTAGAATAATGAATTTATTATGAATCATTAAAATTGAATGTCTTATAACCATTATTTGCATAATCATATGAAACTGTATTAGATTTAATGATATTTTACTCAAATCTATTGAATTCTTCATCATCTGAATTATGTTCATAGAAAAGTTTCTATTATTTGGCTATTCCTATCATATTCATTCTCCTATTATCCATATTTGTAATTAAATTATTATCTGTTTCATCTATTATAATTACATTTTTTTTATTTTTATTTTTCATTGTTTTTATATCATCCTCATAAATTCCATCATTTTCTAAATCAATAATATTAAGTTCTTTAACATTCTCTAAATTTTTTTTAATTAAATAATTATTCATCCTATTTTCCTCCTCCAATTCATTTAAATACTCGTAACTCTCTATTTGAATCACATCTTTTTGAGTATCTACTAATTATTTATTGTCTACTTTCACATATTTTTTAATTGAATCTAAGTGTACATCATCATCATAATTTATGTTATTTTTTGGATTCTTTGATTAGTTCACATTAGATACATAGGTATTACACTTTTATTCTTTGGTTTCTTGATCATGAAATGAAATAGAAACATGTTTTTTAAATTTTTTATTAAACATATTTAATAATAAATTTAATTAATTATTTACTCAATACTTTTCTTTTAATAATTCATTTATTGAATCTCTTCTACTATAATATAAGGGAATACTAAATTTCCTAGATTCTGATTCAGGATAATTAATTGTCTTCACTTTTGAATACTTATAGAGTCTTTCATATTTTCTCAAAGCATAAATCACATTAGACATAGGCATGTAACCAAAATAATTCATTAATCTATCAATATTGAAATTTGTAGTTTGAAATTAATCATCAAACTAATTCATTTATAAATCATTAAAATCAATTTGAAATTATTATGAAACTTAATTTTTAGGTGAATTATTTTATTGATCATCTTCAGACTCAGATTTTAATTATCGATCAGAATCTCTAAAGACTGATTTTAAATTAACGAAAATTCCAACTTTTTTCTATTAAGATTAATTTCTCTATCTTATCAAAAAAGAGTTATTTTTTTTTAAAGGAGCAACTGGAAGAGGTTTAGTTTATTGTCTATCTAATAGTGATTGTTTTTAACAATTACTACTCAAATCTTTTGTAGCATATGTTGAAAATAATTTCATATCAACATCAATTTAAGTAGTAGAAAGATTTGCTTTATATTCTTCAACAGTGTCTTAGATTGCTGAATGTAACATTAAACATCGCACTTTTTAATTATTTCTTTATATAAAATGTCTTTATTATATAGATGGCTTTAATTCAGCTTTCTTAATTCTTTATAAAATATCTGGTTTGTAAGATAAAAGTGGACAATCAATATTAATATGATCAGCAATTTTACAATAATTACAACATTTTTATACAATTTAAAAATTCTTATTAAAAATAATATTATCTTTAATATGATGAAATCTTTGAAAATCTTTAGAATTTTAATTTAATAACTATAATAAAGATTAGCGATTTATTTTAAATATTTTTGTAAACCCTTAACTTTTAGTAGATGTTTATGATTAAAATCCAGTAAAGAATTAATATTCACCAAATGTATCCCCAGCTTTTAAGGATTGTAAGAGTTTTTGACTATTTTCTTCATAAATATTAACAATTCCTTCTTGTATATAATAGAGACTTTGATCATTTAAATCATTTCTATGATATATTACATCTCCTGGAGTAAATTTAAATTCTATTAAAAACTGAGATAATTATTTAAGAGTTGATTGTGAGAATTAATTATTTAAAATCTTAATCCTCTTTATAATATTCATCTAAACATCTTATACAAGTTCTTATTTTAATCCAATCGGTAAATCTGTTATGATTTTATTAATATCATCTTTATTTTCATTAGCTTCATTTTCACATTAATATTTGAGATAATTTCTGATTCTACTTTATATTTATAAATCAACTTAACTATTTTTCATATAAGCATTCATAATTATTATTGAACGTCTAAAATATAAAAATAGTATAATTACTTATATTTTTATTAAACTTCATATTAACTTTTGAGTATCATTCCAATTTAACTAATTGAATAACCAAACATGCAACTTGAGAGAATCATCATTAAATTAGCTGCTAAAGTTTCAAATTAATTAGTAGGTGTTATGTCTCCATAACCTACAGTAGACATAGTCATGGTTGCCCAATAAAAAGAGATATTATACTTTTCCCAAATTTAACTATTTTGTAGATTCCTTTAAATTAACCAAGACTGACCTTGATCTATAGTAATTTCACCAACATAATGCCAAATACATGCCATAATATGTGCATATGAAAAGATCAAAATTGTTAGTGATATTACATCTATAGCATAATGATATTATCCTTTAAGATAAAGAATTTCATATAAACTTTCATAATTCTAATTAAGTTTTTTGTAAGAGATGAAAATGATAATTATACAAAAGCCACCTTGTAATTGAATATTATCAAAAATTGGAAAAAATGAAATAATTAAAGTAAAGATATATATTAAATCTTCCAATAAGTTTTTTCTAAAGAAATCTTTAATTCTTTCAGTTTTATCATATATGGTTTCTCCATTTATTATTAATGGACTATTGATTTTAATGAAAACATCAAAAAAGACTTAAAATAAAATAATAATAAAGAGGACTTAGAAAATTGAATTTTCTTATTAAAATGAAATCATAAAAGGTGTAATCCATAATGTGAGTATTTGAATGAATAAAGACCATATATTTAAAATTATTGAAATATGACTACCAGATATTATAAATGGTATGCGACTATAAGTATATTGATTTCCTTAAATTATGATGTATATTACTTTTAGTTGGTTTTTACCACCAATCTTGAAGTAAAAGATACTTATTTTCTTTACTTAAGACATAAGAACGCATAAGGAGAATGTTTTTGAACTTTTAAACAAGTGAATTTCTATTAATTGTTCTCAAGAAACTTGTTCGATTTAAACCAATCTTAAATTCAGATCTTCTTTTTCTTGTCAACTGAATAAAAAAGAGAAGGTTATTATGAATACCTATTTGCTTATATCTTATTTTAATAATGTAGATTCACAATGTATAGTATTTTTCATTTTATTTGGATGTAATGATGTATTGGAGTCTATTTATTAGAATTGATATTTTTGTAATTGATCTTAATCAAAACTCAATCTAGGACCATTAGGATGAAGATCTTTGTTCTATTCATTTGAATCAGATATTTGTTTCAAAATACTCATTTAATATAATTATCACAATCTCGGTTTATAAAATAGTTGAATAGCATTCATGGCTTAATCTTTAAGGTGACCTAATTATGGAGTTATATTCTTTTCTAATTCTTAAATCAGAGATAATAAAAATCTATTGTGTTCATTATAAAATGAAGCCAAGATATCCTTATTATCTCCTAATATTAGTTTCTAATTAGCAATCAACCAATAAGTATACATATTAGGTTCAGATAATGTTGATCTATAATAATATTAATAATATATACTTATTCCATTTTTAAGTATCTCTTGTCAAAGTCATTTATATTTCAATTACTCTACCAAGTAATTTTATCTCTTAAATTATAGATGGATTGAAATTCTTTAATGAAATACAATCACAAAGTAACATCATTGTACAACATAATCGTTTTTATCTAGATGATAAGAATTCATCACAATTAAATTAACCTTATTTTGCCTATTATAACAATTCAAATGATTTAATATGAGCTAAAATTATATTATTTAATTCAGCCATCAATGCTTATCTTAATTCAGGAAATCCAATAAATTAATCAATATTGTATTCAAAAATATGAATTAATTCATTCATAAGTGATAATCCATATTTTAAAGATACTGCTCCTCCTAAACATGGTTTCTAATTTAATATAAAATTCTTTGATCTATCAAAATCAAGACTTAACATATTGAATGACAATAAATTAATCAGTATTGCTAAAAGCTTTAATTTTGATGTTAAATTATTTTATTTATATAATTCAGCTTCTCTATTAATTTTTACTGTATTCAATACTGAAAATAAATTTTTCAACCATTCTTGACCTTTCAACCCAAATATTTATCTATTTATTGTAGAATCATCAGCATAATTTAAATTGATCTTATTTTAATCACATTCAAAAACTACATGCAAATCTACTTTTTCTTATGTATCAATCAAATCAAAAGATCCTGAAAAAGTACAAAATGCTTTCATTTACTTTCCTTTAGCCTTACCAATCTCATAAAATATATTATAAGCCTTAAGAAATTCTAAAGCTGTTTATTTATTAAAACTATTTCTATTTTTCATAAAAAGAACTGCTTCATCAACCAAATGTTCTGGTATCCCACTAGCTATAGCTATATTTCTTGCATGTAATGTCATATGTCCCTTTTATATACCTTCAACAGCTAAAGCTCTTAAGGCTGCAAAATTAGAAGCTAAACCTACAGAAACTATTATTTCAGCCAATTTCTAAGAATCAGGATAATCTAATATTGATAATATCTATGAATATAATGGATTTTAAGGTAACACTCCTCCTTATGTTCCAACACTTATAGGAACTGTTAATTCACCTATAAATTTATTATCAACTATTTTATAGGATGAAAGTGGTTTGTATTGTCCATTCATTGATGCATAACCATGTAAAGATGCATTAACTGCTCTTGCATCTTGACCTGTAGCATTACATACAGCCTCAATACCATTTATTATTCCTTTATTATGTGTTACTGCTCTATAAATATCAAGTTCTGCAAATTGATAAGCTTCCAACATTAATTTAGCAACTTCTTTACCATTTAATGATTTATAATTCATTTTATCTATATCTATACTGAATTAAGCTGTTACTTTTCTATTCATACATAAATTAGTTAATATTTTAATTCCTACTCTTGCTCCTGTTATCTCAGCTATCAAAGGGGCAATAAATTCCAATACTGTATTTACTAAATTAGCTCCCATACTATCACATACATTTATAAATATGTCCACACTACATTATCCTTTATTTAAATTTCTACATTTCACATCTTCAACTCCTCCTCCTCTTTTAACCATACTTTAACATGCTTAATTTCCTCTATTTATAATTGTTTATCTATTTGAATCTATTAAACATTCAATTTTTGAAAAGTTCTAAATATCTAATAATTAGATTTAACCCATCATTATAGGACGACTTGAATATGTTTAAAATCCAATACCAGCTTCACTAATAGTTTTAGCTGCTGCACTTGCTGCTGCAATTACAGATGGTTCTTCTATTGCCATTGGTACAGAATAACATTGATTATTAATTAAAAAATTTAATCCTAAACCAAGAGGATAAGAAATCTTTCCAATACAATTTTCTACCATTAAATTTGCATTCTATAATGATAATCCACCATCTTTGAATGGTTCAACATTTACATTCATTGTTTTTTCCAATTAATCTAATCTTTATTAAATTGTTTTCTTATAAAATCCAGTCCATAATTAATTATATTATTTTTAAGATTATTATTATGTATTTTAATCATTATTATTATTATTTATTTAATCTCTTATTTATTATATCTTGTTAATAGCTTTAGAATCATCAAAAACAATCATATTAGAAGTTTAATTTAATTCTAATTATTTATGTACAAGATATTCTCTTCTATATTTTTCATCAATTGATTTCAAATAAAATGTTCCTGGATATAAATCAACCTATTTTGGTTAATATTATTGGCTATTTTTATTGTAATTGATTTCTCTTTATTACATAATATGATCATATTCAATACAGGGTATTCTTATTCTTTATTATAGTCTTTCTTAAAGTTTCATTTTTTATTTCAATATTGTAGTTGATTTATTACATTTCAAAAAGAATAATGAAGCTGCACAACCTGAACCATATGAAAACATCATTATTCTTTTATTTATTAAGTCATCTTATGTTTCAATCAAACTTATTAATCCTGCATATAGAGCTCCTGTATAAATATTTCCTAATTCTCTTGATAATAGGCATGATGGAAATGCTTTGTTTAACCAATCATTTTAATAGAATTTAAGCATTTATGATTATTTTCCATTAAAATTTTAGAATGTGAATCCAGTTTCAACTTTTTAAACAAATGATTCATTCAATTTAATTCTTAAGAATGATTTCTAAACCATTTTATGAAAAGGACTGTGAAAACAATAGAAATCAGCATTTAAATTATTGTTTTTCTTAAAATAGGCTTGAATGCAATTATCAATAGATTATAAATAACTTTGTATAGATAACTGACCATCTACAGTAGGATACTCACTTTGAAAGTTTGGCTTATAAAAGTCATAATTATCTTTCATATAAGTAGTTCTAATTGGTTCTAATGTAAATGTTGCATTTGGAGCTATTAACATTGCCACAGCTCCTGCTCCCCCAGTAGTACGTGCAGATCCTTTAGCATAAACTGCTATATCAGTACAAACAACAAGTCCTAATCTACCATCCCAAGCATCACTCTACATCCAATTAATAGTATTAAATAATGCATTAGTCCCTCCATAACATGCATTTATAGAAGTGACTCCTTCAATATTTGTATTTTCACCAAATAATCTCATAAGTGTAGTTTTAGTTGATTTTGATTTATCTAATAATGACTCTGTGCCCACTTCCAATCTACCTATTAATGCAGGATTAATTTAATATTTCTCTAATAGATTGGTAACAACTAACTTATAGATTTGAATATACCTGTCAATGCCATAGTATTTACATCTTCAAAAGGTCTTACAAAGGCCATATTCACTTATCCCAATCCTACAGTATACTTGCCCTAGGAAACATTATCGAATAATTCTGAAATCTAATGAATTTTTAGTACCTAATTCTGTTTGATTAACATAGGTCTTAGGAAAATAAATCTCAATGGCTTCAATTCCAACATTAGTTGCTTTCATGATTATAATTGTATATTTAAATTTTATATTATTGGTTAAATCAAGCCTCCATTATCAGAAATCAATAAATTCATATATATTTAAATATCATTTTATAATATTCTTGTATTATTATAATCTATATTAACTTCTTTTAAGTTAGTAATAATTATGGAAATTATTTGAATATAAATGCAATTATTATGTACTGTAAAATAATATATTCGATATCATTGTTTTTTTGCTTATCCTCTCTTTTTATCTCCTCCTTATTATTATTTTCCTTTTTATCCTTATTATTAAGTTTGTTGTTATTCCTTTTGTTCTTTTGGCTATTATTATTGCTTTTATTTTTGATCTTTCTTTTCATCTTTCACTTCAACTTCTGCATCTTCCTTTAATTTCTTAATTCTCAACATACCTTATTTAGCAGACAATCCAGCTGGAGTACTCATGATAGATTAATTAATTACTTTACTTCCCAAGCTCCACCTGCAATTTGTAATCCTGTTTATGTGCATCTCCAAATACCAATTGCTTATCTTTTCAATGAATGCTAAATATCTAATTCAATTCATACAGCTCCGGTAAAGGTATTAAAATATCTCTAATGTTAAGAAATTTCAAATTTCTTAATTATTTTTCTCAAAGAAGCACCATATCTGGTACCATATTTACCTGTAATTCCCACCTTCTTTGTTTTTTTAGTCATATTTCAAATAAAAATAAAATCTTTAATTTATTTTGTTTAAAATACATTATACTTTATACATTATTATTATTTATCATTTTATATATAAATTACATAATCCATATAATAATTACTAAGATGACAATAAATTTGCATCAAATTCATATAGCTAATCAAAAATTAATGAACAATATTCTATGACATCCAAAAAATAATGGATATTACTCTATAAATCTTCATAAAATATAATGTAATTTTTTCAATATATCATATCTAAATATGTGATCTAAAGAATAAATAGATACTAACATTAATTTGATAATTTAATCAAATTATCAAGATAGAAAAAAGCATAGAAAATGAGATATTCTATTTTGAAACAAAAAACCAGAAAAAAAGTATATGAATTAAAATATAATAACTTATATTTGATAATAATTTAATCTATTGATTCTAAATCAAATTAAAAGATAAAGTAGAATAAAGAATAATTTTGAAAACTTTTTAGATTAAATTTAAACTAAATTGATTGATAATCAAATTTAAACAAAACTATCATATACAAGATTTCACCACATAAAATCATGTTATTTTATACCAAGTGATTTTTTCCCTTAAGATTTCATTTTATCATATTTTTATAGTCTTACAAAAGAATATTTACTTGGAATCATATAAGCTCTTGTTAATCTATATTTTTTTAAGTATTTCAAAATAGATTCAATTATCTTATCAAAATTATTATCAGGAAAATAATGAGAATAAATTATCATTTTATCTAATCCTTCTATTATATTTAATGGTTCAGGATTACTATCATTTTCATAATTAGATGATTGTTTTATTAAATTTTATTATTAACCTAATGATGTAGTTTTTGATACTGATTCATGACGCTTAGATTATAAAGCAGTAAAAACACTTTATTCGGCAAAGAATAGACTTTTTCTTTGTTTTTAACCATATCGAAGCATATCAGTTGGTTTTTTTAATGGAGATTCTGTTATAAGAGGAGATGCAGGAACAAATTTTGTCCTTTAACTTATTCTCCTATTTTCACTAGGTAAACCATAAGATAAAGTTAAAATCTAATCACTCTTTTTTTCATGTCTAATACTTTCCTCAGCTGATTCATTTGATTCATTTATTGATCCTATTTATTGAATATCTCCTGCAGTAACATTATCTAAATCATTTGATGTTTTAATATGTTTAGAACTTTAAAGTAAGCTTTCTTAATAATAAACAGCTTAACGAATAGTTCTCCTTTTAAATTAGGAACGTTCTTATGAAGAATCATAAAAGAAACTCTTTTTGATTACTCTTTCTAAATCAGGTTTATAGTGAATATAAGGACATTTCCAAATAGAATGGGATTCTTGGCAACAATAACATTCAATAGCAGAAGAATTATAATGAAATAAAATTTAATCCTTCAACAAATGAAATTTTTAAAAATCATTATTATAAGAATTAAGTATTTTCAGAAATTAATTCCTAGATATATAATAAATTTGACTGAAATCACAACTAATTGCAGTACCTAATCTCTTTTAATTAGTCAAAAATTCTAATTCTCCAAAACACTAACCAGTAGTAAATGTTTTAAGTACTTTACCTGAATTATCATCAATTAAATTCACTTCTCCTTTCCATACAATAAAGATATTACACTCATCTATTTACTTTTATTAATAGATTATTTCTCTAGGTGTATATGATTAAAGATTTAATTCACAAGCAATTTAAGGTAGAATTTCTTCTGAAAAATTTTTATTAAAAAAAGGTATACATTGCATAACTCTAAATTATACATCTTAAATTAATTCTGATCTTAATGTAGTTGGTAATTTATCAATAATACCACTTATCTCATTTTTGTAAAGTTTTTCTTATTTATGATAATGATACTTTAAATAATTTCTAATTCTACCTTGAAGTTATTCTGCAACTTAATTATTATTCATGTATTGATTAATAAGCAATAAAGTTCTCTTATATTGTTATTTCTATGCATCCATATTAGTAAATATTGAACCTATTTGATTCATTGAGAATGCAAAGATTCCACTTGAAAATATCATGAGCACAATTGCACATAATACTTCATATATATTTTTACCTGATATATCTCCATATCCTACTGTTACCATAGTAGTTGTTGCCCAATAAAATGAATAAACATACATCTATAAAATACCAGCATTATCAAACTTTGGATCTTGAGTCCAAGATATTTCATTCACTTCTATACTTTTGATTCCTACATAATACCAAATACATGCCATAAAATGGGCAAAGTAAAATGTAATTATTATCAATTATATTAACTTTACTATTTCTGTTAAAATTGAAGATTCAACAAAAGTTTCTTCATATTTAGTTAAGTATTTCTTCAATTTTATAAAATTCAAACCAAATTATACTAATACTATTACTTCTTAAAATCCACTAGCTCTTATTCCTATATCACTTATTACAAATATTAAAGTAATAAAATATATTATATCCTCATGCATTTCATTTTAAACATAATGTTTCAAAATGCTAATTCTATTTTTTATCAATTTACCTTAATCAAAAATACCTCTATTAAACTTTATTACTAAATCTGCTGCAAATATGTATGTTAAAGCACTCTCAAAGGCATCAATATTTCTACTTGAAGATGGATTAAAGGCAATTTTAAATGGCAACCACCACAATAATATTGTTAATTAAATAGCTCTAAAAAATTCCCATATTAACATCACTTTACTTGCAGGATTAAAAACAGGAAGCTTTCTAAAAATCTAATTTTTAACTCCATCATCAGAAATTTGTATTTATTTTATTCTTTTCCAATTCTTTTTTTTGTGCATAACCTCTCTTAAATTTTCTCTTATTTTTTCTCCAAGATTACTAGGAAATATGTATGCCTTCTTTTTTAATCTCTCTATAAATTATTTCACCAGATTATTAATTGCCAACATTTTAGTTATCCCACTATTTCTTGGATGTCTTTGCCGATCATTCTTATCTTATAAATTATTTTAACATTGAAAACTCCTCAATGAACACATATCCTTATTTTTACTCTTTGAAATACTGATATCTTTAAAACGGAGATTCTGTACAGAATTTACTTATGGTACAGAATCAGATTCAGAGTTCTCTTTAAAAGGTATGTCTTATAAATCTAAGTGAATTAATTAAGGTCTAAATGAATCTGAGATTCTAGAAGAACCTAATTTATGGTACACATTACACCTGCTTATTTTAAGTCATTATACAAAGTTTGTTCTAAATCATCAATCATACCTATTAGAAATTCTTATAATTATTTATTTAAATTTAATTCGTTTATCTAAACTATAATATTCAATCAAACCTTATCACCTACCCTTATAATATAATACTCATTAACATAATATTAAAAAACAGGACTTATATTAAATAAATTCTTTAATAGTATAAAACCATTAAATATTTATTTATTTTATTCAATTCATTAAGCTTGAAAGATAAAATGAGTAAATTTACTAATGATTAGTATTAAATTTAGAATCATTAAAGATATTATTATATATATTAATAACTAAAATAAAAATCTGGGTAGTATATAATTAAAATTATATTCGAAATAAATGTTGAAATATTTAGAAATGTAAATTATTATTATAATAATAAAATAAAAAAATTAATTATTTTCTTTTTATAATTAATATCTTTAATATCAAAGTTTTTAATTTAAAATATCCTACTTATACCTAGTTGGTATTATTAATAAGAATTTTCTCTTTGTCTCAAGACATCTAGATTGGACTTTGTAAGAGTGTATGTTCAATTAGTTAGGCTGTATAATAATATCATTTTCAAACTAAATATAATATTAGTATGTTCATATTATTTCATAATTTTTGGAATCACTTTCCCTAATTTAAATATTAGCTTATGGGATATATTTCTAAGTAAAATAGTACATATTTAACTCCATCTTTTTATAAAATGGCCATAAGTAAGTTTACTAAATAAATATCCACTTATTATTTACTTTAAAAAACAAGATGCAATAGGATTTATCTAATAATATTTAAGAATTTATTTCAATAAATATAGATCTAAAAGGAAATTAAAAAAATAAACTTTAATTAAAATTTAATCTAATAAATTTATTCATTTTCTTCATTTGAATTTATTTTGTTAGTTTTGGATTCAAATTTATGAGAAATTGAAGATTGTTTTAATTATGTTAAATCATTATAAAAATTTAGTTTATTTTTATAAATGTTTGATAGTAACAACTTAGATGAAGAGAATATTAAATTATGATTTATTATTGTAATAATTAATGAAGTTTGAAGATGATTCTAACATTTAAATTTAATGATTTCTTTTTTAACTTAATTTACTAAAAATATATTATATTTGGCTTAATAATTTAATATTAGCTCCTATAAGTATTAAAAATCAAGTATTCTCTTTTTCAAAAATTAGATTAAATCAGATTAGTTGAGCCTTTTTAAAACAATCATTGATCTTAATATATTTAAAAAGGTATAATAAATAATTTATTTTAAAAACATTAAAGATTTCCTATCTGTTGGTAATTTTTTGATATGATAATTGTAAATTTTATTTTTAAAGGAGTTCCATAATTAAAGATTTAACCTATGATAATAAATATTATATTTATGTCAGTGATCTTATTAGAAATTAAGTATTTGCTTATGATTTTTATGGTATTAAATAGCAATTAATTTTTAAGAGTTATTAACAGATTATGGTCATCATCTTTTGTAATGTTTTTAAGTTCAAACTGTTCTATTTATACTAATGTTTGAGGTATCAAAAATCATATTAAAATAATAAATAATTATCATGCATACAATGACTCAATTATGTATAAATTTCAATTATATAGAACTTAGTGGTTTCTCATTCTTTTCACCTAGAAATATAAGAGATAATTAAAATCTCATTCTTAAAACATCTACAACCACTCATACTAAATAAAGGAATATCATATTTCCAAAAAAGAAGAAATAAAAAAGTAAATCACTTCCACCTTCTTGTCGAATCCCATAATTGGAGGATGATTAATATTTAACAACTATGACACTGACTGAAAGGATAAAGAAGCGTTATTTCTAACCTTTAAAGAATGCTGTTGCTAAAATAACTGAGATTAGATAACAACAATAGTCTAGAAGGAAATCAACTTATGGATTAATGTTTGGTTAGTTGACATCAAAAGAAATGTTAAATCTCCCAACAATAATCGAATAACATAAGCAAGTCAATAAATAAGAATTGGCTTTGGCAAGCTTTGCAATAATGTTAGAAAGAAAGTAAAGAAGGAAAACAACAAGAAAACTATCTAAAAAGCTATCCAAATAAGAATCTGTCATTGGTATTTATATTATTACTATTATTCAAAGAATATGATAATATGGAGAGACCTCCTTCTTGTAAAACACCCCCAAAAAAAATCTTGATATGTAAGCCAAAAATCAAATCTAAGCTATAGTTAGAAAATGAACGTTATTTTAAAGGATTTGATCTAAAGATGTGTCATTTCCTATCAAATAAACTCTAAAAAAATGTCATACCTCAACAAAATCTTATAGTCAAATCACACTTTCAAACAAAATCTTGTGTTTCACTTTAAAATCTTTAAATATGTTCTTTTGTTTCATCTCCTAAGATAAAAGCTGAAATAAAATAAAATACTGAAGTAAATTTGATCCTTTCAAAATAAAAAAGTAAATCCACTCTCAAAATTGAAAGACCTTATATAAAACATAATACTTAACTTTTGAAAAAGATATAGTAGACATTTGAAACTAAAAACACTACATGGTCAAAACAAAATTCAATTGAATAAAAATAATACTGATTCATAACTAGTTAATTTATATATATAAATTGCCGAGAATATCATTAAATTATCCAATCATCCTAAAGATGGTTTCCTTATAAACTAGGTGTTACTTGCATTATGTTGTCTGCATGATAGTATTTAGTGTATAGAATGGGCAATATTTGATCTTATTCTATCAGATGAAGTTGGTTTATCATTAACATATCTACTACTCAGCACTAAATAATAATTATTGAAATAATAATACCTGGTTTGTTTTCAAAAGTGTTATTAGCAATTAAAGTTCGAGTTTGTTGTAATTTTAGAAATATATTATCCTTACTTAATTTTTTTTCAAATTCCTTTAATATTGTATTTGATTAAGTTTTTGATTTTTTAAAGGTACTATTAGAGTCTATTTCTTTGAAGAATTTATTGTTTAATTTTGATGTGTTTTCTTTAGGATTAATAGACAAAATCCAAGGATGATTTAAAGCATCCTGAGGTTTTAATCTTGATTCAGCATCCCAAGTAAAGCATCTTTATAGAAAATCAACAAAATCATCATCTGTAGTTTTAAGAATTTCTTATAATGAAACTGATTACGGTTTCCTATAAGTTTTGATGACTTTTTTTGGTTAACCATTTTCATCAAAGAAATGTTTTTTTCTTGGGCATTTCAATGCAAATTCAGTAGTTGGTGCTCCTATAACCTCCATAATCAAATTAAATTATTCAATTTCGTTATCTCCAGGAAAGATTGGTTGTCCAGTATGAATTTCAGATACTAAACATGCAAAACTCCACATATCAATTTCAATTCCATATTTCAATCCAAAAATCACTTCTGGAGCTCTATAATATCTAATAATTAATCAAAGATAGAATACCTGCTTTAAATATAAGTATAAATTTAATTTCCATCTATGCATCCAGAACCAAAATCAACTAGTTTAATGATCTTTGATTTCATATCTTATACCATGACATTTTCTGGTTTGAGATCGCAATGTACAATATTGAGTTTTTATAAATAATTCAATGCGACTAAAATTTAATATGAAAATTTTCTTAATGTTTCATAATCTAAACCTCGAAATTTTTATTGTTTTAATAGTTCAAACAAATTGTTTTCTAATTTTTCAAATACTATGCATTAATGCCCTCTAAAATTGAATTATTCTTCTATTCTCACAATATTTGATTTGTTTAATGGGTCTTTCTCTTTAATCATCATTAGTAAGTTGGCTTCTACTTATGCTTATTTTTTTAACTTTTCTTGATTTCTGATAATTTTGAGAGCGAATGTTTTTTATGTTTTGTGATCCAATACTTAGAATACTTGACCAAAACTACCTTATCCAATTAAGTTAATAATTTCATATTAATATTTAATGTGATCTTTTGCATAACACAAATACTCTCCATTTTAACCATCTTATTAAATTTTGGATTATTTGTAATAATATACTTGTTTCAATTATTATACTTCAAGAATTTCACTTTTAGTTAAATTAAACAATCTAATAAACTAATCAACTAAAAGTGGAAATTTTGACATTGTTGAAATTGGAGCATTTTCTTTTTCTTTATTAGTTTTATTTTTAAAGTTGAGTATAATATTCTGTATTGTATTATTGTTGTTATTTAGATTAATATTCGTATGTAAAGGTTAAACTGGCTTAAATTTCTTTTCTGATGCTAAACCTGAAGTATTTGGACTAGTGGGAGTAGTGTCAATTTTGCGTTTAGTAGAAAGTGGATGATTAGTTTGGATAATTTGTTTTAGAGCAGACATATCCAAATGAACAGAAAATTTCTTACGATCAGCCAATTTCATCAACTAATCTGTTAAATTAATATAATGAACTTAAAAGAATAAGAATCAATTAATGATTATTTTAAAGATGATTCAAAATTTATAGGGGAATTCTAAATGCCTGATTATAAAGTTATGCGTGGATATATTGGTGGATATGGAGATGAATTGAGACTCTATTACACTAAATTTGATCCACCAAATAAAAAAGCATCCTTGTGCATAGTTCATGGCTTTGGTGAACACTAAGGAAGATTTCTACATGTATCTAAAATACGTTATATTAAGATTGCTGACATCTTTGCAAAGTTGAATTTTGCTGTCCATTTAATAGATTTGAGAGGATTTGGATATTCTGGAGGTCCAAGAGGATCTTAAACCTTAAAGGAATTACATATGGATATTGAAATCTTATTAAGATAAGTATCAAAAGATCTTCCATTATTTCTCTATGGACATGCAATGGGTGGATTACTTATAATTAGTTTTTTAATGAGAAACCCTGAACTTAAAATTAGTGGCATTATCACAACTGCTCCTATGCTTGGTTTTCCTATGGATAGAAAACTAAAAGGAATCAAATACATCGCAGTTAAATATTTTGGACATTACATGGAAGTATTAATCTTCTTAAACTTTATCATTTAGGATTTAGTAATTAATACAAAACTCAACATTACAGGAATGAGCAAAGATGATCTACATATATAAAGATGTTTTGAGGATAAATTAATGATGCCTTTACTAGGTATTGGTATGGCAAAAAGTATTCTCGAAACCTTAAACTACATGGAATCAAAAGTGTAGACATTTAAATATCCTATAATAATTTTACATGGTAAACAGGATGCTGTTTCTAGTTATCATGAGAGTGTAAGATTTTATGAAAAATGTGGTAGTCAAGATAAATCTATTAAATTGTTTGAGAATGGTTATCATGAATTGTAGCATGATTTTGAATTTTTGGAAATGAAATAAATAATGATTGATTGGTGCTTGATACGTATGCAAAAGGCTGATCCATTTGGTATTATATAATATGTATAAATTATTAGGAATTTTATTGTAATCGAGACTTAATTATGGTATTCCAATTGGAAAGAATAATAATATCAAAATGTTGGTGGGTTTATTATTCTTGTTAGTTTATTTGTTAGTAATTATGAAATTTAAGGGGAGATTCTAAAAATATTAATATCCAATTATTCCATTGATCATAATATATAGATATTATAATAAAAAATTATGAAAAATTTTAGACGAAACAATAATCAATCAAATAGACCTTTTAGAAATAACAGAAGACCTAGAGCAAATTTCTAAAGAAAATTCAGCAGGGATGATAATGATCGTAACAACAATAATCAATGTAAATGGCTTTTTATAGACTATCCATTATATAGCAGATAGAAGACCATTCAAAAGAAGTTTTAGATTCAAGAAGTCAGGTAAATTTGATGCTTTCAGGACTGGTAAAAGAAGATTTAGAAAATTGTCTGAAAACAAAGGTGAAAATTTGGAAAATAAATTGGATAAATAATTAGAATAATATAAGAGTGGATAATAAGTTGTAGGAAATAGTGGTATGAAATATAATTTATTAAAAAGCATCTTCTAAATTGGACAATGCTTTAGATGCATATTTTTCAAGAAAAGGATCGAATACAAAAGAAAATAATTTAGATAGAGAATTAGAAAGCTATTGGAAAAAAAATAATTGATAAATGTTAAAATATTCAATATTATCAAAAGATATATAACACAAGAAAACTCTTATGATAGTTAAATAAAAATAACTTTACATAAATTTCAATAATTATGAGATTATGATTATTGTTTATCTCTGCTCAAACACCCAAAAGCAGAAAATACCTTATCCATAAATCCCATTTCCTCTTATCTTTATTATGGACCTTGTATTTCTCTTAATCCTTAAGCCATTTATTACCTTTGGGATACTCTACTTACTCTAGTTTTAAAATCATCATCTTAATTATAATTTGAACATGCTGTAGATTTGCTATTGTTATTAACATTTTATGGAATTGAATAGTTGGATGATTTTGATAAATTTTTTATATCACCATTACTACTAATCTATTTTGTATTTTTATTAAATGATCTACTCATTATATCTTCATTCTAAGGTGAAATTGATCTACTAGATAGATCATTTTGTTTTTCCTCTTTATACATATATGATCTTAAGTCAATCCCATAACTTTTGTAGAATTTCTTCATCCATTAATGATCAAATATCTGATTCATTGAGAGTCTTTCATTTGGGTTATATTTTAAAATTCCTTGAATTAATTATTTAGCTTCTATTGACAAGGTTGGATCATAATCTATAGGAACCATTTTAACAATATTAGTGCATTTCTCATTTTCAGTCCTTCCTTTAAATGGTGCATAACCATGTATTAATTCATATAATAAAATTCCTAAACACCAAATATCTAAACTAAAACTATATGGTTAATTGGTTAGCATTTCAGGAGCCATATAATCAAGTGTTCCACAGAATGTTCTTCTTACTCCATTTTGAGTTGTTTCTGCTGACCAACCAAAATCACAGACCTTTATATTGCCTGACTTATCTAATAATAAATTTTCTGGTTTTAAATCTCTATGAATGATATTCTTTTTATGTAAATAATCAATTCCTAAACAAGTCTAAAAGAAATATACAAATGCTTCATTTTCAGGAAGCCTTCTTCTTTTTCTAATATAGCTGAATAAACTGCCATTTTCTTAAAATATAACAAATTTGAGATACCTGCTAATTCTAATATAAGAAATACATTCTCTTTATCTTCAAAATAATGAAATAACTTTGTTATATGAGGATGTTATAGTCTTCTTTAAATTTTAATCTCCCTTTTAAGATTTTCAACAGAACAATACTCAAATATTTATTTCTTGTTCATCTTCATTATAATAATCAATAATACCACTTTCATAGCATACATTTATCCATTTTAACGATCCTTAACCAATTTAACACACCCATAACTACCTTTTCCCAATTCCATCTTATTATCCTTAATGATAATTTCAAAATCTTCTGCTGATCTTCTAATTGATTTTAATGTTGAAGCTGAGTCATTAAGTTCGGTTTTTGATTTAATTTGACATGGTCTGCAATTGTTCTTATGAGACAAAGTCCTGCAATAAAATACATAATCTACCAATCAGTATCCTTGCATTTTTAAGAGCAATATTTCATTATTTAACAAACAGAACAAATGTATTCCAATTCTAGAACTGTTTTATTAGTACAATATTTATATGAACATACTTAATTCATTTTATAATTTATAATAACGCATTAATTAACCTATTCTTGTCAAAAGTATTATATATGAAAAAGAAATAAGTATTATTCAAAGATTAAGATCTATTAATAAATCAAATCATAATATCTAAAGATTAAGATGAATTTTAATATTTCTCCAATTTTTCTTATCATTCTAAAAATTAAAGAAATAGAATTTATATTACATGATAATAATAAATAAATATTATAGTAAAAGGTGGAATTTTAAAATGAAGTAAGAAAATCATATAGTAAATTTAATAGATCATTTTAATTAGTTCACTTATTAAATACTTCAAGTAAGTGTATAGTTTTTTATCCTTTTTCATTTTGGATTGTGTATTTCTCTATTTTAATCAATTTTGATGATAAAATTGAGAAAGAAAAATTGAGAATTTAAAATGCAAAATTTAGAAAAACTTTAATTAAGTTAAATTGAGTAAATATATTATGTTATTATTATTTAAAAATAAAGTTTCAAAATGTTTGCTAATTGATGTAATAAATCTAAGATGATTAATTTTTGTTGGTATAATGAATATTTGAATAAAATCATTAATAAATTAAACCTTGAAATTGTTCTAATATGTTTCTACAAAAAAAGAAATAATAAATTTAATTATATGATGGAAGCATTAAAACATGCTCAATTTATTCAAGATAAAATTGAAGTATTCATTATTAATTTAGAAATATAAAATATCTTTTCTACCCTCAATAATACTTAAAAATTAGTAATAATATTAGCTAATTTTTGGCTGGGTTCTTGGATAAGCTACAATGATTATTATAGGCTTTTTAATGATGGATAGCAAACTCTTTTAAATATAATAAAACTTTATCTCGTGATAATATCAAGCTAATTATTATCAAAATTTTGTTCTTTCCTAATTTCATTAACATTTTTATAAAATCCTTTCTATTAACAATTATTTTTTTGCTTAATCTTCAAATCTGATATAACATTACTATTTTTTCAAAGTCAAGGTATTTGATGTTAAACTAAAGGATATTAAAATTCTAATTCATTAATTATTACATTATAATACATAAATATTACTGGATTTATTGTAAAAATAAAATGATTAAGGAAGAATAAGTAATGTTTAACTTTAATAAATGAGTTTTCAGATTTATATGAAAAACAATAAATTATTTATTTAATATATATTAATTTATAAATTTCAGTTTATCGACATGTAGTTTAAAATATTTCCTATTGTTTTTTTTCACTTATGTTTGAAAATTAATTATGTTTTCTATTGTGATAAAATTTGATAACAATTATAAGACTCAAATTTAATGTTAAAATAAAGAATCAATTAAATGAAGAATAACCACAATGACTACACTTTTATTAGTAAAAGTAGTTCTAATTGAAGCAAACTTAACATTTTTTCAAGAAAGAGAATGATTTTTTTACACTCTATGAATTTTTTGATAAATCTTCAAGAAATAAAGCTTGAGAGAATATTCCATTTTCATCATCTTCATTACTATCTGTTGAACTATGATTACTTCCTCCTAAATCTATTTGTTAAAGTTTAATTGTTTCCAGTATTTATAATCCCTAATCATTTTTGTTGGGAATGAATCTAGTTCCTGGTGCATCTCTTGTACATTATTGACATCTATTACAAATCTTTCTAAATGAATAATTTAGATTCCTGCATTCAACACAAATCCAATCACAAGCTTTATTTTACATAATAAAGTTTTCCAATTATTTATATTAATTTATTTTTTATCTCTAATTTTAATATATATTAGTGTAAATTAATAAAAAAACCGACAATCCAGTTTTCAAATTTCAAAAATTATTTCATTACTTATTAATCATTTCTGTATTTAAAGAATACTAATAAATATTTATTAACACTTATATCATTCCTTTAAATAAAAAATCATCACTCCTTATAAAAGTAAAAGATTATTAAATTTTTATTTTTCACTTTCTTATAGTAATTAATGAAAATTTACATTTAGTATATATAAATATATATAATTAAAAATAGCTATGATCAAGTGTTTTTATCTAATAATATAAAAATGTTGATGGCTATAAAATATTTATATTTTTATTTAAGATAATAAATCCTATTTTAGAAGAATAATAATCATTTTATATTCAAAAGCCATAATTGTTATGATACATTTAACTTCATTTACAACCAAATTTATGATCCATACTTGAAAGTGCAATACAGAAAGCTTAAACTGGAGTTAGAGGATATGAAAAATCAAGGACAAATTCTCTATCATCGTTCTTACCAAATAACATTACTGGGATTTCACTTCCTCTTTCAGTCAATATGAAATTCTTTACAGAACTTGTAAATATTCTACCATAAAAATTTAATCCGTAAGCTTTATATGAAGAAATCCATTAAGGTTTTCTATTTATTAGTTCAATTACATTGTCTAAATTATTTATAATAGATGTATAAGGTTTTTGATTCTTAAATTCATATAATTATCCACTAGAGGTTATTTAAGGAATAAATGTCTAAAATTAAGAAAATTAGTACCTAAATTGAACGTAACTTCTTTTCATATGGTTAATAATATATCACTCCTAACTCTTTTCTTAATTAGTTTATGTCTTTTGATTTCTTGGCTGTTTTTCCATTATCATATAATAAATATTTTAATCCCATAAAATCTCCTTTAATTTTACCTAAATATTACTCTTTTTTCCCTTTAGCATAAATTTTATAGCTGCCCTTTATTTAAAATGATTTTTTCTCTGCATTTAATAAAATATTATTGAATTATTCTAAAAACAATGTAAACTTTGGAGAAGCTCTATAAAATCTACATTATATCATTCCACCTTTAGGAGCAGGAGATATTAAAAATTATTCTAAGCTAAAGTCAATTTATAAATTTTATAAAATAGTATAATTATTGTCCTTAAATTTCTAAAGTTCAGGAGAATCACTTTTTTAATGTTGTTTTATTGGTATTGGAGATTTTTAGCTTTATTACATTTGCTGTTATTTTGGATGTGATTGTTCCTGCAATATTTCCTATTTTTACCTAAATTAGCATTAATTAAGAAGAATTTTTCAATTCATAAGCAATATTGTGTTCTTATTATTAAATTTTGTTATCTTTAGGACTAGTTTTTTATTCCATATTATAAAAATCTATTATTTCATTATCTTCAAATTAAATTACATCATCACTTGAATTATCATCTTAATTTTAATTCATTTATTTTATTATTTTAGAAAATATCAAAATTTAGTATACAAGTAATAGTTGTATTAATATATTAATGTAAAACTAAGAAATTAAATATTATTCAACATCTATAATCCAATGATATCTCATTCTTTTTTTTTACTTATAAGTAAGTAAATTTATATTTTTGCATTAAATTATGTAATTTTAAAATCATTTTATATGATCGTATTCCTATAAACTCATTAAGTATTTATTAACAATTTTGAATTAAATAATCATTATTTTTAAATATAATTCAATATATTTACCTACTATAATATATGAAATATAAAATAATTATGTTCTTTCTTGCTTAAAATTATCTAATTCTAAGTAATTTTAATTATATATAGAAGAATTATCAATTAGATATAAAAAGAAATGTATTGTACTTGTATTTATTGTATAAAATTGTGTTCAATAATATAAGATACTATTTTATTGATATAAATTATGTTACTTATTTAGATGCTTAATGAAAATAAAATAAAAGATATCAAGGTAATATCATTTCTTATTCATAGTAAATGTAATTAAAATTATATATTTAAATTATATATTTATTATGTATAATAATATTGGTTTAATGACTCCTAGAGGTAGTGGTACCTCTGGGTATGTATAAAAAAATCTAGCTCATATAAAACCAACAAGAAAGCAGGATGAATTTCTTAAAGAAATTAAGGCTATGAAAGTTAAAAATTATTTTTAATAAAATTTAGGAAAATGTTATTTAGGCACGAAAGAAAGCTAATCCAGAAATTATTTTACATGAAATGAAAAGAGACATTGAATTGAAAAAACTTACATTATAAGAGGAATTGGAAACAAGAGGAATTGCAGAAGACGAAATTAAATAGAGAGTTTAAAGATTGGAGGAAAAATTGAAAGATATGCTAAATAAAGGAGAATATTAATTAGAGTACTATGTTATTATATGTTAAGTCATGTTGCAGACACTCATATAAAAACTTAGAGAAAAGAAGAGTAAGAGAAAAAAATTGGAGATGCTTTTGGAATTGATAAAGAATAATTTAAACCAGGCACAGCTTTTGATTTTGATGCTGAAGAGAAAACAAGATTAGAAAAAAAAGTTGAAAGAGAAATGAGAAAAGCTGAACGTTTAATTTAATTAAAGGAACAAAAAAAAGCAGAAAAAAAGAGATTAAAAGAACTTGCACAATAATAATTATAAATAAAAGATGCATAAGAGAGAGACGTCAAGAAGGAAGAGAGTCGTAGTAGAAGTAGAAGAAAAGAAAAAAAGTCAAAGAAGCATAAAAAATGAGTATAGATGATTCATTATATTAACTTAATTATTTCAAACAAGAATTCATATTAATTGATATTTCATATAAATTTTAATAGTTTAATTAAAAGATGATATTATCTATTCATAATATTAAGTAATTAATTATAAATTATGTATGAAACTAATATAGCTCACTAATAAGATTGTAAAATTTTATTAAATATTACTAATTAATATATATATATATTTCTTGATTTAACATTTATTTAAAATTATACCATTAAAATTTTAAGTTAATTTTCAATTACAAATAATTTTATAAATCAAAACTTATTGATTTATATTAATTATCAAATAATAATAATTTTTGATTTAGTTAATTATTATATGTATTTAAACTCTTTTGAGATCAATTTAAAATATTAAAATCCAAAACCATCAATGGTTGCACAATGAAATTTAAGATAAATTAATGTTCTTTGGATTTAGATTCTAGGGTGAAACTCAAATAAATAGTAGTGTAATTAAAGATTTAAATTAACTCTAAATAATATTAATTGAAAAATTAAATAGATTATAAATTTTTATTTAAAAAAAAAAATAAAAGTAAAATCATTATTTTTTGATCTTTAATATTTTGAATTGAATATTATTTAAACTTTTATAATTAACAAAATATTTCAATACTAAGAAATAAAATAAAACTTTAAGATTAAAAATAAATATAAATTTATTAGAAGATATTTAAATTATAATGTTTAATTTTATATTGAAATTCAATATTAATATAAGTAGTGATAAAGAATGAAAAATATTATTACAATTAGAGTATTTTACTTTAATGTAATATCAAAATATAAATAAAATAATCATATAAATTTATGATTTTTATTCTAATATTAACAGTTGTTCATATTTTAGGAGTGTAAATTGAAGACTTAGTGACTTATTTACCTGTAAGATTATTATCATTGAATTTGAATAGCCATTTAATATGACAGAATTTAATTTTTCAATATATTCAGGTTATTTATCGATAACTGATAGCAATTAATCATTTCACTATGTTTTTGTTTAGAGTTAGCTTAACAATTAGGATAATACTGTACCTCTTGTGTTGTGGTTAAATGGAGGACCAGGTATAATATATAAGTAATATTAAAGGATGTTCGTCAATGATTGGATTTCTCCAAGAGATTGGTCCTTTTGTATTTTTGAATGAGGATGATGAAAGTTTATCATATAATGAGTATTCTTGGAATAGAGTAGCGCATTTATTATTTTTGGAAAGTCCCAGTGGAGTGGGTTTTTCACATAATCCTTTGAACATAACATTTAATGATTCATAAACAGCAGATCACAATTTAAAAGTATTACAGGAATTTTACAGCAATTATCCTGAATATCAAAAAAATCCATTATGGTTGGCAGGTGAAAGTTATGCAGGAGCATATATTCCATTGTTTGCAGAGAGAATAAAAAAGTTTAATGATTTATAAGTGGCTGTAATAAATTTATAGGGTATGATGATTGGGAATGGAGTAACAAATTTAACACATCTTCCTATTTCATAATTAATATATTAAAAGTAACATTAATTGTTACCTCCCACATTTGATATTTCTGCTTGTGAGAAGAATGTTACATCTGATGATTGTAAAGATGTTAATTACAATGCTTGGAGAATAACAAAAAGAATCAATCCATATGATATTTATGGATATTGTTATTATGAAGAAAAAGAATCAGATAATGAATAAGAGTGGATCTTGGAAATGAAATAATTTATGATGTTTCATAATGATAATATTGTTAAAGTTACTAACCATGAATTAGGAGTACCATGTGTATAGTTAGACAATATTTAAAACTATTTGAATGATATTTAGAATAAAAGGTATCTTCATGTGGATGAAAGTATACAATGGTTTATGTGTTCAAGATATCACAATAAATAATTTAAATATATATCAGATCCTCCTATGGTTATGAAAGTATTGTAAGAATTACTCAATTATGATCTTTACACTATTCTATTATATAATGGAGATGCTGATAGTGTAGTTCCATACTTAGATACATTATAAGGTAATTAATTTAATTAAAGTTTTTTTTATAGCATTATAAAAATTAAAAGTGTCCATCACTGAAGAATGGAGACCATATTATGTAAAAAATAACTAACTTGGAGGTTATACTTAAGGATACTCAAATAAATTGAGATTTGTTACTGTAAGGGGAGCTGGACACATGGTGCCATAAAATGATAGGATTAGTGCTTTCTATTTATTAAATTAAACTTTGTAAGGATAGGCTTTTTGAAATTATGTGGTTCTTAGTGTTATTAAAATATATATATATATTCAAATTAATAAAAATAATAGGTACATTATCAAAGAACATTATTGAGATATGTATTACGAACTCAAAATAAAGGAAACCAAAACTCTCATAATGACAATTCTTACACTTCTAATTGTAGTGGTGCCTATACATTGGATGATTCAGGCTGGTCTTAGTGTTGTGACATCAGACTCATGTTAAAGATAATGGGCAATTGATTAAAATATGAAGAATAATCTTGATGAAACTTATGCTAGATTTGCTAAGAATTGTTATTGATTTATATGCAAAATGTGCAATTAATATTTATATAAATAATGAAATAAAATCCCGCAGCACCACCAACAAAATAATAGCCATAATAACAACCAACTGCTAAAGACCCTCCCAAAACTAGTGGTAAACCAAATGATTAAAAATAACAATAACCATAATAACAACAACCAATTCAACAACCCAAAACTGCTTAGGTATCTCCACCAAAAAAAGAAACTGTCAAAGCTTCAACTAATGATATAGTAATTTTTCTATTTTATGGTATTTAGGATCATATCTAAAAGATGAAGCAAACAATGATGGACTTTTAAAATAAGTATTTTGAAACTCTTAAAAATAAGTAAGATTCCATTTCTCAAAAGGTTCATTTTTTATACTATTCTTAGCTATCATTAAGAAATGCTGAAAGAGTTGAAGATAAAATACTTAATGCAATTCGTAAAGGTGTCTTATAATTAGAAGTAAATTAAAAGTTAATATTTTTAATAAGAATTCCAAATTCAATTATGTTGAAGGACATATGATGGATAAGAAAGTCTTGATTGTCGAAAAAGAAAAAGATTAATTACAAACCAAACTATAAAATGTTGATACTGAATTAAAAACATTAAAAAGTCAGAAAATCAACAATGCTTATAGTGCTTATAGTTAACCAACTCTAAAATTGTATATGCAAGAGGAAAATATAACCAAATAATAATAAGCCCAAGAGACAGTCTAAAAAATATAACATGAAGCTAAAACAAGAAGAGAAAAAACTAATAAAATATTAAGTGAGAAAGAGAAGAAAGAAAGGGAAGAAGAAGAAAGAAAAAAATAAGAAGATGCTATCAAAACGTAATCATTATTTCTTATTATTATTATATAGATAATAAATGAAAGAACAGTTACATGCAAAATTAAGAGAAAATATTGATGATTTGAAAGCAAAATAGAAATAGAGACTAGAGAAAATGGATAAAATGGAAGATGAATATTTTAAGAGTTTGAATGATAAATTATCTAAAATGAATAAAGAAAGATCATTAATTGCTTCAGTAGATATTCCTAAAGTTTAATTGAAACCATATAAATATGAAGGTTAGAAAAAAGATAAGAAGAAAAAGATTAGACCTAAAAGTGCATCTATTAATAGTAAAATTTAACATCCACCAAAAAAAATTGAAATTGAATAACCTTTATATTTGAGAGTTTTAGATAAGTATAATAAAAAGATAAAAAAATAATAAGAAATTGTTAATTAAGAAAGAAAAAACAGAATGGAAAAAAATGATTTTTATAATTAAGAATATGAGGAACATATGAAAGAATATTTAAAGAAACTTAAAATGAAAAAAATAGAATATGAAGAAAAAAGAATGAAAGCTCTTGAAAAATTAGGTTTAGAAGCTGGTAAATTTAGTTAAAATGTTAATGCAAGTTTTGATTCTAAACTATGGTTATTATAAGAATCTAGAGTTAATAAATCACTTGATGATATCTCTATTATTCCTAAAGAATCCTTAATTAATTAAGCTAAAGAAAAAAAATAAAAAATTATAAATTATGATAAAAAAGTTAAAGAAACTATTAAAATTCAAAAAGATAAAGTAAAAGAAGAAGAATTATTGGTTTAAAGAGATAAAACAATCCATCCAGAAAGATATATTAGAATGGTCAAAAAAAATAATAAAGAATAAGAAAAGGAACAAGATTATGAAATTTTCTAAAGAGAAGAAGAAGCTAGATAATAGAAAGAAAAAGAAGCAAGAGAAAAAGAATTGGAAAGATATAAAAAATTATAAGAAAAGGCTAAAAAGGAACTTGAATAATCAATTATAATAAGTAAATAAAAAGAAGAAGATAAAAAGAAAAAAGATGAATTTGATTATGAATATGAGGAAACTTTAGCAAAATAAAAAGGAAAGGAATATCTAAAAGAATTTAAAGAATTACATTAAAAGGCTCTTGAATTAGAAAAAGAAGAAAGAGAAAAACAATTAAAATTACTTTAAGAATAATAAAAAAAAAAGAAATTAGAACTTCCATAAATTACTTCCACTCCTAAAATTGCTAAAAATTAAACTTTAGGAACTGTAATTTTTAATATAATTATTTAGCTTGAAAGACATGATTATTTATAAGAAGTATTGTAATAAGCTAAAAAAGAAAGAGAAGAAAGAAAAGAAAAAGAAAGATTAGAAAAAGAAGAAAAAATTAAAGAAGAAGAAAGAAAAAAAGAAGAAGAAAGAAGAAAGAGAGAGGAAGGTATTGAATAAACACCAAGAAAAGTTGTCAATTTAGATGATTTAGATGATGAATAAAAAGAAGAATTAAAAAGAAAGAAATTAGCATAACATAATTAAAAAGTTGATAAAATTAAAAAAAAAGTAAGAATTTTTATATATAATCATAGTATATTGATGATAAAACTTATGGTGAATCCTCTTAACAAGAAAGTTACATAAAAAGAAAAGCAGATCAAGTAAATAAATTAGAAAAATAAACTAAAAGCATGGAATCTGTAAAATTATTATAATATTCTGTTTAGATAGTAGAGGCTTCTTGGACTACAAAACCACTAAAAGCAGTAGAAAAGGCATCAGAAGTAGATGCACTTTATATTAAGTCAATTCAATAAAAATTAAGTCTATTATCATCTGCTTAAAAAGCTTGATATTATAATAAAATTCAATTATATAATCAATAGATAATTTATAATTCTATTCTTCCATTTCTAATACTAATTCTTATAGATATATGAATATAATTTTGGAACAATAAAATGATCCTTATTTATCAAAATCCATTGCTTATCTCTCTATTATTATAGTATTTTAGTGATACTAAATTATTAATTTCTAAATTTGCATACCTTATAGATATTATGCAATTCAAAATTAATTTGATATTTTAATTGTATATTTTAACATTTAAGAAATACTAAAGTAAACTTATATTAACACTTATGTAGAGTATTAATAACGCTTATTTCAGTTAATATTGGTAAATTTGTTGCTTCAAAAGTGTTTTAGAGCCCAAAGATCTAAAAACATTTATTTCCTCCTTCCATATATGATAATTTATTCAATTATGTGATTTAATAATGATCGTGAGTTCGATCTTTGACATAATATTTTTTTTTAATAATAGTTCGTATTAATATTTAATTTAATAAATTAAATAATGATTTAACAAATAATATTATTAAAGCAAATATCCAAAATCAAAAAATTCATATATTTTAATAATTATTATCTCCAATGTTCCTTAACTCACAAGGATTATTAGAGGATTCAAATTAACCTGAGCTTCTTAAAGAGCAAGAAAAAAGAAATGGACATTCTACCTTTAGAGAATCAATTTTTGCTAATACAAAATTTGAAAAAAATATTACTTATTTTCATATAATGGGTATGATATAATAGAAATATTAACAAGGTCATGATGAACCACATGCAATAAGAAGAAAATAAATCCTCCAAAAACACCCAGAAATTAAAATTCTTTTTGGCCCAGATATAATGTCAGCATGGCTTGGAGTTGGAATTGTTCTAGCTCAATTTTGGTGTATCAACTTCTTTGCAACGACAAATTGGTTGTGGTATCTAGTTTCATCATACTGCATTGGAGCAGTCTTAAGTCATGCTCTTCATGCTTTAATGCATGATTTTACACATTATTTGTGTTTTGAGAGTATGTAATACAATAAATTGATGGCCATCTTCTTAAATTTTGGTCAGGGAGTTCCATCTGCTATTACTTTTGGAAGGTAAAAATATATTTATATATTTATAAGATATCACTCAGATCATCACACATTTATGAATTTGCCTGATTTAGATCCAGATTTGCCATCCTAATGGGAAATAGATCATGTGACAGGACCTCTGCGTAAATTTTTATTTATGCTTTTTTTGCCTTTATTCTATTCACTTAGACCTATGTTTATAAGACCATTAGTACCTAATTAATACGAAATCTTAAATTTAGTAGCAATAATCATTTCAAATACTTTGATATATATATATATGGGACCATCTGCTTTGGGATGGTTAATACTATCAACCTATTTTGGATTGAGGTAATATTATAATTATTATATATTAGTATCCATCCTCTAGCTGCTCATCTAATCACTGAACATTACGAATTTATTAATAGATTAGAAACATATAATTATCTCGGAATTGCCAACTTTTTAATTTTGAATTTAGGATATCATACCGAGCATCATGATTTTCCAAATATTCCATGGTCTAGATTACCATTAGTTAAAAAAATTGCTCCTGAATTCTATGATTCTTTACCATATCATACAAATTACACTTTAGCTATTTTGGCTTACATATTTGATGGATACATGGGACCATTTTCAAGGATAGTTAGGAAGGAGCTCAAATTAAATGGAAAGACTAAATGATCTTAATATAGTATTATATATGGATTAATTATAATCATTTTTTATTTTTTAAATACTTAACAGAAGGATTCATATTAGTTTTTGATTAAGATCTTTTAATTTATTATTATTATTGTTATTATTATTATTATTATTATTATTATTATTATTATTATTATTATTATTATCTATTTGGAGAGGCAACTAATTTCAATGCTAAATGATTTAAATTATAATCTTAAACAGTTGTTGTTTTTTTAATATCGTAATACATCTTTTCTAATTTAGATTACATATCATCAATATTTTATTTTTATTATTGCTAAAGATTCTTAATCATATTATTAATTGCTATATTAAAACTTGGTTTACTAGAATCCATATTTGATATTTATTCTGCTATCTTTTATAACTATTTATTTTGTTCTTATTATGTTTCAATAAATTAACTTTGAATATGCAAATGATTATTATTCAAACCTTGAGTACTAACTAAGACCTTATAGGTTTTCTTAATTTCAATAGTTAATTCATTTATTTTAGTAAGTTGCCTTTTTACATTATCAAAATTCTACTCTTTGTTTAATGTCTGTAATTCAATCAAAATTTAATTTATCTTATTTTCTAATTCTAATTAAACATTATTTTCTTATGTTTTGAGATTAGGCAAACAGTTTTCCTTATTTTCATTTGTCATACTTCTATAAGTTAATCTTAAACTTTCAGTACAAGGAATTTCAGAATCAGTAGTATATCGACATTGAAACTATGAAACTGAACTTGTTTAGCTCATTCTTTATTTAGTTTCCAATAGTTCCTATTTAAGTTAAGTAATTTCTAATTCTAAATCTCTGTATGTTTTTTTCTATGTTGCAATTCTAATTTCCTTTTTAATAAACCTAGCTCTTTAAGCAAATTTTAAGGATGAAATAGTTTCATCTTAATTTTTATTTTCAGGAGAAATAGTCACAATCTAAATATCTTATATAATGGATTACAATTGATGTTCTACAATCTGCTTATAGACTATCCATTAATAATTTAGTAAGTTTAGAATCTCTATATGGAATATGATCTTATCCTTATGATAAACATTGAATGACATGTCCTAAACATGATAATGAATAATTTATTTTCTTTGCTTCTTAAAGTGTTTCACCAATTGCTCCAGTTTTATTAACTTTTTCACTTCCTGCTAAATCAACTAAATGAAGTTTTGTTTTTCCCATTTAAATTGTCAAGATTAAATGACTTCTACTACTTAAAGCATTCAATTTAGTCTCAGCTACATGTCTATTTTCTTCAGCTATTTATAGTAATTCCTAACAGCTTTCTAATTTGTCTACTTTCTAAATTAAATCATTTAAATTTATACAATCTTTTTTAATCCATCTACATAAAAACCTAATTAAAGATCTTCTTTCAATTTTAAATCTTAAACACCAGATACTAAATCATACACATGATCTTTGTATATTTCAAGAATGGAAACATAAATTGTTTCTTTATTTCTTAAAAATAAATGTGTGAATGTTCTTAAAACTATTCCAGGATTACTTGATTCTCCAAACATAGTGAATGTTTTTCCACTTCCTGTTTATCCATATGCTATTAAACATCCATTTATATTATGAAGAAAATCATCAACTGTCTATTTTGCCATTATATCAAAAATATCAGCCTTTGATAATTTATTTATATACTTATGTAGCTGATTATTCAAATACTCTATCAAAATTATAAGAATTAGTTTCTATTAGTATTGATTACTTATCATAATTAAGTTAGCATTCACCTGGTTTGATTCTTGAATATATTTTCAACATCCTGTATTCAGGGTATTTAAGCTAACTTAAACTTTTTCTTTTTGTTTCTTTAATTGAATCTTATGTTTTATTAGAAAATGAACGCTATGCTTTTACATTCTTAGGGGTTATGTTTTTTTCAAATAATAGAGGTGGTGGGTTATTAGATTTAAAGAATTATTGAAATGTTGTGAATTACTTTTAATTTGGTTCTTAAGCCTTGAGAATCAAATCAATAGTTTTGCTATTGTAGCTCATTTGAATATTTAATTATATTACTGTTAAAATTATTATATATACAAATTAAGTAGGAGAACATCAACAGGTAATTTTTCTCGGTTGTTTGGGATCAAAGTCATCATTTTAATCCATGATATTTGTTTGACTTTATATACTTGAATATTCTAAGGTTGTTTATGATGGTCCTTTAGATCTACATCCTATTTCATTACCATCCAATTGACTTTTGGCAATAAAGAATACCATAAGATTACTTGAAACTAATTCATGATATCTAAGTTATTAGATTAATAAGAGTACTTAAATATTGAATTTAGATAGACTTCTAATTAAGTTTTTCTATCTTTTAAATCACTATTATCCATAGAATTTATGACTTTTTTATGAGGAAACTCTGGTAATTCAAAAGAAATCTTTATTTTTTTTAATTATCTATGATTTTCCTTCAAATCTTGATATCTTTGATTGAATTTCCAACTCTTATTAGCATAATGATCTGTAATTTCAATGGTGTAAATTGCTGAATTATCAAAGATAGCATGCTCTCCAAACTTAAAGGTGTATTATTGTCTAATAAGAATGTAAAAATTTAATATACTTGATTTATTGTTATGGTTTTATTAAAGGTAATGAAAAAACCTGATTCTCATGTTTAGCTAAATAGGATTTCTTTAATGCCTCTATTTCAGACCATTAATTATTAGAATTTTGAGATATTTAATTCTGATCAAGTGGTTTTCTGTTTTTAGTCACAGGAATGAAATCTTCAATTGAACCTAAACTTTGTAATTCAGGATGTTAGAAGACATCATTAAAATATTTTTATAATTCAGCTCTCTTACATTAATAAATGAAAATACACGCTTATTAACACTCTCTTCTGATAGATTAGTGCTGAAAAGAATTTTTTTTTTTGGAAATTATAACTAAGGGATTTTTATTTTGAAAATGTTGATCCATTCCAAAATTTTATAGTGAATTGATTCTAGTTCAGAATATCGTTTTTTCACTTCTTTGAAATCATTAGTATCCAAATTTGTTACCTTAATGACATAATAAACCTTTTTCTCTTAATATTCATGAGTTGGTATTTCCAATAAATATCTTGTATGTGTTTTCTTCATTTAATAAATTTAATTTATACATTTTTCTGTATTTAATCACAAGAATTTTAGATTAAGCATTTATAAATAATGACGAAATAATATTAATCATTGTAATATGATTTCAAATTGCATCTATGAATTATTTAATAATTCAATTTATATTATTTTATTATGTTCTTTTATTAATATACATATGGAGTACTTATATAGAAAAATAAGGAATTTTCTACACATCAACCCATTTAAATTTCATTATCTTCATTATCTTAAAAATCTCTTTAAAATAGAGTATTATTGTAAATGTAATACATTTTTTTATCACATTCATAATCCATTTATTAAATATTACGATAAATTCTCCTTATAATCACTTATTAAATATTTTTCAATTCGGTTCAACTTTCAATCAAAATATATTGGAATAAAATTAGATTCTAATTAAATCATATTTAATTAATAATATCTTAATACAATCATCTATCCTTTACTCATTCAATAATAATCAAATCATCTTCAATATCTAATATATTACTTTTCATCAAATTTAAAATCAATGATGTGTATGTTTAACCAAAAATACATTATTTTAAATTGATTATATAAAAAAATAATATCAATCATTTGGGGATGTTAGTTTTAATCGAATATCCATGAGCACCTGCTAATTCAGTTTTTAAAGCTTCTACAACCATTTAATGTTATTTCACTTTTGATTTACCTTAAAATTCAGGAGATTCAATTTCTAATCGATACATTGAACCACCTATATAGAAATTATATTAATGATTTACATCCTCCAGATGTATCAATAACTTCAACTTTTGTGGCTTTTAAGACTTAAGTAAGTTTATCAGCCATTACCTTTTCTATATCTTAAGAAAATCTGAAAAATAATTTTCGAAGCATTTATATGTATATTATATTTATTAATAATAATTCATGTTTGATTATTTAATCCTTTAAATTCTTTTAATTCTTGATAGTCATCAATTGAGTCTTGTGTATGAAGTGTCCAATTCTCTTTGGATATAAATTATTTGATTTTGAATTCATCTCCATACCTTCTCAATACTATAATCTAATAAAGCACACATATTAAAACCAAAGCATATATATTAAAATATGCAGTTGATTGTAGAATCAAAGGATCCAAGATTACTCTACTTACATTATGTAATGAACTTATAATTGATATTTGCATTCCTGCTAATTAAGGTTCAACAATTTCGGCAACAAATGAAAAAGTACAAACAGTAAAGATTTTCTTAAAAATTCTATTTATTCAAACAATATAAATACTCATGTACTAATAATTGGAAACAAAATAAGTATTAAAATTAATTAATTGTGCCTTCAGTTAATGGATGTTTTCGATATTCATAATAATCTAATAAAAAGAAAGCCATATTAATTGTTTAATAAGTCAAAGCACTTATAACTAAGGCATTCTCTTTCTTTTTGCCTGATATAAAGTAACCAATAATCAAAGGAATCCAAAAAGTGCAACAGAATATTATAATTTAAGCTTAACTTATGAATGTCTTTTCCATTCCTGCTCTTATCATTACTATAGGTGCTGCTATATCCATAAAAGCTATTCCATTTCTTTAAAGGAAAATGAATAAACACAAGAATCTTAAATTTTTATTGTAATATAATCCTTTAACTTATTTAATCTAATGAAATAGACTCTAATAATGTATGACTTCATCAGGATTAGTTTCTTTAACAAAAATAACAATAATTGACATTATTATACATATTATTCCTAGAGTATATTAATATTGAGCAAAATTGATTATGTTTTTTTGATTAAGCAATATGAAAATAGATTAAGAGATGAACCATCCAACTTATTATCCAAAGGTTTAACATACACTTTATTAAGCTACATTTGATAATAATGTAACTGACCATCCATCTATTGCTGTGTCACTTGTAGATAAACAAATCATTAAAGCAATGTAATAATAAAATAGATTAAGTAGAGTATGTTCAGCATTTGCAACCAATATTAAAAGAATACCCATAAGTGAAAGAAATGGAACTATATAAGTTTTTCGCTTGCCGAATTTTTCAATAAAATAATAATCTTAGATTGGTGACCATACAAATTTGAAAGCCCAAGGTATTGTACATAATGTGAATATCCCAATATCTTTCTCATGTGCATATAACACTTAGATTGCTCCTCCAGGCAAACCTACAATTAATCCTTATATAAAATAGAGAGTTGTTAATATTACTTATCCTATTTACATAGAAACTAAATAATTAAAAGGAGGATTATTTTTTTTCGCAATTCAATGAAGTGTCAATATCATGAAGGATAAGTTAAGACCCACATCTGTCTAAAAGGGTTATGCAAGCATGCTGTACTATGTCCAATTTGTATTGCCAAAGATCATTAAAATCATATGACGATAGAGCTTTTATAATTTAAAAGATCTGTTGCTAACTTGATTTTATAACATGACAATCCAGAACCTTTAGATAATATAAGTGAATTGACACTTTAAATTGCATAATTTGATTAATCTCTTCAAGAAAGTCTTAAATTATTGTATTAAAAAAGAAAAGAAACAATTGAATTTGAACACTTCAAATAAGTAGAAGGAATTCTTAAAGTAGAGCATCCAACTAATTCTTAATAGATGGCTTTAAAAAAAGTAGGATAACATATGCTCTTTTATAAAGATTAATCAAATTAATGGACATTTTAGTTAGTAGCTGATAATTAGGAATATAAGATTTGGGATAAATTAATCTAAGATTTAAGAAATCAAGTAAAATAACAAACAAATCAATTATCTAAAATATTAGATTCATTATAATAAATATCTAAACTAATTGATTATGAAGTAAAACAAAAGAAAATTATAATAAATACAAATAACTTAGAAGTGTAAAATGATGGTTTTAATATATCTAAAAAAATAAAAGCAGAAGGTCGAGAATTAGAAGTGTAATAATAAGAATAAGATGAATTTTTTAAGGCAGAATAATAACAATCTATTAGATTACTTAGAATGCTAGAAAATAATTCTGATAGTGAAGATTCAGAACCCAAGATTATACATTAAATCTAATAATAAAAACCTAATCTATAAACTTAAACTACTTAATAATTATAATCATAATAACCTTTATTATTTGCATAACCAGACAGAAAATATATACCAGTCACTGAATAATATAAGGATTCAGATATATCAAAATAAGGTTAAGTTAGAGAAAAAAGAAAATATGTAAAAAAAGCAGATAAATTAGCAATGATGGGTTAAAAAAGAATATATAGAAGGAAAACTTATGATAGATTTAAATTTAATACAAATTAATGTATCGCAGTATTTAAAGAGATGTTAGATTGAAATAAAACATATTATTAATAATATTTATTTAACTTTGATTATTTATAATAGCCTTACTTACTAATTATGCTATTGAAGATATTTTTAATTGATTAATAAGCTTAAATTTATTATAAATTTGATATTTAGATATAATATCCAGTAAAATAATAAATTTTAAACTTTTTTATTAATTTAAATAAAGAAACTTTAAAAATTAATATGTTATCATTCTAATTTTGTTAAACCAAGTCTTCCACTTAAATATAAAATCCTATCTAAATATTCACTTCTTTCTACTTCAAATGCTTTTTCCTTTACCCATAATTTCTTTTCTAAAATTGTAAACTATTTTATCTATATTTTTATATACTTTTTTAAGGTTTTTTGATAATCTTTTTATTTCTTTATCTTTTTCATCTAATTTCTTTCTAAATTCTTCCATTAAATATGGATTTTTATCAGAAACTGCCTCTCTATGCCATTTCATTTTTTCCTCTTCCTCTTTCTCTTATTTCATTTCTTTTAATTAAGTGTAACATTTTTAGAAATCTGACTTTAGTTTTTTATTTTCTGATTCTAAATTTTCTACTCTCACTTTCATTTTGTTATATTCAAGTTAAATTTAATTGGTATCATTCTCTCTTGCTTAAGAAACTTTAATTATTCTTTATTTTAACATTGAATTCTATTTCTCTAATTCTTGAGTATAATTTAAGTTATTTGCAGTTCCAGGTTTCTAAAATATAAATCTCCTAGAAACATTAGCACTCTTTATCATTTCAGGTTATGTTTATTCTGATTATGATTCCACCTTACCCTATCTCCCATTAAAGAAAACTTGCAACTTTTATAAAACTTCAGAAGGGTTCTTTGAATTTTCACTTGACATCACTATTTATTTAATTGCTTAATACTTTTATTGTAACTAAATAATACTTATTAAAATCTATACTTTTTGATATTCTTATGATTTAGGTGAATCTATTAGAGGTGGTGCAGGAAATTCTGGATCATAGTCTTAATTTTCTTACATTTTATTATATATAATAAAATCAATATAAATGTAATAATAATAAACTTAATATTTATTACATATTCTTTAATATGATATTATTAATAGGTAATATAAGCCACATCTATATAATATTTACCTATTTTGATTTAATAGAAAGAGAAGTATTTCATACTAATTAAGAATTCTTTCTTTTTAATGATAAATTAAATTATATAAATTAATAGTTAATTATTTAATAAGAGATTCTTTTAATAAGTAAAAATTACATGCTATTTAAATATCCTGTATTTTTAGTTGTTTTATATTTCAAAACTAATGATAATTGTATTATATATTAGAAGAACCAGTAAAATTAGGATATAGATTATAAATTAAATTATAATTATTAAGAGAACCTTTTTAATTAAGGAAATTTCAGCGTGTTTTTATAAAAGACATTTATTGATTATTGATATTTAAAAATACAAGATTTGATTTTATATAATTTATTAATATTTTAATAACAAAGAAGATTTATTAATTTAAATATTATATTTATAATGGGATCTAAACCTACAGTTCCTGAATCTGTTAAATCAATGAGTACTAAGAAAGACACTGAATTTTCTGTTCACATAGTCTATTGCAGTGGATGAGGATATGGCTAATTTTACAATTTCTTTGTTGAATGTTTATAAATTATCTATCCTAATGCAAAGGTTACAGGTGAATAGACACCAAATGTAAAATTAGAAATTATAAGTTAGGTTTCTGGGTATTTCGAAATAGAAATTACAAAAAATGGTAAAAAATAGGTTGTTCATTCAAAAAAGAATGGAGATGGCATTTTCAATGAAAAATCATGTCAACCAATATTAGATAAATTAAAGAATTATGTTGAGGCTTGAGTGACTCTTCAACATTTAGATAATATATTGAATTAGTACATTGACAATAAATGAAGAAACTAAGTTTAAATAAAATAATTTATTTTCTGAAGAACTAAATGATTAATGTTCTAATACATATATATTATAAATAAAAACATTTATTAATCATATTTATAAACATTACTTAGTTATGTATTAATCTAGGTTAAGCGACTTGTTTTAATAATATATATATATATTGTTTTAAATAATAATTATGAAAAATATAAATTGTTTTATATTCAATTGTAATTTTTATTTATACTGTTCTCCTTTAAATAATAATAAACAACATTATCTATATTGTTTACAATTTCTCTTTATACCAATATATTAACAATATTAATTAATTTATAAATCAAAACTAGATATCTTGTATTTATATCTATACAAATTTTATATTATCCCATCATGTCTTATTAATTTTCTTTATCTATTTTTTCAATTAAGAATAATTATTAAATTATCCCTTCAAAATAGTATCATTACTTAAAACTCTTCTTCTTTACAAAATATACAATTCTAATAATATTATTTAGTTAATTATTAATTTTATCAATAATTGCTTAGATTTACTGATGAATAATGTTAATTATTAGTTTGTTAAAATTGTATAAATCAATTTAGGTATAAACAAAACCTTTTCAAAATTGTGCTTATTATTTTAAATATAAACTTTTTCTTATTAAATGGAACACATGTATAATTATTAGACTTTTACACTATTATTGAATATAATACAAATAAGTTGTGAATATTCCTATCAGTTTTTATTATCATAATTCCAAGCTTTTATTTTAATTTTCCATCTAAATTATAAAATATAATTAAAATGATCATACTTCTTTTCTTTTACATTTGCAATGCATATCATCATTCAGGCACTATAAAAATCAATTAGACTATTAGTTTAACAACAAATATTACCGAAATGGCTCCAAGCATAAATATCAAATTTTTGTTAGCTTTAGATCGAAACAGAGAATCAACTGTTGGTTGTTTCGTATCAAATTTAGATTTAGAATCATAAACTTTCGACATTCAAAATTTAAAATTAAATAAAGAAAACTAAATTGTTTATGACTTACATAGTATACAATCAAATAGCAATTCATAGCTTATTGAATACTTCTATTACCATACATTATATTTACTATGTTAATCACAATCAATAGGTGAAATTGACTATTAATTAACTTATAAGGAAGAGTCTTATAAAGCTGGTTGCATAAATGATTGTCAGGGTTATAATGATACAAAATCTATAAGTTAATCTTATTGTCAAATTGATCATTGTGAGTGTCAAATTAATTAAGTAGGATACTTTTGTTAGCTTCCATCAAGCTATATATTAAGTAGCAATTAAGAAGATGTAGTTTTAGATTCATTTTAATGGAATTTCTTTTATTATCAATATAAAAATCTAGATTTGTAATTATTATCTGATATACCTATCGATGATAAAACAGTATGTAAATTTGTATTAATCTATATTAAGTATATAGTTTAGCATTTAGAGAAATACCCTAGAAAATTATTCCAAATTTGTTAGATAGTAAAGTTCTAGTTAATAGTACATCTTTGTTGAATGACCTTAACAATTTACAAAAAACTTAATATGGTAGCAATATACTATACATTGGAATATTTAATAATAAGTCCGAAAAAGCATAATTTAAAATTACAATTGTATCTAATGATTCAACAGATTATGGATAACTTGAAAGGAATAAAATAATAATTATTGTTGTTGGATCAGTTGTTGGTACTTTATTATTAATCACTTGTGTTCTAAGTTTCTTGAAAACAAAAAAAATGCAAGCAGAATAATAAGCTCTACGTCTAAGATAAACAAGAATTGATTAATAAAATTAGATACATTTAGAAGTAATTAGATAAAAAAAATAATCAAATGGTAATTGTAAATATTATTATATTAGGTTTTACTTAAAAATTTATTAAAGATTATTTTGGAGTAATTGCATATAAGAAACTTATTTAATTATATCCTGGTTTATAATAATTTGAGGAATGTGTAATATGTTTGGAATCTATAAAAAATGGATAAAAAAAATAATAAAGAAATTGTTCTGTTACTCCTTGTTTTCATATCTTTCATTAAAAATGTTTAACTTCTTGGTTAGAAAAATAAAAAAATTGTCCATTTTGCAGAGCAGAATTTTCAATTATATTAATTTAAAATAAATATCCTTGGCTTGATTTGAAATAATAAAAAGTTAATAATGCTACACAAAATGAATCTAAGTATATTAATAATATGAAATTAAATTCTAATCCAAATCAATCATAAGAGAATTAATTAAATGAAAGCTAGTAAGAATTAGTAAGAAAAGATAAAATAATTATAGATTTATGATATTACTCTGATCATTTAAATACATTTTAACTCAAAATTTTATTAAATAAATAAAGTCATATAATTTTACATTAACTTACATCGTTTGTTTCTGGATAACCTAATTTCTCTTTTAAAAGATTTATTTATTAATATTCCTCCATTAATCTATAGACTTCAATAATTTATTAATGTTAAAATGTAATTATTCCTTCAAGAAAAGTAATTACTATTACACTATTCTAAATAGATATTGACTGTAATTACTAAATTGACAATTACATTAATGGAATTTATTGATTTAATTCAAATATCAATATTTCATTATGTAGAATACCTAGAGATACTTTAATTGGCATTCTTTTTTATTTATTTAAAAATGAATTATATAACATTTTTACTCTAAATATCTTTATTCCATGTAATTTTTATTTATAAAGATTATTAAGGAATTAAATTTCTAATATTCTTATTTCATTTCTACATTCTTATTGATTTTATAATTCTTGTAATTCAATTAAAATTTTCTTAATTTATTCAAATATTTATTTTTTCCAATCAATTTTATTTACACTATTTAAAATTAATAAAGGTACAAAGTTCTGAAACCATTACATTCTCACTTATTCATATGTTTTAATTTTATGTATTTCATTATTATAAAGAATACAAATTGCTAATGCACATTGTATTACATAATCTTGTTGATTCAAATGAGAATTATTAAACTTTAATTATGATAATTCTTAATAAAATAATAATAGGGATCTTCTTTTATTTTTATTAAATTCTTAAAATTCATTTTCATAACAGAGATATAAATATTTCTTTAAATAAAATTTTGGTTATGACTGAGAACTTACAGAATAATATATTTCATTTAATAATTTAGACATAATATCTAATAATATTAATATAATTATTATACTTCTTTTTTTGTGATTGTAATTTTTCATTACTTTATAAACAACTTCATTGTCATCTAAATATCTGCAATTATTGTTTTGAAGAATCATCAATTTGAAATCAAAGTTTCTATCTAAAAATATTGATCTGCAAACTGTATCTATTAAATCTATAGTTTTGCAATGTTTAGTTATTTATAAAGTAATACTTTTATCATCTGGTAAAATTACAATAATTTCAAGCTCATCTTCTTAAAATAAAGTATTTCTCATTTAAGTTGTATAACTGCCTCTCATTGTAACCGAAGTTTCATTGCGATCTTTATCTAATTAAAAGAAATTTTCAGGTAGATCTAAATGTTAAATGAGAATATCTTCATATTTTTTCATTTATTTATTCAAAAATATAGATTTTAGGAAATTTATTATTGATTCTTAGCGTACTTTGATTAAATTATCTTCTGAAATTAAATTTAAACAGTTAGTTTGAAATTAATCAATTCTAAAATTTCTATCCAATAATATATTTTATAATTCAATTATATCACTATATCTTTGATATGTTCTAATCCTGTAATTATTTATTTAAATCTTTTAAAATATAAGATATAGATACTTAGATTATGTAAATAATGAATGTATGAATTCCATCCTTTTATTTAAAAGTTGAAACAATTTAAATTGAAACTTATTATTATAATTTTTTTAGGAATTATTCTTCTTCTTGCTACTTTTTTTAGATCATCTCAATTTCCTATTAATCAATTGTTCCGAATTACGCCAGTAATTTCAAATTACTTTAAGTTCTATAAAACTATTAATGAAATTGATTACGTATTCATCATTTAATTGATTTATTCATTGATTTTACAGAATTATTCTTGTATCTATCTAAGACCATTGTAATCAGGATGATTCAATTCAGTATATTTAAGTAACTTTTCTATCATCAACACATATCTAGGTAATTATTATACAGGTTTAACAAGAAATGATTCAAATGTCAAACCCTTAAGTAGTCCACTAGCTTCTATGTTCTAAATGTATAAGTTGAATTCTGCCTAAAAATAATATTAATTTTCTACTTTACTGTTGCGTAGTTTATTTATATATTCTAATTAAAATCTACTACAATACTCATAATAGATCTTAAAAAAAGGAATATAAATTTTGAATTGTTATGAGATAATAATAAAGTGTTTATATTTTTGTAAAATTTCTTAGATAGAATTATAAATTACATTATATGGTTAGATAAAATTTGCAATTTAGTTTTTGTATTTGTTCAATATTTAAAAATAGTGATAATAACTCATCTTAAGTCAAAATTGAATTACACCTTACTAAATAACATTTTAATCTATTACTTGATATCTGACATCAATCTATCAACAATGATAGTTAAGTCTTCATTATAATTCTTTTCTACTTAATGAAATTCAACAACGACAAATTTCCTATTTCTTAGTTATCTAAGTTTTTTATGGAATAATTTCATATATAAATATCTCCTATAGTTTCTCTATATTATAATGATTTTTGGGATTATGCTTTTATTATTACTTTAAAGTAGTTCTTTTAAGTTGTATTATGAATCCATCTATAAAAATGAGTAAAATCAATACCACTCGAGCATATTATTTTTTTTTTTTCATAGCTTTTACAGAGGAGGGTAATGTTCCTTATTCTTATTCTTAATCTTATGCAAGTTAACTCTATTCCAAAAAACTGCTCTCACTTATAATTATTGAAGATGAATAAAGTTGATTATGATATTTACTAGTTGAAAATATTTGAGATTATTTATAAGATGATGCCAATTGTTCTCTTAGTGACTCAAACTTCTAATTTGTTATTTATTACATAATTAAATAATTAGTAATATATATTATTATTCTCACTCATAAATTCTTTACTTAAGTTTAATCCTCTACAAGTCTACTATATGATTGAAATAGATATAACTATCCATAATTGAATTAATAATATAAAATCCATTATGCTTAAGTAGAAATCTATTTTCAATTTTATGTTCTAAGGATAAGTATACTTTGACGTCATAGATTTCTAATTAGTTTTTATTTATATTATTTCAGAATTTAAGAATTTCTGAAGAATCCTCAACATAGAATCCTTATACATAATTAAACATTAATCCTTTATACTTTTTATTTGATATCAAAAATCTAGGATATTATTATTACATTAATTCATTTAACTTTAACGTTTTCCAAAATGATAATAACTTTTAATATATATGATTCATATGAACTACTTTTGATCTATCATTAATACTTAAATTAATTAAATTTCTTGAGTGTCCAAGTAATTCAATCTGTAATATTCTCCTATAAATCATAAATACAATTAGAAATATCAGAAATTTGTTAAAATATCCATTTATTATTACTTTTAGAGTTAAAAGTATAAAAAACTCTATAAATTACTGAATATCTCAAAATTATAATAAGAATTTTGATAGTAAATTTTAAGTTTTATTTTCTATTTGTTTTCAGGATTCTTATCTTTGCCATTACTACTATTTGAAATTTGTTACTCATCATTCAATAAATAAGTGCATTCTGTAATTTGTTCTTAAGTTTTTATTATTTATTCACTTTAACAAATACATTTATAATTTTAATTAATTTATATAATACATCAATTTATAATATATTCATTGATAAAGAATTCTGTATCTTATATTTTATAACTTAATTTGATTGGATATTTCAAATATTTATTAGATTTATTTGTTCTTTTTCTAATATAAATACAACCAATATCATTTTTATAATTTATTTAATATTAAGATTGTATAATATATTAGAATAAAACTTGTTAATATGATATTAATGGATGTTTTGATAGGCAATTAATTTAAATTGTTTCTTTTTGTTATCATTTGATATGAATTGATTACATTGATTTATGGAATAGAATAGAAGCAATATAGGGAATGAATTAAAAATAATGAGTGAGGGGTATGGGAATAAAAATGTTTGACTTAATATTGCATTTATTTTAATTAAAATGTCAGAAAGGAAACAACAAGAACGAGATAACATACAAGTTTCAATAAGAATAAAGTACATTAAAAAGACATGTAACTAGACCCATGTTTGATGAAGGAAAGACGTGTATTCGAATTGATCCAAACCTGAAGAATACTATCATCATAGAAGGATAGAATCAGTAAGAGTAGAAATTCTTCTCGTTTGATAATGTTGCTGGACCAGATACTACATAGGAGGATATCTTTTAGATGATTGGAGAACAATAAGCCAGCAATTGTTTAGAAGGTATGATTAACTGTAATTTTAGGCTACAACGGATGTGTGTTTGTATATGGTTAGACAGGGTCAGGCAAAACTTATACTATGACAGGGACACCTCAGTAGCCAGGACTATTACCACGTATAATTGATTATCTCTTTGGATGCGTCTTTGAGGACTAAGCAAAAGATCCCTCAGTTGAATACTTAATCAAGTGCTCACATCTCGAAATTTATAATGAACACATTATCGATCTTCTTAATCCTGATTTGGGTAACTTGCAACTGCGAGAGGATCTAAATAAAGGAGTATACGTTGAGTTTCTGACTGAAGAATGTTGTTCCAATGTTGTAGAGGCCATGGAAGTAGTCTAACGAGGTAATGAAAATAGACATATCTCATCAACTTAAATGAATTTCGAATCTTCCCGTTCACATAGTGTTTTTACTGTATAATTGGAATCAAGAAGATAAAGTCATTCACTAATCAATCATAGATTTTCTAGATTTCATTTTGTAGATCTGGCTGGTAGTGAACGATAGAAACACACCTAAGTTTAAGGTGATAGACTTCGTGAAGGTTGCTAAATTAATAGAAGTCTTCATATTCTCGGCAATGTTATTAATTCACTAGTGGAAGATAAAGAATAAAATAGATATGTTCATTATCGTGATTCAAAACTTACATTCTTACTCAAAGATTCTCTTGGAGGCAATTCCAGAACTCATCTAATTGCGAATATACAATAATCAAATTTATTTTATTAAGAAACACTTTCTACACTTTAATTCTCTAAAAGAGTTAAATAAGTTAAAAATAAAGCTAGAGTTAATGAAGATGAAAGTGGGTCATTGGAAAGTCTCAAAAATGAAATCAAAAGATTAAAATAAGAATTAGCCAAATGGATAGTAGGTCTCTAATCTACTTCTAAATTAGCAGAATCTCCATCTAAATAAAATTTTAGTAATATACTCATCATAAATTAGTTATGCATAATATCAATTTTGAAGATCTTAATGCTAATGATTAAAGATATATTAAACTAGAAGAAATACTCAAAGTATATCTTGAATAATCTACTGAGAGTGAAACTGCTCTACATTTAGAAATTGAAAAGTATTTGAGTGGAATTAAAGAATTAAGAGAAGCATTTTAATTAAGTTCTTAATTGGAATAATAATTAAAATTAATCATTAGATTGTAGAATGAATAAATTGTGAGATTGAAACATGCTAATGGAGTTGAAGATTTGTCTAATGATTATTAAGAAGAACTCTCCAAAGCTCTTTTAAGTTAAGCTGTAGTAATGAAGAAATTCTCTGATAGTCTTAGAATAAAAGAGGGATCAGCTAAAAATGTAGAAAAAGCTAAATTATAAATAAATGAAAATGTATAATTACTTAATACAATTGTATCAACTGTTAATGTAATTCATTATATTTATTCATTAAGGGATCTCTAGATGAAAGAAAGAAATTATAAAAATAAATTTAATCATAACTTTCTTAAGTTTATGTACCAGTTGAAGAATTTACTTAATTACAAAATGAATAAGAAAAACTTAATGAAAGATTAACTAAATAAGTAGAAAAAGAAGAAAAAATTAAATAGACTCTTGATAAAATGGGTATTACATTAGATGCTGAAGAAGAAATTAAAATTATTGATCATAAATAAAGAGATTTAACTTTAGATTAATAAAATGAATAATTAGAATTGAAGAGTAGAGCTGTTGAATAATTAAATTAATAATTATTATAAAAAGAATAAGAGATAAATTAAATTGTGGAATAAAATCAGAAATATATATAAGAAGCTAATTAATTAAATGAATAAATATAAGAAAGTAAAAAAGAAGTTTAATAATTACATCAATAACTTTAATCTTAATAATTTTAATTAGAGTAGGCAAAATAATAATAAGACACTTTGATTAATACTGTTGATTAATATAAGGTTGAGAATGATTAATTAAAATAAAAAATTATTGTTTTGTAGAATGACAAAGAAAATTAATAAATTTAAAGTAAACAAAATATAGTAGAATTAAATAATTCTTTATTAGAATAAAAGTAATAAAATGAAGCATTACTTATATAATTATAAAAGTCAATGAAAGAATAAAATGATTTAATTAATTAAATTCATTCTAGCTTAACAGAAAATAGTGAACTTAAAGAATAAAACCTTATAATGACTAAAGAAAAATAAGATATACAATTATAAAATAAAATATAAATTGATGATTTATTGAATTAAATATAATAATTAATTTAATAATAAGAGTAATAAGAATAATAGTATTAAAAGGAAATTCAAAATGTTTGTAATAAATAAAAAATAGAATAAATTAATATTTAAAAAGAATATGAAAGTTAATTATAAAATGTAGTAAAATAACATTAAGTTGAAATTGAATAATTGAAGAATGAAAATCAAAGATAACTTGATTAATTTGTTAATCAATAAGAAATAGAGATTTAAACTTAAATTAATTTATTATAAAATTAAATTAAATCTTTGAATTTAGAATTAACTTAAACAAAATTGTAATTAGAAAATAGAAATAAAGATTTTGAGGTAAATTTTATTTTATCTTTAGCTTCTAAAAGAAAACTAAGATAAATTAGAATATGAAATTGATTAATAAAGAAATGACTATGAATATTAACTTGAAGATAAATAAGTTTAATTTGAAGAACTCTAGTAATAATAAAAAAAAGCATTAGAACAAAAGGAAAAATAATTATAATAATAAAAGAATGATTATGAAAATAAAATTCAATAAAAAGATTAAGAGATTGAGGAAATCAAATAGCAATATGAAGAATTATTAGATGATAATAAGATACTTATTAAATAATAAGAATAAGAGCTTTTGATTAAAAAAGAAGAGTTGAATCAAGCTGTTTAAGAGTTGATAATGAAACAGGAAGAATATAAAGAATAATTATCTCAGGTTAATGAAAAGCAGAAAGAATTTGAAAATAATTGTTTTGAATTAAGAAGTAAGGCTATACCAGAAAAAGATTAAGTAATTGAACAATTGAAAGCAGATGTAGAATAGAAAGATTATGAATTGTAAATTCAAAATGAAGATTTCATGAATCAATAAAATCTTCTTTTTGAAATAATCAAATAAAAAGATAATGAAATAATTAAATTATAAGAGGATCTTGATGATCATAGTAATAGATTAACAGAGGCATCGAAAGTAATAGATAAATATTCTAATTGTAATTCTGAATTAAAAGGAACTATAGATTAATTAAATCATCAAATAGAAAAGTTGTAATAAACAATTAATGATTTGTAAAATAAAGAGAATACATCTACTTAAATTCATAATGAAAAAATGAAATCTTTGAATGAGATACTAAAATCTAAATAAAGTGAAGTTGATAATTTACAAATGAGATTAGAAGCTGAAGATAATGTAAATAAATAATAGACTTAACAGAATACTTAATAGATAAAAAATTTTGAAAAAAAAATTAAAGATTTAGAAAAGGAAAAATTAATTTACTAAGAAGAAATTGATAAGAAGGAATAATTTATAAATTAATTAGAATAGAAATAACAAAATTAATTAAAAGAAAAGGAATAAGGAGCTAATTAATTAAGAAATTAAATTAAGGATTTGTAACAATAATTGATAATTAGTAATCAAGGAATAGAGGAATAAAAGATTTGGGTTATTCATTATAAAAAAGAAGTAGATAAATTAAATAAGGAAGTATCTTTATCTTAATAAATTTCTTAATAATATTAAAGTGGAAAGAATGAAAATGATCAAATAAAATTAGAAAATCAAAAATTAAATAAATTATTGGATAATTATTAATAATAAATGACATCCATTAAGAAAGAGATTGATTAATCTAAAATAGAAAAGACTAAATTAATTGAATAAATTTCATTATAAGAAAATAAGATATTAGAATTAGAAGAGATTAAATTATAAAAGTAAATATTATAAGGTAAAGTAACTGAATTATAGAAATGTTAATCAGATGTTCTATAAAAATATCAATAGTCATAAGCTCAATTACATACTTTACAAGATGATTTATAACATTCAAAAAAAGAAATATAAGAAATTAAATAAAAGAATAAGGTATTAGCCTAATAATAATAAAATGAATTGTCAAAATTCAATGAAGAAATGATGGCAATTTAAGAAGAATTAGAATAAAGCAGAAAAATTTAAATGGAAATAAAGAAGTCTGAATAAGAGTAAAGAGAATAGAATATTTAATTAAAATAAAATTATGAAAAATTGGTTATAGAAAATTAATAATTACATAATTAAATAGAAGATATATAATAGGATATAAATTATGATAAGGAAGAAATTTTGAAGAAGGATGAAACTATTTACAAATTATCTGATTAAGTGAAATATAAAACTTAATAATTAGAGGCTCAAAATTCATTGATTAATTAGGTTGAATAAAATAAATTAAATCAAACTAATTAAATATTGTAATAATCAAACTAATTGACAAATCTATCTAAAGAATTATTTTCATTAAAACAACAATTATAAATTAATGATACTTAAAGTGAATCCTATAAAAGAGAAGTTGAAAGATTAAGAAGAGAATTAGAATTTTAAGTAAAATAAGTTGAAGATTATAAATAATAAACAAAAAAATTTTAATAGTAATTAGATTTTGAGAAAAAACATAACTAAAAATAAAAAGTTTATGAAGCATCTGAATTGTTAAGTAAAATTGATAATACACTCTCTCCAATAAAAGGAATTAAAGTAATTTATATTATTTATTTTAAGGGATAAACTCTTTATGGTAGTTCAGATAGTAAAACTTAAAAAAGAATTTTCTAATAAAAAACTCCATAAAAGGAATATGGATTTTAAAATTCTAATAGTGCTTCTATGCTTAATGCTTCATTCAATTCATAAGATTAATTGACCAAAGAAAACAGAAAACTCAAATAAAGTTTAGAGTAGAAAATGAAAGTAATTTATTGAAATAAAATAAGATTATTGAATAATTAGAATAAGCTTTATTATAAAGTGAGTAAACATTAAAGGAAGTTCATGAAAAGGCTAATCAATTTTGCTAGCAATAAGAAGATGAAATAAAATAAATTAAAGATTAATATTCTAGACTTGAATAAGAACATAATGCGATATTAGTAATTGTAATTATTATTGTAGGCTGAAAGGGAATATGAAAATTAATAGATAAGCAAATAAAAGGAATAAGCTTTGTTTAAAGTATAAATTCTATAGGATGAGGTATTGAAATCAAAGAGAGGATCTGTAGGAAGTCAACACGTTCCAGGATCAAAGTATTCTGAAACTGTTTAAGATATGTCAATGAGGGAAACACCATCCTCATCACATAGATATAGACCTTCAGATGGATCATTTAAATCTTATTATGGAATTGATGCTCATTCAAAGTTAATTTATGACACTGTAATTTTTAAATATATAATTATTATAGCAAAAACTCTTACTAGAAAATTAACGATTAAATAGTCAAATGTGTAAATTATATCAGATTTTGGGATTGGATAAAAATAGATCAAATAAACTAGGAGATGGAGAGAAGATCATCTAATCAGTTCAATTATTATTATAAGAAGTCATTGTATATATAACATTTTTAATAATTTAAGGATTGCAAATAAGAAATATAGAATTTGATTTAAGCTCAACCTACAAGAAGTTTAAAATATTAATCAATGGAGAAAGAATTATTATAAACCAAATAGAAATATTATGCAGTGGAAAGGAGTCCTAAATTTTGGAATTCTAGCAATGATACTCCAAAAGCTAAATTCTTTAATTACTCAAATTCTTCAGGGAAATGATTTTATTGTATTTAATTTTAATCATTTACCCAAATATTAATATTTTATTTTTGTAAAGTAAATTTGCATTAAGATAGATATATTGTTTAACACTCTTATTAAATATTGCATATATATAATGTTTCTTCTATTTAAATATATACATATTTTTTTCATTTATGTTAATAGAGAGATTATACTAATTATACTTTTTTCATAAATAATTAAATGTATTATTTTAATATATGTCATCTTCCTCTTAGATTTTACTTAATCATTACAAATGATAAATCATCTAATCCCAAGAAATCATTAATTTATTTCTAAATATCTAGTTCTGACTTTTGATCCATTTATAATAATGAGAATCTTGGATTCTTCAGGTCATCTTCTGTTAAATCTAATCCTATTTTTTTTATTTTTTAATCTTAACTCATTGACCATTCCATATATTTACTTTCTACTTCATAATCTATTTTAGAATCAGATTCTATTTTTGGATCTAAATAATAAATATTAAATTATACATTATTCATCTATTGGGTGAATTGATACTTCAGTTTACTTTTTTGCTTATTCCAATTTTGGAACAGTCTCATATTAATCTTATAATTTTTATTTCAATTCTGCTGATTTTTGTTTCAATTGAGTAATTAATTGTTTTTCATCTTCTGTAGTTTTTATATCATTATTTATTTATAGATCTTTCATAACATCTTCAATTTTCTCTTTTGGTTATTTAAATTCTTTTGGTTCTTCATATTTTTATTAACTTTTTTTATTTTATATAAGTTCTTATTCTGATTTTTATTCTGGTTCTTGATTTGCAACCAATTCATTAGGTTTAGAAAATTCATCAAAAAATAACGAAAAATCAATTCCTTCAAGTCCATCTCTAAGTCCAGCTAATTAATCATCTAATTCATCAGGCATTTCTTCTGGTTGAGTTTCTGTTTCTACTTCAACAAATGGATGTTCTTAATTCTCTTTTTAATTTAATTTTTCTGTTTCTTCATTAGCAAATGCATTATAAATATCAATTATATGTTAAGCAGGAGATGCTGATTATTATTTTTCAACTTTTTATTAATCTAATTCTATATCTATATTATCAAATGTTAAATCTTCATCGAACAATGGTACATCAATTTATAATTATTTTTGTTCTGGTATTTATTATTATGTTTCTACTTATTTTGTATCAATAATAACTTAAGATTATATTTGATTGACTAATGATTCTTAAACAATATCAACAGATTCAATTACTTATATAGTATCTTGTTATTATTATTATTATTATTATTATTATTATTATTATTGACTTATTATATTTTTGTTATATGCAACCAAATCATCATTAAGTTCTTAATTTAATGTGAATTCTTTATATAATGCATCCATATCTAGTTCATCAACAGTTTATGGTACTATCTAATATATTTCTTATATAGCTATTTCTTATTAAATTGAATCCTCTATGTTTTATACATTCTCAATATTAACTTAATTCATTTATGCTAAAAATTTCTTTTCTTCTAATTATTCTAATTGCATTTATTCATTAACTGTTTCAGCTATCTTTTCTTAAACTCTTTCTATCTGTTTTTCTTCTATTTTTAATAATTAATCCTCTTGAATTTACTTTTATGTTTACAAATACTCAATCTCAACTGATTAAATAACATCATCCTCTATATTTTACTATATAATATTCATTCCTATAGTTTCTATTTAGATACTATCAATATCTAGATACTATTCTTCTTCATTTTATATTTGAGTTTATTATTATTCTTCCTTAGTTTCAACTGATAATTTATTCACAATATCATCAAATGATAGTATTTAATTTTCCAAAGGTCTAATCATAATATTGAATTTAGAATTACAATTTAATTGAATCTTCAATATTCTCCACATTAAATTCTAGTTTATTATCTTTTTAAGTAGTTGTTATTTATTATTTAGTTATAGCAATTTTATCTTAATCACCAATAACTAAACAAAGACCCATTGCTTTTTATTTAGTTTCAAAGACAATTTATGAATTAGTTATAGAATTTAATTTGAAGTAAACATTTTCATTTTTTTACAATTTCAATCCTGTTATAAATGCTGCCACCTAAGAATGCTCTAAGTTAAAAGGAACTATAATTTGATCCTTTTTTGTTTGGTAATTCTCACAAACAATATTCAAAGAATTGTCATTAATAGCTAGATAATTAATTTTTATGTCATCTATATCTGATGAGCTGATTATCTATAAATCAAATCCTTATCTAAGTAAAACATTATATGTATACCTTTCAAATTGATATTGCTAGTTCTAGTGTAAAGTTCATATTGCTCTCCAATTATTTATTTTATAGATACGACCACTTTTGGAACTTCATCAAATTCTTAATCAAATTACACATTCTTATTATGTAACATTTTTGTTTACTTTTGTAAATAGTTTATGTGCTTTTAAATTTTAGAGATCTAATATTCCATTACTCTGTTAGATTCCATTAATACACATGAATAAAGTCATTACTATTAAAAATTCCTTTTTCATTTTCAATATAAAATAATATAAAACGGATGCTTTATAACTATAAATGAAAATAAATTTATCATTAAAAATTGCAAAACACTTTAAATTCAAACTAAAATACATAAACATTAGAAATTTATATAAATCTCCAACATCTACTAAACCTTACAATATTAAATTTTGGTAATGAAGATTTTATTATATTTTCTTTTTAATCTCTCAAGAATTCATCATTTAAAAACTAATTAAATTCTTATTTTACTCATAATTTTATCATATATAATTGAATTTAAATCAGTTCAAATAAAATACAAGTGATTATTTGTATGTATTTGTATATAATATTGTTAAATTATAAATAGATTTTCATCATAAAAATAATGAGAGAAATAATAAACATGTGAATGAAAAATCTAATTATGATAGAAATGAAAAGCATAATGATAAAAATAATGATAGGAATAATGATAGATATGATAATAAAAATGATATAAAAAGAAAGGATCGCCATCAAAAGAGGAAAAATAGGAAATATTCATCATCAAGTTTATCAAGACCATCATCTTCAGTTACAGTTTATGTTTCATAATCAGAATCATCATCAAGTTCTGAAAAAGTGCCTAGATATAGACCCAAAAATCATGATAATATGGTATTATTATTGGAGAATTTACCAGAAGATTTAACAAAATAATAATTATATCATGCATTTAATGAAGTAGCTATGGAAGCTAATGTAATTCCTCATGAAGAAATATCTATCATAAATGCATTTGGGTAAGCATATATAAAATATTATACTGTTGATTATGCAAGAAAAGTTTTAATATATTTAAAAGGTAAAATATAAATAGGTGAACATACTCTCAATGTAGATTTTTATGATGATTCCTACATCAATTTAATTTCAACTATCCTCATAAGTTAATACATAATAACAACCATAATAACCATAAGATATTACACAATAATAAAAATAAACTCAAATTTAAATTCCTATTTAAATTCCAATATCTATTAAATCCCAATACCTTCTCCTATGCCAATACATTAAATTCCTTAAATTTCACTTATTTAACACAATTAATCACCATAAACTTAACAATTCTCTAATTACCAATATAAATACCAGAAGTCTCTATTATCCAACCTATAGTTTAAGCACCATTTCAAGCTGCTTAATTAGCATAAGAAAGGATTATATTGAAATAAGAACAAAAAATTACATTATCAACTCCACCAATGAATCTAATGACTTAACTTCCACCAAAAATTCATGCTCCTAAACCTTAATAATAGTAATAGCTAAGTCAATAATAATCCTAATAAAAAAAGTTATAAAAAGTTGAAAAAGTAGAAAAAGAAGTTAAATCAGATAAATCGGATGAACAACCTTCTCCTCTTCCTACAAAAATTGTAAAGAAAGTACAGCAACCTTAATTAACAGAAGCCTAAATAAGGAAAAAGGCAGAATTAGAATTAAACAAATGGGAAAATAATAATAAACAAAAAACCAGAAGTCAAAGTTACTACTTCAAAACCAATCATAAATCAAGTTGAGGCTCAAACTAGATTAATTTTATATATTTGTCCAAAATATGTAGGAAAAAATCCCCAAACGAAGAAATTATAAATTATCATTCTCTCAATTCTGAGATGCAAAAGTAAAAATTATTATTAATGTGAATTATTATATCATTATAGAAAAGCTTTATTATTTTCATCATTTTCTATTTAACTCTTTTATTTGTTCAGCAATATCTAATAATTCTTTTCTAATTTAGGCTTTTTGCTTAAAATCTGATTCTTAGTGAGCTTATCTTATTAATTATTCATAACGATTATTCAATTATTTCAGTTAATATTCAGATTCATTATTTCTTGCAGTCATAGGAGGTGATAATAATTTCTTTTTTGAAAACTATTATAAACTTTAATCCCCTTATTAATGAAGTTCTGATTTATATGGAATTGTCTATTTCATATCTTCCAAACAATCCTTAATTACTTGTTTTAATAAATGATTTGATTTGACTAAATTTTATTCAAATTGAGTACTAGACAATTAAGGTTATAAATATTCAAAATTTAATTTTGCAACTTTTTTATTTTGATTTGTTATATAATATTGAACAGGATTATTGATTGGAATATCTAGATCTGGATCATCAAAAGATGATATATTTTTCATCTTTTTACGATTAAATTTATTATTTTTTTCTTCATATTCCATTCTCAATTATAATTATTGATACTTTAAATTTAAATCTTTTAATTCAATAGTTAATTTATGTATTGTAGATTAATATTCATTACTCTTATTTAATAAATCTTATATTCTTCTAGTTAATTAATCCTCTGTTGATTAACGTTAATTCTATATTTCTTCCATTATTCTTAAATATGTCCTTTCCTTTTCTTCCAATTATCCTCTATACATCTAAATTTATTTTTCATACTCTTGCAATTTAAACAAAGGACATCTCTCTTTATAATCTATATAATTTGATTCCAATTAATTTTTCTCATTTTATAATTTCTCGTATCTCTTTTCAAGTTTTTTTGCATATGATTGTCCTTATTCCACTCTATGTCTTAAATCCTATATTTAATCAATTTATTTTTAATTCTCATCTAATTTAAGTTGATCCAATTTCTGAATAAATCCTCGCTCATTTATTTTATACTATTCTAATTACTTTTACAATTAATCTATTAAATTTTACATCTCATATCTTTACTTCTTACCATCTTCTATTTTTTGAATAAGATCTGCAATACGATCTTGATATTCTTTCAATTATATTAATCTCTCCTTTTACAAAGCTTCAATTTATAATATATAATTATTAATATTTTCTTTATCATTTTATTGTCTTTATAGTTACATAGATAATGTTTCATTTTAATTTTTCAATTCCTGTATTTACTAAATCAAACTTTCATCATCTTTAATCTTTAGTTTATTAGAAGGCTATAAATCATTTCTTTATGTTTCCATTACTTTTATTTTCTCTTGAAGTGCCTTCATGGCCAAAACATATGCATTTGAAGTACTCTAATATCCAGAATTAGTAGTATTTCTTTATTCCTTTTAAAACATAAATTATTTTTGATAAAATGATTATAATTAATAATCTAATTCTAATTTCATAAAACGTTAGCCAAATTTGTTATTTCAGAATTCATAATCATTAATTATTTATCAGAACTATAAGAAAAGCTAAAATATAAATAATTAATAACAAATCAATGAATTTGAAATGTAAATATATAATTGAATCTAAATAAGAGAGCAAAGAAAATATAAAATATCATTTTTAATCATAAATAAATAACAATAAAAAGATATAACACAAAAAATAGATTTTCAGTTTTATATTCTAAAATTGTTAATTTTTTAATTATATACTTAAAAATACCATTTTTATATTGATATTAAATTTATATGATTAAATATATTTCTTATCATCAAAATCATTTAAATTAGATTAATTTAATCATAAACTTAAATACTTTGTATTATTTATACAAAAAATATAAGTTCAAATAGAAATAAATAACTTTAATTTTATATATTATTATCATTATTCAAACAACTATGTGAAATCAGATATTATCATTAGTTATAACATTTAACTTCTTTGCAATTTAAAATAAATAATATTATAAAATTATATTTTTAAAATTCAAAAAATATTATTCAAAATCTTCTGAAGTATAGTTAACTATAATAGATTTGATAATGATATTTTAAATTGCAAAGAAGTATCTTCTTAATAGTTTAAGGATTTACCATCATTTTAAAAATATATATATTGAAAATCATAAATATAATTAATATACCATTTTATAGTCTTATTTGAATAAGATTGACTTGAATATATTTAATATGGATCTATTCAAATGCCTATTAAATTTTATTAAATTACAATTAATTTTATTTCTATATATATATATAATAACTTATATTAAATTTCATTGGATAAATAAATAAGAATTAGAATATACAATATAATTGAATTTAAGTGAAGGCGGGATGAGAAAATATTTAATTAATGGATTTCGAATTCCCTCAATTATTGAACCCAACTGATGGAGAACCCTATGTCCTTGTTTCTGAGTCAAAGGAAGTCTTGAATAGCAAGTTATTGACAGCTAGACATGTAAGTCAAAGAGCACATGAAACTGGAGGAAAATCTGAACTAGTTGTTATTGAAGACTTTTTATAGTAAAAATAGCATCTATATATTTAATAGAGATTTAACTAAAAAGTCTCCATTAGCCTATGTTCCAGATGCTGAATCAAAATAGCTTGTTCAAAATTTTAATACATAAAAATAAGCTTATGAAAGATAAGTATAAGAACAAGTTAACTCTTTTAAATAATTAAATTAAAAACTATAACAAGGGTACGAGGATGCTTGTAATAATATTGTGACAAAGTTGGTGGGTAATGCATAAGGTGAAGGTAACAATGTTTAAAGAGCATTTGATTCTTTGTAGACTGTTTTAAGAAGTGATCCTGAATAGGAGGCTTCAATACCTAAGCCAAAAGAAATAGTAGATAAAGTAATAAAATAATTAATAATAAATAGATATCTGAATTAAGAGCAGCCCCAGAATTACCAGAATATTTGTTTACAACAACTAAAAAGGTGAGAGCTTGGAGAAATGCTCCAAATGAATTGTGTGTGTGGAATAAAACAAAAGAATAATTCTATAGAGAGAATTTGGAATAGAGTTTAACTTAGACTGTTTAGGATAAAACAGAATTAGCTTTAAAGTTTTGGAATTCATAAATATAGAAATTAGGTGATCAATTATTAAACATCATCTAAGAAGACTCTTCAATTTAATAATAACATTTTGTGAGTCTTAATATTGAGACTGCTGAAGCATTTGCTTTATTATTAAATACAATGATTACTCCAGAAACAAAAATAATACTCCATATTGGAGATTTTACAGTTGATGAATCAAAATCAATTGCAGAATCAATATAAAAGTTAACAAGCATTTTAAATTTATAAATTAATTGGAGAGTAAGTGGAAAAGCATAAGGATTATCACATATTGCATAAGGTATAATATTAAATATAATAATAGCAATATCTTAAGCAGAATAATTAAAAGTATTGACTTTTGAATTTTCATCATAAGTTTAAGCAAATTCAGCCAAAGAATTCTTTACTGAATTTAAGAATGTGAACTTAGTTAATTTAGAAGAAGTAAATGTATTAGCAGAATAATCAAATGTTAATGCTGCAGTCTAATATATTTCTAAGGCTATAAAATCTATTGGAGGAAGTTAAGTTACAAGAGTTTTATTCAATTTCAGGTATATTTAAATAATATAATAAGTCAATCTTAAGTTGATAATAAATCAGCTCAATAATTGGGAGAAGCCTTATCAACATATAAAGGAGTTAAGAAATTTACACTTAATTTTTCAGGATATTCTTTATAAAGTAATGCTATTAAAGATGATGGATTTGCTGGATTAATTTAAAATGTAAATAATTTTGCAGAATCTCTTGTTGAATTGACAATAAATGTAGGAAGAAATTAATTAACAGATAACTCATTAGCCAATTTAAATAAATAATTCTCTGCATCTAAATGGGTTTCATTGAAGACTGTTAATATTAGTGTTCATTATAATAAAATTACTGAATAAGGAGCTCGTAAATTAGGCAAAGTATATATATATATTTAATATAATTTAGTTCCTTCATAATTTACCTATTTTAGTTAACCTTACAGTCAATTTGAACTCAACAGAAGTTAATTAAAAAGGTTTAAGCTTTTTAATTAATTAATTGGGACCATAAGTAAATGCTGATATTTCAGCCAAATAATCAAATATCAGTTAAGAAGAAGCAGCAGAATTAGTTGGAAAAGTATCATCCTTAAGAATTTGATATGGTTAATTAATTAGATTAGCAAATATATATATATATATATATAAATATATTTATTATCACTAATTTGGTCTTTTTTTAAATTATATTTGTGGAGACTCATTTCTTCTATAAACTTCAATTTCAGGTGAACTATTCTCTTTTTATTCAAGGAAGGAACTCTGTTCTTTTCTAATTTATAATTTATTTATTTTCATACTTTCTGGTTAATATTTCATCATATTTTTGTAATTTTTCAGAGATGAATGTAAGTTCAGTTACATATTCTTTCATTCTTGTATTATATAAATCTTTCATAGCTTCAAAACATTTCTATGTTTCTTCAATACTTTTCACATCTAATAAAGGAATCCTTTCATTAAGATAAAGTTCAACTTTTTCTTAAATTTCTTTTTAACTAATAGGTATTCCACTTGATTAAGGTAATACATTTTATTGTTGTTATTAAATTTTCTTATTACTTGAAGTGGATGTCCCTCCTCTTTAATATTATTCTAATTCCCTTATCAGAGCTAGTTTTTCTTATTCTAATCTTTTTACAACAGCTTCTAAGTCTACTTTTTCGTTTCTTCTTATCTAATTTATAATAAAATTCAATAACCTCATTTTCTAATTGTCCCACTCTTTGACTAAATCTTAAAGTAGAAAGTGATTCTTCAATATTATCATTTTCAGAACTTATTGTTGCAATCATTACAGTTTTACAATTACCTCCCAAAGAATCTTTTAATAATGTTGTCATCAATGAGTTTCTATATGGAATATGTTATCTATTCGCTCCTTTCATCCTTTCATTTAATGCTATAATGACTTATTCTAAATAAGTTAAAGATAAGTTAATATATTTTGCTTCGTTTAATAAATTACCTTCTACTTATGATTTACTAATCCTTTCTGATCCTGCTAAATCAACTAAATGCAATTTGCTAACAAAACAAGTCTCACTTGTAGTATCACATCCTTCAAGAGTTACAGTAAAAATACAATGAGATCTAGAACTTGATTAATTCATAGGTGTGGAACTAACCTATCTAATAAAGTTTCCCATCATTAACAGATCAATTCCTTCTTATTCATTATTACATTAATGAATAGATAAGTTTTTTAAATGAATATTATTTTAATCATCTTCAAATAATGCTATCTTTAAATTAAAAATATTAATATACTTTGTTCCATTATTCCAATGGTGTTTCTAAATGTCTTTTTTCTAATAAATCATATGCATTTTCATTGTATATCTCCATAAATGAAATATAGATTTTATATTCAAATTTAGTTCTTTTATCGATTTCATCAAAAATATAAGAAAGTGCTCTTGGTATAATACCTCTCAATTACCATGTTTCAGCTCCACTCATTGTATAAGTCTTACCTGATCCTGTTTATCCATATGCAAAAATAGTGGCATTATAACCATCCAAAAAACTAAATTTGAATTATACTTTAATACCTATTTATTACAGGAGTTGTGACATTAGTGAAAACATGTTCCTAACTTGATTTTTAATCAAAAACGTGAGTAAAATTGAAATCCAAATTGTCTCGATTGTTGTTGATCATTCCAAATTTGACATGTTTAGGTAATAATACTTGTAATTTTTTATTCTGATATATTTAGTATTGCATAGCATTTTATGATTAGCTTCTATACATATTTATTTTTACTTATTTGAAGGTTTTAATCTAAGGAAAACTTCGAATTGAGATTTCATAAACTGTTAAAAATATTAATAAAAAAAGTATCAATTATAAATTCTAGTTTTTGTGATGACTCTTTTGAACATGCTAGCATCATTTTAATCTATTTCATAAATCTACTTGATTATCTATCTACAAAGAAAGCATTCCTTTTAATTTTATGCTACTTGCACTGCACATTAATAACAGATTCCACCATGACCACAATTCATTAATATTGCATTTGATACCTTTTCACAACAAATAATGCATTTATTATTAGAATTATGATGACTAAGTTTATTTTTTTAAATAATATTGTTATTCATATTTCTTTCTGTTAATATTTCATTTTGATTTGTATCTTTGAACACTACACCTTATAAGTTCTTTATTTATCGAAAGTAAGCATTTGATAGTTTTTACATGAAAATTGATGTCTTAGTTACTTCCTTTTTAATTTAATTTATTTTATTTTAAGAATTTATTTTTGGAGTTGAATTTCTTGATTCAATTTAATTTATTGTTAAAACAAATTCAACCACTGAATTGAAAAATAAATATGAGATTGAGCAAAAAATGAGAATATTCAAAGATATGATAATGTAAATATATAAATCTCCTAATTAAATATTGAAATTGATTCCAAGTACATTTAATGTATTTATTATCCAAATTCCTGCTATTAGACTGCTTAAAATTGTAATATATAACAACCATATTAACATTTTAACTAAATTAGAATTTTAAGGTAATACTTTCATTTTTAGATTGGTTAGTTATTGTGTGATTTTTAATCCTAATTAGTTTAGAAATTAATATCAATAAAAATGTTATCATACATCCAATTAATCCACTTAAAAACATCCAATACCACCAAAATGTTTATGACCATGTCCAATCTACATATCGACTTATTTTTAAAGTGATACATAGAATTGCTATCAATAATGAAAATCTATAGAAAATTTAACTCTAAATATTAATTAAAAATACCAATCGTATAATAGTTGAATAATCATGCTACTCATCAAATTTCTTTTCACAAGCTATTTTAAAAATAAAAGACAACACTATGAATATATTGCCTAAAATATAATAGTGTAAATCTAAATAATACATAAGAGTGACATAAATCTAAATAATATAAGAAAACTTACATAAAATAAGATGTTTAGAATGTGATCAATATTGTCTGCTAACTCTCTGTTTGAATATTTAATCCAGATAACAATTTCATTCAATATCATACAGGATAATGGTAAAGCCAAAGGTGCTGCTTAAAATTAATAAAGTGTGAATAGGAGAACCATAATGTTTATACAAATATATTTGTAACAAAAGTACTTGAATGTAAATTCTACGATTTCTCTAATGAATATAATCAAAATTTACTTTTACATAGTTTTCGTTTTAGTTAAATATTAAAATTACCATATTTAGAATGTTCTAATATAAGACAAATTATTAATAGAAAAAATTAAACATTTTGTTTAGAAATGGATTTATGGATAAAATGTAATCAAATGGTTGCATATAAGAAAATTAGTATTGATTAGAAATTTCTTATAATTCTAGATAATATTTTTGTTTATATGAAAAATTTTATAGAATTATGATATTGAAATTACTGATTAAATATTTGTATAATTTTAAAATTCATAATTTATCTGAGCTCATTTTCTTTAGACTACCTAAATCATGCTTACTTCTTTAACTAGTGTGTAAACGCATTGTTGACTTTCTTCTTAATTTACTTGTTAAAGTATCATCCATCTTTTCTGTTTTTATTTCCTCTTCTCTAAAGAGATGAATTTTTTAGCATAGTTCTTCTGGTATAAATTTAAATAGAATTGAAAATATAATTCCACCAATTCCAAATCCAACACATAATAAATGTTAAAATAATGTCAAATGAGAAACTTTTACATATTTTCCTCCATATTATATAAGCAAAATCTAAACAATTACTGTTATTGTTTGAACTATCCAAAATAAAGGATTATTACAAAAATTAGCAAAAGGATTTCTTGTTTGATAATCTAATTATCGACAGGATATTGAATTAAATACTTACATTAACACAAATGCTTAAAAGAAGATACTCATTTGTACTACATTCTTAGGGTACTTTAATAATTATAATTAATATTAATACTTTTTATCCAATCAATTCCTATGGGATGGAGCAATCAATGAATTTTGGTAGTAGAAATAATATAAATGTAAGAACCATAATTTAATATAAACTTGCTCCTACAATAGTACGATACATTGTTGGTGAGACAATTTAATCAGATCTTCTATATGGTTGTCTATCTAAAACTTTAATAGAAGGAGGTTCTGTAGCTAATGCTAAAGAAGCAAAAGTATCCATAATTAAATTAACCCAAAGCATCTCAATTGCATTAAGAGGAGATTACTTTAAAATTACAGCACCTGTAAATGACATGAACAATGCTACTAAATTGACTGTCAATTAAAATTAAATGAATTTTCTTATACAATCATAAATATTTCTACCCCATTTCATAGCTATTGAATATATAAATTAATACCTGTAATAATAGAACTAAAATTATCATCTATTAGAATAATATCTGCAGCATCTTTTGCTACATCTGATCCTGTAATTCCCATAGCAAATCCAACATCTGCCTTTTTTAATGCAGGAGCATCATTTGTACCATCTCCTGTAACTGCAACAACATTACCTTCTTAAATCAAACCTGTAACCAATAAATATTTATCTTCTGGTGATGCTCTAGCCATCACTTTCATTTCTCTGCTTATTTTTGAAAATATCTACATATTTTTAACTACTTTTATTTCATTTCCTTCTTCATTTTTTCCATTTACTAATCCTCCCACTAATTCTCGAAATCTTTTACCTTCAATTACTTCAAATTCTTATTATGCCCTATTTTTTTCCAAGATTCCACATTCTAATGCTATAGATTAAGCTGTAATTATATTATCTCCAGTAACCATTCTAACAGTCACTCCAGATTTTGTACATTATCTTATAGATTCAGCAACATCAGGTCTAATTGGATCTTTGATACCTGCTATTGCAATCAAAGTTAAATCTTTATCTATATCATCTTCATTTATTTAATGTACATGTGCTTTTGCATTTACAAATCCTTTTATAGCTTAACTTTAAGGTTCTAGATCCTTATAAGCTATGGCTATTGTTCTTAAAGACCGAGATGCAAAATTTTCAATAACATTATGTAAAATATCATCTTTTTTAGTTTTATCTAAAATTTATTCAGCACCATTATTAGAAACATATCTAAAACACTATCCTAAAATAATTTCTGATGCACCTTTACTAAATATTCTTATAGATTAATTTTTTGGATTTAAAATAGCAGTAACCATCTTCTTTCTTTTACTACTAAAAGGAATTTATCTTAGAATTCTATCATTTTATCTGAAATTTGAATATTTATATCCAAAATTATCAGCTAATTCAATTAAAGCACATTCAGTTTTATTCCCAATTTATGTCCATCTATTAGTATCTCTATCTTTAGTAGGATTTGCTATAGAATTATAACATATAGACTCAGACATTATCTCAATAGATTATTTTGAAATTTTGGATGTTATATTAATTTCTTAATTATTGTAAGTATGATTTTCAATCCATAATGCAGTAACCTACATTATATTTTATGTTAATGTTCCTGTTTTATCACTACATATATTATTTGCACCACCCATAATTTCACATGATGCTAAATTCTTTACTAAATTTTATTCATCTTTCATTTTCCCTACTGAATATGCTAATGCTATTGTCACTGCTAATGGTAAACCTTCTGGAACAGCCACAACTATTATTGTTACTCCAATCATAAAAGCTTCAATTATTAATTATAAAGATAACAATGTAAAGAATTCATGTTTATGATCTACAAATACATCATAAATTAAATGTCCCATTAAAGCAATAAATGTTAAAATTGCCACTAAAGTACCTAATTTTCCTATATTTTCAGCCACTCCTTCCAACTTTTATTACAAAGGTGTAGGGGGATTATCTTAATTTAATAATAATTTTAATTATCCTTATACTGTATTTTATCCTACTTATAATACTAACATATATCCATTTCCATCTAAACATCTAGTACCACTAATTAAAAATGGACTAAAATGATGATGATCTTTGCTACTCTATTATTATTGACTCATTTCATTGAAAGGTAATTTTTTTATTTCATCAGATTCTCCAGTCATAGGAGATTCATCTACCTTTATTTAAGAACCCTATATCATCAAACCTAAATGTAAATATTATTAAGTACCATCAACTTAAAAAATATCTCCAATACCAAATTGTAATATATCTCCTACAACAATTTCTTTTATTGATATTTCAACTATTCCCCCTCTAACTACTTATACCATTCCATCATCCAATTTACGTCTTAATTATTAAAATTATCTCTCTTTTAGATAATTATTACCAGCTGTTATTGAAACAATTAAAAAAACAGCTAAAAATATTGTTGCTCTATATTTATATTCATAATTATACCCTTCTGTCCATCCTGTTTTAACTCCTTCATTTATAATTCCAATTACTGTACTAACTAAGGCAGCTACCAATAAAATTTATAACATTGTATCTCCAAAGCACTCTAAAATTAATTCGCATAATTATGCAGGCTCCTTTTCTATAGGATCATTATTTCCATATTTTTCCCTATTTTCTTGCACCTAAGCTTCTGAATCAATTCCTTTCTATGTTAATTAATTTTCATTTCTACTAATAGATGCGATTTCAATTATTTTGCCAATCCTTAATCACCTCCCAATTTTATGACTTTCTAAAAACTTGTTCCATCATTTATTGAATTTAAAAGAAATAATTCTTTCAACTCTTCAATATTATGAAATTCTTCAAAATCTTTTGAGTTTTCTTATTTTGAATATTGTTATTTCATTATAAAAATATTAACGATTTTCAAAAACAACTAATACTAATTGATCTGCTTTATATATTTTAAAATGAGATTATGTAAAAAATATCTTTATTTAGATTTATTTTATATACTACTAATGTTAAAGAGGAATAAACATTATGAATCTTTAATTAATTATAAATAAATAAATATATAAAGATAACTTTCTTTATGAATATTTTTTGTTTAAAATTATTAACAATTTACATTATAATTAAATAAATGATAATAATTTTATCAAATTAAGAAATAAATTGAGTCTGTTAATAAATAAATATTTTTTTTAATTTATTTGTTAAATGATGTAACGCTCTTTATCTCCTATATATCAGAATGATGAGGACTATTTAAAACCTAAAATCCCTCAAATTACTTAAAAAATGCCATAGTTTTGTTAATATTATAAGGAGAATATATAATACCCATCCTTAATATAAACTGTAAGAAAAAAATAAATATTTGATTCAAGAAATGTTAACTATTAAAATATTTCCCCAATAAGAACAAATTAAATTCAATTTAGAGTTTCATAACCCAAAAGCCCAATAATTAGATAGACAGTTGAAATTCCTTTATAATCGAAATCTCAAACATCATTTTTACATCAAATACCAACTTCATTAACACCTCCAAAAAAGTAAAATTCTAAAATACTAACATCACAAACAATTATTCCTTAAAATTAGAATTCTTAACTAATTGTTAAGACTCCATTAAATGAATAAATTAAATCACAAATTAACAATTATTAAATGCAAACTTAAAATTATTAAGATAAAGGATAATAATAATAATAATAATATTAATAATAACAATAATAAATGAAGATTGAATAAAGCTAAAAAGACATATATTCATGCTTATAAGAAGAATTACAAAAATCAGAAATGAAATTAAAATAATTAACTGAAAGAAGCCAATAAATGGAAGAAAAAAGGATTCAACTTAGAAATACTTTTAGGAATAATTCGAAATTATAATAGAAGAATCATTGATGATAAACTTGTTGTGAGAAAATGAAATACTAAATATAATATGTATTTTTCTTTCAAATATTAAAATTAAATTTATATATTGTAAAATTTCAAAAATGTTACAACAATAATTAATTATTGATATTCAAATGCATCTTCTTCTAACTATCAATTTCTTTTACTATTGAATTACATTCAACTTCATAAATATCCCTCATTCTAATTTTAATTACTTAATCCATTAAAAAATTGAATGATAAATTGGGTATTTATTAGAAATATATCTAAAATCAATATGAGGAGAATCAAACTGATTAATGAATTTTTAATTTCTATCTTAAAATTGAATTAAAAAAATGGATTAATTATAAAAACAACTCTTTAATTGAATAAAATTTATGTTAATTATCATTTCCTAAGATTTTTGGTTAAACCTCTAATAAAGTATTTCTTATTTCAATTAAACTATATATTAAGTGAAAATCTAAAATTATTAAAATGAATATAGAAAATGTAATTTTTTATTTAATAACATATTCAGTAATTTAAAGTATATAAAAAACTGATATTTAAAAAATATTTCTTATCAAAAATATAAGAGATTAAATTATTAGAATAAAATTGTAATACCCATTTTAGGTTAGAGGAGATGCAAAAAATTTAGTATATGTATTCATTTATCTCATTTTAAGGAATTTTGGTAAAGAACAGTTTAATTGATAGATTCTATAAATATTATGATAAATTTAAGAATCAATAATCGATTTTTTTTCTAACATTTAATCTTGTACTCTTTTATAACAATAGCAAAATGTAAATTTAAATTATAAGATATCCATAATAACTTGTTCAAATATAATGGTTTATTCTAATTACTTATTTTGAACAGCAAGATACTGATTTATTTAATTATAAATTGAAATATATAAAATTAATGAACAAAAATGTTCTAAGAAATATATATTGAATAAAAATAAATTGGTTAAATCAGTAACGTTAATGATTACTTTTATTCACTGATAAATCTTCTTCTAGCCATTTAATTCTTTTACCATCTTCCCATAAACCCAGACGAATAGTTCCATCAGGAAGATGATACTTTCCTTAACCACTTTATTTTCCATAAGCCCATTATCCATCATATTCTTATATAATATTATATCTGAATACTTCTTCCATCTGCCCAAATATAGATTCCTTAACCATGTTTCTTATCATATTAATATTCGCCTTCATATCTTCTACCATCTCTCCAAGTATAGACTCCTCTACCATGCATATTATTATTTAACCATTCTCCATCATATTTCTTATAATATAATAAATATTATACTCTGCCATCAGTCCAACAATAGATACCTCTTCCACAAATTTTGTTATCCATCCAATTACCTTCATATGATGATCCATCATTCCAAATGTATTTACCAAATCCATGTTTTTTTCCTTCTTTATAACTACCTTCATATTTAGATCCATCTGCCCAAGTTTCAACTCCATTTCCATCTTATAAATCATCTTTCCATTATCCTTCATATTTAGCTCCATTCACATGTATATAAACTCCAAAACCATTTGCCTTATCTTCTTTCCATTCACCTTCATAAATATCTCCATCAACATGCCAAAATTTTCCTTAACCACAAGCTTTATTATCCTTCCATTATCCTTCATATCTGGCTCCATCAGGCCCTAATTTTAGAATTGTATAATTACATATTTAAAGTCCAAAACCTTCTCTTACTTAACCTCTCCATTCTCCATCATATATAGCCCCACTTCTAAAAGTAAATGGTGGTCTTCTTTCAGGATATGTATTTTAATCATTATGATAATTAGTTGTTTCTTATTTGTCAGCTTATGAGAAGTATTATTGTAATTATGTATTAGATCTAAACTATTCTGGATGAGGAGAATGTACTTCTTCAGTCACGAGAGGTTGATGTTAAAATTAACTAAAGTTCTGTTATTATAGTGATTGTTATTATTATTATTAATTCGATGCATTGGTATAATCTAAATTCTTAGAGTTTTCATATTATTTTAAATCGTTTGGAAACGAAGTAGCATCTATAACAGTTTCCGAATTTTTGCATACGTTACAAGCACTTGAGCAATCATTCCCCATTTTTTAAGTTAGAAATATATAATATTTAATATATAAGTCATTTAAATTGACTTAATATTAATTACTATGTTAAATATAGAAATATAAATATTCAATATTTAAACATTTTTTTATGAGGAATAAAATTTAATGGTAATTGAATTGTGGTTTCACATAGTGGGATATCAAATGTCTCATCAATTCTTGTTTAGTAAAATCCTTAATTATTTTGAATGAGATCATTAATAACTTATTGTTCTTCTTCTGGATCAGGTACATCATCTTTCATTTTTTTATCTGAATGTTAATCAGTATTAGTATGTTAGATGGATTATTGTTTGCCTTCAAGTAGTTCCTTACAAAGACGATTTTTTTAAAGTTTTCCGAATTCATATAATTGATTATATTATTCTTTCGAAATAAGTATATCTGTGATATTATCTGTTGGTAAAAAATATTATTAACTAATCTCATTAGGAGGCCTTTAAAAAATATACTTATTTATTTACCAAAAATTGCTTTCAATATTATAAGAAACTCCACCATATTTTTATTCAACTTATGATTTATGGCAATGATCAAATAATCCAGTTGGAATAGAAGATTTTTCAAACGATATTTTTCTAACAGTTATTTCCTCTAAAAATCCTTTAACTATATTCCAAGAAAATGTGATTGTACTAGGACAATTAATTACATAACATTTATGCATTCTAGATCGATAATTATTTTGTAGATAATCTAAAACTCTTTACAATTATTGTCTTGGCAAACTTGTAATTCCCAAACCACCTAAATCCATAACAACAACCCTATAAATTATCTGAATTTATATATTACCAATTCTCTATTTATCCAGGTAACATATAATTTGCTAACACATATTCTAAAAATATTGTCATTGAATCTAATGTGATATCTATATTTTTTTATGCTGCCAATTTAATAGCATTAACCATAATTATTGGTCTAAATCTATTATCTCTTCCATGAAGATAAATTGAACCACTTGACTAAAAATATCTCGCTATTCTTTACTAAGAATTTGGTTGTTTCCTAATTCTCTTTAAGTGGGAAGGCTTGATTCCTCCATTAAATATAGGCTTAGATTGCTGCATAAGTCTTTTCAAACTTAAATTTAGTAGCATATAACATCCTCAGTAATTAAGGTTCAGTCCACCTAAAATTAATTGAGTGAGAACTTAGGCATAAAGCGTTTTGATATTAAGTATGCTTCGAATTATTTTAAGATTTCCATCTCTTGTTGATCAAACTCAACTTATCCTTCAAATATTTTCCTTACCTTTATTTTGTCTACAACATAACATATATCCTCTTCTAAATGATATTACAAATTAATATATACATTTAGGAAATAAAAGATAGCATTCTTAAAATAAGGTTTATCGATTAATCATTAAATTAATGAATCTATTGTAATAAGTTCTAAGGATTATTAATTTGTAAATTAAAAAGAAATTCTATATATATTTAGATCAATAGTGTGTTAATATAAGCATTTTTATTAAGATTATTTTGAGAAAGACCCTGATATTAATAATATAAATTAAAAAAATAAATAAATAATATCATTGAAATCCCTCAAAACTGTTTAAATATAATAGAATTTCATTAATTTAAGAGATATTATGAGCAAAATAAATTTGAATCATAAAAAAATATGAAGAGTTTAAAATTCAAATTCAGATTAATTATTTTTAATTAGCATAATAAAGATTTTATTCTCTTAGTTAATTTCCTCAAATAATTAATTAAAGCTGCTATCTATTAATAAATAAAAGTCTTTAAAAATAATTATATATTTTAATTTAAATAGAATTATGTTTGACAAGAATATATATTTAATTTTCAATAGATCAAATTGATTATAAATGGCTTCATAAATAGTCAGACATTTATCCTAAGAATTCATCAATTTGAATTACTCATTTGAAATAATAAACCAAATTTTAGTAATTAATTTAAATTATATAATTTTACTTTATAAATAGTAAATTGAATAAAAACCAAATATAAACATCAAAAAAACTTTGCAAATCTTTTAGGCAATGTTTTATTTGGTGGTCTTTCTTTGTTCATTTTGCCATGTTAAGAACAATAATCTGAACTCATTCCTTTATTTAATAAAAATACACATTCATTGCATGGTAGTGGTCGTCTAAAAAATTGGATTAAGTTATTACCCAAAATATTTAATTTCAGCTTAATCTCTAAATCCTCTTATTTTGTATTAATTTGATTCATCATTTTATGTTTCTAGTTTAGTTTTCTCATTTTTTACTAATTAATTTGAAACTTATGCTTTAACAGATTTAATATGTTATTTCAATTTTTAATATTCAGGTTTTTATTCTTAAATTACAAAACCATTTTCTTTATCATTTCTTCTTTCTGTTGTAGTTGTTATTATTTAAGTTGATTTTGGAACACTTTTTTATGTTTTTTATTAAAAATCTTTCTTTATTTAATTATTTTCTAGTTGATGATGTTTCTTTGATCTCATTTTTTAAATACTCTCTTTTTAAGTTTTGTTATTTTGTTTACTTTAATCCTACTATTATTTTTATTAAACCTATTATTATTATTATTATTGATTTTATTATTTAAATTGTTTATCATATTTAGGATATATCTATAATTAATTATCATCATTGTCTGATTCATCAATTTCTTATTACAATTTACGCTCTGATGATTATAGTAATTACTTTTATAATTCTAATTGTTTAATATCATTTCTTAATGGTGAATATTAAGATTGACTATAATTTTAACTATGACTTCTCTCAGGAGTCATCTCTTCATCTTAATCCTCTTAACTTTCATTTAATTAATTTCTTAGTTAATTGAGCTCATAATTAAGAGATTTTTATTTTGATTCTTCTGCTTCAAAACGTTTTTATTATAGGCTACTTGCTTTTTCTAAACTCAAATCAATTTGATCTATAATTGACATTCAAATTTAATAACAGCTTTTATAAATATTTATATAAATTTAATTATCTTAAAATTTTGATATGTTTAATATAATTCAATATAAATTAGTTGTTCTTATATAAACAAATTTACTTAATGTATATAAGTAATAACAATTAATTTTTATGGAAATATTAAGATTATTACAAATCTATTTTTTTAATAATTTATTAATGAGTTTCATAATTAATAAAATAAATTTAGAAAATCGAAACTTAAATATTAACTTAGTGAAATGATTGTAAATATCATAAAACTTTTAATAAAAGGAATTTTCAAATATATACTTCCTATTCTCTTTACTTTATTCATTATTTATTAATGGCCAAATCTGAATGCTAATTAGGCAAGAATATTACTGAGTATTTATGTATTGTTGATTGTAAGAGTGGAGAATTGTTTTGCATTTTATAGGTCTTCTATTTATTATATGTAGATTTTATAAACAGAAAAGTATATTTGAATATGAAATGACAATTTTTTTGTCAACTGTGAAAGTTGTAAATTCATTCTAAGTATAAACTTCTAATGGATCAATATATATAATAGTATAAATAAAATATAAAATTATATATTAATTGATTAAACAATACAATATACAATTAATAGATTTGTGAATGGATATTCGATTTATTTTTACTATGTAATGCTCTTTGTTATGCAATCTCTTTTTTTACTATTATCATCTTTGTATTTATTATGATATTTGGACTTATCAGAGGAAACTTCCCTTCTTTCAATCTCGGCTTATCTCCAGAAGAGTTATAAAAATTAACTAGAAAACCATGGATTGAATATTAAGTAATATACTAAGAAGATTGTCCTATATGTTTATGTTAATTAGAATAAATGGAAATTGTGGCCTAATTGCCTAAATGTAATCATTATTTTCATGATACTTGTATTGATGAATGGCTTAATGAAAAACCTTTATGTCCATCTTGTAGAAATAATGTGAGAATGGCATTACTAAATGATTGATTAATTTTTATAATTTATGAAGTCAACAGAATATAAATATACTACAACTTGGTTGAGACCAAGATCCAAAAATCTCTATCAAATAATACTTGAACATCAATAAAAGGATGTATTTAATGAACAAATCTTGACAGCCTCTTGTCTCTAGACTCCTGCCAAATATTAAAAGGACGAATCTCAAATTGAGATCATCAATCAAATCAATTCATTTTAACAAATATCTAATCTAGATATAGAAAAGCTTATTAATCCTCTACATTTATTTGAATCTTCTATCTCAGAAATTCAAATGAATGAGTCTGTAAGCAATTTAGTCAATTATTAAAAAAAAGAGATTTCATAAGAACTAAATAAATATCTAACTAATCTCAGTATAGTAAATTTTATTACCAAATATAGAATATTAGAATCAGGATTTGCTTTCATAATTAGATTACAATAAAATTAATCTGTTTAATTAATTTTAAACTAAAATTCTGAATTAAAATTTGCAATTAGACATTAATATCATAATATAGTATGTGAATCTACACATTCTTAAAGAATACTTAAACCAAACACCTTAAATATAATTAAAAATTAAGTAACCATTGAAAATGTTGGAGATTTGTCTATACCAATATGTTTTTACATACATTCATGATTTTTATTTTNCAATATACAATTAATAGATTTGTGAATGGATATTCGATTTATTTTTACTATGTAATGCTCTTTGTTATGCAATCTCTTTTTTTACTATTATCATCTTTGTATTTATTATGATATTTGGACTTATCAGAGGAAACTTCCCTTCTTTCAATCTCGGCTTATCTCCAGAAGAGTTATAAAAATTAACTAGAAAACCATGGATTGAATATTAAGTAATATACTAAGAAGATTGTCCTATATGTTTATGTTAATTAGAATAAATGGAAATTGTGGCCTAATTGCCTAAATGTAATCATTATTTTCATGATACTTGTATTGATGAATGGCTTAATGAAAAACCTTTATGTCCATCTTGTAGAAATAATGTGAGAATGGCATTACTAAATGATTGATTAATTTTTATAATTTATGAAGTCAACAGAATATAAATATACTACAACTTGGTTGAGACCAAGATCCAAAAATCTCTATCAAATAATACTTGAACATCAATAAAAGGATGTATTTAATGAACAAATCTTGACAGCCTCTTGTCTCTAGACTCCTGCCAAATATTAAAAGGACGAATCTCAAATTGAGATCATCAATCAAATCAATTCATTTTAACAAATATCTAATCTAGATATAGAAAAGCTTATTAATCCTCTACATTTATTTGAATCTTCTATCTCAGAAATTCAAATGAATGAGTCTGTAAGCAATTTAGTCAATTATTAAAAAAAAGAGATTTCATAAGAACTAAATAAATATCTAACTAATCTCAGTATAGTAAATTTTATTACCAAATATAGAATATTAGAATCAGGATTTGCTTTCATAATTAGATTACAATAAAATTAATCTGTTTAATTAATTTTAAACTAAAATTCTGAATTAAAATTTGCAATTAGACATTAATATCATAATATAGTATGTGAATCTACACATTCTTAAAGAATACTTAAACCAAACACCTTAAATATAATTAAAAATTAAGTAACCATTGAAAATGTTGGAGATTTGTCTATACCAATATGTTTTTACATACATTCATGATTTTTATTTTATTATATATATCTATTCATTAGATATAATTATTTTTTAATTAAAATATAAATATATTTTTATTTATTAATTGTTCTTTCAATTTAATTCCATAAACTTACTTAATTTATTATCCTCATTATTTTTTAATTTATAAACATAAACATTTAGCAAATCTTCTTTTATAAATACTATAATAGTATTAACCATGATATTAATATGTTTTTTTACTTATTATTTAAAATAATCTCTTATAAGTGATCTTAATTTTTATTACTTAAAATATTAGCCAGCAAATTATCTTAAGAAAATGAAAAAATAAGTCAAAAACAAAAGTAAGTGATAAAGAATGATAATTTTAATCTAACATCATTTAACCAGCATAATCAAATTTAAACATTGTAAAAAGTATATCTTTCAATATTTATTTATTATTTAAATATTATTTTGTTAACTAAAATTCTACTCATATTATAATAAATAAAAATGAAAACTTTAAAGTATAATTATCTATCAGCATCTTAAGCAACTACTAATCTTTTTTTTGATAAACAATTGCTATGACTATTCCTTTTACTCGTATTCAAATTTTATGAATCCAAGTTTAAATAATGAATACATACAAGATAAACATTAAAATTGTATAAGAATAATGGTATTATTAGTTAAGAATAGAGTATTTTCATACATAAAGTATTATCAGCTATTATATTGTAATTATATAATTTTCATTCTATTATAAATCAAGTTAAGTTTATTAAATTTACTTTTTCCTTTAATAAGCACATATCAAATCTACAGAAATATTAAAAATAATAATAATATCTTTAGTTTTAATTATTTATATATTGTACTACATAATATTTTAATAAATTACTAATTTTAACAATAATACATTAACTTAAAATAATTTAACAAAAAGAAAGGATCTAAAAATTTGTATAAACGTAATTTTATAGTAAGATCTCTTAAAGATAAAGATTAATAAAAAAAATATACTACATTTTAATATTACTCTAAATTATGAATAAAACCTGGAATTATAAGATTGTTTATGACTAATCCATGATTAAATGCTTTTTAAATGAATTATTCTCTCTATTTTATATGAGGAGGAATTGGCAAATTAATAAATAGATATATTTTATAAAATTTGATAAAATATATAGTTAAATTTACATTTACTAAACAAAATTTTAGTTATGCTTGATTGAATTTTCTACCTTTAGGATTGAAAATTAAAGACTTAATGATGTATGTTTATATTTTTTTATATTTTATATATATATATATATCATATACCTCCATCATTTGGGTCCTTCTTCATCTTCTAATTCAGAAGTCCAAAGAGTGAGGTTGTCTCTAATTAATTGCATAATTGTGGTGGCATCCTTATATTATGATTCTTCGATTTATTCGATATCAGCAATAGCATCATCGAAAGCCTTGAAGATATTTTGAAAAAATATATACTTGTTTAGCTAAGCTGCATGCCTTTGTTGGGTCATTCAAGACTTCATAGTAGAAAACTGAGAAGTTGAGAGCAAGACCTAATCTAATGGGATTTGTGGTTTTGAGCTCTGAATTAGCAACATTTGAAGCTTGTTAGTAAGCTTCTAATGCTCCATCAGCAGCATGTTTATGTTAGTCTCCACTTGAATATTCTGAAATGTATCTATGATAGTCTCCCTTCATCTTGAAATAGAAGACTTTAGCTTCTGAATTAGTAGCTGTCCTGATGAGTGAAGTGTCAATGAGGTTGAGGACATCATTACAAAATCCGTTCAATTCTTATTCAATTTTTTTCTTGTAAGCTCTAATTAAGGTGAGGTTTCTTTGACTTGCTGGATTTGTTTGAGCCTAAAATAATAATGATATAAAGATGATTTAATATAAGGGACAAGTTTTTGAATTAATAAAAATTGAGATTTCTATACCTTTCCTTCTTCCTTATTCTCAATGCTAGAAAGGACTCTCCATGCTGTTCTTCTTCCTCCAATGCTGTTTTTGTAAGCAACAGAGAGCAAGTTTCTCTCTTCTACTGACAATTCTTGTCCTACACTAACTAATTGTTTGATGTAGTTGACCATGTCCTCGAATCTCTCTGTTTACTCTGTGAGTCTAGCCATATATAGCAATTCGTCTCTGCTGGTCATCTCAAAAAAAAATAAATAAAAAATTCAAATTTAGTTAAGAGTTACCAAGTATATAAACCCCCAATCTATTTAATATAAATTCAATTTTTAATAATTCCCCAATTATTTTTATTATTTGTGATATAATAATAAATAATATTCTTAAATTTAAACATTCAATTTTTGTATTATTGATATTCTTGATGATAGTAAATAATAGAAAAGGTGTTGATATATAGATTGAAAAATTAAGTAATTTAATAGATTTTAAAAAGTCAAATAATAACACTTTATAAGTCATATGATGTATTAAAGAAATATAATAGAAGGAGATTTGGATTGAGATATGGAAATTAAAGGTATTTAGATGAAGATGTTACAATTTTAAATTAAATATAAATTTATTATTAACTAATAAATTAATTTATATTATTACACATTATTGTTTTTATGAACAAACTAATATTGATGAATAATTAAATTATTCCATAAAATGGGGGATTTTTTATAGAATGATCCCATAGAAGAGTTTGATTATATAGAGATTTGTATTAAATAAATTACTAAATCATGTCTCACTTAACAGCATTACTAAGAAAGAACTATATATTATGGAAGAGGAATTGTTGTTGTTCGGTATGCGAAATCATACTTCCTTTGTTTTTCATTGGATTATTGTTAACAATCAGGTACTTTTAATGTTAAAAATAGAGCTCAAGTTGAAATAGATGAAATACCTGAATCATCTTACTTAAAAGTAAACAAAGATTCAGATTTGCCTCGAATTCTTGCTCCAAACTTAAATAATTTTCCCAAAAATCCAGATTAAGACACTGAAAAATTGCTGAAAATACTACCTTAGTTGAAGTATGTATATTATTATATGTTAGAAATTGTATTGACAATAGAGATAATTCAGGAGCTTCATACAGAAATGGATTCATTGGAATTGGACCAAAAGAGAATGATGTGGCCCAGAAATTATCAAATTACTTTGTTGATTATTATGGATATGATGTAAAATGGTTCAAAAATAATGATGAAATTGATGATTATGTGAGATAAGAAGGATATAATAAACTAGAAGATACTAAAGGTCTTTGTCTAGCAATAATATTTGAAAAAGATGATTTTGCTTAAAAGGATTTTAGCTATACTTTAAGATTCAACACTTCAGATTCGACAGATTACATAGAGTATCCATTAAATAGAAAGGATAAGATCAATTCATTTAAATAGTAATGATTCTTAAATATATTATTAGTGAGGATTAAGAAATTACATATTTATTTTATGAAAATGGATTTCTTACTATTCAAAATTGGATTGATAATTTAATTATTCAATAATATGATTCATCTGTAACAATAGAGCCAACTCTTAGTCATGTTAGATCAAGAGATCATATTGAAGATAAGTTTCCAGATTTCGTAAATGGAGCATATGGAATATATCTAACATTGCCATTGATGATTGTATTTTTAAGGATGACTCATGGAATAATTTATGAAAAAGAGAAGAAATTAAGAGAAGGAATGAAGATAATGGGATTAAGTAATACTTAATTTTATATGTCATGGATAATTCAATACCTATTAATCTATGGAGTCATATCTATCTTGGCTACAGCTATTCTAAGTATCTTTATATTTTAATATAATTTTAGAAAGCATGATATTTGTAGAATCTGGTTGGGGATTTATATTCTTAAATTATTACTTATGCTGTTTGGTTTTAATAGTTTAATCACTATTTTTGTCTGTGTTTTTCTCATAAGCTTTAACAGGATTAATAGTTTCAATTGTTTGGTATTTACTAATGTTTTAAATGTTAAATATGGTACCTGGTAATGCTATTCCAACTAGAAGTTAATATTGGGGAGTCTCCTTTTCAAGTCAAGCATCATTAGCATTTTCATTTGGTGTGGTTACTCTTATGGAATCATAAGGTAATGGATTTGATGGATCCAATTTAACAACAACTATAAATAATTATAGTATTTCTATAGCTTGGACTTGGCATATTATCAATTTTTTTGTATATTTGATTTTGGCCATATATTTGGATTAAGTATTTCCAAATGAATGGGGTGTTAAGAAACATCCATTATTCTTTATTAATTGGATTTGGAAAAAGGATAGAATGGATAGAGTAAGTCATTCATCAATGTCATTGGAAAGAATGAATACACATGATGATAAATTTGAAGAAGTTGAATAAGCTTTAAAGGAATAAGAATTAAAAAATGAGGCACTTATTATTAGAGGATTATATAGAACATATCCAAATGGTAAATAGGCTGTAAGTAACCTAAATTTATCAATGTATTAAGGATAGATATTTGCATTATTAGGACATAATGGTGCTGGTAAGACATCAACAATTTCTATGCTTACAGGTTTATTGGAAATTACAAAAGGAGATGTAATTGGTTATGGTTTTGATGTAAAAACTGAATTATAAGAATTAAGAAAAATTATGGGTGTATGTCCATAACATGATATATTATTTGATAATTTGACTGTAAAAGAACATTTGGAATTGTTTGCTTAATTTAAAGGAATGAAATCTAGTGAAATTTAAGATTAGATAACTAAAATAATAGCTGATGTTGATTTGACTGATAAAACAGATTATCTAAGTAAGAATCTATCAGGTGGTTAAAAAAGAAGATTATCAGTTGCTATAGCATTTATTGGAAATTCAAAATTAGTATATTTAGATGAGCCAACTTCTGGAATGGATACAAGTGCAAGAAGATATATTTGGGAAATGTTAAAGAATTACAAAGATAATAGAATTATTGTTTTAACAACTCATTTTATGGATGAAGCAGATTTCTTAGGAGATAGAATTGGTATAATGGGTGAAGGTAAATTATTATGTTCTGGAAGTAGTGTGTTTTTAAAGAATAGATTTGGAGTTGGATATAATTTAACTTTAGTTAAAGATAATACATAAGTTGAATCTTAAACAATAATAGATAACATAATTAATTATATTAATACAGCTACTATTTTATCTAATGTATCTGCAGAAGTAGTTATGTAATTACCAATTGAATAGATTGATAAATTCCCAAATTTGTTTGAGTATTTAGATAAAAACATGAAAAGTTTACATATTTCTACATATGGAATCAGTATTACTACTTTAGAAGAGGTTTTCTTAAAAGTGGCAAAAATAGGAGCTGGACATGAATAAGTTGATGATGTACAAAATCAAGAAAAAAATAATTAGATTAATTAAAATTTAGACTTAAAAATTGAAAAAATAGAAGGATTTTGTTCTATTTTTTTTTAACATTTATTTGCATTAATGTAGAAAAGATTTAGAATATTTAGAAGGGATATTAGAGGATTGATTTGTGAAATATTTGTACCAATATTAATAGTAATTTCTGGATTAGCTTTAATGACAGTCAAATGGATGAAAGATGATGAATTGGCAATTATTACACCATAAGATCTTTATGATAATTAGAAATTGTAATTGTTTTGGGGTGGAGATTAAACTGGCTAAAATTTGATGTAATATTTTTCAACTGATGATTGGACTATTTCTAAATTATCTTCAAATTTAGAATAAGCTGATAAAGAATATTTTGATTAATTTGAATTAAGAGAAAGTCCAGGATGGTATTTCTTTAATTAATTTGTTGGTTCTACATATTCCTATTGGTTTTTACAAAATTCAGTCTTTGTTCAAAGTTCTCCATTACTATTAAATCAAATGAATTAAGCAATCTTAAGAAAAGTTACAAATAGTGCTTCAGCCAGTATTGAATTATCTTTTTATCCATTCCCATAAACTCATAATGAAAAAAGTATTGATTAATCAGTTGCAGGATATTTATCAGCCTTTATATTTTCAATTGGATTTGCATTCATTCCAGCATCAATTATTTCATTTATTGTAAAAGAAAGAGAAATAAATATTAAACATTAACAATTAGTTTCTGGTGTATCAGTCTTAGCTTATTGGACAAGTAATTGGATAATTGATATAGTTAAACATTTAATACCAGCAATTGTAAGTGCATTAATGGTATTAGCATTTGATATAGATGCATTAATATTGGATGGCAATTATGGAGCAGTATTTCTATTTTTTATTCTTTATGGATGGGCCATTATACCTTTTAGCTATGCTTTAAGTTTCTTTTTCAAAGTTCCAGGAAACTCATTATTATCATCTTTCTTTATTCATCTTGTGTTTGGATCTATTCTTAGTATTGTTATTTATGTATTTTTCTTAATTGAATCTACTAGAGATGCTGCCTCATATTTGGTTTGGATCTTCAGACCTATACCATCATTCTCATTTGCTTTAGGATTATTAAGAACAAGTTTAAAATAATTTTTTGAATTGATTTTTGAAAATTCAATTACTCCACCTAATACATTTGCAATGAGAGTTGCAGGTGAAGATTTATTAGTACTTGCAATAAGTGGAGTTGGATATATGATTATTGTATTTATATTGGAATTCTTTGAAGATAATGGTTCATTATAAAAATTGGGATCAAATGAAGCATCCATTCCTTATAATCCAAAAATATTAGATGATGATGTTTAAAAAGAATAATAATTATGTTAAAATTATAGACCTTAAGATTAAGCAATTTTAGTTAGAAATTTAAGAAAGGTCTTTATGTTAGAGAAGAAATAACATAAAGTTGCAGTTGATAATATTTCATTTTCAGTTGGTAATGGAGAAGTCTTTAGTTTATTGGGTGTTAATGGAGCTGGTAAAACAACTACATTTAAAATATTATCAGGAGAATTAAAACCAACTTCTGGAGTAGCTTATGTATCTGGATATAGTGTTATTGATTAAATTTAAGATGCAAGAAAACATATTGGATATTGTCCATAATTTGATGCTTTATTAGATAATCTTACAGTTTAAGAACATTTAGAATTATTTGCTAAAATTAAAGGGATTACTAATACACATCTTAATGAATTAGTTGAAAAAAAGATGGTTGAAATGGATCTAAAGAGATTTGAATCTGTTGAAGCTGGTTAATTATCAGGAGGTAATAAAAGAAAATTATCAGTTGCTATTGCTATGATTGGTAATCCACCTATTGTATTTCTTGATGAACCATCTACTGGTATGGATCCAGAAGCTAGAAGATTCATGTGGAATGTTATATCAAGAATATCTACTTAAAGAAAATAAAGTTCAATTATATTGACTACTCATTCAATGGAAGAAGCAGAAGCATTATCAACAAAAGTTGCAATTTAAGTAGATGGTAATTTAAGATGTTTTGGATCTGTCTAACATGTCAAAAATAAATATGGTTAAGGATATGAGGTTGAAATTAAATTATAGAAACCAAAAATTAATATGTTAGATTAAATTATTGATTAAATGGGATTGAGTAAAGGTATAAGATTAAATCAATCAGCTACTCTTAGTGCTTTATAAAAGATTCATTAACCATAATTAATGAGTTAAATCTAACCTAAAGAATCAGGATCACATTTGTATAATGATTTAAATAGACATGGTATTAGTGTTGAAACTTTAGCAGAGTATATACTTGTTGAATAGAATGGAAAAAAATTATTAGAATTTGTTTAGTAATAACTTGGACAATATGAAATTATTGAACATTTCTAAACATTTTATAGAATTAGATTACTTTCTAATATTTCAGCTGGTAAATTATTTTCAGCTTTTGAAAAAAATAAATAACAATTGACAATTTCCTAATATTCAATTAAATAAGCTTCAATTGAATAGATATTTAATATCTTTGCCAAACAAGATCTATTATAGAAAGATCAAAAATAAGAATAAGTTTAAATTCAAGTAGAATCATGATTATTCATTGTTATTTATATTTTAATAATAAATTTTAAGTTTTGAAATATATATTCAGATTATTTGTTCAAACAATCAAATTCTCTATTACATTTAAAATAGATAAGGACTGTATTGATTATAAAAATACAAGGTGGGATCAAAGAAATTTCCATATTATTACTAATATAATGGAATATATTCAGAATAAGCCAGATAGTTTTGGAAATAAGCTTAAGTTTATTATGGATTAAAGTATTCCTATGTTTAAAATTAACTTTCAGGAATTTTAGAATTCTAAATTGCTATTAATTATGAAAAATTCTTATTTTCATTATTTGAGCTATTCTTAAGATTTTATTCATTTATTTGTATTTGATTTTAAGAATTTCGTTATTTTATTACAAATATATTTTTCTATAATCTAATTCTTTTTATAATTTTTAATTCTAATTTTTCCAACTTATTATTATTACTCAAAATATTCAGTTTATTTTTTTTTGATATTTGAAACTGTCCTTTAAACTTTAAATACTAATTACTAATTTATATATTAATCTATACTTAGCATCAACTAATTCTCTAATCAATTATCGAATATTTTTAATTTCCTCATTATCTAATGTGATATTTTCTTCTTTTTGAATAAATTAATATTTTGTTATCAATTACTTTAATTTAAGACGTACTTCTTAACTAAAAACCAATTATGTTTCTTAACTATTTTCTAAATATATACTCATTAAAACACTAGACTTTATAGATTTTAACATTTGTGAAGCTAAATTACAAAATAATTTTATTACGTTTTAAGATGCCAACTTACTTGCTCAATCTTCTCAATACTCTCCTGATAGTTGCATAAAAATAATTTTTGCATATTAGTTCTGATCGATTTCTCATCTTTACTGTAATTTTAGTCCAGCAATTCCCATATTGCTTTTATAATAAAAATAATTTTTCCTCTTCATCTCTTGTCCATAGATTTTTATTTAAAGAAGGTTTTAGAATATTTTGATACCTCTCTCTACAAGCTGCTGCAGTTCTAATCTTTCCCTATGATTTCTAATGTAAGTGCAGTAACTCAGCGATCTTTTTCCATTTGTCACCATAAACCTTATATAATTCTTACAGCTATTAATCTTCCTACAACTTATTTATAATAATTACTTCTTAATTCCAACTTTTACGATATTCCTTCATAATTATAACTTTACCTTTTTGGTTTATTTTTTATAAATTTAATTAATTCCTGACTTTTAAACATCTATTTTTACTGCTAATCATATTCAGTAAACTTTGTTAATAAATTTTAGATCATATTTAAATATAAGTTCATATGTATTCATTATTTATTTTATTTTAAACACAGACTAATCTAAATAGAAACTTATTGAAAAAAACAAAATTTTATCATAATTAAATTATAATATATGTATATAACTGTTAATTATTTTTTAATTAGCTCAGATATATTCGTTTTCTACTCTTCTTTTCTAAACTTGAAATACTAAATTTTAATAAAAATTTTTAGATTGATTTTAGAAAATTCTCTTATAAATCTCTTATCTATATATTATTCATTATGATTATCTATTGAATTCATTATTTGAAATCCAAATATATATTTTATTAATAAATAAAAATATATAATTCCTAATTGATTATTTCAATAGTTGTCTCTCCTTATATTTTATTACTATGGCATTTATTCTTTAGTAATTAATGGTATTTCATTTTTTATTTCTTTGATTTAAATTCTGAATTAAGATTCGTGTATTTTTATAATTTTTTATCTCATAATTTATTTAATAATTTACATGAAGTTCTTAATTTTTATATCCTTAAGATCTTTTTATTAATATATTATTATAATTCGTATCAAATGTTACTTCATAATATTTAAAATGGATTGTCTATTAAATTATTAGAATATTCATTATTTAATTCAGAGATTACTTCATTATATTATTTACAATTATTATAAATTAAATTTTTCTATAAGCATTACTTCAATTAAGTAATCTTTATTAATTATTAATGGATTTCTTATTTTATTAGCTAATATTGATTTCAATAAATTATGATTTTCTCAAAAAATTAATACAATTAATTTTGACAATCTCCCCACCAATTTAAGATATGTAGATTATTGTTGAACTACAGATAATACTAATTACATCTTCTATTTATTATAAATTGAAAATGTAATTTTTAGTTTAGATTAATTATGACTTTATAAATAAAGATTTTTAAGAAATAAATTACATATTAATAATGAATATTATAATTCTAAAATATAATTAATTTATATAAATTTAAAAATATTAATGTGAAATAGAATGTTGTGATAAAGGAATAATGATAGATGGAAAATGTGATGCATTTGAAGATGAATGTTATGATAATTTATAAGACTTTTATAGCTATTTATTATAACTTGCTTTTGTTTTAATTCTCTTTATAACTATATTTTGATATTAAAATTTCTGATTTATGGATGATTTCTATAGGAATGAATTATTGTTTCTAAGAAGATTAATAAAATGGTATTGAACAGGAAAATAATAATGTTAGATAGATTAACTAATTAACAAACTATCTAGTAATAAATTAAATAACTGAAAAAGAAAATAATAAGAACAATCAACTTCATAATAAGAATTAAAAATAAGACATTAAGTTAAATAAGTAATAGTAATTAGGACTTATCAAATTAATAAATTCATTATAAATCTGATAAATTTCAAGAAAGATATAATAAATAATGCACTAATGTAGCTTTTGACAAATATATCTTATTTAAAATCTAATTATTAGTTTTTATTTTATAGTTATTTTAGAAATCTTATTTTGAGGTTAAAGTATTACAGTGTTAGTAACTGAATTAATGATAATTTTCATAAATTTTTATGGATCAAGAACACTTTAATTCTTTGCAATTCTTAAACTATTTCTTGATATCGAAAATTAAGAATTAATTAAATTTATATGGATATATAAAGTAGGCAACCAAAACAATAAAATTATCCATTCCACATGATAAAATAGGAAAATGTATAAAAATAATACTTAGAATAAATATGATTACTTAATATTGATACATAAAATTAATCTAAGTTATTTTAATAAGCAAACAAAATAACAATACAATACTTTCTAATTTATTCTTTTTAATTAGATATTCATTTCAATTATCTATTACAATTAATTAATATTTCTCTCAATAGAATAGTAGGAATAATCACACTTATTATATAATAAAAATACTTCTTTATTTAATAAAAAATAGAAATCCTATTCATAATTAGACTTACAATAAGCTCTAAATTATTAGGATTTAGTAGATTAAATAAAAAGAATAAAATTCTAGTGGGGAATTTAAATCAGTTTTCCAATATTTAGAATACATATATTCAAAGTAATTAAATATGATAGTGAATCTTGAGAATGAAGAAATAGTAATTAGACATTCCTATTAGTATTAGTTATACAGATTTATATTATCCAAAATAGATGACTTAGATGAATAAACATAGTGACGAATTGGATATATAGTTTAGCAATTTTGATGAGTATATATGGGATGTTATATTGAAATGATTATTGGTGGTATTTTATATGTTTTAATGGGGCAAAACAAAAAATGTCATTTTTTTGTTTTTTTGATTGGCTTAACTGGCTCCTCTGATTCTTCATCATCTTCACTTTCATCATATGAATCATCTTCATCAAATTCATCATCATCAATATCTTCATCACCTTCATCCTAATCATTAAATAATTTAATACATCGAGAACCTCTTCACCCTTTTCATTTTTATTGTCTAAAACTTTAAGGGATGGGATAAGTTGGAACACCTTTTTATGATATCCTGCTTCTTTGGTCAAAGGGTTATCTATCAATTCTAATGATTCTAATTTGGTTAGAGTGGCTAAGGGCTTCAAATCCTATCATGTTATTCTTCATGATTACATCAACTGACTTAATATTATTTTATGATAAATTCAAGTTGTTCAATTCTTTGAAATTATCTGCTATAAATTTAATTGCTGTCCCTGTTAAAGAATTATTTGGAAACTCCAAATTTTATAATTTCTTTAATTTAGGAAATCCTTCAAGTGTTGTTAATCCGCATTTCTCAAATGCCAAACCTAGAAGCTATTGATGTTAAGTAAAGAGAGCAGCCATTTCCTCAGTGAATTTTGTGATTTTCACTCCTTCGATATTTAAATCCTCAACTATATCTTATTCTTCAGCTTGCTCTTGGATTTATTTTTTGAGTTGCTCCATTAATTAATTATTTATTTTTATTTAAAGTATATATAAACAATTATTTCATTTTAATATTCATAAGCTTAAATAGATATTTTAATTATTATATATCAATAGATTATCTAAAATTTACATAATTATTTTAATTTATCTATATTTATATTCAAATAAAAATTATTGTCTACTTGCAATAAATATTCCTATTTACTAGTCTTAGCTAATAAATGATTATAAAGATTAAATAAATGAAGAAATTATTATATAAAATGAATGATAATAAAAATATAAAAAAGTATACTAAAAATTATCAATGCAAAAAAAATAATAAATAATTTATTTGTAAAATAGAGAATCCTTGTATCTTTATCATAAATTAATAAATGAGTATTTTTAGAATTTTTAATCTGAAAATGTTATAAGAATATTTTAAGATATAAAAATAAATAGATTCAAATCAGACATACAAATCCAATCACTTAATTCTATAGTGTTAGATAAATTTTAGACTCAAAGGATCAAAATATTTATAAACTGACTATTAGTATATTTACTTAAACTTAATTAATTGAAAACAAAGTTGGAATTAGACAGAATATTTGAGACATTTTTAGTATTTATATAATCATCAATTAAATTTTTTTCATTATAGTAATATATTAAACAGATAGAATAAATATATGAATAAAATAATTACTAGGTAAGATTATACATTTATCAATGACAATTTATCCTCTCTTTTTATATTATTTTAATGCAATAATTGAAAATAAATCTAATTCTTTTCAGTATAGAAAATACTAAAATACATTTATTAAATAAAGTTGATGATTTTTTTATTAAATAAATATTTAGTATTTATTCTGAAGTATATATTTTATTGTCTTCTATAATTGGTATTTAGTTGATAATTCATTAAATATAATAAAAAAGCTTTAATTAAGATTTTATATTTATGTGATATAATAAACAATTCAATATATTTCTCAAGACTATGGTAGAAATTAATTTTAGAATTACATTTAATATTGAATATAAGAGTCAATTTTGAAATAGGAAGAGGATTTTTTCATATGAATTGGTTTAAACTGATGTATTTATAATTTATCAAAATAAATTAATAACAAATCATTTAATAAAAATTCATTATGCTCAAATTTATTAATCAGATGGTTTATCAATTATTTTAAATCAGAGTCTTTATTTAAAACAATTTACTAAAAAAATTAAGAATAAGGATTTTTATTTAGATCAGCTTTAAAGCTACAATTAATTCTATTAAATTTATTTAATGATTCATTTCTTGTTAATATTATTATTATTAATTGGAATCTAAATTTAAGATATAGGTTAAGCTCTCTGAGTTGTGCTCACTTATTTTTATATTTCAAATTATTTATAGAGTTATGCCAAGGTAGGGTTTTAATGTTCGCTAACTGGTTTTTATTATGGAGAAATAGCAGTTTTTTTATTTTAAGGACTTATCAATTATTTAAGGTAGCTTTATTAATTAAAGTTCTGATGAGTTGGACTTAGACTTAATTACTATTAAAACTTTGAAGCTGGTATTTGTTATTTTGTAGTAAGAACAGGTCTAAATAAAGGTTAGATTTACTTAGATTAAGAATTTTACAATAATTTTTATGTTTTGAGTAATTTGCTTTATAGATCTGAGTCCAATTATAAATTATTAGGCATTGACTACATCATAAAAGTATCTTTCTTATCTTAAGATTTACTCAAAGTAGATTCAGTTGGAACCTTAATAAAAATAGATATATTACAGTTTTTTAAACTTACAAAGCATCAAGATCCAGTAATGCTTATAGGAGATAGGATCTTTAAACTTCTACTTCTCGATTAAAAGTATAACCTATAAAATTGACATCTTTTCTTATTGATTTACCAGAACTTAAATAATTGTATTATTAATTACTCTTATGGTACCCAAGGTTCTTGTTCTTCAAATTTATCAAAATTTCTAGTATCTAATTCAGATTTAATTTCAGGTATATATGGAGATGCTTTTGATCTTAAGTTTTTCCAATCAATACCAGAGAAAAATGGATGTGCTTTTATTTCATTTACTCCATTAACACCTAATCTATTTTAAGCATCAGACATAAGTCTAAGAATAAGATCTGTTGCTGCTGGTGATAATTTAGCTTCAGGAGGAATAGCAAGTGTTTTTTTCCAATTAATTATATTTTTACATGTAGACGAAGGATCATCTGAGAAAAATGGAGGATATCCTACAAGCATCTCAAAAAGTATTGCTCCTAAAGACCACCAATCTGCAGTTTCATTATAACCAGATTTCCCAAAAACTTCAGGAGCAATATAATCAGGAGTTCCAACTGTACTATATGCTTTAATTCTATTTCTTTTAAAAGTGGTTGTGTTACTACCTTTGTCTTCTGGTTTGTGTATACTTATTCTTTCATCTAATCTGGTTCCACGAGATTCTACATATTTACATAATCCAAAATCACTCAATTTTATATGTCCATCTGATTAAAGTAGAATATTATCTGGTTTTAAATCTCTATGTATGTATTTTAATTTATGAACTGAATCAACTGCCCTTGTTATTTATAATACAATAATTACATTATTGATTCTGCCATATAAAATTATGATTCTTTTTCTGTAAAGATGTCTTTCTTCATAAGTAAAGTCATTAAATCTCCTCCTGGTAAATATTCCATCACCAAATATAAATATCTATTATCTATAGTATATTATACTTCTCATCTTAGAATGAACACTTTAATTAAACTATCCAAGTATTATCTGATGCTACTAATAAATCTCTTTCAGCTCTTACATGACAAACCTAGGTTATGTAATCAATACTTAATTTTTATAAAGCATTTCTGACTTTTTCATTTTCTTTACTGCAACAATTTCATTTGTCAACTTATTTCTGCATAATCTAACTTCACCAAATGCTCCTCTTCCAATTATCTCAACTGATTCAAACTCTTTTATGCTAAGCTTTTATCTTTATAATCTTAATATTTCAGCTTCTTTATGAAACAAGTCTTATTTTATTACTTGTTGTTCAACTTAAGTATAATTCAAATTAGTCAACTTTTGAATTAACTATTCCCACTTTTCTCTCTTCTCTTTTTATTCATAAAGCAACTTCTAATATTTCTTCTCTATATATTATTTTGCTGCCTCTACTCTCTCTTTTGTTGATTATGATAATTTTAACATTTATGTTTTAGAGGGGTCCATTATAATTCAATAAATTAATAAATTAATGAGAATTCTTTTATTTTATTCAATTATTTTCAAAATCCTTTTAAATACACATTTCTTAAATAGTTATTATTAATACTTTTTTATATTGATTTTTATATAAACAAAACTGTAGTTTTAAATGAGTTTGATATTAATAAAAATTAAGTTTATTATTTTTTATAGGTAGATAGATAATCATTTTCTTTATTAAAAAAATTGATATAAAAAACAACCATTTATAAATAGATATTATTTTTAATACAAATATTTTTAGCTTAGATATTATATTGTATATAGATTAATAAATAAATTTATAAATTTTACCAACTTACCCGATCCAATGAAAAATTTACATACACATGATTTAATGATTTTTGTGATATACTTTGAATCATTTTTAATAGATCTTAACTTTTGAGTTTATGAAGTTTTATCAAATATTAGAATTATTCTATATAAGAATAATTATACTAAATTTCTTATAAAATTATTATTAATTTATCAGTTAACATGAATTCTGTCCCTTTCCAAGACATATTGAATAAAACAAACAAAACTAGATGCAATAGTCCTTATATTTCTTCATGTACAATTACTATAATATCCTAAGGTTCATCTAAACGGTAGTCAGCTGTATATTCATCTAATTCATCATATGCAGAGTCTAATCAAAAAACAAAGCCAGATGAGAGGACCATAAATTAGTTATATTCCCTTTTTAAAAAATAAGGATTTGATAACATTAATGGGCTACTTAAATTTTTAGATGCTTAACGTGATTAATAGACCAGAAAAAGTACATCACCTATGCTTAGGACAGTTTAAGATGAAAATGATAGAAAAAAGTTTGGAATCATGATAAATGAAGCCAAATAGGGTCTGAATTAGTTAGAGCATAAAATCATAAATTTATAAAACAAACAAGAATGTAGAAATAATATGACATTGAAATATAAGAATTTATTGACAGAAGATGATGAAAATCATGAATATTTGTATGAGAATAGATAAGATTACAAAAAATTATATACTTAAACTCTTAATGAGAAAGAATAATTATTAAAAAAAGTTGATTAAATAGTTTAAGAGAATAAATAAAGAGATGAAAAAATCAATTCTTTAAATTAAGAAGTAGAGTTACTTAAAAAATAAATACAAGGATTGCTTATTTTAAAAGAAGAGAGTTCATAATCACCAAGACCTTCAATAAGTGGTTCTGATTATACATTTACACTCAATGTTTGTAATTCAGAAGTCAGAGGAGATAAACCAATCTCCTATAAAGATTTTTTACATACGTAAAGTTAGTAAATAAAACGAATTTGATAGTAGAGATTATTCATCATAATATACTCCAAGCATTTTTACCAATATTATTTAGAATATTAGTGTTGGCTCCGGCTCTAATGAGTATGTCTGCAATTTTATAGTGGCCATACGAAAGAGCTAGATGGACAGCCGTATTTCCATCATCCTGCTTAAGTAAAAAAATACATTTTAAATGTTAATATCTGCTCCCTTCTTAATGAGTTCTTTAACCATATCTTTACATCCACTTTTGGAAGCCAAAATCAATAAAGTATCATTGTTCTATAATCTTCGGTCTATATACATTTATGGGACCTATTACAAATGTTCAAAAAACTATTTCTAATTCTAAAATTACTTCTTAAAAATCATTATCATAAATAAGTTATTCTAATATTTTAAATTGATCGAGGTTTTATCTTCGATTATGGCCAAGAGCTTGATTTCTCATTCTTAAAGAATATGAAAACATACTCAAAGTCTAATATTAATTAATATGATATACTTTATTTTCTAGAATTGGTTATTAAAGTAATGATACATTATATAATTATTATTTTTTTGATGTAATTATTTCATCCTTAAGTTCAATATGCTCAAGAGGATGAGGATGGCTCAATTTTTCTTTAGCAACTTTGACTAAATCTTTAATTTTTTAACTTTTTTTAATTTTAGGAGGATTTGTTTAAGATATAATATTTGAGGAATCTATAGCTGATTTAGATTTGATAGATTTTAAGGATGATTATGGACTCATTTCTAATTATGATAAATTTTCTTCTAAGTTTTAAACACTTGAAACTTTGACAGATTATTATGATTGATTAGTAGGCTTGGTAAGATATTATGTTGAAGCCTGAGTAAAGATATTATAAGTTAATTGATTTGTATATTATGATGTTGGTTTACTATGAACATTAGTTACATCAGGTGAATTGACAGTATGTTTGGAATTGAGTTTAGGTTTTATAATGACAGTTAAACTATCTCTTTATAAATTTCTACTTCTTCCTTATTATTTGAGACTGATTAATTTTTATTTTTGAAGCTATTAGTATTCTGAAGATTATTGAGATTATTGAGATTGTTAAGATGAAGAAATATGTTATTATGGGGCTTCAAGAATAGTTGATTAAACAAGATCAGAATGTTCTGGATCAATCATTCTTTATTAACCTTAATATCTTCCAATGAGTATATTTTCATATCTTATTTCAATTCCATTCAATATCATATTTCTTAGATCTTATTATTAATAAAATGAGTCTAAATTAGTTAATGCATTAGTATCACAATCTCCATGAATAAGTTATTGAATTTGTTCTTCAGATTATTCCATCATTTAAAATGTTAATAAATCATTTTTTGTACTTTAATCTAAGACACTCATTATGACTTATATATTTAAAGGAAAATGAAATTTATTTTTCACTTTTTTAATTGTATTTAATAATCCAGTTGAAATTTCTAAATTTTAAATATTTTAAATTTACATTTTTGATTGTTAACAACATCTTCAACAAAGATTTATGATTCAGAATCATCACTTAAATTTTTCATTGATTGTATTATGTTTTTCATTTTACTTTCATGTCTTTCATCAACTTAAAGTCCTAATCTAGTTTTATAAAATCAATTACTATTATTTGGTTCTTCTAAAATTTGATCAAATGAATTACTCTAATCTGATTAACTAGATATTAAACTAATTGAATTTTCAAAATCAAATGAGAACTACTTTCTTATCTAAGGAATATCATATTTCTCAAAAAATATTTGTGATTCTTAAACTAAATTTGATTTTTCAATGCTTTTAACTTATTTTGTAAAATGCTGCTGGCTTGTTTAAAAAGAACTAATCCTAAAAACAAGATTTACATTTAAGAACCAGTTATCATTGAGATATATTAATAAAATATATCTTCAATCTCTTTTAAATTGTGCTAAGTATAAGATATCTTTTATGGTATTTTATGTAATCTATTTTGATAATAGAGTCTCACATATAAATTTGACTAATTATAAATTTAATATTCTTACTTTAGAATATTCTTAATTAAAATCTAAATTACTATTATCTTCAATAGTATTTGTATTTAAAATGCTATTATATACATTATGATTTGAAATATGATCTTTATTAATAATAACAGATTAAGAAGCTGAATTTTATATTTTTTGAAATTTAAAAGATGAATGTAATGAAGAGGAATGTTAGATAGCTTTTCTAGGTGGTGAAATAGGTTGAATTACTTATTCATCTATAATAGTTTCCATATGAACAACAAATTTAGGTTTATTAAATTCCAAAATTGTATTTTACAATATAGTATTAGTAATAGTAATAGTTATTTTATTAGCATCATCCATTAAATTGGGTAAAATTTAATCAAAATTATTTTATAATGCTTGTCCTTAACCAATATGATTTGAGTTTACAGATTATTTTTTAAATTTGTTCAATAAGGAGAATTATTATTATTATGGTTAATCACATTCTTTAGTTGTCCATTAAGTACCCTTAATCATTGATATTTTTCTTTAAAAAGCTTTATTTGTTGTATTTAATTTTTATAATTGATTTTAAATAATAGTGTTTATTTTATGATTATGTCTAATATTATATTTATCTTTGATGCATTTCATAGTTTATCTTGATTCAATATTATCTTTGTTGATTGTTTTCAAATTTTTAGCTAAAATAAAATTACCTTATTCATATTAATCACTAATTTTTTACCTTTCCTCTTCATGTTTTGAACTAAATTCAGGTGAAATAATGACTGTAAATAATGATTTTAACTATTTTTAATAAAAATATTACTTCTCTATTTTTAAACATATTCTAAACTTATTGGGAAACAGCATTCTTAAATTTCATCTTAACACTTAGTTTTTTCATTGCTTTTGATGATTAAATTTCATCATCATCTATATTAACCTCTTTTTCAGTTTAAATGATATCTTCTTGATTTTCATTTAGTATTTATGGGTCATTTATATCATTTGCCTCAGTAATACTATACTTTCGTTTTAAAATATTGAAAAGATCAGATGCTTTTTTGTCTTCATTTAAAAATTGATTATCATCTAAATTATTTACTTAATCCATATATATTTTATCTGCTTCTTAATAAAGTTGGCTTTTTGAATCTTAAATTTCTGTTACTTATTAAATAGGTACTAAAGGGATATCTGTTATTCTAGGAGTTGTATTTTGGATACTTTTTTATGATTCTAATTGCAATGAAGGTAAGGTACTCTTTCTTAAAGTATCAAATCTTCTTGAATCTCTTACTTTATTTTATATAATTAAGAATGGAGCTTGTTATGAATCTGATTAAAATATCATTCTTTCTTATCTTCCTCTTCTTCTCATAGGAGGTTGTGGTTGCAATTTAATATCTGAGGAAAGACTTTTGATATGATGGGAAACCGGTTGTTTTTAAGGAAAGTGAAGAGTCGAAGTTTTAATTCTTAATGAATCATTTTAGATAGGTTTAGTAATATTTTATGGACTTAGTAATGGCTTCACTTTATTAGAGTTGTTTTTATTATGTGATGTTTATGTTTTTGCAGATGATAAATATTCTGACAATATACTTGGAGTTGATGTAGTAGGACCATTGTATTTTGATAATGCTTTATAAAGTTGCTAAAATTGATAAATATAATACAAATACTTATTTTTGGTTAGCATTGTCGAAAAAATTTTAATTCATTATATTATTTGTTATGTAAATTGTTTTTATTTTTTATTTTCTTATATAATATTAGAGTAAATTGTTTTTGTTAATCTTATAATTATTATTAAAAGAAAGATCTCTTTAATAATGAAAATACAATATTGAGATAAACTATTATTTAGTATTAGGAAGTTTATAAATACTTAAATATATCATTAAATTATTATGCATTTAAGTAACCTTAAGAAAGTTCTAACATTATTAATAAATAAAGTAAAAAAATGAGTTTAAAAAGAGATTTTAATAATAAATAAATGAAAATAACTATAAATTTAAAAGAAAACTCATATATTGAATATGATAATATTATTATTGAAATTAATTAATCATAATCAGTTTAAAAATGACAAAATTTAAATATACACAAGAATTAAGTTATTTTTGAACATGTAATAATTGATTACAAAATAAATGATTTTTAAGGTAAATAAATTAAATAAAAATCAAAAAGTAGAAGAGGGGAGATTAAATATTTACAAAGTTAACTAAAATTAAATTTGCAAAATTAAAGCAATTTTAATAATAATAATATTATAATATTGTTTAATAAAAATCATTCTGTTTTTAATGTAGTTGTGAAATTTTAGATGATTTTTTGAGATTGATTAATTTTCGAGGGAGATTAAGCATCTGATCTTAATTTAAAAGGAATAGTTTAAGTTTTTATTCTATCCATAAATTGTTGAACATTATGTTCACTTTTAATTGTTCTTGAGCTAAAAATCTGTCTTGGGCTTTCTATTTGAGTTTAGATCTTTTCAATTAATATATCCTTTCTAGATTATCCACCTTTTGTATTCAATATTAAATCAGCTATTTTTAATTTTGTCTCTATTATCGTATTACAAAGTCTTAGTTCATTTTTTTACCATTTCAATCCTTGTATGATATATTGAATTACTATTTGGTTTGAGATATTTGGTCATGCCTCTTTAAGTTAACTAACCTGATTCTACAATTTGTTTTTTTTTATCATATTCTTTTCTCTCCTTTAAAATTAAATTTTTCATTTGTTATATTTTAAGAGATGATTGGATGAATGGAACAAATTATAATACAGACCTACAAGTCTATGGAGTATTTGTTGAATAAGGACTTGCCATCATATTTGATGTACTTGATGATTTAGCATGAGAATTTAAAGCTGCATTTTTGTATACAATATCCATAAAAATGAGATAATATAAATATAATATTAATAGAGTCTGTAGATGAAAACAAAAACTTTTAGTCAGAGTTGTTCTATTGAGGGAAGATTAAGAGGTATGATATTATATAATTATCCAAGCTCGGAGTTTAAGTGCATCACATTATTACTATTTTTTGGAAGCACCTAAATATCGAGTCTCACAAGCTACGATCATCAAAACTGAGAGTTAATAGAAATCAAGAAGATTACTATTTCATCATAGAACTATGTTGATAGATAAACTCATTTAAAGAGATAAGAGATAATAAAAGTAAAAAGTGCTAAGAGATAAGATGTATGAAATTAATGAATCCCAGTAACGAAGACTTAGTTGCCATTGTAATGAATGTGGGAAACAATCAAATAAAATGAATAAATTTCATAATTTATAACAGAAATCAAAGAAAATCACATAAGATTTCTGGTCCAGTTCAATTTTACAGCCATAATAATAATCTTTACTCACAGTCTCAACTAAATCATTAAAGTCATCTACAACTCTCCTCTCAATTCCAGATACGAGTCCTCATAAACTCAGATCTAAAATTGAAAGTCCAAATTAAAAGAAATTATACTCAAACTATAAATTAATTAGTGTACCTTCTTTAAATTTGAAACCATATCTTTGGGAATAATCACCTTAAAAAAAAGTTAATCATCTCTAAACAGATGCAACCTAATTAATATTGAGACCCATATCACTCAGATCATCAGCTCCTAATTTAGAGACATTTGACTATCCATCAAAAAATAGCAGTCCCAGAAGAGGAAAATCAAATTAAAATATAAAGTAAGACATTCAAGTATTGACTCAAAGAAACTTATCTAAAAGAATGATTTAAACTTGTTATTTAAAGACATTCTCTGGTATTCATATTCGCAATACCATACTGAGTACAAAAAAAGAAATAAAGTATTGAATTAAATTAAATTGATATTTTGATTAAAATAATTTGATTATGTCAAATAATTATCGTTAATTGAATTTTAAAAAATAGAAACATAAATTATAAATCTTATCCATAATCTAAACAAATAAAATCATATTTTATATTTAAAACAAATTTATTTCCTAAATTATGTTGATCCATCCCATATAATAACCATATTATTTAATTTCTTTATATTTACTCAAAGGTAATATGTATTGACATTTATTTGATTAATAATATTTTTAACATCTCTGAATCATGTATTTTAATTACATTTATTAATTATTATAATTGTATACTTTTAATTTAATATATATAGTATTAATTCTCTAAATTCACTAGTTTAAGTTTGCTTTATCATTAAATTGCTCCTATACCAAAGATTAGTATTTTTCTATATCCATACTAATAGTCATTAAAGATTTTGTTAAATTTCAAATAAATTGTCAAATTCAAATATAAAGTAAAGGTCTTCTTGCTTATCATAAAAAATCTTGCAATATTAAATAAAATATCATTTATGGACTTAATCCCATTCAATATACATTGTAAAAATACATGAGTAAGAATTTAAATTAATTTCTCATTTTTAATATTTTATCTTAAGATATAAATATAATTAAGATATTTTATTAATTGTATATATCCCTTTGAATTTACTAAAACTCTGTTGAACCACTGAATCAGTTTCATATTTTGAAGGAAGACTTATTTGTAAACATATATATCTTTATATAAGAATTATTCAAATAAAATTGAAACCCAACCAATTCAAAAATAAGGATTTCATTTATCAATTACCTAACTAATAAATTATACTTTAATATATGAATTTATTATTAATATTGTTTAATTATCTCAAATAAAAAAATCAGGTGCTAATTATGAATCCGAAAACTTTGGATCACATCTGTATTTAGTAAAATCTTTGACTCCAACGCTAGCTAAAACTTCATCATCTATAAAAAAGTTTCCTGTTGTCTTTTTGTGACAACTTGTTAATATAACATATGCAGAATCAGCCATAATTTCCACATTTCTAGATGCTTACATCATAGAGTCTCCACCTAAAACATTTTGAACTGCTGCAGTTGCAATAGAAGTTCTTGGCCATAAAGCATTAACTCCAATTTAACCCTTGAATTCTTCACTCATGCCTAGAACACACATACTCATACCATATTTAGCCATAGTATATGCTAAATGTGGAGCAAACCATTTAGATTACATATTTAGAGGTGGTGATAAATTGAGAATATGAGGATTTGATGATTTCTTAAGATAAGGAATGCAAGTCTTGCTCATTAAATATGTTCCTCTTGTATTTATTGAATGCATTAAATCATATTTCTTCATGTCTGTAGTTTCTGTATCTGTAAGTGATATTGCACTTGCACTATTTACAACAATATCAATTCCTCCAAAGGTTTCAACAGTTTTTTATACGGCAGCTTAAATATCTTTTTCAAATCTGATATCACATTGAATTCCTAAAGCCTTACCTCCTGCTTTTTCAATTTCAGCACAAGCTGAAGCAATTGTACCAGGTAATTTAGGATGAGGGTCTACAGTTTTGGCTAGAATGACAACATTAGCACCATCTTTTGCAGCTCTAATTCCTATGGCCAACCCAATACCCTAGAAAATTAATAAAAATTTGGATATACTCTTGATCCTCCACTAATTATTACAGTTTTGCCTTTAAGATTTCCTATCTATTCAAAAGGGAAGAAATCAGGGTATTTCATAACCCATGGATATGTCACATTGGAAGCAGGTGGAGGAATTGTAGGATTGAATTAATTGGAAATTGCTTGAATTCTTTACATTATATTTAATGCGAATTATTAATTAAGACTGATGTCATTATATACTATTTAGTATAAGTTATGATTTAACTATTAATAAAATATAAAATTTTCAACAGAAGAATTGATCATATAGACTTACAATCATTCTTAACAGAGGTTAACATTCTAAAAATTAAATATGTGCAGTTCTTCCTATAAATGTATCAAGGTTTCTAAAATAGAATTGAATTAAAAATTACTTTTCTTAAATTTCAAAATTAACATCAATACGATAAACATTTGTATTTTCAAGATGTCTTAATAATGCTTTAACCATCTAAATATATGATTTATTCCTCCTTAAATTTATTATATTAATATAAATACTAATCTTCAATAGCTTCTTTGGATAATTATACTCTTGCAGAATCATAAGGAGCATAATTATCTTAAATACAACTGAAAAAACACACATTTTTAAACCAAGCCAATCCTTTTGCCAATGCTAATTTTTAGAGACATGTTTCTTCAATATTACGATTATCAGTCATTTATAATTATTCTAAACATTTACTTTTTCTCCATTATTTTAATACCCACATACCTGCATCTACAATTTTACTAGCATTGTAATAGTATCCTAATTATGGAGATGAAAGACTAATATAAGTATACATTTTATCTTAATATTTATCTAAATAAGGTAATGAAGCTCTAATAATAACTCCTCCTAATGAATGTCCAATAAAACTTAATCTACCTAAAGTATTTTCTGGACAATTTTCAGATATGAAATTGATTACTTCAGTAGCTAACTTTTCTCCCATTTCTTGTATATTTCCCTCTGTATTTTCTTCATTTATTGATGAACACAAAAACATTGCTTCAGGATGTGCTAATGATATATAATTCTTAAATAATTTCATATCATATGAATTGCCTTAGAAACCATGAACAAGAACTATTAAATGAATTCCTCTATATGACATTATATCATATTCACTATTAGTAATATCTACATCTACTATATTTTCTTCATTTTTATCTTTATCTTCTCTAGGAGTAAATTCTTCAAAAATAATTGGTTATGTTTCTGTCTTTGGAAAAGAATTTAAATCTTCAACTCCTAATTCTTAAACTTTAGTTTCTAATCTCATTTTTTCACTTTTCTATTTATGTTCAACTCCTAAATTCTTATCTAATAATTATTAGGATGGTTATTTAATACAAAATTATTACCATCTACTTTTAATAATTTTTTAATAATCAAATTACAATAATGCTACACAAAATCTTGGACTGATTCGATATAAATCAAGCACTTTAATCCACATTTAGAATAATTGACAACTTATTAAATTAGTTTCATTAAGTATTGAATGTATAATTGTTTCAGGATCAGAAGTATGAAATTTCTCTTCTATTCTTTAATTTAATTCTTTTCTTGTTAATTATCCCTTAATATTTTAATGAGTTTCACTTGTTATATATTCAGGAACAATTAATTTAAGTGGTGGATAAAGATACTTTTTGAAATGTTTTCTTTATTTCTCTAATATACATTTAGAATATATTAAATTATAATGTTAATAAAGTTATTCATAATAGCCTTTTAAACTTTCTACAAATTCTTATTACATACTATAATAATCTAATCCTTTAATATCTTTATATTGTTTTTAAATGGTTTCATACATAGAAATTTGATCTGAATTTATTAAGGGTTTAGATTAATTTTTATTTTTATCAAGAGTATTTGGAACTTTTCCTTCAAGTAATTAATTACGTTCTTCAAATTTAAGTCTAGCAAATTAAAATAATTAAATAGGATGAGTTCGAAAACGATAATCTAATGTTATGGTATGTACAACCATATTGGCTTAACAAAAGTTTTATTCTTCGAAAATGATTGGTACAAATTAATGATTAGGTAATAAGACATTTTTAATCTTAAATTTAGCTGTTGCTTATATTTTACCATCAGGAATAGCATAATCTTCTTTATCTTATTTAGTATAGAGTGGTTCTTATTTTGGTTGATCCTTTTAAGAATTTAAACAATCAAAAAACATTAAATCAACTTACATAATTAATGATTATTCTTTTTTAGGACCTGCATCAAATTCAATTCTAAAATTACAAATATCATTTAATTCAATTTCCTCTTCACAAAACTTAATGAAAAATGCTTTAGTATAAAATGCTGAATTGGATGTAACTATAGAAGCTGGTCTAAAAATATGGGTTTCATAATATTTAGGAGGATTAACATTCTATTAAGCCTCTTATGGATATGTTTTATAGGATTCACAAGGGTCATGTGGATGGGCATAGATTTTATTAGCCTAAATATGAATTAATAGTGTTTACATCTTATGGAGCATCATTGTGAATAGTGATTCTTAAGAAATAAACACCTTAGTAATAGAGATCAACATTTCTAAAACTCTCTACATGAGTAACAATTTCGACAATATTTCTTAATGACATTTTTGAATTATATAATTATTAATGTTTCTCATTATACTGTGATTCTATTCAGAATTCCATGATTATCACAATGTCCATCATGAGGATAATGAAGCATCTCATTTACAAGATAATCGACATGACCATTATGCAAGACTATAGGATGTCCACAATTTGGCCCATGATAATGCAAGACATAGGATTGTGGATATTCTGATTCTTGGACATTTCCTTGATTTGTAGCTAAACAACAATTAATTTCTTATGGACATTGTGAACAATCTATTTATGCAAATTGTTAACCCTTTTAAAAATGTTAATGATCTTTAACTGGATCACATTCTAATTTACCTGCATCAACAAGTTCATGATATTCAATCTTTTGATTTTCTAGATATCATATATTTGAACTACCTTCATTATAATAATATAAACATCCATTGAAAAGTACATCTACATGATTTTTATGTATAACTTGAGGATGATTACATGTAAAGAAATCCTTTAGATTCTTAATTTATTAATTATAGGATTCTGTTGTGAATATAGGCTTTTCTTTCTTTTAATGCATTTCTTTTTCATGTTTTTTAAGACTGCACATATAAAAATATGTTTTGCCACAACCACTTTCACATTTATATTGTTTTCTATCCTATTAATGTTTTGAATTGTGTTATTAATAATTTTGACTTGTAATGAATTGCTTTCCACATTCTTCACATTTGAAAGGTTTTTCATTAGAATGTTTGCGTTAATGTCTCTTCAAATTAGAGATCTAATTAAATCTAGTATCTATATACTTGTGAGAAAGCTTATTTGCATTCTTCACACTCATATGGTTTCGCTCCAGAATGTGTTCTTTGATGCTTTTGTAGGGAGGAATATTATCTAAAACGTTGTTGACACTAAGCACTTTTCCATATTTAAATAAGTTATTTTATACCATTCATAAGGTTTCTCTCCTGTATGTATCATTTTGTGAGCTTCTAATGTTCTTTTAAGTTTGAATTGCTTTTCACAAGTATCGCATGCAAATTCAGACATATTAATTAAATGGATTGTAACAATTTTCTTAATGACGAGGATATTCTTAAAGATTAAAATCGTATTCAACCATTTGTCAATGCAATCACACTCAACAAGCATCTTTTCAAAGACAAAGTAATATTGGATCTCAATGCTGGTCTTGGATTACTTCCTATATTACTTAGTAAATCTGGTGCTAAACATATATTTGCTATGAAAGCACATGATCATACATAAAAGATTCTAGAATAAAATAAAATAAGCAATGTCACTATCCACAAAAAGTCCATTAAAGAAGTTGAATTAGATTGTAAAGTTGATGTGATTATTTCTGCTTGGATGGGCAACATGCTTTTCTATAGAGGAAACATTTAAGAGTTAATCACAGCTAGAGACAAATACCTAAATAAAGATGGACTCATTTTACCAGACAAAGGTTAATTGTTTCTTCAATCTATTGAAGATGGAGAATACCGTGAATAAAAATTGACATTTTGGTATGCTTTCCTACCCCTATAATAAGGGATTCTGTCTATGGAGTCAACATGAAGTGGATGAAACGATGGGTTATTCATGAGCCTCTACTTGAAAGCATTAAATAAGACTAGTTAAATAGTGATCCTGTATTAATTTATGAGGTTGATTTGATGAAATGCACTTTAGAAGATCTATCTTTTAGCAATTCATATCAAGTGAAAATCAATCGATAAGACTTTGTTACTGGTGTAATTGTATGGATGAAATATTCATTTACATTTACTCATTTACCAATTAATGTCATCATGGGTCCATCCAAATCTCCATTTTGGAAACCAATCATTTTATATTTTAATGAAGAAATACCTGCATCTAAAGATGATAAATTAAAAGGTAATATTACTATACAATATTTATAGGTTCTTTGGCAATGAAATTTATATCAGAAGATCTTATTGATATAAAATTATCTGTTCATACAAAATAATATCATTAGATATAATATTTTAGATTAAATTGATAAATATTTAGTTTAGTTTATAAAATAATATCTATAAATGATTAGATTTATATATAATAATTTCATCTAAGTATATATTTTAAATCTAGAAAACATAATTTAAAAAAAAATGATTTTAAATAGAAATAATTTAATAATCATTTATTTTAATAAAAATTTAAATCATTCTCTAATTTCTTCATTTTGATATATATTATTTTATAATTTATTTTATAATTAAATTATATGAATGAATTTTAAAAAAGATCTAGTTAAAGATAAGGTACAATGGAACCAGATGCTTAAGGATTATCTATTTAGTATGTTGCTGATGAATAAAATCTACAAACTTAATATCTTGATTTAAAATTAGGAAGAGAGGATTCTAAAAATGTATTAATAGATTCTAAAAATAGTAAAAAAGTGTTTTTGGTAATTAATTTGGCTATGCTACTAAAGCCATTACAAGAATTAGTGATACAGCAGATGAAGAAATTAAAGAGGCATTAAATTTTGATATTTTGAGAATTAAACCAGGAAAACCTTATAAAGGAGCAAAAACAAATGAATCAAGAGAATCTGCATATAAGATTCTTGATATTTTAAAATTAAGAGATTATTATTCATTTGATGGTCATGAATAAAGTTAAATTTCAAGCAAATTTGTTTAATATAATTCTAAAAATGAACCTTATATAATTTGGAATAGAAGAGTTGATGTATTACCTATTTTAGAGAATACTGAAGTTTTATAAGAAAATGGAATTATTTTTACAAAATCAGGTGATAATATTGATGTAATTGTACCAACAATGTTATAATTTATAAGTGATTTAATTAATCTAATGAAATGTGTTGGTAATAATTCAATTGCTAGTTTTTGTTATGATAGACTGAAATTCTTAGAATAGAAATTTTAGATGCATGAAATGTAATATATATAAATATCATTTCTAGTTTTAATCATTAAAATGAATAATTAGATTAAAAAAATATTATAAGAAGAGATTTTTATAATGTATTTAAAGTAGATACTCATATTCATCATTCAGCAGCAATGAGTGCAAAACACTTATTAGAATTTATCTAAACTAAATATGAAAATTGTGGTGATGATCATGTAGATATTAATAAAGATGGTACTAAAATCCGTCTTAGAGATATTTTCAAAAATATTAATGTTGATCCAATTGATTTATCTTTGAATTCTTTAGATGTATAAGCAGATAAAGGAATTTATAAAAGATTTGATAGATTTAATAATAAATATAATCCTTTAGGTACTCCTAAATTAAGAGAGATATTTCTAAAAACTGATAATTATATTAAAGGTAAATACCTTGCAGATTTAACTAAAGAATTGATGGATTAATTAGAAAAACAATAATATATTGGATGTGAATGGAGAGTATCTATTTATGGTAAATAAATGGAAGAATGGCATAAATTAGGAAAATGGTTAATAAAAAATAAACTCTATTCATCTAAAGTTAGATGGATGGTATAAATTCCCAGACTTTATAGTGTATATAAAAAATCTGGTATGATTAATTGTTTCTAAGATATGATTGATAATATATTTAGGCCATTATTTGATATTACAATTAATCCAACAATAGATCCTTTTCTATATTAAGCATTATTCTAAATAACAGGTTTTGATACTGTAGATGATGAATCTTTATATGAATATTTTGCAATATCAGATCTTACATAATCTCCTAAAGATTGGGCTGGAGATCGTAATCCACCATATACATATTGGATTTATTATATTTATGCCAATTTATATACATTAAATGCATTAAGATAATAGAGAGGTTTAAATACTTTTAAATTTCGACCTCATTGTGGAGAGGCTGGAAATGTAGATCATTTAGCTACTGCTTATTTAATATCTGATGGTATAAATCATGGATTAGAATTATAAAAGTCACCAGTTTTATAATATTTGTTTTATTTAAAATAAATTGGGATAGCAATGTCACCAGTATCAAATAATAAATTATTTTGTCGTTATTAAAAATCTCCTTTTTAAAAGTACTTTTAAATTGGTTTGAATGTTTGTTTATCAACTGATGATCCATTAATATTACATTTAACTAATGAACCATTATTAGAAGAATATGCAATTGCATCATAAATTTTTGATTTATCAGCTATTGATTAAGCTGAATTAGCTAGAAATTCAGTTAGATAAAGTAGTTTTGAAAAAGAAATAAAAGATTTTTGGATAGGAGAGAATTATAATGATAGAATTTCTTAAAAAAGTAATTTATTATTTTAATATAAATTGTAGATGCTGAAGATCGAAATAATTTACCAGCTACAAGATTTATGTATAGAAAAGTCACTTTAAATGAAGAGTATGAACATCTTGAAAAATTAAATTTTGAAGATTTATTTTGATATTTAAATATTAAAATAATTATTATAATTTTAACATTTAGTAGTATCAAAAGTTAAATTCATTTATACTACTAGGAGATACATCAAATATTTTACTATTACAATTACTTCTACTACCAATATCATGATTTTTTTAATAACATTTTCTTGCAATTCCATATATTTAACTACTATTTTTACTTCCAGTCTATAAAACCATTTTAGCAAATGTTGAATCACTATTAATATAAGTTGAAATCTTTGGATTTTAGACTAATAATTCATATGGATGTCCTTATTCCAATACCTTACCATCTTCTAAAACAAAAATACGATCATAATCTGCTATTGTATTCAATCTATGAGCAATTGTAAGAATAGTACAATCATTAAACTTTTCTTTGATAATTTATTAAATAACACAATCTGTAATCATATCAACATTAGCAGTAGCTTCATCTAATACAAGAATCTTTTTTTTATTCAATAACACTCTACTTAAACAAATAAGTTATTTTTATCCTATTGAAAATAAATCTGGATCCATTAAATGATTTAATCCATCTGGTAATAATTATAAAAAGCTTTCTAATCCTGTTTCTGCTAAGGTATTTAAAATCTTTATGTCATCAAATTTATTTAAAGGATCTAGATTTTCTCTTAAAGTTCCTTTAAAAATAAATGGTACTTAAGGAATAATACTTATTTCTTATCTTAATTTACTAAGAGCAATCTTTTTAATATCTTAACCATCAATACTAATTATACTAATTTATATAGATCTATAATATATACCCTTCTTCTTCAATATCTGTCAATCTAAATAGACTTTAAATAATAGAAGACTTTCCAGATCCAGTTCTACCAACTACTCCTATTTTCTCCTTATCCTTTATACTAAAATTCATGCCTTTCAATACAAATGGAGTATTCTTTCTATATTACATTTCTACATTCTAAAATTAAATTGTTCCTAATCTAGGCCATATTTAGACTTCCAAATCGCATAATTGTTTATTTTAATCTTCTATTTCAATATCACAAATTTCAAACATTCTATTTATACTATTCATCATAGAATCAAAAGCCATGAATTATCTAAGTGTACCTGCTTGTGTATTGAAAGTTGATAATAAGAGTAAAGCTTAAGAAAAAATAGTTGGATCATCAACCATAGCTATAATTAAAAATATTCCTGCTATATTAGCAAATTAACCAAATAAATCAATATAAAAACCAAAGCATCTTTAAGAATATAAAAATATTAAATTTGCTTACATAGATTAATTTGATAATTTTAAAAATTTTTCTTTAATCCAAGAATAATTTTCATTAATTCTTATCTAAGTAACACCATAAACAGATATTTTAAATTAATCAAAAAGAGGTGATCTAGATATTAAATCACAAATCTTTAATTATGATATTACAATTCTTGTTGCTCTAAATATTGCTATAGTACTTGCTACAGTAAACAAAGCTGGAAATGTAAAGTATGGTTACAATATTGCTATTGTTATCAAAGAAACAAGGAATTAAGCACCTTATTCAAAAATATCAGTTATAGTTTATTATATTTATGAGTCAGCCAAAGATAAATCTGTTGAAAATCTATTAATTAATCTTCCAGAAGGATTTGTATCAAAATATTCTATTGGAGATCGTATTAATCTTTTCAACATTTTATTATGAATGATATTATTAGATGTAAGAACACCAAATATATTTAGAAAATATTTAATAACATTATTTACATATGCTCCTATCACAAGAATACTTGCATTTTTAAATACAACATCATTATTTTAATATTAATCCTATTTAAATGATGCCATTTCCTTATAATAATAATTATTAATAATTTCACTTGCTACATTTTGGCATAATATGATTACAATCAAAAGACAAGGTTTCCAATAACTGAAATATCTTCTATAAGTAGATGTTGAAGCATCTTATTAATTTTAATCTTCAGCTACATAAAGTGAAGGAGTTTCTTCTTTATTTGTTTTTGTCATTTAATTAACAACTTTACTTGTTAATCTACTTGGCCTTCTTATTTTTAGTTATCTTATTAATTATGGATTCTCTATGTTTTTATTACTAGATTAAATATTTGATTATTCTAAAATATATTTTTTAATTTTATTTTTAGGTCCCTAATGTATTATTTTACCTAAATCCAATATAATTACATAATCACATTCTAAAGCAAATGAAATCTAATGAGTAGCTAAAATAACAGATGGAATTTAAGAAATAAAAGCTTAATGTGATCTAATTAAAGATGGTCTATAATTAGGTTGAAATTTAAAAATGAAATCTTTAATTGCATTATCGAAGATTTTACCTGCCACCTTTGAATCAACAGCAGATAAAGGATCATCAAACAAATACAAATCTGCCATTGAATATAAGGCTCTAGCCAAACTTAATCTAGCTCTTTAACCACCAGAGAGATTAGCTCCTTTTTCTCCAATTTCCGTTTTGTCACCTTACTTAAATGCAAGAATATCTTAATCGAGACAACTAACCTCTAATACCTTTAAGTACAGAGTATAATCATAATCCTTTCCAAACAATATGTTTTCACGTATTGATCCAGTATAGATAAAAGGGTCTTATTCTACATATGCTAATTTTAGCTTTCTTTACTGATTTATCATTCCTTCATAAAAAGGAATATCTTATAGTATAGCTGAAAGTAGGGTAGATTTTCCAGATCCTACCTTCCCTATAACAGCCACTATCTCTCCAGATTTGATATCCAAATTGATTCCACTAATTGCTGGAATTCCATCCTTATGCCATCTACCATAATACTAAAAAAAAGTGAGGAGAGTTGCAGATTAGAGATTCAGACTTCCTTTACGATTTAATCCTCTTGTTCTTTCTTATAGTAATTATTGAATAGGTTAATGTTGAAGGTCATAAGCAGTAAATGTTGTTTTATTATAAAGATCAATTGTAGTAAGGGTGTTATTTTATTATTTGAGAATTTCTGAAACTCTTTAGAATATGACACTGAAATTCATTAAAGCTTAAAAAGCATAGGATACTTAGAATATACAATAGTATTTAATCATTGACATTAGTTATATGGTTCCCATAATAGATGAAATACTGAGAGGGATGTTATAGTAATATAAAAATAAAATGAAACAAAAAGAACCCCAAATATGAACACTAAAATTAAAAGATCTATCTATTAAATTCAAAATATGGATATTAAGATAGTATAAGAATTCCTTACTTCTTAATTAGTTAATCTTTTTCTCAAAAGTAGATTCCCAAACATACATTTTTATATACTTAATCCCTTCAATTACTGTATTAGTTTGCTTTATAAATAGATTAAAAATACTTAGATTCTTTGATCTTACAATTTTCTTGTTTTCAGTAATATGGCCTTATTAGCTTTTTGAATCAAAATTTATAATGGATAAAGTATGGCACAAAAGATAATTGCAATTAATCCTATTGGACCATCAAACCTTAACTAAACTTTAAACCTTTGATACCCATAAGATGATAGATGTTAGAAGCAATGAGCCTGGTATTACTGCAATTTGATAGACATAGCTAAGCTGATACTCAATCACATTGAAATCACTACTGACTAGATTCATAATTTTGCCAATGTTCAATTGGGAAATCTAAGATGAATGTAATTCTATGATTCTATCATAAATTAGATTAATTAGAATCATTCGAATTTTAGTTGCAGCATTACTGATCATATATCTAAAAATTAATAGGATTCATATACTATTAAAAATGTTTACTCATCAATGCTAATAATGATAGTAAAGCAAGAGCACATGCTTGTATATATGCATCTCCTATTTTATTATCTTCAACTGCTGAAATTAAAGTCTCAGTAAGAATAGCCATCACAAATCTTGAATATGTTTCTGTCATGGCTAGAAATATTATTAAGAGTGTCACTAATTTATTGATTCTCCAGAAAAATATTTTGAATAGAGTGAGAGCAGTCAAATTTGAATACTCCTAATTATAATATAATTATGAAATATACATTATTTTTGATTTGCTGATATAGGATTTTTAGATTGAATTAAATAGAGTCATTTACTGCTTATTTTGGGAGATGGTTAAAATTAATTTTTTGTACAGAAGTTTATAACAATCTTTTCATCTCTCTCATAAAACTGAAAATATGATAAAGAATAAGTGTCTAAAATATATTAAAATTCTAGTAAATAGTGTCTTCTGATTAGATTAACATTTATGAACCTTTTTAAGGAGAATATAAACTATTAGCACTATTCAAATTTTTATATGACTTTATTGTAATTTCGGCTTTTTGAGAATCATGATCTTTTGGTTATTTTGGAGTACCATTTTATTATTGATCAAATTGTTAACTTCCAATATTATTTACTCTCCATAAACTAGCAGAATATTGATGTCCTTAAGCTTTAAAGGGATTTTAAGCTTCTTCCTCATTATTTGGAGTGAATGCTACTTGCATATTTCTATTATTCATGTAGCCACCATCTGATTCTTGATCACTTTTATTTTCTTCACTTATGTCTTCTTTTATAATATCACTATCAATATCTAGATTGCGAATTCTAATAGATCCTTTCTTACGCAAAGTCCTTTGAATTCTTAGTCTGATCTACTAATCATTTTAATCTAAGTCATTATTAGAAGAAACAGTTTCATCAGGTTAAACCTATTCTATGTAGCGAGACTATATTGGTTAATATCTTTTGCACTATTTATCAGGAGAAGTATTAATCATTTCAAGTATTAATTGATTTATATAAAATTTACAGAATACATGATAAACTGAATTATTGGAAAAGTTTCGAGATTGTTTGAATATTTAATTAGTTTGAATTTTTATATGTCACATAATTATAATTATCATATTAATAAATCGCTTACTGCTTGATTTCTAACTTCGAAATTGTAATCCAGCTAGTTTCCATTCCTTAAAGAACTATATTTTAAATATTCATCAAATTCAATCTATTACATTTATCCATGATTTAAAAGATCAGGTTCTTCCTCTTTCTTAATACTTTAATTCTATTCTATATCTTAACCTTGGTTCCAATAATCTTAATGATGTACACTTGCATAATAGTATTTCTATTATTCTAACATCATTAAATAATAAGGATCGGCAGCCTCGTAATTTAATATCAAATTTCCTTCCTCTTTTATTCATGTTATAATCATTACCTGCCTTAGGCAAATCAGATTATGGATTCTTCTTTTTTCTTCCTGCCCTACTTCTTTCTGTTCTTGGCAATCTTTTACCATTCTCCCCTCTCAAAGCATAAGGATTAAATTTCTAATGATGACTTCTACATTAACTAGGAGTCCTGGTTCCTATCAATTCACTCATCTATTTAAATATCTTAGATGTTTTCTTCATCATTGAAGATGTCATTATATTCTAGTATTATTACAAAAATTAAATATAAGTTGTATGTTCATCCGTTGACCAATGACCAGTATTTATATTCTCTTTCTTTTGTTTCTTTATTTATTAATTCTATCCTTTCTATTTTTAAGTTTATTGAGAACCTTCTTATGAACCTACTACTTCATTTTGTTAATTTGAAATTAAATCAGATTAAAGTTTAGGCATTTGACTTCCCTATTTATAATGTAATACTGGATAAGAAGTAATTGGCTTAATTCTTAAATCAAATTAAATATATTTATTACATCTATTCTCCTTACTATTGCACAACTATTTATTAAAGATCTTCAATAATCTATTTCTCTGATTCCATTGTTTTTGGTAATAACCCTTTTTAGTCGTTATTCCTATTTACAATATAAATATTAATTTTACTTATTTTTTTTGTTTTTTTTCATTTTTATTTAACTTGGGATTTCATGTTCCTGAACATACTCAAATTAATAATGAGGATAAGCAGAAGGATAAAAATTCTAATGAATGAAATTAAATTCATTGTAATTTGAATTGGAACTTTATTCTGAATTAATAATGTATTATTGTTATACTTTGTTGTTCATTCTCTCCTTAAAATGTTACTTAAGGTTCTAATATATAAGGATAATAGTTTGGAAATTATTACATGCTCATCTGATATTTAGAATATTTATTAACTATTCTAATTAATATTTAATATTAAAACAATTTATACAATTCAACTCTTTTTCATATTTGTTTAACATAAATTGATAAAATTGCATAACATTATCTATCTAATAATAACAAATACTTTCCAATCTCACTTTAGATCAAATTTAAATTAAGAATATATAATTTAATTTCCTAGAATACTCTTTATCTAAGTAATAACATTAACAAATAAAACTATTATTAATAATAAGAATTATTTATTTTATGAAATGTAATAGCATAATATTATTCTTCATTTTAATAGCAGAAACCTTATGTTTTGATGGAAATGATAAAATATTTCTTAGTTTATCCTAATCATTTTGTTCAATTATTGTTACTGAATTGGGAGATAAAGTAATTTATAATACAATAATAGACCTTTTTCTTAGCTGCTATAATGTCTATTAAATATAATCGAATAGCAGTTTTAATTGGTTCTACTCTTGCACTTATAATAATCACAACCATAAGTACAATATTTGGACTCGTGATTCCTCAATTGATTTCAATCTTTTATGCATAAATTCTAGTTTCAATTGTTTTTTATGGGTTTGGTTTTAAGTTTTTATATGCCTGGTATATAATGTAAAAAGAAAAAGAAGAATTAAAAGAAGTTGAATAGGAATTAACAACATTAAATAAACAATTGATGAATTTACCAGATCCTGATACAGATCAAATTAATGATAATGTTACTAAAAGTAACAATCTCATTATTTTACAATAGATTTTATATAAGTTCAATTCTAATCAGTGGTTTGGTAAGCTTTTACCTTAACGCTTTTGGGAGAATGGGGAGATAAAAGTTAAATTACCACTATAAGTTTGACTGCTATATATAATCCATTATATATTTTCTTGGGTGCTATTATAGCACATTTTGTTTGTACACTTATAGCAGTTCATGGTGGAAAATTGATTGCAAATAAAGTCTCTGAAAAAAATTTTAATTTTCTAGGAGGCATTGCTTTTCTTAGCATAGCACTTATTAACACTTATATGGCACTATTTTTATGATTGTATATATATTTTCAATTGAATTCTATATATTATATATTATTAAAAATTATCAAAATATCTTAATAGATAAATAATATTATTAACCTATATATAGAAAAAATTTATTTGGATATTGTAAATTCATTTCCAAATAGAATATAAATTGATATATCTTATTTATAGATAGCTTTTATAAATTAAATTAGTTTAAAAGTTAATTTAATAAATCATTTAGTCCATATTGTTTTTTTGGAATGAAAAACCTAAAATTTTATTAAATATAAGTTATGAATAACTATATAAAAGATTATTTAAAGTAATATAGCTAATTAAGGTTATATAGATATTTCTGTCACCTATATTCAACCAAATAGTTTGGAAACAAAGTAATTAAAATAACTTTGATGAGAGTTCTTAATAATTCCAGATTTATATTAGATTAATTAGCTTAAATTAAAAAAAGAACAAACTAAAGCTTAAAATAAAGATAATTCTTTAAGTATTTAAAAAAATTAATATTATTAGTTATTGAATATTTAGAAGAATAGATGAATGAATAATTACTTATTATAATTAAAAAGTCAAAGATCTAAAATTTTTATAATCACTGAAAATAATTAATTTAATCATTGAAATAAATTTCATTGACATAGATTTAATCAGGGTCAAAAAAATCCTTTTCTACTAACATAAAGTTAATCTTACATTGATATGATTAAAGAACATTCTAAGATAAAAGAATCATGTAAGACTAATTAACAAAAATATTTTCATAAAGTATAATATTAATCATTTCCTAAATAAATTAAATGATAAATTACAAGTATTCTAATAGTAAATTTAATTGATAAATTGTTTTATAGATGTTTGTCTTCATAAAATATACAAAAATCAATTAAATTAACAATTTACTTTTATATTCTAGAATCAAGAGAACTATTGATGTTATATTATTCTTATTAATTTAAGTCTTGTCAAAATTAGTTTATGAATTTCTATAGTAAATATAAAGATTATTGGATTGAGATGATATTGATTATGAATTGAATAAATTAATAATCAAATTAATGTAGTTATTATAATATCTTAGAATATTTAGTTATGATTAATAGTAATATGCATATGAAATTCATTATAGTATTTAATATTGTGGTTATATGAGTGTAATGGGAAGATGAAGAAGAAGTATGAAAGAGTGAATATGAATTTAAATTAATTAATTATGTAATGGATTCGTGATTACATGAATTTGATCATTTAGACCAATCTATCTCCATCCATAAATAATATCAAATTGACCGCTTTCTAGATTCTCATTTATCATTTATAGCTCACTCATTTTATAACATAGCAGTATGATGAGAATATTTTCAGATTGATTAAAGCACTTTCAGAGATCAGCATATTGACATCCCTATTCTAAGATATTTACACTATTAATATATTGACAGGGGTTCTATTGGCTATTCTAAATGTGTTACCTTATCTTATAATTTTGCATAGAAAAATAAGGAGCGAAAACTAAAACGTTGATATCATATCAAAATCAATTTTAAAGGTAAAAGAAAACACATAAATTAAAGTCTGCCACAAAGTTAGTGAATTACTATTTCCTATATTTCACTTGGCTTCTCTATCTTCCTCAAATGCATTACATAAGTTGGAACATAATGAGTTAAAATGATCTATTGCTTTTGATGTTAGCATTGCTGAACTTACTCTTTTCAATAGTATCCTTGCTTATTTCGAACATCTATTTCATAAATTTTGAATTCAATGAATTACAATTGAGAAAACATTTCACATATAATAATTGTTTTGCACAGTTACTTATAATACCAATGGCCATATTGAATCAAAGTTAAGATCAATTGATGAAGATAATCAGTAGAACAATACATGGAATAATCATTTTAATATTATTTTATGAAGCTTATTTTTAATTACCATTTGGGTATAAATTTAATTATTAATTGACCTAGATTCTCAAAATATTCAATCATTTACAATAGATTATTAGTTATGCATATTTTAGTATTCATTTTCACTACAATCATGTACCAAAATCCAGAATATAGATATAGTCTCTCAACCTTAATGCTTGTAACTTAACCAATTACCTAATACTTATTTTAAGTATTAATGTAAGATAAAAGATTAAAAACATATCATAACACAACAAATTAATATTAGGAATTATTGATAATAGAAGATTTCTTTGAGATAATTTAAGCAACATAAAGAAGTAAGAAGAGAACAATAGAATTAATTTAAAAATTTAGTTTACATTTTAATCGATGTTAATCTATTAAATGTTAATGTAAGAGATTTGGAGCTAGTGGAATATTAAGATGGGATGATGCAGTTATTTTAACATCATGTTTATTTAGAATAGGATTTGAAAAACATAAAAATGATTCTAAAAATCTTGAAATTTATAGTTTAAAATTCTTAACTTTTATTAATAAATATAGAAATAATGCTCCTAAAAGTTATTAAGAATTAAAGATCTTATTTTAAAAGAAGAGAAGTTATTCTTTTTATTTTATTTAGATTTGTCTATTATTATAATATATACTTTAAGCATAAATGCAAAAAGATGAAGATTATAATATAAATAAAGATACAAGAGTATCTAATGTTAAATTATAAGTTAGTAAGAGTGAAAGAAGTATTGTATAAACATTATATTAAATGGAATAAATAAAATAAAATATACTTCCTTTGTTAATATAACTTAGTAATTTTAAAATATAATTTTGGAAAAGTTATTTAGCAGGTAAATTTGTTAGTTTTTCAGATATTGAATAATAAGTTTAGAAATTATAATCATTAAAACATTAAATTTTACATTAATTAAAAATATATCAACCTATATTTTATACAAATGGAAGAACCTTTAATGTACAATTCTTAAAATATAGTGCTCTAATTGATTTATTATTATTTAATAATGTAAGAAAATATTTTGAATTAGAAAAAGGTAAAAAAATATATTTTATTAATTTAGAGAGAAGAGAGATTTTATAATAAGAGAAAAGTATGAATACTTTTGAAATTACTAACATTAATTTCTTTAAAGGAGAAGCAATATCTGTTAAAGTATGCATAGCTTAAGGACCAAATATAGGTAAAGTATTGAATGAAGTTATTTCACCATTAATACCTAAATTTTTTGGATTTGGACATTTTGATAATCCATTAGAGGCATTTCTTGATTACACTAAAGGAAATATTAATACTTTAATGCCAGCATGGTTATCTCCTGTTCATGATGAGATGATGTAAAATTATATCAGAAGAGGAGGAACAGCCAGAATAGGTAAGTACTTTTAAACATTTGCAAAGATTTATGATAAAACATTAATTAGATGTTAAGTGTATCTTGCACATAATTTTAGTAAAGATTTAACTGATGATTTTACAATGATTGGATGTTTAAAATCTTTGGAAGAATAATAACCAAAAGTATCAGTTGAGGAAGCTAAGAAATTAAAGAATGTAGTATTTAAAGGAGTATAACATATTCTTTTTGATGTTAATGGAAATATTTTAGGTGTTACTTAAGGTTTATTTAAAATGATTGATAGATTATAAAGAATAAGAGCTAATTAAAATATATCATCACTTAAATAATAGAGTGTAGAAAAGAGTAAATCAGATATATCTTCATTAGAAAGTGAGAGTTATGATGTCTATGATTAATAATGGTCTAATTCAATTTTAACAATTGATGATTTTTATAATAAGGTATTAATTTGGATGCTTTTACCATTTATATGTAGAGAAATAGAATAAACAGGAATTGAATATTTAATGGATGGTGAAACACCTCCAAAAAATAGATATCCAAATTTAATTGATTTAGATAATAGTAATAATGTAGTTAGTAATAAAGAGACATATTTATTTGTTCCAGAAGACTTGCATTTATTTGTTTAATAATATGAAAAGGCATTATAAAAGATTATAGATGATACTCGTGTTTAATCTAATAATTTTTCAAGTGGTAGTTAATATAAAGGTTAAAAATATGATCAAGAAAGTGATTCTGTTAGTTTATAATAAGCAGTATCAATTTTTAATGAAAAGTTGTGTTCATTTTTTTATGATGAACATTTAAAAAGACATTAAGCTTTATAATTTGGAACAACTAGATAATCAGAAATGTAAAAGACTTCAGTTAAACCATAATCTTAAACATAAGTTTCTATTCCAAGTGAAGAAGATAGTGAATAATTGAAAACAAGAGCTGAAAAAGTTTATTAAGATAAGTATTCTAAATATATTGAAAAAATAACACCTTAGGATTTCAATCCTGTACCAGTTTATTATTCAGTAAATTATGAAGAATATAGATATAAGAAAAATGATGTTGATTTAAAATAATAAATGTTTTTAATTGAATTAACTGTGAATGAATAATTATTACTTACAACTATGGGATATAAAAGATAAGTTAGAGATACTATTAAATAAACATTCTAAAATTGTTAATCTAAACGATAGTTATTAGAATAATAATTATAAACTGAAGATTCAATGAGTGTTTAAGGAAATATGAGTGAATAAAGAAGTGATCATGATGTAGAAGTTACAAATTATCTCTTTCCATCACATCCTTCTCATTATTTTGAAGATATTTATATAGATTCACAAAAATTAGATTAATTATCTAGTCCTTTTAAATAAATGGATAATGCACAATTATTATCAAGTAGAAGTGATGAAGTAGAAATTCAATAAAAACTTACTCTCAATTCATAAGAATCTTTAGTCAAAAATACTGAAAAGTAAATTACAAATATGAATTCAAAAGCATTTACTAAAAAAAAATAATAAGATTTCTTTAATGAAAATGATAGTAAATTAGCTATGGATAGTAGAGCATCATAATAATAAATATAAGAGGAATATTAAGTAAAATATTCAGAAAACTTAAAATTATTTGATTCTAATTATAAATCAACTTTATAAAAAATAGAAGATTTTATAAATCCAACTACATTTAGAATATAAAAATATCTACTTTACATAGTATTATTCTTAATTATTGGTTATATCATTCTATTGACAATAGCTGTATATCAAAAATATAATTTTGATGATTGTCTCAATTTAATAGATTTGATGTTATCTACATAAAAAGCATATTCTTAAATTACACATGGATTATATCGTATAGAATTAGAATCTTAATTTTAAATGGATTAAAAAATGAAATAATTCTATTTATAATAAATTGATTTAAGTTTACAAAATTTTATCAATTTATAAAGCAATTAATTATTTGATATAAATTAAGTAGAATTTAGTGTAAATTAATTTTACAATATAGAATATGAATTAATTATAAAACCAACATTATAAGAAACTATTTAAATGAGTTTAGCATAATTTTATAAAATTAGAAATACTACTTCATCTAATTTAATGATTACTTAAATTTCTGTTGCTAATTTATAAGAAATTGGTTAATTACCACATTTAGCATTTAATTATTGTTATGATGATAAAATAAAAAATGAAGAATAAACACAATAATTATTAACTATTTATATGGTTGTAATCTTCTTTCTAGTTATGTTATTATAATTTCTATAAATTCCATTAATATCTAGATTATCTAATGATCATCGTAGATTATATAAAGTTGTTATGAAATTATAAATATATGAAGTATAAGATGAAATAGAGACATATGAATAAGTATAATCAATTTTTAAGAAATCTTTGTATGAATGGATGTTAATAGATTTTGTTTCTGAAACTAGAATGTTTGAAAGTAGTGTAGAGAATATGTAATATCATAATAATTAATTAACTGATTAAAGTTAAACTTAATTATTAAATACTAATAATAAGAAAAATAAATATAAATTATATGAAAAATTAAAAAGGTAGCATATTAATCAAACTAGATACATTATTATATTATTAATTGGACTCTTTGTAATTTTAGCTTATTTCTTAATTATATTTTTTGTTATTTTTATACTTTCCTAATAATTACTTGCAAATATTGATTTATTATTTAATTTTAAATTGGCTCAATCTTCTTTTATGAATATAATTAATAATATGGATTTGATTAGTTATTAAACTTATGAACAATAAAAATTTATAAATATCATGAGTTAAGAGTAATTTATCAATTATTCTTAAGAATTAAGAAGTGATAAATAAGATTAATTTATAGAATTTAACAATAATTTTGTTTCAATTATAAGTGATCAATAATTAAAAACAAATTTAGAAGCTATAAATGAAGATGATATTTGTTTACCATCTATAGGAATTATGTGTAATGAAACATAAACTTATATTCATAATCCATCAATCATTTAATATTATCAACATGGTATGAAATATTTAATAACATAAATTAACAAAATTATTGAATCTTATCCTTAATTCTTTTACAATAATTCTGGTAATAATACAGAAGAACATCTTGAAGACTTCTTTGAAGGTATAGAACATATCATTTATATTGATTATGGAAGTGACATTTTAGTTTAAGCATATGATAAAGTTGTTACTACTGCACAAGAATAATTCGATAAATCTTTGTCAATCTATAAAGAAACCTTGATGATATTTATCTTAAGTGTTGGTGTATTAGGATTGTCAATTATATGGATTCTAGGAAGATTATTATTGAAAATGTAAGTAGATTCAATAGGTACTTGTTAAACATCATTATTATTAATATCTCCAAAAAGATATTTGAACCAAAATATAATCCAAATAGCATAAAAAAAAAGATGATTGATTAACTTTTATATAATTATCTTATAAATCATTATGCTGTCCATCCTCCATCCATTGTATAAGTAGATCCTTTGATTTATGAAGCTGAATTTGAACATAAAAATGTAATCAAATCACCTAATTAATCAGTTGAAACTGGTGTTACAGAAGGTTACTTTTCTTCTAATAATTTAATTTAAGCATCTTCAAATGATATCTTATATTAATCAGCTCTTTATTAAATTTATATCTCTATCAATTTTGTCATTACCCATCCAGGACAAACTGCATTAATAGTAATACCTGTTTTAGCTACTTCAAGAGCTGTTGCCTTTGTTAATCCAACTATTCCATGTTTTGCAGCCACATATGCACATTTATTTACAGAAGCAACCAAACCTATCTAATAAATGATGTTTATTACCATGAACACTAGCTATATTGATAATACGACCCCAATTTTTATCAAGCATTTATGGTAATGCATATTTAGTTGTAAGAAATGCAGCAGTAAGATTTATTGCAATAATATCATTAAATTTCTATTCTGGAAAATTAACTGCTTATTCAATATATTATATTCCAGCATTATTGACTAAAATATCTACACTTCCTAAAGCTTTACTTGTTTCTTACATCATACTTTTCACCTTTTCTATATTGTATTTAAAATACTTATGGTCCTTCTTTTAAATCAGCACCATGATAGAATGTCTTTACTTTATATTAGTCTTCTATTTCTCTCCTGATTACAGTAACTTCCTCTGGTTTTGCAAATCCATTAAGTCCTATATGAACACCTTAAGATGCCAATTTCTTTGCAACGGACAAACCAATACCACTTGTTGAACCAGTGATCAAAGCTACTTTTCCAGGAAGATTAGCAAACATTTAATAAATTATGAACCTAAATTAAATATTATATGAGATTGTATCAAATTATTGTTTTTATTAAATTTGTAAATAACATATAAATTTATTATATATTAACAATGACAGAAGGACTCAAATTTGTTAAATGTGCCCTCTTATAATAAGAAAATGATCCACTTGAATATTGTGTTTGTACACTTCCTATTCCATCAAATATTGGAATTCCTCTCTTTCCATGTGAACTTCCTAATAATTTTAAGCTTTTTCAATCTAATGAAACATTTTCATAATTAGGAATGGTATTTGTAAATTTCATTTCTATCAGAAAATCATGGACATTGAAGAAGAAGAAAATCATAAATTTATGAGAACAATCTGTTGTCCTAGTTTGAGACCCTTAACTATTACATCAAGAGATTTTTACAATAATATTCCAATTTAAGCAGAAAGAAAATTCGCCATTCCTTTTATTTAAAAAAATGAAATGAAAGTTAAATATGATGGTGAATATGCAGGTAAAATTGTATAAGAATAATGTTGTACTTTTATGAAGGGCATGTTTCATTAATTATTCATATATGATAGCAATGAATACCTTATTTATGAGATAACTGCAAATTTAAAATAAAAGGGATTACTATGTTTTTTGCCATTCTAATCTTGCAAATCTATAAAATATTCCATTATTGATAAGAGACCTGCAGAAGAATAATTAATTAATGAAAACTATACTAATGGTTAAATTGAGCATCTATTCTTTGGATGGTCAAATGAATTTTGTTCAAAGGCTGATTAATGTAAAATTTAGATTATTTAATCTTTTTTTAGATGGTATTAAATTTCCAGATAGTGCAAGTGAAAAAGATAAAGCATTGCTTATAATGTGTTGTATATTTATTGATTATTTGTGGTTTGAAAATTTTTGAAAATAAATTTACTTATTCATAAATACTTTCTTATTTTTAATAAATATTTTTGGCTTGTTTATCTTGCTCTTATTCATCATCTAAAAACTAAAATAAAATTAAAAATTATTATTGGTTTGCAATTCTGGTTATTATGACTTATTTTCCCTTAAAAATTTGAATAAAGATTGAGTTTACTTTTATTAGTTTTCTTCTTTCATCTACTTTATCGTCAATAAATTGTTAAATTTCTATATATAATAAGGTGGAAATTATTTTTATTGTTACTTTCCATTATCAATTTAATTCATAGAATTTTTTATGCTTTTTGTAAATTTTACATGACATCCAACCAAAAATAGAATGATCTATCTACTTATAATCTTTAATAAATATAATAAATTAAGAAATCTTAAATAATAAAAAAATACATAAATATTTAATAATAAAATTATTAATCTGTTTATTTTTACAAATTTATCATTCATTATTACTATTAGTATTAACGTCTTTAATTAAAGATTATGAATTTAACCTTAAAATATGATTCTATTTACTTATTTCATCAATATTTACTAGATGTTATTATTATTAATAATAATTTCTAAGAAATTAGATAAACAGCATATATAAATAAAATAATAATTATATTCATATGTCAGAATAAAACCATAATGATTGCTTGATTCAAAATCAAAACCCCTTTATTAAATATGCTATTAGATTTTGTATAGAAATAAGAATAATAATTATAATATTTTGTATTTTGATATAAAATTTGAATTTTCAAATAATTAATACATTATAATAATAATCCTGTTAACTTAAACAACATTTTCTAAAATATTTATCAAATTTAAAATGTTTTAAATGAATATTAAGTTATTCGTATAAACTTATGAATAAAGAATAATTAAATAATTCATAAATATACAAATAGCTAATTTCACTTTTAAGAGCTAAAACTGCTTTCTCCAAGCTCTTGTCCTGTTTCTGATATTTAGCTTTTCAATGCCTCTTTCAAACCATTTCCAAATCCAAGTTTACATTAAAATGCATAATAACAATCAAAAAGCATGATTAATAAACATGCAAATGTAGTTCCGATAACTATTATTACAGTGTATGTATCTCCAAAAGGATTTTCTTATTAGGAACAATCACCTGAGTCACTTGAGTTTTTTTGATTATAATAGTATATCATGTAATACACTGTTTTTGTAAGAATATAGAGTTAGACCAACAATATCATAGAAATATATATCCAAAATTTCTATATATTTTCTTCCTTTAACTATTTCTATTAAAATAATACTTACAGCCCAATATCCAATAAAAATGCTAGCAATCTAAAATAGAATTGCAATTGAATCAATTAAATATAAGTACCAATGTAAATGATCAAAAAAGAAAAAGAATGTTAAAAATGTACTAAATGATATCAATAGATATAATTGCATAAATGTACTAAAATTTGAATAATTTCTAAATATATCTAATAGATAATAATAAATTATAACCTTATATTTTTCGAGATGCTCCAACTTTCATTATATTTCTGTATACAAATACATCATAAAATGGTTTATAACATACTACACTTAAAACAAAAACACAAAATGAATAAAATAAGTAAATGTAATCAAATGCTGCTAATACTTTATCTCCTTCATTTGTATCAGGATTTTAAAAGTATGAAGTAGGTCTAAAAAACCTTGCAAAAGTACACAAAAATGTTATAAATTAAATAATGATGTATGCAAATAATTCTAAAACATTTGATTTGTAAATCTTATAATAAACTTATTGATTACAGCATTAAATACATAGTAGCAATCTCCAATTTAAAATAAAAAAAGCACTGCCCATTTATAATAATCATCTAAACTCTAATTGCATTGAGAACCATTATTATTCTTACTTTATTGTAGATCTAAATTAATTTGTTGATAAATACTCACAATAACATCTGCTATGAATATACTAGCCAAATAGGACATTTGTATTACAATAATTATGATAAATGTTTTAGTTGCCTTTTGTTCAATCCATGTCTTAAAATCCATATTAATATAAAATAGTTTATAATTAATTTATATGTTTAATATTTCTTTTTATTTAAGATTTAAACTAATAATTTGATACTAAATTTAAGTAATATAGAATGAATTCTAAACATAACTTTTAAATGACTAATTTAATTTAGAACAAGTATAAATCAATATAATTAATAGATTGTTAAGAAATATTGATAATAATTATTATATTAATAACAAAATTGTCCTTTATTATTATTCAATTTAATTAAAGATATTAATATGGATTTTTAATTCCCATTTAAACTCTTTCAATCATCTGTTCTCTAAACTAATTCAATGCTACTCTTACATCTTTACATTTTTTTATGGCTATTTCTAAGTATATTTTATTATAGAAATACATTCTAACAAAGGTTACAAATCTTTTAATGCTTTATCTTTAGTATCTCCAAACCAACTTTAAATGTAAATACCATTTTCAGGTTGCAATTAAAAATTTTCTGGCATATTATCAACTATTATAACTTTGGCTAAACTACGATTTAGAATTGATAAATCCTTTAAATATATAATTTTATTAAATACCTTTATATAAACTTAATCTTTAAAAATAGTTTTATCTCTATATAATCTTTATTTAACCACTCCCTTCTTATCAATAATATCAATTATAAAATTAGCATAATCTGGAAGTGCTGCTGTAAATATAAATATTTCATAATATTTAGACAATTAATCTAAAAATTCTTCTGCATAAGGTCTTACTAGAAACTATCCTCCTCCTTTTGGAAACTTTTTTTTTAATATTGTATTGATTTACTTCTTGATAATGAACTAATGTTTCATCTAAATCTAACACTAAAGTATAGTCTTTATTTGAGGCTGCCAAAGCTCTTTCCAAATCAAGTGGCATAATTTGTTCAATTTAAGAATTTATTTTTTTCAATTACAATATATATTGATCTGGATTAGTGGTAATTCTGGATAAAATCATAAAAATTTCGGGGCGTGTTATTTCGTCAATCCTTTTGGACTTTTATATTGATTAGATAAAGTACATCAATCCCAAAATTGACTTAATGATAAAATTGTTCTTTTGTAATGCCTGTTTCCCTTTAGGACAAACCTTACGAACATTAAAGGTTCTTAAATCTATTCTCTATTTTAATAAATTCAAATTTAATGAATTATTAGTCACATTCTCTAATACTTACAATACATAGAGATTGCTATTAATTATATACTAAATTAAATTCTTTATATTTTGATCTTCATTAATTTAATCTTGTAAGTAATCACTAACTAATAAATAACATGCAAAAGATTCAAACAAAAATATTTCAAGTATTTGAGGTTCAATTCTAAATAAATATTCACTCTTAGAATATAATAATAAATTATACATGATGTTTTTCACTAATGATTCTGATTAATTTTTATAATTAAGTACACTTTGTTGCCAAAGTCATTTAATTAGGATTATCAATTAAAATGATTATATCATTCCATATCTATTCTTTTTACAAAAGTGATTTATAAATATTTTATTAAGTGACATCATCAATAATTTAAATATGTGTTTATTTTGTATTTTCTATTTTAGATTTTGGAGATTTGAGAGGTGAAACATTAATTGATTTTTCATTTTGTTTCTTTCCTGATGTCTAATTTGATTAAATATTATTATTATCAAGTTTCTATTTTAAAATATTAAATGTTTCCATATATGTTGTAGGACTAAGAATACATTAATAAAATTACTTTTTTTTATTACTGCATACTTAAGCAATAAATGTTTATTATTATTTATTTTTTTAATTGCTATTTGCTTTATAATTTATATTATTTTAGTTATTAACATTTTCATTATTTATTGTATTTTATCTTGTTGGAGTAATACTGTTTTTTTTACATTATTGAGCAATTTATGAAATTGTCAGCAATTTTGAGTTTTTATTTGATTTTGATTAAGATATATTAGAATCATTTTGTTTATTAGATTAGTAATATAAATTTTGATATGGTTTCCTATCTTAATCTCTACTTGTATCTGGAATTATGAAGGCTGATTTTAGAAAAGTTTCATTATTTTAAGGTGACTTTACATTCTGTTTTCCAAAATTACTTATTCTACTAGACACTATGAAAATCAATATTAATTTACATAAACTATCACCTCTACTTGATCTGCTATCAATTTATTTTTTTTGAAATAAGCTTTATCCAAATAATTGTGTAGAGGTCTTGTTTTAATCACCTTGTATCAAATTATTTAGTAACTATTTCACTTTAGATGGATTTGTGTATTCATTTCTAGCAGTTAATGGTCTATTTTGATTATTAGGAGTAATATCTAATATAATTGTATAGGTTATACTTCTAGTTTCAGGTGAAATTTCTTTAAAAGATCCACGTGATTTACTTGAATATGATGATGTATTTAGTTTATTTTAACAATCTGATAACTTTGGATTTGATCTGCTGTAAAACATATTTGAAATTATTAACAGAATTAATTAATTACAATTTCTTTGAATTAAATGCAGATCAGATCTCAACTAAATTAATGCTAGTCTAAATGTTTGATATAAATATTGTTGATATTGTTTTAATCACAATTTTTGGAATTGAAATAATATAATAAAACATAAGATAACTAAATACTAATTAAGATTGAACTTATATTTAATTATAAAGTATTCAAGCTTCTAAAATGAGATTATATTCTTTTGTGTAGTCAATTAAGATACTTCCTAAACATTTTTACATATTTAAAAATTGTTAACAATATTTAGAATTTAGAATCTCAAAATTACTATACTATATTTAATTAATTTACTTTCCAATTTAATTCAAAAAAGTTTGAATTTTTATTGCTCTTTTTTTAAGGTTTCTAGAACTTAATTAATTGAATTCAAAATGAGAAGAAAGTGTGAATTTCACTTTAAAGTCTCTACATAATCCTTTCTAGAATTGTTAAAGCATACTAAAACGAATCCTCATAATCCACTTTGTTCCATATTCATTAACTTCTATCTAAAATTTTATCTCAAATTAAATATTTACCATATAATATGCATGCTTTTCTTAAACTTAAATTTTGACTACTTTAAATAATATGTAAGAAACTATTCTCTTTTTTTATTTTTCAAGAAATGATAATATTGGAGAATTTTCTTAATATTAGGTTTACTCTAATTCTACTGAAGAAGCTTTAGTAGATTATTCTAAAAATGAAAGACTCAAACCTTTTTTATTCATTTTAATTCAATTTTAATATAAATATATCTAAATTAGATGATTTAATAAATCAAAATTAATATCATCAGAAATGCGTCATAATTATACTATTTTAGATAGAATATAATGAAAATATTTTCTGATTTTTTAATACTCCATATAAAACTTCATATTTATTTAAATTAATATATTATATTAAAACTACTATTAAAAATATATAAATATTGGAGAATTCTTTTTGTTATAATGGAATATAATTTGAATTCTATTAGAAGTAAACTTCTTTAGTTTCATTTTGATTATTAATAATCTCATTTAATAAGAGTACTTTTATTAGACAATATATGATTAACTCTCCTTAAATACTAATAAAATATAAAGTATAAATAATTTTTAGTTTGTAATAAAAAATCAAAATCTACTTGAAATTGAATTCAATTCAATCTTGAATGAATGTTCAAATGAAATAAGTATGTTTTTATTTATTTATTTTGAGAGATGAGATTTTACTAATAAGATTTTCAATAGTTTTTAGAAAATTTATAAATATCCAGCATGTCATAGATTTGTAAATATTACAAATTATGATTAATATATATTGAAAATATTTAGTTATTCAATTACTTAAATAATTCTAATAGGAATAGAAGAGTAGTCTAAATACTTATTAGAATGAAGGAAGAAGTCTTTTTGAAAAAAAAACTATTTGAATAATAAAATTGTTTATGTTATATTTTATTATTGGACAATAGATTAGAAAATATTGATTCAATAGAAAAAGAACAAGATGAATTTAGTTTTATAAATTTTTTAGTATTTTAATTAAGTTATTACCTTTAGTCTTCAAATATGGGTGGAGCATGCTCTGGAACAAAACAATAAGCCAAAAAATAGAAACTACAATAATAGGAATTAAATATAGTTGATTAACCATATTTGGAAGTAAAATCTATTCCCCAAAGTTAATCATCATCAAGACCTCCTGAACAGAGAAGTGAAACTGGATAATCAGTAAAGGATCTTCTAATATTATACAAAAAATTTACAGATTTTTTAGGTTTAGTTGGGAATTTAGATCATCTACCACAACATACAAGGGAATAATTGAATAATTGTATTATTTAGAGATCAAATATAAATATTCTTATTTAGAATAGTATCAAAAGAATTATGAGAGAATAATAAATAATCAAAAGGGTAGAAGAGAGCGATTATTATTTAATTCATAATGATGAGAAATTTGCCATAACATTTACATAAATTATGTAAAAAATATCAACCATTATATTAACTGAACTGAAAGATGACTAAGACTTTTAGGAAGCATTTCCTATGCTTATTGTTTCATTCGTAGATTTAGCCTAACAGATTAGTAATGTCATAGAAAATTTTTAAAATTTCAAAACTCTCTCGTCTAAAAAATAAATAACAAAACAATCCTTTTCGTAAGAGAGCAATTATCAAAAGACAACCAATAAGATATCTTTGTAATAGTGAATATATCTATCATATTTAAATTAGGGATTAATATAATTTAATGATTTTGTGCTTAAGTATCTTCATTGGAAAATTATATAAATATATATATATATAATATATTCTTTTAGGTATATTTTATTAATTTTATACACATGTTCATTAAAAACTCTAATAATATTGTTTCTTTTGTATTTATTTAAAATGACATGAATGTAATTTACATCATATAATGTATATAAATATTATAAGTTCAAATAAAGAATTGTAAGATTCAAAAAAGTGTATTAAAATTGATTAACTAATTATTTACTTCTGTAAATAAATATATATATATATATTAAATTTAATGGATCAAACTATAACAAGCATTAATAGTTTTACAACAACTGATAGAGAATTAGAAAACAATTTGAAAGATTTACTTGAAAGAATCTTAATATAAGTAGAAAAACATATAGAAACAAAAGAAGAGTTAAATTAAATTGAATCAGAATTGAAAGATTATGAAAGTTTATCACATTTAGTTGGAATAATTAAAGTGATATTTACAAAATTGATGTTGAAAATTGAGAAGAAGATTTTGTAAGTAAAATATATTCATACTATTGATAGAAAATTAGAAAAATTAAATGATCCTACATAATTAAGATTTTAAAAAGATGATGATGAATATGAAAAATTAGAATAGACTTTGATCAAGTATGAATAAGAAATTAGAAAACATATAAGTGTATTTTATTAATTGATGACTAGATTGAATAATAATTAAAACTATATGCTGAATCAATATAAAGTAAATTAGATGAAAGTGAAGAAATACGTTAAGAATTATTAGAAACAACTAAAAATAATATTAGTGTATATATTAAATAATAAATAAATAGAAATTAAAGAGAGAAAATTAAGAATTACATGAAAAAGAGCAATCTTTAAAATAAGAACTTATTTAATTAAAATAAACTATTTGTTAACTTGAAAAAGAAAGTAAAAGAAAATCAATTGAAGTTAATTAAAGAGAATACCTTTAAAATTTAATTTATAAATAAGCTAATCAATCTTCCTGTAAATTTGGACATTAGAAATTATTTCAAGAACAAAGATAAATTAATTCACATTCATAACATAAATAAAGTGTAAATCATATTATGAAAGAATAATTAGAAATGAGTGATTTAGTATTACCTACATAATAATCATAAAAAAATAATTAGTATAGTATTTTAGACAATGCCAACAAATAAAAAAAGTCAGACATGATCAAATCACTTTAATAAAGAGATTTTAATAAAATCTATGGATAAATTATGAAAAGCAAACATAATTCATTATCATCAATCAATGATATCATGTTAAGTATCTCTCAGTAAGAAAGAAAAAGAATAGATAAAGTTTATTCTTTTTCAAAAAATAGTTCATAAAATAGTAGTGTCATATAAAGACCTAAAGGTAATTAAATAAAATATATTTTATATAGATTATAATGAATATCAGTAGAGAAGCAAAAGTTCAAAAAAAGCTGAAGATACAATAAAGTACAAAACCTTAGATTCTTTAATCAAGTTGAAGTGAATTATCAATGTTTTTTTGCAATCTAAATTATCTATATAGACTTTTATTAATTAATTTAAGTAAAATATTAGTTATATATATCTTATGCATTAAAGAATCGATAATATACATAATATCGTTTTTTGTTATATTTTATTATTTTTAATGTTTTATTTAATTGTAATTCTTTGTGTTACAATTTCAAATGCCTATTATGGATCTGAATATTATGCTGAATGGTAAACAGGAGTAGATAACAGTATATCAAAATAAGATCAATTTTTATTTCCAACTTATCCAATGAGATTTTCAAGTTAAGTGATTTTCTCAAGAAGATTTAGTGTGTATGATTAGCATTCTATATAACTTTAGTTGTCCATAAGTGCTATTAATGCATGAAGAAATTTAATGGAGTAGAGGAAGAAATATCAATTACCAAACATACGTTTCAGATGTCACAATATTTGGATTTAATATTAATTATGTTATATGGGGTCCTGCAGTTGTACCTATTCTTAGTGTAAGATGGGTTGCTTTGGTTGATGATTAAGTAGAAATCCAATATGTTCATTATCAAGAAAAAGATTTATATTTATTGAGCCAAGGTTTTGGAGCTAGGTCATAAGATTTCATGATATCATATTATCCTCGCTATCCAGCACCTAAAATTACAGCATTTATTGTGGGTGCAGACTTTGAAATATTTAATTCTTTATTTACAAGTGTCAGAATTCAAATGGGCATTCCTACATCAAATAGCATGGATGTCAGATTCCTCACTAGAGATTTTTGTCATGTGAGATCTCTTTATGTTGCCTATTTCATTTCAAATAATTACTTGACTTTGGCAGGATCTGTTGGTGCCTATTATTCTACTTATAATTAATTCCTAGACAATTAAAACAGACAAACTATTAGAGCCTAAAAGTTTTCTAGATTAGTCCCATCAATATATTCCTTAGATCCAGCATATAACATTTTGGCTCAAGGTATAAGTGGATTTGATATTCACAGTTATGCTGGATCAGCATATCTAAGAGTTGCTGCTGAGTCAATGATAAATCAATCATAAATTTATACTCTTGTCTATGGAACAAGTATATATTATTATTTTTATCTAAGGGGGTGACACTGTATTAACTTATATGTAGGCTAGTTATATATTACATCCCCCAGGAATACCATATCATTATTATTATAAAAATTATGATTGGATTGTAACAAAAGATGATTAGATAATTCTAGAAGAGACAATTGAATAAGAAAAAAAGATTAATGAATTAAATAAAAAATGATAATTCATTCAATATTAGCATTATGTTATTATAGATAATTGAATATATCAAATAACGTTTGTGATTATCTTATAAAGATGAATATGTTGACCTTTTTCTAAATAGACAGGGAAATTAAGCATATGAAATAGTTGGATTTATTAATTCGATTAAAGTCATAATAATTTAAAAATCTGGTTCTCGTTCATATTGAGTCAGATTTTATAATAAATATAAATATTGCTATTATTTCGATTAAAACATAAAATTTAATTAAATGAACTATCTTTCAATTTAATATTTATTAAACAAAAATCTTTTGATAATTTTTATAATCTCACTATAAAAGTTTATAAGAGCAACTAATTAACAATAATTTTTTTAATTATATTATTTAATTAACCAATATTTCTAAACTACTTAATTTTCAAGTTCTTAAAATACAAGAATGACTTTAAACTACAATTTTAACTAGTTATTTAGTTTGGTAATATTAATTTTAGTCTCTTGAGATTTCAACAAAATTTATAAGTAATTTATATATACTTCTTTAGAATTTCTTATTTTATATTCAAAGAAAAATATTAATATTTAAATTAAGAGAAAATTTAAATAATATATTAGAAAAGATGGAAATATAAACAAATTTCAAGACATTAATATATTAATTCAATAAAGAATTATTTATTTCTTTTTCTCTCTTTATTATATGAATAAGAATCATTTATTTTTTATCTAAATTTGGATCATTATATTATGAAAATTCAAATTAATATAAATTATAAAATATAAAAATTATAATGGATATAAGATTAAAGAGGTTTGATGTATTTGGATTATCAAGAAATTAATAATCATAAAAAAGATTGGATTCAACAAGAAGATTAGATGATAGAAGTTTTTTATAATTAAAATAATATAAGCATGAATTTATAAGAACTCCTTCTAATTCAAATACATGTTAAACATAAATGAAAAAACTAAGGTTAAAACATAAACCATAAATCAATCAAAACTAGATTTTATCATATTCACTATCAATTTAAAATATTGAATAATTACCAAATAGATCACTGGATCCAAAAGTAATCAAATTGATAATTCCAAATCATAAAAAGAATACTCAATCACAAAAAGAAGGAATAACAACTACTAGAAATTATTATAATAATTATTTTGCTCATCATGAACAAAATGAAAACAGAGTAAATTTAATATTAATCTTTATAGGCATCATTTCCTTCAATAAAATTTAAAAATAAGATTGTCAAATCATAATTTGAAGCTAATTTGTAGTTCTATAAAAAATAACAGAGCATACCAATTTAAGTTAAATTAGTCAATCAAGATGATATTAAAAGAGAATTTTAATCAATAAGAAATAGATATGCCAAAAGCAGAACAGAACTAGAAAATTATGCTGATTAAAGTAAACCATTTCTTAGAACCTCAAAGTCAAAGTTTCATTTGTCTTAAAAAAGAAATTAAAATTAGAAACAACATAATAAAAATAATAATAATTCAGTTGAGTAATATAATTTTATAAGATTAGATCTTAAACAAATTTAGATCTTGATTATTTGGAAGACTTTTAGAAATACGATAAAAATAATTTGAATCAACTTAGAGATGAAGTTATTCAAAACTCTTGATATCATCTTCACTAGATTTTATTAAGTATAATCTATACATTTTTTATTCTAAATTAATTTAATCTATTATCTTTAAAATTGAAGCATCATTTATAATTATTTATGTAACTACAAAACTAATTTATTTAATTAGATTATATAATATAAATCATTTTAAATTTCCATAAAGTTATAATGCTTCTTAATACCATTATTATAACCATATCAAATAATTGGCTATATTTTATTTTAATTATGTATTCTTTTAGTCAATAAGTCCAGTTGGTTATTAATTTTATTATTCATATTAATAAAACGGTAGAGGTGTACGAGATCTTATTGATAAATTATAGCTTCTTTAACTAATTGGATTTTAATCATTATATTCCATATATATATTTGAAAACTATTCTAAAATTTACTTAATAAATTCTATTTCTTATTAGTGTTCTTCATCATTTGGAATTAAATTCATAGCTTTTACTAAATGTAATTATGCTATAAAACAATAATTATCAATTGTTTGATCACATTCATAAATTCTCTATGTTATATTATGAGTATTACTTTTTTAAGAAATATAATGATTTATTTAATTTGAGATTATAATTCAATTTATTCTGAAAATTGTTAATAAATAACCTTCTATTAATTTTAAAGTTTTTTTATAGTTGTTGCTAAAGAATTTTATTCATTAATATTAACGAGATTATCATCATCACATTCCTATTGTTAAATTTTGAATGATTTAATTTTATGGGAACTCACAATATTAATAAGATCTTCCCTCTTATAATTTCAAATAGTTACTTTTTATTTTTGTTGAAGTAAGGATGTTTAAATACATATGTTTTTTTTCCAATCCTTTATTTTTGAAATCCATATTGGTTCAATTATCTGAGAAGAAATAGACTATCATTACCTTGAGAAACTTAAAAAATTAGATTATTTGTAATGAACACTTAAGACTGTTTTAACCAATTTGTCAATATCATTAATTAAAATAGCATCTCCATCTTCATTCCAATTAATGGTATCACTTAGTTCATTCTAAATAATGATTAAAAGTTACCTCCAAAATATTAAATAGTTTACTAACAAACTTTGGACATTTCTTCTAAATCATTAGCAAAAGAATTTAATATTAATTAAATAATACATTATATTAATAGTTTCTAAGTATAATGGATATTGACTTATTCAAAATTTATGGTCTAAATTCTAATCCAAACACATCTTCAAAGAAAGGAATTTCATCTCATTGAAATGTAGATTAATTTTTATTCTTAATTAGATTAATCTAAATTAATTATGATATAGTTTCTAAAAAACTCTTAATTAATAATTAAATTATATATAAAATACATTTTAGAATTTTAAGCAATAATGTTCAAATTAAGCCAAAACAGAACTAAAATTAGTTTTTATACTTACATCTCTTTATTTTAGCTTCATATTATTAATTTATTGAACTTGTGCCTTATATTTTCTACCATCTATTTATAGTCTTCCAATTTCTTACAATTCCTTTTGCTACTTCTCAATAAATTACTATAACTTTTTTTATTACTAATTCTAAATTTCTTACATTTTAATTGGCTATTATGTTTTTTCCTCACTCATCATAATTACCCCCACCATATAATCATTTAATTTTTTTCTTAAATTTAGATTATCTTATAAAATATCAAGAATTTTGGATAAAATCTCATAGCTTTCATCACTAGAATTAATCTTAAATCCCAATAATTCATTTTTAATATATGATAATTTCTCATTACTTTATTTAATAATATTTGCCATTCCAGATAATTAATTAGTCTTTTTAGCTATTTCAGCTATGTTACAATCACACATTTCTCTAAAGAAATGAGTTATCTTCTCCATAAACTTCTCCAAATCAACTTTATTCTATTCTAAAAACTTTTTCTTTAATGTAATTTTTCTATCAGTTTCTACAATCCTTAATAAAGAAATAAGATTCTATAAATCCTTTGCTTTTTCTCTCTATTTACCTAATTCTTCTTATTTTCTTAACTTAGTTTCTTCTGATTAATTCTATCTTTTTAATAAATTATTCTTAATATTATCATTTGCTTAAAATAATTCTTTAATTCTCTTTTATTCTTTAATTTTCAATTCATGTTCAGCAGATTTACCTTAATCACTTCTTTCTAATTTTCTAACTTACATATCAACCTCTTCTCTTTAATTATTCAATTCGTTTTCTTTAGCAAATATATCAACTAAATTCATAATCACTTAAAAATTTACATAATTATTATTTTATACTCTGCAAATCTTTTTCTAATTATAGTATTTCTTCTTCAGTCTATTTTAAAGTATTCTCTTAAGAATTAGATTATCCAGTAGCTGATTAAATTTAAGTTTAAATATTTTTTAGTAATTAATCTTCACCCATAGTTTTTTCAACAATAGCAGGCTATTTGGCTGATAAACTCTATTACTCATTTAATTTTTATTATAATTTCATAATTTCTTCTTAAGCTTCTTTCAATTACATATTGACAACCTAATTTTCTTACTCCTTTGTTATATTGTCAATATTAAATAAATAACCTAGATTATTTTTCCCATATACTATCTTCACTTCTCTTGCATTGTCCCAAGGTGTTTGAATCACCTATTAAGGTGAAGAATGATCTCCATCTCCCAAACCAAGTTAATTATTTGAATTATCACCCCAAGCAAAAAGACTTCCTTTTTTTGTTATTGCATAAGAGGAATCCCCTCCAGCATAGATTTAAACGACAGGAGACTTTTTGAAAAATTCTACCTCTTTTGGCAATGAAACAGGATCTAAGTCATTCTATCCTAGTTATCCTGCCTCATTTCTTCCCCAACTATAAACAACGCCATTTACATCTAATGCCAAAATATGATTATTTCCTGAACAAATTTACATAATTTTTGTTTGAAAAGAAATAATGCCAGGTCTAGAAGCTTCAGCTTAAGTAGCACATGTTCGACCCAACTCTTCACAATTATTACCCCAAGAATATACTTATCCTGATGCTTTTTAAAGATATATAGATATATATTTTATACTTGATAATAGAAACGTGTTAGCAATTGTTGTGCACATATTCAAAATGTATACTCCTTTTGGACAAAGATTATAAGGAGCAATCACACCATTATTTTCAGAATTCTCATCATATAGTTTTATTGTTTAGGTTTCATAAATCTAAGTGGCTCCAACTTTATTTGCCATAACAAAAAAGTGTTATTATTATTATTATTAATCCTATTAAGAAGAAACATAAAATCACAAATTAAATCATTAAAAAATTATTTGTACTTATTCCTATTCTCCTCTTTAATTTCTATTATTGTATCTTCAATTTAATATTGATAAATAACTTGAAATAGAAATTACATCACTCAATTAAAGTTGACATTATATTAAATGATCATATTTTACATAAGATATGTGTTATTAAAAGTGAATTATTAAAATGAAAATTATGAGATTTTTATTTGTTGATAATAATATTCATATTCTTCTATTTGTTATATTATTGACTTTTTAACTAAGATTACTCAAAATTGAATCAAAATTCTTATTATAACAATGATTGAAATTGTTAAATTTTTTTGTATTTTTAAAAAGGAATTATAATTATTATCATTAATAATTGCCTTTCTTTTTATTATTGAGAATGTTCCAATTTCTCTATAGAAAATTAAAAAGTCTAAATTTGCCTATTCATATATGTATCATTTTGGAGAAAGAACTATGTCTAAAATAATCTGGAGGTTAAAGTAGGATTTATCCTATATCATATAAATCTAGATAGTTATCCATCATTTTTTTTTAATGGTTTACAATTCTTACTTAAGATCAATTTAAATTTATTAGATTTTCTTTATTTTAATTTCTTTTTTTAATATATAGAATCCTATCGAGGAAGTAATTTAACAAATTTATTATTTAATTTAAGTGCTTTAACTTTTATGATATACTAGCATTTAAATGTTAATATTTAAAAAGGATGACATTATCATTTAATTATGATCAAAGTTCTTTCAATAATCTTGAAATATTCTAATAATAATGTCAAATAAGAAATATTATAAAATGTCACACTATAAACCATTAATAATTGTAAATTACATTTTGTAATTTAATTCAGATAAATAATTATGAACGATAATAATATTAGTGATCCTTTCACTTAAGCAAACATTTAAAAGGCTGATGCATTTTTGGCTCAATTTATTGATATAAAATAACTACTTCCTATAAAGGAAGGATTAACAAAAGAGATGATTGAATACTTTAATTAGTTTAAATTCTCAACTTAAATGTAGATTGGACCCTTAAGTTATCAAGAGAGATAAAAAAAAATTTAAAAATATAGACAAAAAAGAAATACTAGATAGTTTTGTAAAAAGAACCATTATGATTACAGAACAAAAAAGGCAAAATCTCGTTAAAGAGAGAAAGGGAGATTTGTTTCAAACAAAAAATGAAATTTTATAACAATGTATTCATCAATTACCACATCTTAATTAATTTATATATAAAATGAGTATAAAGGGCAAGTTATTTTTATCATAAAAAGTTGACTTAGGGTATAAGTCTTATGAAGACAGTATACATCCTACAACCACTATAGCTGATACTGGTAGTGATTTTTAATTTGAAAGTAAAATCTAATAGAGTACTAATAAATCTATTTAAATGAAACCTTATTCATTACATTCAATTAGAAATATTTTTGATGGTAATATAATTATTGTTATATAGAGGTTAAAAATGAAGAAAGGAAGAAATATAAAGATAGTTAAATTGGACCCAAATATGAGGATGATAAAAAAGATAAGGTTGTAAAATGGTCTATTGTTGGTAAAGCTGAACAATTCTTGGCAGTCAGAAATAAGAATAGATAGAGAGTTGTAATAAAATAAAGAAAATAAGAAGGAGATGATTCATTTTCTGATGATGTTCCATCTATTAAACCTTAAGTCTTATAACAATCTTAATCATAAATGTCTGGAATGGGTTAATCAAAGAAAATTCCAAAGAAACCCAGAGGGGAATTTAAAATGTTACCAAGATAAGATGCATTAGTTAAATTAGTTGAAGCTAAACACAGAATTGAAAATGATAAAATAGATAACATTAAACAAGAACTCAAACTTCCTCTTTATATTAGAAATGCTATTACAAGAGATAGAAGAATTTTTGAATCATTTGATTAATTGAAAGAGAAGTGGGAATCTGTTAATAATAAAATTGCATCAAATTGTTAAAGATCTCCTACTGAAACTATATTGATTAGATCAGATAATTATAGAGATAGAAATATTAAATTAAATATTATTGAATCTTAGAAAAATGAGGATGAAAAAAATAATGATAGATTATGGTATCTTAGATTAAGATGGTATGATTGTAAGAATGATAGACCTCCATTTTCATTAATAACTACATAAAGACCTAAAAGTATTCCCATGACTAATAGATTAATTAATAGATATGTAAAAGATTACAATGCTGAACATTTAAATTAATAATAAAATTTTGTATTGGCAGATATATAGAGTAATTTCAACACAAAAGTTATTGATAATCCATATTAATAGGTTGAAAAAGTTATACCAAATAGTATGAATATTTAAAAAATTTAGCAAAAAATTTCAATTTGTATAGTAAAAAATTAAACTAATAATTTGATGAAAAAATAAAGAATAAATCAAAAAAGAAATATGTAGATACAAATGAATATTTGGAACTTATAGGTGAAAATATTTATAAAAAAGAATTAAATTTTATAATGAAAGAATAATAATAGGAATACTAATATTTTGAAGAAAAACAAGATGAAGAAGAAGTATATGTTGATAATTGGAATAATTAATAATTATCTAAAATGAGTTAATAATTAATATAACATATCTGAATCTACAAATTCTTTACAATAAATGACTTAATTAATTTATTTAAAAATTATATTATATAATCAATTTAGTATTAATAGTTATTGTAAACTATAAAAAAACTATTTATTATTTAATGATTAAAAAATCTTTAATTTTCAATATGAAAGATTCCTTAAAAATATATATAGCTAATTCAATTTTATCATATATTATAAATCAATCTATTGTCTTAACAATTTTAGAAGAACTACTGCTAATCCAATCAGGAATTAACTTTTTAATTTCATCATTAGTCATTTTATTAGTTTCAACTAATGATAATTATTAAAAATAACTTACAATTACTAAACTCAAACAATTCTTAAATTTTGAAGTTATAGATTTCTTGAAGTTATTTCATTTAATGTATATCTCTTAATTAATCAAAATAGGGATGACATAATGCTTGAATTGGAGTAAATCTTGTTTTTGGACAATATACAAGTAATTTAGAAACTAGATCAGTAGCCAAATTATCATTTGTTTTTATCACCTAAATATTAAAATTAAATACTCTTTTCCAATCCCTTGCTTTAATTTATGGAAATTTATATTATTACATATCATATTCTGAATTCATACTTAGTACTTGAGTCTTGTTTGGAGTTCCAAGTACTTTAATGATCTCAATTAACTAATCAACAGCACTATCACCTAAAAATAGAGGTTCTCCATTAAATAACTCAGCTATCACACAACCAACTGACCAAACATCAATTTAAGTATCATAATTCACAGCTCCAAATATTAATTCTGGAGCCCTGTAACATCTTGAACAAATGTAAGAAATATTTGATTCTGTTTTTACAAGTTTTTTTGCACTCCCAAAATCACATAGTTAAAGTTTATGATGATTAGGATTAACTAAAATATTATGAGGCTTTATATCTCTATGACATATGGATAACAATGATATATAACTAAATATTTTATAATTTCTTACTAAATTGATCTTAGCAGTTAATATGAATAAATTTTCACTAATATTTCAGGCATTCTGGCCTATGCTTATCTAAATGATTTATTGTAAGAATATAATGATTCTGGAAAATAATCCATAACTACATTCAAATATGTCTCATCTTTATTATCTGAAGGTGTGAAATAAGCATACTTTAGTTTAACTACATTAGGATGATTTAATTCTTAAAGTATTTATAACTCTCTGTTTTTGTATCTTTTATCCTACAATACTTTCTTAATTGCCACTATTTCTCCTGTTTCATTTACTTTTGACTATAAATCTTTATTTATTATATACTTTATAGACTGTACCAAACGACCCACTGCCAATGGCTTTAATATTTTAGTAAGTATAAGTTGAATAATCTTGTCTAGTTGTCTTTGAAGGGATCAATAATGATTTAGTATTGATTTTATCTATTCCTTAAGGTTTCTAATATTTTTTAACAGCTTCAGATATTGGTTTAGTTTAGTTCTCATTTTTTAAACATTATTGATATTAAGTATTAAAATCTTTCATTATAGGTTTTTTAGCTGGTTTATTAAAAGATATAAGTTTATTGCGAAGCTTGAAATTGGATATATCTTAGAATGTCTGAATATCTTATTCTACTTCATCATAATCATTTGTCTCAGTTTGAACCCTTCTAGATAAGTTTGAATCACTAGGCTATGTGTTATAGTTATTATTAATACTTTTCCAATAACATTGGTTTATTTTTTTGCACTTTTTGATGCACTTTAATACATACAATTTAACGATTTAATTTTTAAACAAAATAATAATAAAATTTTAATTAAGGAAATATATTTCTTTGTAAAATAGTTTAATCATTATATACTTAGAAACTAAGTCCTTTTTGATTAAGACAATACTGATAATTGTTCTAAGAATTTCAATTCACCTATTTATTTCAATTTATATAAATTACACAGAAAAATTTTAAAAAGATAATTCAAAACATATATAATCATTTTATTCATTCTTACAAGCTCTCTGATCTTGAAGAAAATATTCTATTTACCAATTTAATTTGAGCCTTTTAATTTATAAATGATTTCGAAGAATATTTTCTTGTTGGTTGTGTTGGTTATTTATTTTATTATCCAAAAGGATCTTTCACCTTTATTATATATTTTTTGCCTTCTAAACTATTAGAAATTTTGTTTATTCCAGAATTATTCTCCATTTATTGAGTTGTTTAACTACTATATTCTTTAAGAGTTTGCTTTCTAATGTGGAAACTAGATTTTTAATTTTGAACATTAAAAGAATTGATTGAATGCTTTATATTCAAATCCAAAATCTTAGGAATATTACTACTACTAAGTTCTTGAGAATCTTATGTGCTTAATCTAGTACTTTGCTTAGTACTTTATTTTGTGCTTTGATGACTATATATATTATCTTTTTTGTAATCATTCATTTAATGAATAGTAGTTTTTCTGCAAAGCACATTTTTTTGAAGTATTTTTGTTTTTGATAATATTGATTTTATAGCTTCTAGATTTTATTAAGGTAAAGAGTTTTCCCTCTTTCTTTTTTAAAAGTGTTCATTCATTTTCCCAATCTATGGATTAAAGAATTAAGCGGTCTTTTGAAAACCTTCTTATTTTCCAAAACTCTATTCAAAAATTTTCATTTCAAATTTAATATTGATATATGATTAACAATAAATAAATATATATAATTCTCAATTTCATGAAAAATTTAAAATGTTATAAATTTAATCTTAAATTATTTAACATTATTTAGTTTTACTTTACCCATTATTAATATGAAATTACTCTATGATACTATATAATAACATTCATCCCACTTATTCTATCTTTTTCCAAATTAATAATTTTTCCACCTATCAACAATATCATTTGATAATTATGATATATATTTAGTGACTTAAATACTAAAAATTTTTGCATCTTTAATTCTCTTTTACTTAAAATAGAAGTTTGTGATTGCGTTTTAAATATTATAATTTAAATGACTTTAATATAATGTAAAACTTTTATAATATATATTTCAAAATCCTCTATCAGTTTCATTGTCTTGAGAATAACAACAGAAAATCTTATGAAATATTGAGTTCCCACTTGATTGAGATTTTTAATTTTTTTTATCTTATTATTCTTACTACTTTTTTTATTTAAAAAAGTTATCATAATAACTAGCAATATCTTAACTATTATTAGTTTTTTCTTCTATATCTTCAGGCTAGATTTTATGTTTTTCAATTGATTAACTCTTTTTCTATTCAATTGATTAAGATTTAGGTATATGTTCTGGAGGCAATTCAGTTACTTTTTCCAAATCCTTAAATTCCCCTTTTAAATTTAATAATAAAAAATCAATCTTCTTAACCCATTCATCTCTAATTTCTAATGAAGTTGTTCTAAACTTAAATGTTTTTTCATCTTTAGTGTAAATCTAATAAATTAAAATTTTCTTACATGGAAGTCATTATCCTTTCCAATTACATTTTTTATAGAAATTAACAATATATAATTTTCAGAGTCATTTTTCTCCTATTATGCCCAAATTAATGAATCTTTCTTTAAATATACAATTCTTTTAAACCATTTATCCTTTCTAATTCTTCTGCTAATTTTTACTTCCATTTTTTCTTGTAATAAAACATCTTCTAATTTCATACCTAAATCTTAATCCTCATTTTCAATTTACTAAGGAGTAAGTGTAGCTTTATATTCCTTTATAATTCTGATAGTTTTAAACCATGATTGAATCTCTGTTATTGATTCAGAAAAAAAATGATATTGACGTTCCTTATGTCGAAATTTAAAACCATAAGTCACACTATGGCTGAATTATTTCAAAAAGGCTAAGTTTCTATCAACATTCATCAATTCAAAATCTTCAATTTGATTTGCCTTTAATTCCCCTTTAAAGCTGCTTTAATCATTTCTAAATTCATATGCAAAATAGTATAGATGATCTAATTTAAAGGGATCTGGGAGATCTGATTAACTGGGCCCTTAAATTTTAGCATCATCACCTAAAAGAGAAATAGAGGAAATAATAATAAACCATCTCCTCTTAGCTTTTGTAAGTGAAGCAATTTTTCCCTTTTTATACAAAAATCCACATTTCACAAATTAATCAAATTTTTGTGAATCAAACTTATCAAGATATGCATATAATCCTTTTGATACCATAACTTCTTCATTCTTTATTTCATTTTCTTAAAACTTATCCTATATTTGTTATTTCTCCTTGTCTATCATAATTGATGCTTTTGTTTCAGAATCTATATCTTTCCAAAATGCCTTCTGAGACAATTTTAAGCTTTCTGACCCTTTAGAATGGAAACTGTTTTTTGAATCTTAGACTGATCCTGAATTTTACTAATTTAAAAGTTTTTCTTAAAGATATGCAATAGTAGAAGTCCATAATTCTCTAGCACTACTTGATTCTGCTCTCAATAACATTTATCTATCTTTTAATTCAAGAACAAATTCCCTTTCAGATCCTTTGATTATACCAATTGACTTAATTGAATCTATAGGGATTACACCTTAAATAAATTTCTTAAATAATGTACCTTTTGGTTTAACATCTTTACTCAAAATTTTTTTCTTTGAATAAACTAAATATTACCCTTTATCTCTGACAGCAAAATGTCGTTTTTGGAATCCTTTTAGCATAGAAGGACTTTTTTTTTCTAAATTTCCTTAAAGTTATAATGCTTATTGATATTGTAAATCCATTTAATATATAAATTATTAAAAAATCAAATAAAAAGTTGCTTATAGATATGCATTAAATATATTAATAATTACTTTATCATTACAATTTTGTTTAAGATATATATTTAATGGAATGTATTATATAAATAAATAGAATGTATTATATAAATAAATCCTTGATTAATTATTATTTTATTATTATTCCTTATAGTAAAATATGGAAACAGTTACTTAATAGATAAAACATTTGAATTAAAAAAACCAAGAACTTGCTGCTCTTGAAAATCGATTGATTTAATTAAAACAATAACTTAATTTACAAGAAGCTAACAATAATATTGTATAGGCAAAAGTAGACAAGATTGTGTATGCTAAGAAATAGAAATTTGAAGATTAAATGGAAGTATAGATTGATGACAATTAAATAGCTTAGTAAAATAATGGAGGCAAACAATATAAATGATAATGGAATACATAATTTCATCAGATAAAATAAATAATAATAATAAGAGGAAACAAAGAAAATGAAATAAGATATGTTAGATGAGAAATGCTTGAAATCTGCATTAGTGAAATAATAATTGGCATTATAGATGTATTAAAATAAAAAGAAAAGAGAAGAAGAACTTTTAGAGAAATAACAATAATATGCAAGAGTAATTTGTTTTTTTTAATGTGATAGATCTCAGAATGGGAATTTAATATGAAACAAGATTTGGAATAAAAGAAAGCAGAGAAAATAGAAAGAATTAGATAAGAATAAAATTTATTTAAAGAATAAATTGCAAAACGATTGTAAGAGTAATAAACATTATGTGATTAGATGAGTAATGAAGAATAAAGATTGCTTAAGTAAATTTTTTGATTTAATTAATTTAAGTAAATTAAAAGATTCTCAAGTACATGGAACTACTTTAAAAAATGATTTAATGACTGCATTAAATTTAAGCATCAAAGAATATAATAATATATCAGGTTTAAGACCATAAAATTCTAAGTCTCAAAGTTTATAGAAATTAACTAAAGAATCATAAAATAGTCCTTATGCCTAATTGCCAACAATGTTGCAAATGAAAGTAAGTGGATAATTAAGTAATTACTTAAATAGTAATTCATCATTTCGTGAATCTTTAATGAAAGAATATCAATTTTCACTACCTTCTTTATGTAAACCATCTTTTAATGAATAATAACAATAAGTAGATCGATTATATCAATCAAAAACATTAAAGAATAGCAAATAAGATTTATAATCTATTCTCAACTATTGTGATAATAAAAGCAAATCTTCTTAAACTAAAAAGAAAGCTAGAATGAATTAAAGTGATATTCTATCTTCAGATAATCATTCTATTTCCTCAAAATAAAATCGTAAAATATCTCAATAACAATCAATTAGCAAATAATAATCAAAAGATTTGGATAAAAGCACTTAAAATTAATAATAATGATATATTGTATTGAATATTAATTAATATTATAATATCACTATATAATAATGGAAATTAAAATTACGTATTAAATAAATAAATTATGTAATCTGTAATTGGATCAATTGATTCTTCAACAACAGGTACTAGATTCACTATTTGCAATTTGAATGGTGAATAACTAAGTTATCATTATATAACTCATAAACAAATTACTCCTCATCAAGGATGGTTAGAACATGATCCAATAGAGATATTAAATAATACAATTGAATGTATTAAATAAGCATATAAGAAAATGAATGGACTACATAAATTAGTAACAATTGGAGTAACAAATTAAAGAGAAACTGTTGTTGCATGGAATAAAAATACTGCAATACCATATATGAATGCAATTGTATGGAGTGATACAAGAACACATGATATTTGCTAAGAATATTTAAATAAATATCCAAAGAATTATTTTTAATAAAAAACTGGATTGCCAATTAATACATATTTTAGTTCATATAAATTATAATGGATGATTTAAAATAATCAAACTCTTAAAGATGATATTAATTAAGGTAATGTTTTATTTGGAACTATTGATTGTTGGTTAGTATGGAATTTGACAAGGGAATAAAATCATTTAACAGATGTAACAAATGCATCAAGAACTAATTTAATGAATTTACATACTCTTTAATGGGATGATGAATTATTAAAGTAAGAATTTATATTTATATATATTAAGTTAATTTAACATTTCTAAAGGTTGTTTACCTCAAATTAAAGCATCTAATAGTAATTTTGGTACATTAAAAATTGATGAATATGAAGGAGTACCTATTAATTGTGTTTTGGGTGATTAATAAGCAGCAGCTATTGGTCATGCATTATTTCATGAAGGAGATTGCAAGAATACACAAGGAAGTGGTCTTTTTATTATGGCAAACATTGGATAAGAAATTAAAATCTCAGAATATGGTTTATTAACTACAGTCTTATATTAAAAAGAAAATGAGAAACCTATTTATGCTTTTGAAGGTGCTGTTGAAAGTGGAGGTTAATTATTTAATTGGGCAAAAGATAAATTATAATGGTTTGATAATTGGGAATAATTGAGTTAAAGTACAGTAAATACAGAAGATAATGGAGGAGTATATATAGTACCAGCTTTTAGTGGATTATTTACACCATTTTGGAATTTTGATGCAACAGGAACAATAATTGGTTTAAGTTATTACACTACAAAAGATCATCTAAGAAGAGCTATATTAGAATCAGTTTGTTATAGAACAAAAGATGTAATAAAAGCTATGGAACTATCAGGAATTAAGATTAATAAGATTCATGTAGATGGAGGATTAACTAAGAATAAGGAATTAATGTAATTGTAAGCAGATATTACATAAAAGAAATTAGTTTATCCAGAAATAATTGAATCTACTGCTTCAGGAGCTGCAATGTTTGCTGGAGTAGGATTGAAATTATTAACAGAATAAGAGATTATTTAGAATATGAAGGTCTAATAGATTTATGAAGGTAAAAAGTCATATGATAAACAATATAAATAATGGGAATTAGCAGTTAATTGTGCATTGTAATTTAAAAAGATTGAATGAATATTGTCTATTTGATATTGTAATATGTAATGTATCAGGCTACGAGTATGCATGCACCACCAACTGCTTTAATTCTTCTTTCTGCGGTTTTGCTAAAGAATTTGGCTTTAACAACAACAGGTTAATTTGGAAGTCTACCCTTTCCAAGAACTTTAAAATAGCCAGCCTTTGTAACATCAATCACAGCTGCTTTATCTTTTGAACTAGCATATTTTTTTCTGGTTTCATCTGTGACAAGTGACCATAATTTGTCAATATTTACAACTGGTTTATGAAGAGTATTCTTCTTTAAATGAAAATGTCTCATTCCAGTCTAAAGAATAAATAAAGATGAGTACTTTTTAGAAATAACCTGGATGATATTTATTGAAATTGATGCGATGATGTGTTAAACCTCCTGAAACACCTCTACCACTTGGATGTTTTCTGTGTTTACCAACTCTACCATATCCATGACATACATGTCCTCTCATTTTACGACATTTTCTCAATCTGCTGACCATTACTTTTTTATTTTAAATAAAAAGATTTTAATATGTGATTAATGTACTCATCCCATTAAATATTAAATTAACATTCAAATATATATATATTTATAAATTAAATGCTTTTTTAATGATGATTGAATTTATATTACAGAAAAATCTTGATTGAAATACATTCGCCACTCTGATTACATTTTTTTTAATAAAACACAAAACGACCCTTATTTATATATTTACAAAACTGATAATTATTATCCACATTAAAATTATTTATGTAAAAAATAGCAATTGTGATTCTTAATACTAAAATCAATCAAAAGGTCTTCGATTTTTATTACAACCCAAATGTCTTCCTTATTTGTGCAGATGGTGGTGCTAACAGACTTTATGAATATAAAAAAGAAATTATTCCTAAATGCATTATAGGTGACCTTGACAGTCTCAAACCTGAAATCCAAGACTATTATTAATAATAAAATTGTTCTATCGTTAAAATTGATGACTAAGACACATCAGATTTTGAAAAAGCATTATCTTATATATAATAATAAGAAGGATTTCAACGTATCATCATCATAGGTGGTTTAACAGAGAGATTTGATTAAACAATTAATTCCTTACACACTTTGGTTAAATTTAATTTTACTGGTGAACTAATAAGTGATTACTCTATTGTTCGATATTTTAATCAAGGAATTCATACTTTCTAATTCTCTGAAATTGAATAATCTAAAGGAATTAGTTTATTTCCATAAGGAACTTAAGCCAGAATCAATACAAAAGGATTAAAATGGAATGTGACATAAAATAATCCCCTTATACTAGGTAAATTCTTAAGTACATCCAATGAGGCTATTGAAAAGTAACTTGAATTTGATTCCCTTGATAACTTTTTCTTTGTGACTTAATTGAAAGATGAATACATCTGATATATTTATTCACATTAATAATTAACTAAACAGACTATGCATGTAATTCTGCATTTTTTAAAATATATAATTTTTTCATTTTTCAAATAATTTTTTTAATTAAAAATTCATTATCTTAAATGGAATTAGTTTTAAGATGATCTTGTATTATTTTTTCCCTTTTTTTGAATTCAATACATTATTGAAATCCATATAAATCTTTAAAAATTAAATTGAATGAATTTAAAATTCTTATAAAGTCTTAGTTTATTAATATTTAATTTTTTATGAGATAATCAAAAATATGTTAACAACCAGAATGTAAAAGAATTCTTAATTCTCCTGATGAGAAAGGACCAAGAATTAGGTGTAAAGATTGTCATACTAAAAGTTTTGAGAAAAGCATAACTGATATTTAATAGAAAAAGGTTGAATTATTAATAAAGAAAGAATAATTATAGAAAGAATTTCAAGACTATTATAAAGAAAATAAATAAAAATGGGATGCAGGTGTAGAATAAAGTTTAAATGCTATTAAAATCGGTTTATAAAATGAAAAATATTAAAAATTACAACATACTATTAATATTAGGAAACGTACTTTGGCAAAATAATAAGAAGAATTAGATGATCATAAAAAATTAATTGATAAATTATAATTGTTTTCTAAATCTATTTAAGAGAAATATTATAATTTGAAGCAAAGTCTTTAAAAAAAATAAAATGAGATTTAAAAGAAAGAACAATAGTATAAATTTAGATAATATATAATTTTTGCTTAGTTGCCATTTCTATTTGATAATCATATGATTTACAATTAGTATAAAATAAATGAAGAAATTTAAGAAATTGTTTATGATACAATTTATGAACTTGTATAACCAATGCGTGATGATTTATTAATAAGCACTAGTTTTTTTAACATAGATTATGAGTAGTTGAGATTGTCAACAACAAAAATTAATACTAAAAAAGGTGAGATATGTTTAACTTTAAAGAAAAGTCCAGTTTAATGGAAAGAATACTTTCATGATAATGCAGAATATTATGAAAATTTTATTACCTCAATAATTAAAGTATATAAATTAATATACTATATGGGAAATCTGTTTAATGTAGTATTGCCTTATGTAATTTATATTGATAATCATGGTTATCCATAATTTCTGGAATATCAAATATTTACATATAAAAGATCTTCAAATTTAATGGATCTTAAGGAATCATCACTTAGTTAGATGTAGATTAACATTTATTATTTAAAATATTACTTTAGATTGGATATATAAGATAAACTTTATTCATTTTTTGATATAATTGATTTGCTTTAATCTTATTATGAAAAATTTGGGTTTAAATAATATGATATATTCAAAAATTTAATTTAAGATTACATTCCATCAATTAAAAATCCAATTATTAAATAATTATATTCTGATTAATAGAAACGGAAACCTATTCCTATAAAATTAGTTTAAACTTAATGTCCTAAATTTCTACTTTAGTATCAAATTTCAGAGTAATAAATTAGCAACAAAATGGAAAATTCTTTTGAATTCTCAGATGTAGAATTTATCCAATGATATGATTTTAATAATTTAATTATTAATTATAATAATAATACAGTTATACTTTTTTCAAATATTCAATAAGTTACAATAAAATTTATTAATTTTTAAGAATCATTCATCAATAAATTTAAGATTTAATATACTACAATCATCACCTTTAACTCCAACAATGCATTCACAAATTCCATTCTTACAAATACCATTATTAGAACAATCATTTAAACAAAATATTGTTGAACAATCTTCACCTCCCCTTTTATCATCTTATTTACATCTACATTAAGGTGTTGGATAATATTAAATACAAGATCCTTAATTTGAACAATCATTTAAACATTTTTCATATTAACTACAATCATCACCATTATATCCATCATCACATTTACATTTTCCATATTAACAAGTACCATGTCCTTAACAATGTACACATATTCTCTCAAATAATAAATCATTAAAACATATACTACCAGGACATTGAAAATCTGGACTTTAACAATTATAACCATGATAATCATCTTAACAAACATAAATACCATATTATTAACTCTTTGCATTTTATAAGTCATTTTAACTATAAAGGATACTAGTTGAATTTAATAGAAATGTTTTGTTATCATAAACAATCATTTATTTAAATGTAGATCCAAAATTTAATTATTCATAATTATTATACCATTAATAATCATAATAAAAAAAATATGTATTATCTGCAAAAAATCCTACTATCTTTATTTCTGGTAAATATTATCCAATTGGAGTATTTATAAATTTAATCATTGAATCAACTGTTGTTTCTTACCAAATCAATTCATCTAAATAATAAATCCATGATTCATTTTGATTAATATTATTAGAATCTCTTCCATAAAATAATTTTATGCAATTACATTCATCTACATAAACAATAACACTATTTTATGAACATTTTGGAATGTTTGAGGATGAACATTAAGAATTATCTTAAAAAGAATAAATAATATATTTATATCCTAAATTCTTAACTTTTTATAGTTGAGGAAAATTAGATGTGAATTAAAATTCTTCCATATTTCCATCCCATAATTCTAATGAAACACTTAATTTTTATATAAAATTATTAGGCAATACTGAAAAGGTTATTTAGTTATTTAAAAGATCTTATATATTATATTTATACAATGTATTTCTTAATTTTGAATCATTTAATCCACCAAAAATATATATAAATTAATCATCTCTAGTTAATGAATAATTTGTAAATTTATTTTTATGTTGCAATAACATAAAAGAATTCCCACAAGTATGAGGCAAAGAATATATCAATATCTATTCATTAAGTACACAAATAAAATAGTTATTACCCTAAGAATTTTCATATAACACACTTTAAATTCCAATCTCAGATGAAATTAAACAAATTGCAAAATAAGAGTCTAATCTAAATATAATTAAATCATTTTATTCGCATTCTCTTTAAATTGAACTCTGAAAGATTTAACATGTTTATATATTTTCTCTCACACTCTCTGATTTCCATGCAATAGTTATTTTTATAATTAATAAAAATATCATTATTTTTTATATTAAAGAATACTCATAAATTGAGCTTAAATTTTAGCAATGAGTTTTTATGATATACTATTTAAAAAATCATTAGAATTATCTAAATTTTAAAGTTTCCAATATTAATCTAATTTGATATAGTTTTATTAATTTTTTTCATTTCTATCACAAATATGTAGTTTTTAATATTTAAGTGATTACATATGAAAAATATAAAGAGGAAATTTAGTATAAAAATTAATTCAATATTCAAGTTTTGTTTTTTTTCATTTTTTCTTATGTTTAACATGGTTTCTCACATTCTGTATGTGTACAATGATGACGTTTAACTACTTATTTACAGCATTTGCATTCTTTTTCTTTGGATTCTCTTTTTTTTCTCTTTTTTTCTTTTTATGAATCAGATTAACTATCTAAAACAAAATCTTCATCTTTTTACATTAGATCTACAAGATTAACTCTAACAGGTAAATCAGCTATTTATATATTATAGTTGATAAATACGTGAATTTTTGACTTTGATAGCATCTAATAATTTAGTGATTTAATCATTTGGCAATCTTTCAAACATTTTAATTAGATCATCACTTACCTTTCTTGAAATTTTGATTTGTCCATTTTCATCATTTAATTTAGTTTTCTTTTTTATTAATTCATCTCCACTTTCAATATTAGTCAAACCTAATTAATTACTTCTCCTTTTATTAATGAAAATTGTACTTATTTTCAAGTTTAGATGAACCTGATTGAAATTCTGATGATTCTTGACTTTCACTCATTTTTAATAAAAATTTATATTTATGAAAATAATTAATATTGTTTACTATTCAATAATATCAATATTAATTTTATAGAAACTAATTTCATAAAATAATTAAATTATTTTGAATAATTAATTGGATCATAAATTTTGAATTAAAATAATATTTATCTAATATTCTTTATGAATACAATTTAAGTAAATCACTATTTTATATATTAATTAACACTAAAAATTATGATTTTTCATAGATGTTATTTCTTAACAAAATCATTTTTTAATAAATCTTGCCTTTATTAATTCTACTCTTAATCGTTTTTATTAATTAATAGAGACATTTGGCATAAATGATTTATAAAACATTTTTATAAATTTATATTCCCTCTTTATATTCAAAACATAACCAAATTCATTAAATATTATAAAATAAAGGCATATTCCTATAATATCAGTTATTCTATATTAATTTAATATAATTACAATAATATTAGACTAACTTAATCATGCTTTTCAAGTGTTTCAATCGAGATTTTAACCCAAATTTCCTTTGCGAATGTGTAATGATCAAAAACGAAATAATATAGCTAAATTACATTAAAAATACTTTATTAAATTCGTATATTGTTGAATATGTAATATTTTCGTATCTTTCATCATTTGGATTTAACACTTTTTAAACCAATTTAGATAATAAAAAATCATATTCTCTAATTCCTCTAGTTAATGCTCCATTAATAAGAAGTTCACATTATTCAAGTTGTATATCATCTTAAAAAGAATATTTTATATATATATACTATCTCTATTGCAAATATTATTATCAAATAAATACAATATTTCATCAATATTAGATTCATAGAATACTGGATATTCTGATGATATTTATTCAAAATAGAATTAAAGAATTATTTAAGCATTTGTATCATTAAAATTATAATCTACTTATTTTTAGCTAGTAAATATTTCTTTAATAGCAGGTAAAACCCAAGCATTTTAAGTATTAAACATAAATTAATTCTTATTAAATAACTCTATATTTTTTAAAGTGTAATAAATTGTAATAACTCCAGCAATACTAATTAAAGTTATTAAAAGTAGATTCAATATTATTTTAATAACTATTTTCTATAAAAATATAAAAACACTTTACTTTCAAACTATATTATTATGAAAGCTATTAAAATTTAATTATTGACTTATTATCTGATTTCTCTAAATGTTTTTTTTCTATATCCAAAATACTTTTCTCATTACCATATCTACTACTACTTTTCCTTCTTAATGTTGTTTATCTAGAATGATGTGATTTGTTTCTTGGGCTGAATTATTCTAAATCTCCATCTATATTATTATTAATAATAATATACATTCATTATTTGTTACATAATAAAACTGATTTATAGAAGTGCTGATTTTTTCTATGATTGCAACCTTCTCCCTATAAGGTATCATTGCTTAAACTCTAAATAAAACCTTTAGAAATGTTAATAAATTATACATTGTATTGTTTCTGTATTTAAAATTGAAATCTAATTAGATATAACAAATTTGATATTTAAAGAATTGTCTATAATATAAGAAATAGTATGAAATTTGAATTGGAAATTTCTTAGAATCCTAATCCTTAATTGAATAGATAATCCATTGAATGAGCTTAAATTTATTAAAATTGTGGAAGCTATGTCATAAATATATAATAGATACCATATATTAACGAAATGTTTCTGATATTCCAAAATCTTCTTTAAACTTTTAAGATGATAACATATTTAAAATATATACATTAACTTAATAAACTGTTTAAATATCTAAACCACTTTCATTAGAATTACTATAAAAATTCTCATAAAGCATTTTCAAAAATTTTGGTTCCAAAAAAACAAAATACATATAATCTCCACATTTTTATGTAACTTTTTATTGATATTCATAAAATTATTCATCTGATTCAAATCCAATAAAATCTCCTTTTGTTAAATCTTAGTAAGTGTAATTTCTATTAAATAATTCTATATCTATTTAAGTATTATAAGATTCTGCTACAATTATTTGATATTCATATAGATAATCCACTAAATTTACCTAAATATTAATTATTATTTTACTGATTATACTATTGTATTTTAGTTTTAAATATATGAAGTAAAGAAGAAACTTAAAAATACAATCAAAATTTGCAATATAAATATTAACCTACTAATAAATTCATATTAAACAATTTATGGATTATATTTTTCTATTTTATTTGTATCCTCCTTTAAAAGATCACTATTACAAGTAATAAAATTGATGTTTTTATACTGATCATTTTAACCAAAATCTTAATTAACTTATACTTCAGGTAACAATACTTTTCCCATTGATTCTCTATTTGAATATAAATCAAATTAATCTTAAAAGAATAATTATAATAAATACCATAAGTCTAAACATATTAATGTCTTGGACTTAATTGTGTATTTGTTGATCTTTTTGTTTATTACTAAAGATATATATTCAATATTTTACAGAAGATATTAATTAACATAATGGAGTTTAGAATGATAAAGTAACGCCACAATTCGATAAATATGACTTTTGATTTTCTTTAATCAACTCTGTTCTAACTATTTTAATCAGAATATATTTAATAGAATGTAATGTCTTCTCTAATTTTAATGTACCTTCAATTCTTAATATTTTATCAATACTTTCTTCAGATTATGTATACTTTAAAAATAATTCCTCTAATTTTACTTATATAAAAAAATACTTATTATTTTAAATTTCTCTTTTTTAATAATCTCTTAATAAATTTTACATCTTCTTATAAATTCACTTTTAACAATTTAATATTTACCAAATTAATTTTTCACAATTAATTATCTTTTAAATAATTCTGTATATATTGCTTATTTATATAATTCTGATAATTTTGATTAAAATTCTTAAACCAATTCATACTTTTATTTTGGTACTCTTAAATTAAATAAAACTTATTTAATTTTTGACTTTTATTTATCTTTAATATTAATAACATCATCAAAATTTAAAAAGTTTTGATAACTTCTTTTAATTTCATCTTATTTTTATAAAATAGAATTCTATCCATTACTTGAACTAAAAGAACCTCTAATCATAGATGGTTATGTATAAAATAATTGAGATAAGTTCTAATCTAAATTTGGAGCATTTAAACTAAAAAATTCTTTATTCTCTTTTGTTAAAAACTTTTCATATTCTGAAAAAACAATAGTTTTTGGAGCCAATATGAATAAACTTAATGATTTTATTCCTATAATATCTTAAAGGAATTATGTACATGAGTCTATTTCCCAATCTTCATTTAATAGTAAATACTATTATTTTGTTTGAATCTATCTAAACATTGCTATATATTCAATTTAATTTGAAGTATAATTATAAATATATTTTAAATATTTGTAGACAGTTATTATATAACCTTAATCATGGATACAAAATGCTTTCTTTCTTTTATATAAATTATAAGATTATCCAGTTTATTAAAAATGATTTATAAATTATTAATGATATTGTTTAAACATTTAAGGCATTAAAATTACAGCTGAACTATTAACTAAAGATTATTTATTGTAATTTAATATTTAAAATGTATTATTTGTACAATTCTTAACAATGCAAGATTAATTAATTTATATTATAAATGTGTTACCAGATATTAAAAACTTTTACTAATAGTAATTAATCGGTTCCTCATCAGAAGACTTTTCATCAATATATTCATCTTTTAAAATTTAATCTAAATTAAGTTAAAAATCTGGTAAAATTTCTAAATCTTACAATTTTAATTTTTTATTTAAAATAAATAATTTAAAGAAAAAGTAATTAAACCATTATCTATTTCTAATGGGTACCTTTTATTTATAATGCAAATTTAGAACTTATTTCTATAATCCTTAAAACTTTTTAATTAATCTACTTATTTTTTATAAAATAAATAGTTCATCAATTAATCTAATTTCTTCATTTAATAAATAATTCCAAAACTATAATTAGTATCCAAAAATATTAATTATTATTTACACTGTTTCTTTAATATATGATTCACATTAAAGTAAATGATCAAATGGTAATTTAGATTTATAAGCTTATTCATTTTTTTGTTTTATTAATCTTGAGATTATTAATTTAATATTCATTATATTTATTTGTTAAAATAGATTTAGCTTATCTTCATTTAATTTATCTATTTAAGTTAAACTTACTGAATATAATTTTAATTTATAACATAATAACTCAATTAATTGGATACTTATGCTTTAATCCTAATTTTTTTGTTACATAGTTTCATAAGAGCATTTTAAGAAGAAATTTGAAATTCTACTAATATTATCATAAATTGAATCTCTATTTATTAATATTTTCTTATTTCCTTTGGAACTTATTTTATATATAAATTTGGAACGATAAAAACAATTTATATTTGAACATAAAGATTAATGCATTTGAACAATACCTCTTAATAATAATAGATATTCAGAATGTTATTTTAAATATTCTATAGTTCTTTAATCAATAATTCTAGTAACACTATAATTATTGATAGACCTGAATATTAAAAATTATCTAATTTTTGAATTTAATTAAATCAAAAGTGTAAATGTTAAAATTACTTACAAACAATAACGATCTTCAAAAAAGTTTATAAAATATGATACTAACAAATTTAAAGCAAGTGCAAATTGTATACATATAATAATTTAAAAATAATTGTTTATTTATTTATTTTAAAAAACAGGTAAGTCTAAATGTATTTAAGTAAATAATAGTAAATACAAGATCACTAATACTATTGGAAATGCTATCTTTAATAACATAGATATTTACATTCAATTGATCGCTTGAATTTATAAATAATTCTAAAAAACTATTAAAAAATATAGTTATAATCTAAATTATGAGCGTTTTGGGGGAATTTATTTTTAAAAAGTTTTTTTTCTAAGAATGATCATAATGTAGAAAGAGTATAAGGGTTATTAAGAACAATAATTATTAAACAATTGCAATGAAATCTAATAATATAAACGCTAAATTTTGAATTTATTCCCAATATGTATTTTAGATTTATAATAAAAATCCATTGATTGACCAAAAATATGGTTATATTAAATATCCAATAATCTATTTAAATATATTATGATTAATTTACTTGGCCATAAACAGTAAAAGCAATGTTGGTCTAAACATTATTTTTCTTCAAATAATATAAAATCATAAACAAAATGATAATGAATGTATTAAAACAAAATATTATTAAAATGTATATTGAATGTAGTATGGAAGAGTTTAACATATATTTACTTACATTCAAAGAGTCTAATATTAAGTATAGCTAATTTTGATCATAATTATCATTATCAGCAATTTTTAGATATCTATTTTTAATAAATAGGTAATACATTTCTAAAAGAGGAGAAGTATTTAGTATTGCTCCAATTGAGAGATAAATAAAACTAGTGTAATATGAAGTATTCATAGATTCCTTTAAATCCATCCATATTTAATAAAACATCATTAATTTATTAATTACATATTCAAATCTAAAATTTTTGAACTAAAAATTAATGGTAATTTTAACTTTGTGTTAAAAGTTTTAACCTTGGATGTTAAGAAAAGATAAGAAATTACATATTATAATAAGTATGAAAATGTTGATATTAAATTTCAGAAATAATTAATTAATATATTTTTAATTATATATATTAAGTTTTAACGATAATAATAATTTTATTTAACATTAACAGAATGATCATCGAAAATCAAAGGTGTTTTGGAAAAGAAATTGTTAATTCATCAATCTATCAGTCGATGGAATCAGGTATAATCATTGAAAAAACAAAAAAACCTTTTTCAATTATTCCCAGGGTATTTGCAATCAGTTTGGATGAGAAAGAAAATAAATTATTTAGAAGAGAATCAGAAAGAATTTAAATAGAAATTGAGAATGAAAAGTCAAAGGAGATTAAAAATCCATAAAAAGTATCATTGTACTCAGATGAAATTATCCAACATTTATTAATAGAAGAGGTAATTAATTAATTACTAATTTATTTAGAATAAATATTAAATAGATTAATATATGACTCCTGAGATGTAACCAAATATAAATATGAAAATGAGAGCAATTCTAGTAGATTGGCTTATTGATGTTCATGCTAAATTTAAGTTAAGAGATGAAACATTATATCTTACTATTTCCTTAATAGATAGATATTTAGCAAAAGAATAAGTGACAAGATTACGTTTACAATTAGTAGGTGTAGCTGCACTCTTCATAGCATGTAAATATGAGGAAATATATCCACCTGCATTAAAAGATTTTGTGTACATTACAGATAATGCTTATGTTAAGAGTGATGTATTGGAAATGGAAGGTTTAATATTGTAAGCTCTGGATTTCAATATTTGTAATCCAACTGTTTACTAATTTTTATCAAAGTTTTCCTCTGAATTAGATCCAAAAAATAAGGCTTTAGCTTAATATATATTGGAGTTAGCATTGGTTGAATACAAATTTATAGTATATAAACCATCTTTAATAACCTAAGCTGCAATATTTTTAGTTAATAAAATTAGGTATTATATAATTTAATCATTAGAATTCCAAACTTTAGAACCTAAAATGAATCTACATTAAAACCTTGTGCTAAAGAATTATGTTAATTATTATAAACAGCAGACCTAAGTACATTGTAAGCTGTAAGAAGAAAATTCAATACTACCAAATTTTATGAAGTTTCAAGGATAAAGGTTGAAAAAGTCAATAAATGAAATAGTTAAATTAGTGATTTTTTCTTAAAATAAAAACTAAAATTTTTATAAATTAATAATCATTTTTTTAATATATTCTCAAATTGAATTTAATTTCATCTATCATTAATTTAGATAACAAAGTAATATTCTTATGGTACCTTTATTTTATTAATTGAAAGGTCAATATTTCTGTATAGGAATGATAAATATTCATGTATATTTAAATGATAAAAAGAATTAATATATAAGAATTCTTTATGTAAAAAAAGGATTAATATTTATTAATGATTTTAATATTAATATAAAACTATCTTATTTTGTTTATTTATATCTAAAATATTTTATAAAAATAACATAATTTTGAGTAACTTGAATATATAATTTGAAAATTAATATTTATAGATATAAATGAAGAAAATTATGATTGATTAATATTTTATTTGATATACTTAAATAGTTTTTCAAAAATATAATAAAATGATGATTTTTCAATATTTAATGAATATAATATAACAACTAGAAAATTATTGATTTTGTTCATATATTTTCTCTAATTACTAAAGAATTTACTGATGCTTGATCTTTCTTATGTTTACTTTATTTTTGTTTGTTTATTTTTGTAATTTTATGGAACATATATTTGCTTTTGATAACTTTAATTTTTTTTTATCTAAATTACTTTTGAAATCTTTAATATTCTTATAAAACAGTTTCAACATTATTAAGTGGAAAGTAATACTAAAATGAAAACACTGAATCAATCTCATCATCATAATATTTGTTATCTATTAATTCATCTAATTAATGAAAACTTTTAAGATGATAATTTTATTCCTTATTTTCCTTTCTAATGTCTTCTTTTATTGGAGCCAATTAAGAAGATGATGCAGAATTTTTAACATCATATGGAAATATAGATTATAAAGACTTTCTTTTTAGTGTTATTGGTAGATCATTATCAGCTTATCTTATACTTAAACGATTTGATTATCTTTTATTAAGATTAAAATTAAGATCTTCTATAGCTATTTATCCTTATTTAAGTTATGGCAAAACATTTCTTTATTAATATTATTGCCCTTATTTATAAATAGAATCTCTTTATTTTTCTTATTCTATATCTAATTAATTTTTAGTATTATCTTACAAGGAATCTTCAGAAGATGTTTCAGATGGAATTGAAACAATTTTCTATGTTTATTCTTGAGAATCTTCATTATCTAAACTCTTATGTAAAATATTCAAATATCTTTTATCAGATCTTTTAAAATTTTATCTTTGTTATTCAGTGTGAAATAATGATTTTTTAATTAAAGCTTCAATATTTGGCTTGTAAAATAGAAAGTGACAATCCCAAATAAGATGGCTTTAACTACATGCATAACATTTAAATTATTCATTTTGATATTTTAACTAAATTTAATCTTTCATTTATTGAAATTTTTAATAATCAATTGCATTATCTTTTATTAAATTAAGAAAATCTTCTCTTGAAATTTTATATAATTAACTGAATGTTACACTATATGCACTACAAAATCTTGCCTAAAAAGATAGAAATTCTAATTCTCCAAAACTTTAACCCTTTGTGAAACTTTTAAGAATCTTACCAGAATTATCATCTATTAATTGTATTTCTCCTTTTTAAATAATATAAACTGATTTATCATCATTATTTTATTATTTATAAATTAATTCTTTAGGAGTGCATTACTAAAATTTAACATGATCAGCAATTAATCTAATGGTTGATTGAGAGAAGTTTTTTCTAAAAAAGTCTGCTTATTTCAAAACTCTTAATTATACATCTTATAAAAGTTCTTATCTCAAATTATTTGATAATTGATTTAAAACCATATCAATTTCATTTTTATTTCCTGTATTTTCCTATTCAAAGAAGTATTTAATATAATTTCTAATCCTACTTTATAATGATATTTAAACTTCATTAAATTACATATAATGATTAATTAATAAAAGTGTTCTTTTATAAACTTATTATTGTGTATCAATGTTACTAAATATCTAACCAATAGAATTAATTGAAAATGCAAATATTCCACTTGCTAAGAACATTAATATAATAGAACAAAGAACTTCATAAATATTTTATCCAGTAACATCTCCATATCCTACTGTAACCATAGTAGCAGTAGCCCAATAAAATGAATATCCATAACAAAATGATATTGGAGCATCAATTAATTTATATTTAATAATCCAAGATTCATTAAATTGATCCAAACTTTTAATACCAACATAATACCAAACACAAGCCATAAAATGTGCAAAATAAAATATCACAATAATTAATTAAGATAAATTAGCTAATTCAATAAGAGTTGATTATGTAGTGAGAGTTTCTTCATAAGTTTTAATTTTCTTTTTTAATTTAATGAAATTAAGTAAGAATTAAGTTAATACAATAATTTCTTTAATAAGATAAGTATCTATTGGTTATTCTCTTATGATGATGATCAGAGTAATTAAATAAATGACATCTTCATACAATTCATATTTGATATAATAAAGAAGGATGAAAAGACGATCCTTCATAATTTAACCTTGATCAATAATGCCAACATTTAATTTAATTATTAAATCAAAAATCATAAAGTAGATTAAAGCTTGTTCAATATTAATAATATCAGTAGAACTTTGAGGAGTAAATGCAATTTTGAAAGGAACCCACCACAATAAAAACATAATTTAAATAATTCTAAAAATTTACCAAATTAAGATAAATTTGCTTGTTGGACTGAAGGTTGGAAGTTTAATTTTAATTGGCTCAAAAAAGATTTATTTTCTCATTTAATCTTAATTTGATTCTCCTAAATAAGTTTCTTTTAGAAAATTTATGAGATTGGTTTTTTCATTTTTAGGATAGATATAACCTATTCTCATTAGTTTATCTTTAACATCTAATAATAATTTGTTCCTATTTATGATTTATTTAATTCTTTTGATTGTTGGTATGTGAGTCATAGTTCGATTCTAAAAAAAAATATGTGGATTACTTGTAAAACTAATGAATTCCGAACATTAATCCCATTTATTGAAGGCTATTATTAAGATTCTTTTAATTGATTATCAGAATTTGATTCCCAAAGTTGTAATTAAGATGTATCTGTATATTTGTTTGGGACAGGGTTTTAATCTAGAAAAATAGATTATGGCTTAAATTTATCTTGGAATCTATCAGAGAGTCTTGCAGATGCTTAAAGATAGAGATGATTGAACCTTACTGAAGTGAAAGGTGATAATCTTCAGAAAATTGGTCTTCCATTTAAATATATTTATATGAATTGCTAATTAACACAAAATTAATTCAGTCAACATAATCAAAATCAATTGCATTAATTACTACTTCTTTATGCTTAGAAACAATATTATCTATTTCGGATTTAATTGAATCTTCATCTGATTATTTAATTTAAAATCTAGCAGTAAAAATTAATTTTTTTTCTTTATATTACCATAATTTAATTTCTTGAGGTTCAAAACCTCGATGATTTAACTAAAAATCATTTATAATTATAATTACATCATGAGAAATAGCAGCTAAAACCTTCTTTCCTGAATATGGTACATACATCAATAATATTTTACTAGTATCTTTAAGTAAAGTAATTGTAGTTGTAAGAATGAGTAAAGAGATAATGATAGAAGCTATGGGATCAGCCATATGAAATTAATAGTAATATATAAGTAATGCAGATATTATACATGCAACACTTCCTAAAGCATCAGCTAGAATATGTAAATATACTCCAGATAAATTATGATTATGATCATGATGATGAGAACAATGATGATGATGTTTTTCTTCTAATTATTCATCTACTTCTTCTGAATGAATATGTCCATGATTATGAAAGAAAAATAATCCAATTACATTAACTAGTAACCCTAAGAATGATACAATTAACATTTTTTCAGGAAGAACTTCTTAAGGAGTAATTACTCTTTCAAAAGATTCTGATATTATTTCAACAACTGCAAATAATAAAAATACACCATTTGCATATCCAGATAATATTTCTACTCTTTCATATCCAAATGTATATGTTGAATTGGCTTTTCTTTTGGCCATAAAACTAGCAAATAATGCTATTGCTAATGCACTAGAATCAATAAGCATATGTAATGAATCTGTAATTAATCCTAAACTATTACTAATCCAACCATATATTAATTCAACAAACATAAATGAAAAATTAAGGGATAGTTGAATCATTAATTTCTTAGAATCTGAATTATTTGATAGATGATTTAAGAATGCTTATAATGATATTTCATCATCACCAACTATTCTATTATTACTCTATATTAAATGTAATTCTTCTTCAGTATTCTCAAAAATGTTTAGAACAGCTAAAATAGAGAGACATACCCACATCACTTAATGATTGAATGGATCAAAAATTTTATCTTTCAATTCGTAAATCAAAAATAAGAGACACATAATAATTCCTGTAAATTTGTTATGTTATTCTTTTGTAATATTGTAGGTTATTTTCTATAAGGCCAATAATAATAAGCCTATCATTAACAAATTGAACATAGGAAATTCCATAATATTAAATCCTTCCTATTCTTCTGAAATTAGAATCTAATGTGTTACAATAATGATACTTCATAGATAGATATTGTGAGAATTATGCCTAAAGCTAATACATATGATAAAATAGTGGAGATCTCATCTTCTTTTTATATTTAGTGTTATTAAATGACTTTTTTAGTTATTTTTTCTATTAGAGTTACTAAAGTAAGTGAAAATAGATTTATATCTGTTCCACAAATGAAAATAATAATAACAAAGAAAAATTGGATCACTTTAATTTTGTTAAGATTCCTAAAAGCCAATTAATCTGCCACGTATGAACTTATTATATAAGAGAATATTACATCAAAAATGAAAACATTATTAGACTATATAATGATGAAACATAATGTATTAGTTTCAAAGTAGCAATACCTAAGATCTTGAATGGATTTGTAAATGTTTTAGTTTTCAATGTAATTATTCTCCAAACAAATAACACTATGAAAGTTATCATCAATAGAGTATTGATTTCAAATATGTTTGGAATCTTCTAAGCATATGTCTCAGATATTGACATTTTGATTGCCTGTTGTATGAAACATTGAATAAATGAATTCATATTTATATTGAATATAAAATGATGAATCTCATCTTCCAGACCATGAGGCTACTTATTTCTTGAACATAATGATGACTTCTGCAAGAATGGCATTCTCTTCATCTCTTTTAGCCTTGGCTTCAGCATAATCAGCTCTCTTGTTTTCCAAGTCTGATTAAGCTTAATCTAAAGCATCTTGTGATTCTTAAAGAATAATCTTTGATTTAGCTTATTGTGCTAAGGCAGCTTAAATTTACTAAATATTAAATTAATATTACAGTAGCCAATCTATCAGCATAAACTTATTTTCTTTCATATTCAACTTTGAGATTTTCTACTTCAGCTTCACTCAATGAAACCCAACCAGCTAATTCCCATGATGCATTGATTTCATTAACTTCAAGAGCTTCAAGTGAGGCTGCAAGGTTAACTTCAAGTGATTCCAAAACAGCCAAAACTCTTTCTGCTAATGTAGCTCCTCTGCTTACTGAACCATCTTCTTATTTGTTGGCTAATTAGAGGAATGATTATAATTCTTATTCTTAGAATGTATTGCTATATTGCTTTAATTTGTCAGCAACACTTTGAACTTAAACTAATTCAAAAGAGTCTCCATTGACAATATATCCAGCAACATCTTATTTAAGTAATCTTACAACTTCAAGAGCTTCTCTGTTTTATTTGATTGATCTAACAAAGAGTTGATTGCTAAGACATTATTCATCAAGAAGAACTTAGATCTTTCTATTAATTTCATCTTATCTTTATTCATTCCATGCAAGATAATTCTTTGTATCATGGAGATCTTATTCAAATTGAGCTCTGTTCTCAATTGATTATTGGAATAATTTTTAATTCAAAGTCTTAATTTTTGTAAATTACTCTATTGTTCTATAATTAGTAAACATAAATACTATGCGCCAATCCATTCATCTGTTTCATTCTTTTAATCTGCTGCAAATTGAGCATCTTTATTTGATTGAATTAAATCATTCAATAAACCAAAGACAGTGTCAATGGCATCACTTGCTTTTGTTCCTGTTTGAAGGAGAGCAAGAATTTAGTCTTGAGTGGATGTGGCAGATGCCAATGTGACTAACAATACAAGGGCGATTGTAATTTTCATTATTTAATAATAATATATAAAAACGGGTAATTAAAATTAAATAAATATGAAGGATGATGAGGGACTATTTCTTAAGAATCAGTTAAATTAATTATTAATTAAAACTACATAAACACCTCTTTATAGACAGATCCATAGAAATCTTGTATAATAATCAACATAAAAGTGTTGCTTTAAACCTAAAGCAAACTAAATCATCTAATTTCAAATATTTATTATTTTCAATAATCTCAAACTATACCATCTCCTATACAATCATTAATAATTATAAGTATAATTTCAATTTACTTAAACATTATGCTGCTTAAAAGGTTGTAGAAATGAATATAATTTTATGTTATAATATGATACAAATATATAAATTTATATTCATAATGGTTCTATTTTTAAGTTGATAACATTGATGGCCATCCTCATTTATCAAATTATTAATTTACTAATTACTTACTGTTGCTACTATGATTGTTGATAACAATTTTTGATCATTAAAATAGTTGTAGATATAAGACTATGCATCATTATACCATAATCCATCCTTCATAATTAAAAATGGTTTTAAATGGAAATCTATGGAAAGTAATGTTAAATTTTAAATTTCATAATACTCATAATTTGAAAGTATGATTATTTTCTAGATTTATAAGTCTTTTCCATAATTTAAATACTCAATTTAGTACTCTCCTATATAGGATATAAATTTATATATTTAATAAAACAAGCAAATTCTTTGAATTTATTTCTTCCAAATTCATTTTTCAACAATTTAAAAAGAAAATAGATTAAGTATTTATTTATAAGATATTGAATAAACAATTTTTATCATATATTTATTAATTAGACAGACATTTTATGATAAAAGAAGTTTTAAAAAAAAATTAACTTAATAGGATCTTTTATAAATTGACAAGAATTCCTATAAAAGCTGAGTATTATCTGGAACAATACTAAATGTCTAAAAAAATGGTTGCATTTAAATTATGCAAATGCTATTATGCAACCATTAGGATTTCAATACTAAAAGAAATTTAATAATACTCTTGATAAATTTAAATTGAAGACATAATAATCTTGAAATACTCAAATGATGGAATAAGAGAATTTTTCCTGATTATCTTTAAGTTATTCAAAATAAAGAATGAATGCGCCACATAATTATATTAATTTTCTTATTAATTATCAAAATGACTTAATCAATCATTTATAAACTTTTTCAGGAATAAATTATGATAAAAAATCATACTATTAAAATGATATATGTGATTTAAAATATCTAATTCAATTGATTATTGAGAAATACATAGAATACAATTATTTTATTTAATTGAATATATTATATTAAGTAAATTGATAGTATGTTATTTTTTCAATAATAAAATTTTTGCTTAAAGTGAAGTATATTCACATATTTGAATTTTGATTTTGATTATATGAGTGCAGATTTCATAAAAGTTATTATTTTGATTTATATATTTTCTCAATCCAAAAAATAAAGAAATCGTTTTATATATTAAATATATAAAATTGTTATTCATATACATATTCTTCACTTAAAACTATAGAGTTAACTTAATTGATCAAAATTATCAATTAGAGGATATATTTATTCATATGTAGTTTTCGCTAAATTATTTTATGTATATGGGTCATTATTAATAAAAGTCTTAATGTTGTTGTCATCTTCTGTATTGATTATGTAGTATGCTCCATTGTATGGAAATTGACCTCCACCTATAATTTAGGCACCTTTAGAAATTAATTTTTATAGTTATTTTTCATGTTCTTAACGCAAAGGGACTAAAAATAAATATATGATAAATTTAGTACTGCGATGATAATACATGTCTTAAATATATTGTTGAGATACTAGGAAGTATTTCTAATAAAGGGCGAATGAATATTTAATTTAATTTGTGATCATGAATATTAATTAAATTATAATATTATATGAATTAAATACAATAAGAGATTACAACAATCCCAACAAAAATCTTTAGAAATGCATAATGGATATCTAAAAATTTAAGTGTAAATAAAAGAAAAAGTCCAAATTATCCTTGTAAAAGATGGGGCCATACTGCTGTATTGCATGATAAATACATGTATGTTTTCAGTGGTTGTGGCAAATCAGACAATGCCAAATAATGGGAATTAATCTATCGTATGGATTGCATAACATTTTAATGGGAAAGATTGACTAGTCCTTCTGCTAATCATCCATCTGGTAGAGATTCTCATTGCTCAGTTTGCCTTCAAAATAAGCTTTATTTTTTTGGAGGGTCTAGTAATGATTACATTATGGGTGATTTTTGGAGCTTTGACATTGATACATCAGAGTGGACAGAAATATAAGTACCAAAAGATATGTAAGCAAGAGAGGGACATTCGATGGTTGCTTTATCATAGAGATTAATTTACATATATGGTGGTTGGGATTAAGTATAGAATACTATGACAGAGTCACATTGGTTATATGATGTAAAAACTAATAGATTTTTATAAATAACAAATTTTACTGGAGATGAGATGATTAAATTAGAAAGTCATACAGCAAATAAGATTGGAGAGAGTGTTTATATATTTGGTGGTTAAGGTTAAATGTCATAAAAGCAATTAATATTTTATAAGGATTTATATAAGTTGGATTTTGAGAATATAAATGATTTACAACAAAGATTTGATTAATAAGATTTATTAGAAGACAAAAAGTAAAATGGTGAAAATAATATTGTTATTAAAATTGAGAAAATAAAACCAAATGGATCATAGTAGCCAACACCTCGTGCTTCTCATTCTGCAGTTGCTTATGCTGATAGATTTCTTTTTATTATAGGAGGGGAAGGGTATATCTTTAAAAATATTAATTAGTTATTAATATGATTAATAAAAGGATAATGAGGAAGAAGCAATAGAATAGGATTAAGAAGATAATTTTTAGAATGTTGATGAAGAAGAAAAGCCTATATATCCTAAGAATGATATTTGGATATTTGAAACTATTATGAGGGTAGCATTTCTTAATTAAAGTGTTAGACTTGGAGTAAATTAGTACCAAGATCCAAGACTCCTATATTTTAGCCAAGATTTTCACATAGTTGTATTGTTTTTAAAGATTAATTGATTGTATTTGGAGGATTGAGAAGTATGGGAGAAGTTTTGGAAGATTTAATGGTATTACATTTAAAAGATAGTGAAAATCATTTATAAAAGTTTTCAAGAGATGAGATGAAGAATGTTTGTAAATATTGTTAATTGATATATGGTAATTAATAAGAAGAGGATATTTCTTTTAATAAAGTAGCAGAAAATAATGCTATTCGTTAACCAAAATTATCTTTGACTTTCATTGATGAGTAATTTATTTATAATATTTTAAATATAGAATTTCAAAACTAGTTTAATCACCTATGTCTTGTTTTGGGTTGTTTTTAGACAATGCCAAATTATCTGAAGCTTCTGAATTAAAAATTGAATATGCTTATCGTCTAAAAAGAAAGAAGTATTAATATACAAATGAAGATATGTAAGAGAAAATTCCATTAATAATTTTATTTGAAAAAGAAACTAAAGATTTAGAAGATTTAAGTGATTTCTTATTTAATTTTGATATTCCAAAGAAAAAAATATGTTTAAATAAATAAGATTATGAATAAATTACAAGAAATGGAGGAGAAGGTTTAATATAAGAAGAATAATAATAATATAATAAAAAATAATATGCATTGAATTTTAAAATAGCTTCACTTCGATTAGGTGATAGTGTATTGATATGTCATAAATCATAGAATAATTATTATGTTGGTTTCATTTCAATGAATAATCTTTTAAATCCTAATGATGAATCTTTAACATTCTACAATTATACTCTTACTATAAGTAGTGAGAAAGAAAGAAAAGTAGATTCTCCTGAAAGTAAATATATTTTATTGAATTCTATCACTCATCTTTTAATTGAAGAAGATTTCATATTAAATTGTAATTACAATTATACAAAGATATTTATATTTGATCTTGCTAAAATACATTCTCATTAAAAAATATTTGAATTAAATATTTAAAATGATGATATTATCTCAAATACATATGCAGCTTTTGATCTTAAAAAGGATGAAGCTATTAAATATCCTGATTATTCATTAAAAGAATATATCAAATTCTATTCCTTAGATCAACTTCCATTTAAGTTATTTGTAAATGATCAACCATAAAATTATTCATCTATTAAAAATAGAATGGAAAACAAATTCAAAGTTATGGTGGGTAATGAAAAATTAGTTAATAGATTAAATGAATGTACTGAAGCATATGGAATTTGTAGACTTCCTTAAAATAATTTAGGGATATTTTTATATTACTAAGGTAGATTGATTAATAGATACAAAAAATCTTTGGGAGTATTTTTAGGAAATTAAGAATATAGTGGATATTTAAATTTAAGTAAATTCATCAAACCTAATTTAACATCTGAAGTATAATTTTATTTATATTATCATTAGGGTTTTTAAAATTCATATTTAAGATCAATTTTGTTTCAATTACTAGGATCGTTGGAAGAAGAATTAGAACCATAAAGAAGAAAAGATATTAAAGTGTGAGTTCAATGATTTTATAACAATCTACATAATCTATTTTATTTATTGTTTCTCTTTCAATCTTAATTAAAACACACTTAAAATAATTACATAATAAAATTATTTTTATAAAACTAAACAATCTAAATTACATATGAATGATAATCATGAAACATTCTTTTTTGCTAAGAATTAAAAAAGGAGAATACATGAACAAGACTATGCTATTAAAGTTATCTCACATACAAAGGTTGACAAAGAGACTATTTAATTGAGTGAATCATTATTTAATGCTAAAATTACTGCAAAATAATCCTCTTGTATTATCAAAGATATTCAAAGAACTATTTAATAAAAAATCAAGTTTTATGATCAATAACTGAAAAGTACTGATTCTTTTAAAAAATAAACAGAAAGAAAAAGTTTGAGTCCAGACATCAATAAACCAAAATTTATTGAAAATTAATTAACATCAAAGAACTAACAATTTTCTCCTTAAAAAATCATTATATAACCTAATCATAATTAAGAATAAATATAAACTCCAATCAAAAAAAATAATGAAATCTAATAATCTCAAAAGTCCTTGAAATAATAAACTTAAAGCATTTCTCCTACTAAAAGGCAATCTTAAAATTATGAAAGAAATCAATCAAAAAATTATTCATCACCTAAAATCAAACAAAAATGTAGCTCATAATATATGCAATAAATAGAAAGAGAAAGTTCTTATTCAAGACAAAAAGTAAAGGAAATATAAAAAGAACTGGAGAATACATAATCTACTAATAGAGTATCAACTGCAAGAGTCAATGGAATTGCAGAAAGAAATGAAGAATGGAAACAAAAACTAAAAAATAAAATAGATAACGAATAAAAGAAATAATAATAAAAAGAAATGATTGATTGTACATTCAAACCTAGAATTAATAATTAAAGAAATACAAAAAAGTATTAAAAAAGTGTAAGCAAAGAATTTTAAACAGAAATTAATGAATTGATGCATCTTATTGATAATTAAAGTCAAGTAAAAATTAAATTATGATAATAATTATATTATATTTTGTTTATAGAATGTTTTAAATAAGAATTATAAAAATTAATGGTATTTTACATCAACTTTAAATAATCTTGTACCTTATTTCTTTTAAAATCTTATAAATAAAAAGTTGACATTTGATTTTTATTTATAAATTTAATTATTATGCCACCAAAAAGATAACATCATAAAACTTAGTCATCAGAAATACCTCCACAAGCATTATTGAGTTATCTATCTAATAGAGAATAAATTTAAGCACGTTTCTCTAATTCACCTACTCTACAAATAGATTTCAAAGTAACAAAATTAATTTATATCAGGCTAACAAATAATTAATTCATTAATAAAGTCCATTATTAAGATCTAATGGTTCTTAAACTAATCTAAGAATATCACAACAATAGTATCTATTAATTATAATAATCTGAGGCAAACATAAAGAAAAGTATAATAATAGGATCTACTCAAATCAAAAGGGTTCATGTCTCCTAAATTTGTTAGTCAAGACAAAAAACAAATGTAATCAAAAACTGTGATAAGATAAGGAGGAAATCACATCAAGACTCAACCTCATTCTCATTAAAACTCTTAGTCATCAATTACAAAAATCGATAAAACATAAGACGATTATAAGTAATTATCTCTCATCTCTTCTGCATTACCAAAATCATCTGAAATTATGTTAACCCAACCTTAATCTGCTATGAATAAAACTGAACTCACATTAAAATAAAAAGCAGACTTAGCAATATAAGAAATGAAGTAAAGATAATAAGAAGAATTGTTTTAAAGAATTAATTTTTAAAAATCTTTAGGAGTTTCAAGTGCAAAACACTAATCATAATTGTTTTTGTAATAAAACTCTTATAAATCCAGTAGTACAAAACAATTAGAAAACTAAAAATTTTAAACTCATTCAGCTTCCCAACCAATGATTGAATTTACTCCTAATAAACCAATTACAAACAGGTAAAGTAATAAATTTATTTCATAGAAAATAATTCTAGGATTCAATTAATCTCATATTACTTTGTAAAACACTTAAAGAAAAAATAACTATAGAAGTTTAATAAAATTCTATACAATATTTAGTAGATCTAGTCAAACAAATTATCTCCAAACATTTTGGAACTACTTAACCCACTGTTATTGGAATAAAAACTTGTAATATTTCTATTCCTGTGGATTATATCTTATCAAAAGTAGAGAGACCCTTATCTCTATTAAATTCAATGCAACTTCAACCATTGATTATTGAACCTGTATTTGCTTTAGATAATGAAATCAAAACTCCTAGAGTCAGCTTAAAAGACTTTGAATTCATAAGATGTATAGGAATGGGAGGATTCTCAAAAGTTTATATGGTAAGAGAAAGAAAATCAGGATAATATTATGCTATGAAATTGATAGAGAAGAATCCTATTATCTAATAGAATAAATAAACTATAATATAAAATGAGAGAGATATTATGTCTATACTTAATCATCCTTTTATTGTAAAAATGCAATATGCCTTTGAATCGAGAAAATATTTAGTTTTTGTATTAGAATACTGTTCAGGAGGAGAATTGTTTTACCTTTTGAGAAAAGTATTTTGATTAAAATATTAATTAGGTCAAAAGAATGAAAGAAGAGGAAGCATTCTTTTACTTTTCAGAAATTTGTTTAGGCATGAAAAACTTACATGAAAATAATATTATTTATAGAGATATTAAACCAGAGAATATATTAATAGATTTTGATGGTCATGTTAGAATAGCAGATTTTGGTTTATCAAAACCCAATATGACAGAATAAGATATAGGATATTCATTTTGTGGATCACCTGAATATATGGCACCAGAGATGCTATTAAAATCTGGACATACATTTCAATTAGATTTATATTGCTTAGGAGCATTATTATATGAACTTGTTACTGGTTTACCTCCTTATTATTCGAGAAATACAGAAGAAATATACACAAGAATATTAAATTAAAAGTTAAATTTTCCTCCATAATTATAAATGTCTACTTAAATTAAAGATTTATTAAACAATTTGCTAGCTAAAAATCCAAAAAATAGAATCGATAACATAGAAACCTTATTAAGACACCCATGGATGATTTAATGGGGTGATAAAAATTTATATAAGGATATTTTATAAAAAAAAATTGAACCTCCTTTTAAACCAGACCATTATTCGTTTAATTTCGATGAAGAAGAATTTGGCTAAGGTGAAGCAGAATTCTTAGCTTTTATTAAACCACTTTAGTAAAATATCTCTGAAAATTTTCCTAAAGAAATTATATTAAAATAATTTTATTACAATAGCAATGAAGCCAATTTTTAAGAGAGTACTGGAGGCACAAGAAATAATTAAATGGAATAATAATGCACATAAAGATAGAAAAGTAAAAGATTGAATACATTTGAAAGTGAAAATTAAATGAACCAACAAGATTAAAAAATCTATTTATTAAATTAACTTAAAACACAAACTGATAATGATTAAAAGAGAAAATCAGCATGAACTCAATTTTAGTTTATTAAATTTTTTAGCTAAAATATTATATATATTTTGTTATTTTCAAACAAGTTTTATATTATATTAAATTTTATCTATGATATTGTATTCAATATGCTTTAATTGATAGTATATAAGGTTTGTATTATTATACTCATTTATTTATTATATAAAAATGAATTAAATTGATTAGAATCTATATATTATCATTCTTTTTGAGAATATTCAATAATAACTTATGTTTAGTAATTTCATTTATAATATTGAATATTAGATGTTACTTAAATAATGTAAAAATAATTAATTAATGCAATAAATATAAACTAAATAATTTTAATAATTAATAGTTACAAAATATAGAACACTAAATTATGTCATTATTCATCATCTGTATTGACTATTTTAATATCAACTCCAATTTACTCAAAAATATCATTTAAATCACCTTTTTTCTAGTTTTCATTTTCATTTATTTTATCTTCTTAAAATTTTTAAAGACCGATAAAATTATTGTTTTAAACTTAAGAAGATACAATTTATTAAGGAAAGACTGGTGGCAACCAATAACTATTAAAAATACTTTAATTTAATGGAACAAAATAGTTAGGTTAATTTGCGAAATATAATAGTTATTAGATTGATTAAGTACCTATTGAATTTCTTATATAATTTTGATTTGGATCAGATTAAGTAGATGAAGTTGTAGTATTATCTTCTACTTTAACTTTCTTTTTAATTTGATTTAAAACAATATTTTAAAAATCTATTACATTATAAGGTGTTAGATATAATTTATTATTTTTATGATTAAATATAACAACTCCACACTTTTCATTATTAAGAATTAAATTCTGATCTACCTTCTTAATATTAAGTTCTTTTTTATATAGGATGGTTTTGGATGTTTTGATTGAAGGATCTTCATGAAATAAATTAAAAAAATCATCATTATTTATTTTTTAAGCTTCTTCAATTTTACCTTCTAACATGCATTAATCAATATATAAGCCTTAAATTGCTAAAACTATAAATTGCCATTCATAGTTATCTATTTCTTCAATTGGAGTGACATTACCATACCGTTTAGAATAGTCTTTTCGCAATTTTTATACTTTCTCAAATAAATGAGGATTTATCGTTTCAAATTCATATTTCATTTTTTCTTTTTTTAGGATTGAATTGTATTTATTTTTTAAAGAGTTCTCAGTTCTAACTCTCCCATAAAGTGTTGAAAGTTCTGACCATTTTTTACCTCTCATTAGTATTGTTTTCAACAAATCTATTTCTTATTATTTATTCCAAGGGTCGCTAATTATTATCTTTTTTGGTACTTAGAAATATTTGGATCCAAACGATTAATCCATCTTTCTCTACATTATTTAGGTTATCTAAATATTTTATTATTAGATCTTTTAAATATTTCTCTTGAGATTTATGACCATTTATTCTCCCTACCTGTTTTCTTAAATTCTCTAAAACTTAGAAACACTCTTACTCATGCACTTAATAAAGTAAGTTGTCCTCTTATTCAGTCCAAGGTGCCTCAGATAATGGTATTTTATATTTTTATTCCCATTTCAATCGACATTAATGAGCATTTCTTCCTAAAACCATTTTTGATATTTCTCTCCATTACTCTGTAGCCTTTATTAAATTAATATCATTCTATACTAACTATTTATTATCCTTTATTCCTTTATATATATAATATCTCATAACAATCCAATAAAAGAGTTTCTTTTCAAAATCACTCCATTTTATTGACTTCTTTTTAGCATTTTGGCTTAAAATTCAACAATACTGTTACATATTCTTTTTAAAAAGTAATATAGCTTAATCGACTGTAGGCCAATCTTTGTAATTCAATCTTAAATTTTGACCTACTTTAGATAACAGCTCTTAATTTTCCTTAATAAAAGATGTTTTCTCAATAAATCCAAAAAACTCTCTATTAACTAATTCATATGGATAAACTATTATGTATTCATCTATTCAAATACTTGTTAAGTCTTCCATTTCACAACTTCCAACCAAAATGTGATCATTTTTAATTTTTGTATTTTTCTAGGCAATCATATATATTATAAAAAAAATACTAATATCTAACAATAATAATAATTTAAATAACTAAAATCATATCAAACATACTCTTTTATACAAGTCAAATATCAATTTAAAAATTTATCTCTAAAAAATCAAAATAGAAGTTTTGTAAATCCAATTATTTAGAAATAATTTATAATTAAGTATTCATTTAATCTCATTAATTCATATAGTATTAAATGATATTATAATAATATTAATATTATTGTAAAGTAAGGAGTATATAATATTTATTGATACTAATTCATATCATATCCATATTTCACATAACCAATACTAAAAATTATCTCAATATATTATTGTAATTATACTAAAAAAGTATTTCTTACTAAAATATTATTTTTTTTCCACAACTTTTTAAATTACATTTTCTACTTCTTAAACTTTATTTAATTTATTCCAGATGACTTATTATCTTCTTATATTTCTAAATACCTAAAAAACTATTTCTTAAGATAATATTAATTATTCATTAATGATAACTGTTTAAATAAGAACCCCAAAAGTTAAATTATCCAAACACAGGATATAAAATAGTTAACCTACAATATTAAACTATTCAAATTTAAATAGTTTTCATGACTTTTTTAATAATAGTTAGCATAGTAATGAATAGAGATAAAGAATATTTAATAGCAGATGTAAAACTGAAAATACTTAAATGGAAGTATCAATCAAGCCAAATAAACAAAAATTGTCTAGTTAATCTACAACAATTAGTTTGGCAAGCAGTACTAGTCCTAATTAAGGTATGAAAAATGAAAAAGGTAATTCTAACAGCAGCTTTAAAATATAATAACAATAGAATTCTGTCAATTCCTTTTAAGAGAATGGAACAAATTAAAAACTTAAATAGTAATTACAAAAAATTGTTGAAAGAACTAACAAGATGATGAATAATTATTAAAAAGTTTCTAAAAAATGGGAATAAAGAGAATTTGAACTCAAGTAAGAAATATCAACATTAAAAAAAATCATTCAAAAATAAAATGTCTAACTTCAAAAACATAATTTAAATCCGATCTGTTTATGAAAAGCCAAATATTTCATTGATTTTCCATTACTTTATTATATATATTTCATTAAAAAATAACTTTTTTTATCCATCATTTAAATATTTTTATTGAATACAACAACAAAAATAAACAATAGATTCAATAATAAATTAAGGAGATATCCATATTTTATAAATGAAAAATAAATCAATTTAAAAAAAATCAAATCTTTGAGTAAGATTCATTAAAGGCAAAAATTATAAAATCTAATAAGAATATTTTCAAGAAAGTAAATTATTTATGACTATAAAAATTGATAAATAAATATAAGAAATTTAAGAGATTAATATATAGAAAAAAGTAGTATAAATTATGAAAAATTATCAAAAATTTAGTAATTTGTAGACTGAATATTATTATTTAATTCTACAAATAATTGCTTAAATTTATCTTTAAATGTATAATGTATTAAAAAATAAAAAAAAAGTTATTATTACTTAAATTAAAAAAAGTAATGTTACTACTTATGAAAAAGAAATGGATAAAATTTTGTAAATTATCAGAAATATCATTTTCTCATATAACTAGCCCAGAAATGTAACTTATCAGTCATTTTAGCAAATAAAGAGTTAATTGACTCCTCCAATAATCCTAAAAAGTGAATTTCAGCATTTTCATCACTGTCATCCAATCTAAATTTTTCATACATCTATTCTATTGCTTCTTAACTGTAGTCTTTAATACCAGCATCAGCCATCAATAAAAATAGATTTATAATTAATTTAGCATATCTTCTTAAATAAACATAAACCTCAACACATTTTGATTTAAATAATGTGTATAACTCTGATTTTTATCCTCCCATAGCTTCTACCATTTCTGGACATAATTTAAATGGAGGTGGATATGGTTTTGGATCTTTACCTAAAATGAATCCAAAATCTATATGAAACATCTTGCCTTCATTATTAATTAATAAATTTTCTAGATGTCTATCTCCAATTCCTAAGAAATATGTTAATACACAATATCCAGCACTAGAATATATATAATTAGTCATAAAAGTAGGATTAATACCATATTGTGCTCTTTTAACAACTTAATCAATATGATCTTGGATAATTTTAAGATTTTCTGGATCTTTTTAATCCTAAAATATAATAATTATTACATTATTTTTTAAAGATAATGTTTTCCAATAATAAGGATTCATTTTATCTTCTGAAATTTATCTTAAATAAGGTTACATTCCTTAATTTTTTTTAATAATGATTTCTTGAAGTGTTACATTATCAGGTACAAATTCTAAGAATCCATCACTTTTAGAACAAGCAAGTATTCTGTAAGGTAATAATTTCATATCTTAACTAACTCCTTTAAGTAATTCATCCATTAAATTAAAAATTTACATAACCAATTAATCTTATCTTAAATCATCTCCATTTTTAAATATTAATTTAATTTCAGATTCTTCATCTCCTTTAATTACTTAAAATCCTAATCTAATTGGAGCCATAGCTGATGAAAATATTGTAGTTCTTTCTGGAACAGCTCTAATCAATTCATACTCAGGATAAAGACAACATGGATGTTATGGTAATTCTGATGAATTTTAATAAGCAGATTAAGATAATTAATTTTTAATGTAGTTGATTCTAAATTGTCTATCATTTTTTAAAGATCTAATTTCAGTAGCTAAACTTTAGAGTTTTTATCTAAATTTGGATTGTCCTTAAATATCCTTAAATAATTTTTCATTTTTGGATTATAACATTCTTTCAAACTCTAATATATTTGTAAATATATTAAAATACCTTAGAATGTAGTATAATAAAATCCTAAAATAGTATTTTTGGAATCAGCATGCCATCCATCCTTTTCAACATGAAGATACCAATACAAATAAGTTGCTAATGATTTAGATTTGATGGCTCTATCAAATAATAGATTAACAAGATCTGATTTCTAATCAAAAGGTTCATATTTTAATGCCTATACTAATTACAATAACACATTTTCAATCTTTTCATCACTTAATTTACTTAATTGTTCAACAGCATATTTTCTAATTTCTAACATACTAATTTTATTTTTTTTAGATTTTTTAAATTCATTAGCACAAAAAAAAGATGATAATAAAAAGAGACAATCTTCTCTATCAATAGGAGACCACTTTTTCATTATAGTTAATGCATCCTATTCTTCCTTTTAATTTTGCCAAGCAACAGAATGAAGATAAAATGGTAATGCACTACCATATTACATTGCCCAATATCTATATTTAACAAATAGTTATTTATCATCACTTTTGAGTTCTCCAATTAAAGGTCTAGCCATCATTTTCCTCATTTTTTCTTCTTCATCCTTTTATGGTTTTAAAGTTTCTGGATGATCACTATATCTTAAAATTAAATTCATCATATCATGAATAGGATCAGGTTTACCAAATTCTTAATCAAAATCACTTGTTCTAAAAGTATCACTCAATTAATTTTAATCAATAAATATTCTTTAGGTAGGAGCTTTTGCTTAATTTGCTATTTAATCTTCAGGTTATTTATAATATCCACCACCAATTATTTATTATTCTGTGTCATTCTGAGGATATTCATAATCTTCAAAAAGAATAGGTTATTAAAAATATTGATCTAATTAAACTTCCAAAAATGCTGTAGGTATTATTTTGCTCAAATAATATAATCTAATTTAAAGGTTTTATTTTGATAAATTTTTATTGGTGTCATTCTACTCTCCTTTTGATACTTCATCTATTTTTCTAGTACAAAAATTTAAATCCTAAATATTTCTATCCTTAACAAGACCTGGAGTTTTTGAATTAAAACTTGTGTCTGGTTAAGTATTTGGCCAAATAAGCAAATTGATTTTACCTTCTCTTAATTTTAGATTTTCATCAAACAAAGGAAAAGTAGTTGATCCTAAAGGTTTTGCCTCCTCATATTTTTATTGAGTACTATATATACTCAAAGCTATTAAGGAATTGTATGATAAATCCTTAATATTAGAATTAAAAAAAATGGTTTCTTATTTTTGTAAGGAATGTCTGCTAAATGCCTTAAATGTCTTGGTAGGGTACTATAATTGACCATTTATATAGAGTGAAGCAACGATAATAAGTTATTCGTCTTTATTAGGATCATCTATCTATTAAAATAAATGATCAATTTTACAAGTGAATCCAGTACATTGTTTCCATCCCATAAATTAGAGATAGTCAGTTTAACTGGTACATCTTAAAGCCAAGTGTGGGGAGTATAATTTGTATAATTTTATAATTCCATAAATATTAAAAATGGAAGATTTCTATGTTTAGTTTAAAGAGTTTTATGATAAAGTGAAAGACATCACGAATGTTAGGTTTGCCTATATGAAAGAATTGTATAATCTAGGATTAGAACAATTCCCAGACAACCTAGAGATTTTAAACTTCCAAAAAAATAACTAACTTAGCATACAGTCAGGAAACACTAAATTAAAAAAGAACTGGTCAGATGAAGATAAAAGAATCTTAATATGGATTATTGGAAAGTACATGGCTTACCATAAACGAGATTTCAAACAAATTGTAATGTTTTAAACTATAATCTTTTATTAGTGTGAAGAAGACTGGTAGAATATATCATCTATGATGTTAAGAAGAGACTCTTTCCAATGTAAGTAAAAGTGGCTATAGATGTTGAAGTTACCACTTCAATAAGCTCCATGGGGACAAAACGAAGATGAAGCCTTAGTTCGAATAATAAGTGAATTTCAGGCTTAGAATAAAGGAAATAAATGGAGTTAAATTGCAACTGAACTCAATAAAACAACTGGTTTGAATGTTCATAGAAATGGAAAGTAATGTAGAGAGAGATGGAATAATCACTTAAATCCGTCAATTAATAGGTAAATATAATATAATAAATGAGAAATCCTTGGCAATAATTGGAGGATTTGGAACTTATGAAGTTGGCAATTTAAAATGGGAAAAAGTGGGCATTAATTTCTAAAAAATTGAAATTATAGAGGAGTGAAAATAATGTGAAGAATAGATTTAATTGTTTAATGAGAAAGGAAAAAAGTGGCAAAAATATACCATAATCTTAAGATGAAAGTGATAATGATAATTAGGAATCTTATTTATCTGATCCATCAGCTGAAGAATTAAGTCCGGAAGAGATTAAATAAATACAAGCTATAATTAAGAAGATAGAATGGAGAATGAAATAAGATGGTTCTTCTTATGAAATTAAATAAGAACATTAAGATTAAGTGTCAAAGAAGGTTTAATTAGATAGAAGAGCTTTAAAAACAAAATAATAATAATAAGATAATGGAAACAACAACAATAAAGTCTAAAATGTTAATAATTTTAATAATATTAACATTAATATTGAAAACTTTACACCTTCTACTTTGAACTAGCATGGAAATAATAATAATAATTAAATTTAATTCTAAGTTTTGGAATATAATCAAAATGAAGATTAGAGTTAATTATCTTTCTGTTTAGTAAACAAAGAAAAAGGGTTTATATATTTTTTAAATTAAGAATAATTTAACAATTATGTTAAAACTTAAAATCAAATCAACAATAACTAATTGATTAATTTATCTAGTTTTTTAGGAGCCTAACCTGCAGCAAATAACTTGAATTTTACTAATAACATTTCTATAAATCCAAATATTGAACTTGGTTAATAATAAAATCAATAAACTAATAATTTAGAATGTTTTTCTGAACATTAAAGTTTGAATTCTTATTATTATTAATGTTTGGCCATGAACAATCAAATGAATTTTAATTAACTTCCACCAACTCGATCATATCTAAATTTGCCAACTCATTTAAATAACAATTTTACTTCCAATCCATAATATCTCTCTGGCTATAATTATCATGTGACATGCTATTAATAATAATAATAATAATAATAATAACCACCTTAGATGATGTATTAATCATAAACTAGTGACAAACTAGATCTTTGATTTATATTATTAGATTTAATTTTTAACAATATTTTTGATTTCGAAAGTCAAATGTAAAAATAGAATAAAAGTAAGACTATTATTATAGGAAAGATGAAATTTTTTTGTTTTTTGATAAAATTGTATTTTATAAATAAATAGTTAATATTAACATTAAAGTGATGTTAATATTCAACCTTAAATAGTTGTTCTAACATTTTAAGCTTTTGATTACATTACAACATCTGTAGAAAATTTACATTGTTGTTTCTAATTATATATATAAATTGAATCTTACTGATTAAATCATGATCATATCATCTTCTTTATTATTTAATTTCCTTCCGTTCTCTTCAGAATTGGTGATATCACAGATAGGAAAGACTTTAAAAATTTATGACTAATGTAACTATTGTTATTATTAGTTTCCTTATAATTGTTGTTGTTGTTAATCATTATTGAATTCAAATAATGTTGAGAATGATTTAGGTGACAAAATACAAGATCCATATGGTATCGTTGTTCTGTTGGTTTAATGAAACTTATTTGAGAGATCTGCTTTTTATTGCTTGTGCAAAGCAAGTAATAATTATAATTCTCTCTCTTGTCTTTATTCTAAATCTTGCAAGGTTTCATCATTTTATGTGATCTAAAAAGTTAAAATAAAATTATACATAGTATTCTTTATATTGCTTGCTAAATTATTATTCAATTGAGAAATCTTCAACAGTATCAATACTTAACTTATTTTATTATTCACAATGTCTTACTTCAGATTATTTCATTGAATTAGGATTAAAATCATGAAAGAGGATGAGTTTATTAGTTTAATTTATAACATGATTATTAATATGATTATTAGTTGTAGTTCCTTTAAGTTCACTAATATTTTTAGATAAATTATTTTTGAAGAAGGAAGAATCTATTTAATAAAAGAAATGAATTACTTTTGCTATCATGTGAAATCTAATTCAGGAGAGATTCATTTAATTAAACAGGAGAATTATCTTCATCATTGTTGGTGGATTAAAAATATTAATGCAAGAGTTAAGTTGCAGTGGGTCTTTCATTTGCAGGTTTAAGACATCTAATTTTAATTATTGTATTTTTACTCCAAAATGATGGATTTAATTTTTTCATTTAATACACCTTCTAAACTTTAAGGTTTTTGTGCTTCCATTACTTTTTTAATTATTTAACCTGTGCCACCTTTACATTCACAAAAAGGTTTCATTCCAGTAACTATTTCTAGAATGCACATGCCAAAAGCATAAATGTCAACCTTTGTGTCATAATTTCCATGATAAATTTCAGGTGCCATAAATTCTGGAGTTCCTAATACTGAACTTGTATTATTTGATTGCATTCTCTTATTTAATATTTAATGATTACTAGATAGATAATCCAAGGTCTCCTATTTTTAACTCATTATTATTGGTATCAATCAATATATTTTCGCATTTTAAATCTCTATGGATAATATTTTATTAATGTATATATTCTAGTCCTTCCAATATCTGTTTACACCAATATCTAATAATTTTTAGTTTTGGTCTTGTTATTCTTCTAAGGTAACTAATTTATAATACTTTCAAATTTACTTTTTCAACGAACCTCCATTAACAATTTCTGTAATAAAAACAATTTCTTTCTTTGATTTGCTCTACCAAGAATGAACAAAACTAATAATGTTTTTGTGTTTCAATGTTTTCAATATTGCAATTTCTTACTTGGCTCTTCTTATTTCATCTACAACAAATCTAGATTTTAAAATACCCCCAGAAACATTCATTAATTAAAAAACATTCCATGCAACTTCACATCCACTTTCATTATCATAACCTCTGTAAACACTTTTATATGCTCCTTTCCCAATCTCTTCATTATACTAAAATATATGTTATTTTTTAATACCTTACTAAAACGACCCGTTGGATCATTTTCAATTATTTAAGATGTTTATTCTTCATCCTCAGATGAAAGAGACTTGTCATCATTTATGTTTTAAATTATTTCACCAGAGTTCATAACAAACAATAATTAAATTACCTCAACTTTTTGTATATATGAATTAATCAAATCTTATATAAGGATCATATTGCGTACTTTAATTTGGTCATCTTTCACACTTTCATATCATTTTGAATTTTACTTCAAGTCTTTTGACATAGTATTGAACTTAGAAGACCATTTTGTAACAATTGTTAAAATTGTATATTTACTACCTCTAAAACCTAAATATATAATATATAAATATAATTAAATTCAATGGGAGCATTATATAAATGTTAAACCAATTATTAATGCTCAGAGAGTCTGATTGATTTGATTCTAAGTAGTGGGATTCTGTATTATTTTATAATGAAAGCTAAAATCATGTTTGAAAGGAATAATGGAATATTATTATTAATTGATTAAACACTATGTGTGATAAGCATTATTCAGATGATAGTCTAAGTATTGTACTTTATGTTTGCAAGTATTAACTTGTATTTATTTAGAATCCAACATTTGGATAATTAGCTTAAGATCCATAGGATTAGTGTTAGAATTATTAATATGCATAATATTAATAAGTGTAATATTAGAAAAGGAAAAACATGAGCAACTTTTTAATGCAGGCCGCATAGGTTTATGCTTGATTGGATTCTTTTGGTTATATCAGGGCATAAACCATTATCAAGAGAGTGTGTATATTATTGTGGAAAAACAACAAGTTATCAGTGCAAAGAGATTTCGAACCTGTTTATGTCTTTCATTGGTTTGATGTTGTCAATCGTAGCATTTGTCTTTGGATTTTAGTGCGTTCATTAATTACATCAATATAAGGAATACTTAGTAAGAATACACACACTATAAAAAGTTGGATAACAAAAATGATTCATTTGCTCATCAATTGCTTAAATTAGAAACAAGACTTACTTAAATCAAAATATTAAAATGTAATTTAAATACTCAATTTTATTTAAGTAAGTGGTATGGTGTAATTTGGAGTTCAATTTTGTTGGGATTGTTTAGCATACTTTTTATCTACCACTACAATAGAGTGTACTCATTATTTTATACCAACAACATTGTTAACAGTATAATTGTATTTGTTATAGGTTTTCATATATTCTTTATTGAAATTAATATCATTAGTAACACTTCCAATAGCTGTGTTCTTGGTGTGTTATGAATGTAATAAAGAATACTTTGGAATTGATCATAATATTTGGAATTTTTCAAGGAGTCACAGATCATTAAAAGTTTTACCAGATCGTGAGTAATTAAAATATGTTGAAATGTCTGAAATTAAATGATTCTGTATATTTTTATAGATATTATTCAAATAAATCTAATATATGATAGATAATAAATAAAAAATATTTACATTATTTCTATATAATATTTAATCATTTCACATTAATAACTATAAAAATAATACTAAACCCAGAATAGTTTCAAATAGTGTTTAACTTTAACATTTTCCATAACTATATGAAATAGTTGTTGAATCTAAACAAGCCTAACATTCATTTTAATATTCTTTGAGACAATTAGTGTCATTGCATTTATATGTTACACAAACTTCTTTAACAATATTATCACAAGAACTTGGTTTCTATGCACTACATTTTTATTATATAACTTAGTTTTCATTTTAATTATCTGATTTTATTTCTTTATCTTAAATATAAGTTTATCTAAATCAATTAGAATAAATGTTTACTGGTATTTAGCACATGTTTGCTTAACATATCCTACTACATCTTTTTTAGAACAAGCATCACAATAGTTTCCAGCAGATCTCATACATGATTCAGAAAAACAAGGTGTAGAAATTAAAGCACATGTTTCTCTATAATCTTTTGTACAAATTTCAGGTCTGGGTTCTGTGCAATATATTATATTATCATCAATAGGAGGAATTTATGGATCTCTAAAATTATTAAAATAAAAAGATACTCTTTAAGAATATCATCACATTCTCCATAAAAATAGGAATCTACATTTTTATCTGAACAAGCTTCACATTCATTTCCAAAAGATTTACCACAGGGAGCATTAAAGCATTGGATACTCGAATTAAATAATCCACAAGTAGGTTTAAAACTAAATTTATTAATGATTAAAATATTACACAGCAAGAGGACATATAGGATTATCAGATTTTAGAGTATCACCACATTTGTATATTATATTTTAGTTTGATGATGTTGATATGTTTTCTTAGACTTAATTCATTGACTCTAAAGATGCTGTAGTCATGATACATGCATCATTTTCATAATAACTAACTTTATCAACTCTACAAGCAAAACAAGGATTCTCAAATGTTCCCAATTACTTAATATTAATTAAAGACTTACAGTTCCTTCTGATGAAAATGCACATACAGGTTAATTTTCTTTTGTACAAGATACTGATGTGTCAATATGAAGAGGACACCTGATTTTATCGGCTCCAGTGAATAAGAGAAGAGTGACTATTATTAAGTAATTCATATTATTAATACTAAATCATCTAACTATATTAAATTTATATGAAATTGTTTCACTATTAATAGTATTTACTTAATATAGTGAAACAATTAATATTCAGAATATATCATAAATCTAAATAAACTGAATTATAATTGTAATATTATATTATAGTTGCAATAATAATTTCACTTTTTGGTCCAATTTATATTTCTGTAAATATTCTTTATAAGTTTTTTTTAAACTAAACTATTTCTTTAGTTGATTTAAATTAAAGTATAAACAAATTTGTGTAGCTTAATATCATTATAAGAGTATGAATGTAATCAATTCATATTTATATTTAGTATATTATAATAGTAAACTAAAATTATAGCATAGAATGCTTAGAAATTATATTAATATTAAAAAAATTATTTTATAAAATTATGAGATAAACATTACTTAAATTGAGAGAAGAAATGGATGAATATATATAATAATTAGAGGAGAAAACAATGAATATTAAAATGAATAAAGTAAATTATATGGAGGAAATTAATTATCGAATGGATACTTTAAATTATTATCCTCCAGATAATTTAACTAATAAATCATATTTGAAAATATTGAATTCAAGATTAGTACCTCGCCTAAATCCATCTGCTAAGAAAATATTTGAATGCAATGATGATCACGATATTGAAGAATAAACTAATTAGGTCCTTACTAGTTATTAACATTTAAAATTAAGACCCTAACATGGTCTTGCATATTCTATAGGTGATCGATTACCATAACCAATGAAAAAAATTTGCTAAAAATTTGAAGAATAACCTGCAGAAATTGAAAACTAAACTCAAGTTTTATGTGTATGTTACAAAGAATTATATGGGGAAAGTAACTTAGCCTAATGGTAAATCATCACAGGACAGAAAGAAAATCTTAACTTTAATATGAAATAGGCAAATGACGAGATTACAAATTATAGATCCACTTCAGGTGATGGTTCACTTCCTTGGGAACCAAATTCAGCATAGTATATAATATATCATAACATTTTTTAGTTCAAGTATTATTCATGATTGATTTATATGGAAATATTGATATTTGTTTTTTTTAAATATAAGTATTATAATACCAGGATTTTTTATTAATAACTTCAAATATACTTGAAAATAAAATTTATCATTATTTCATTCTAGAATATGATGTATTTAAATAAAAATAGTTATTTAAACTTAAATTTATTATTGTAAAAAATTTCTTTTGGTAAAATAAGGATTAAATATAAGAGACACTATTTTGTGATAGTAATATGAAAAATATAAATTATAATATTAAAATATCCCACCTAACATTTAAGAATCAATACTTAAATTATAATTGCTTTATGTTTGTTGAGATGATTTTTTTAAATAATTTGATGATTACATTTAATTAATCATTTAAATCCTCAGTATATGAGCTAAGAGATTTTATCAATCATAAATAAAGTGAATGAATTTCCAATATATTTTTTAATTTAAAATATGCATCAATATGATCAATATACTAATTAAAAGCCAAGGATGATCACTAAATAAGTTACTTCTAAAAGTGAATCAGCATCCAGGCTATCTGAAATTTCAGAGGATAGTGAAAGACAAATTGTAGATGATGTTAGGAACAAATCAAACACTCGCAACAATTCGAGATAACCAAGATTAATAATACAAGAATAATAATTATCTCATAGTGCTAAACTAACCAGTGAATCTATTAATTTAAAATATCCTTTTAAATTAACTAAAACAATTGGTAATTGTGCAGGTTATAGCAATTTTATTAAAGCTTTAAAAACGGAAAAGATTAAAAAGCAGTTTATTAATAATCTTTTTACAAACTCATATGTTTTATAGAATTAAAAAAAATAAATTTTGAATGACGAATATATTAAGAAAGGAAACAAATAATAAAATTTGGGTAATATGATATTATAATATTTTAAGAAACCCTCTCTTAATCTAGATTTCCAATAATTATGCCAACAAGTATTGTTATTATTATTTGGGATGCTATTGGAGTAATACTAAATTTAATAATTTTATGGCTAACTCCTTTTTTATTATCTTTTGATAGCATGGAAAACTATTTCTCTTTCAATGTTATCAAATACTTAACAACAATCTTTTTAATAAGTGATATTTGTGTTTCATTTAACAAAGGTATCATTGTATAAGGGATTGTGATTAAAAAGAGAAAAAAACTAATTTAATAATATTTCTAAACTAATGCAATTACTGATTTAACAAATTTAGCTTTATGGATATTAATTTAAAAAAATTTAATATCTTATAAAATTCTTGGAGAATGCATAGTAATATGTTAATTAATAGTTACATTTTATAAAATATAAAAATACTTTTCAGATTATTTTTAATATGTATTTGTTAAAGGTGTATCTAGTTATGTAATGGATTTATTAAGTTTAATATGCTCAATATACTTTTTTGCTCATATAGTAGCATGTTTCTGGCATTATGTTGGTGTTAAATCAGGAGATTAATCTTGGTTAATAAAATATGATTTGGAACATGAAGCTATATGGAAGAAATATAATTATGCATTTTATTGGGCTACAATGACAATGACAACAGTTGGTTATGGAGATATTACTGCATAAAGTTAATTTGAAATTATCTTTGTTAATGTTGTTATGTTTTTATCAAGTGGAATATTTGCATATTCAATGAATTCTATAGGTATGATACTTAAAAATATATATGATGGAAAATTGAAATATAAAAGATCTTTATTATAGATGAATACATATATGAGCAAGAATTGTGTTGAACCATAAATTCAAAGTAGAATTAGAAATTATCTCAAATATTATATTGAATCTGAATAAAATGAAAATTTAGAAGATATTAATAGACTTGTAGGGATTTTACCACACAATTTATAATCAGATCTAAATACTGATATCTAAAGAAAAGTCATTAATAAAGCAAAATTAGTTATAAACCATTTTTCAGGTAATACTTAGCAATTATTATCAAAAAGTCTAGAATTAGTTAAGTATGCTCCTGGTGATATCATTTATAAAAGAGGAGATATTTCTGATAAAAATCTTTACTTTATAATAGAAGGGGAAGTAGATATATAAGATGATTAAAGTAAAATGAAATTCTCAAAACTTATTCAGCATTAATAATTTGGTATTTATTAATTTTTTACTGATTTTCCTCCTAAAACATCTGCTGTTAGTATTGGATTTTCTAATATTTATAGAATAAGTAGAAATAAATTTTTGGAAATTTTATAATTTAATAAAAGAGATTTAGAAATGTTTCATTATATTAAAGATTAAATTATTTTTAATTCAAATTATAGATTATTTTGTATGGAATGTAAATATTGTGATAGATAAAATCATTAAGAAATAGATTGTCCTATTTTAACATATAAACCAGATATTGAATAAAGGATAAAAAAGAGTAATTTTTACCCTTAAATTTAACAAAGACAAAAGAAGAGTAGAATTGGTAGTAAACTAAAGAGTATAATATAATAAAAAGAAATATCCAAATTAGTCAAATCTTTTATAGAGGATACAACAGGAGCTGAAATATCTCACTCTTTATAAGTTGCTATAATAGCCCATAGATCTAAAACTAGCAATTATTCTGAAGTTCATAATATGGAATAAAAGAGATCATCTTGTTTTGTAACTGAAGACTAAGATCAAGAATAAAAATAATAATATTATGATAGTTCTATAAATAGAATTGGTATTAAAGCAGATCAATAATCCTAACTAGAAAATTAACTTTCACAATCTAGATAAATTAATAAGGAATAGACAAATTTACTTAAAGATTTCAATATGATTGAAGATCTATACATTAATGCAAGATGGTTTCCTTCAGTTATATAGTGTGATAGATAACAGTCTTATGAAAAGTATTATCCCTAAGATAACCTCGAAAATATTATCAAATCTTTAGATAAAAATAATATAAGATATTAAAGAAAAATTGAAAAGCATGTTTAGAATATGAATAAATATACATTCTTCTATAATGTCAAAATCAAAGCCCTTAAATTACGACTCTTATATTTAAAAATCATTAATGTTGAATGAAAATATTAAATTTATATAATTATATATCAATCATAAAGTTTATTTAAGATGTAGAGGAAAATTAGAAAAGGATAATTATTAGATTTGTTAATTCATTTCCTCAGCCTTTGTCATATTTTTAGGTTTTTAAATAGGTGCAATTTAATGTAATGAGAAATACTATTTAGATAAAATAGATTATCTTTAACATTCTTCTTTTTGAGTTTAAACCTCTGTTGTTTATTCATAGGCTTTCAACTCTGCTTATAATTATCTTATTTAATTTTAATTAAATTCTGCAACATTTACTGAAAATTCAAGATATCCATTCATACTTACACCACCAAAATATAAAACTTGACTTTTATAAGCTACAGCAGAATGAGAAGCTCTTGGTCTTGGAATATTACCATAAATATCTAATTAAACCCATTCCTTTTCACAAATCTTATATGCAAATAAGTCATTAAAATAAGGATGACTTCTAGAATCATCTCTACCACCAAAGATAATTATTATATTCATTTCTTATACATATGATGCTGTATGTTAAATTCTTGGATCAGGTTATTTTCCAAAAGTTTCAGGAATTACCCAAGGATTATTTGGTTAATCTAATTTTAAGAGTGCCATAAAATTGTTGTAGAATTATGTATTTTTAATTTCATCTATATAACATCCTCCAAAACAATATATACCCTCATGTTCAAGGGCTTTGTAAGGTTTACTTCTTGTATCCTTTTTTTCAAAGATCAATTATGGTTTATTATAAGCACAAACTAATTACTAGAATGCCAATCCTTTATTAAATGGATTCTTATTTGTTTCTAAGGGATTCCATTTACAAAGATCTAAAATTTAATTATAAATAAATACTTAAATTTAAATAATGAATATCATTAAAAACTGAAAATCTACTTCTAATACCACCCATAACAATCAATCCTTTTCCTACTATACAACTACCAAAAGATCTTCTACTTTCAGGTATATTCTCAATATTTGGTTTCAATAATTACCAAGTTTCTGTTTCTAAATCAAAAATTCTTGTATCACTTAGATTTTCTCTTAATTTCAAAGCTGAATTATATTACATTTCACCTCCATACATTATAAGTTGTTTTCCATTAATCTAAGTATATTATTGATTATCATAAGTGAATTAAGTCGATAAAGTTATTGGGTAACCAATACTATGTAAACAATGACCATAACGATTTAAAGGAATATCACCATTTTATTTAATTTCTCTAAATTTACTTGTTTATATTTCATATTCAATTAAATCACCCAAAACTTCACTTCCTATTCCACCAAACATATATATTTTTTTTTAGAAATCTGCTGCCATAGTATTTTCTCTAATTGTAGGTACCCAAGAATGCTACAATTTTGTAAAAAATGCTCCATTAAAATACATAGGAAATGTCACTTTCTTTTTTGCAAATTATTGGATAACGTTAGGAGATTTATCATTATTATTATTTTTAAAAGACTCTATACGATGTGGAACTTTTTTAACTTATTTTTACATTCTAGTAACAGTTCTTATTTTTTTCTAATTTAAATCAAATCATTTACTATTATATTTTCTTAATATTCTTAGTATTCATTTTTTTATTTGTAAAGAGTTTTTCCTAACATCAAAAGCATTTTCTTATTTTAAGTTAAATCATTTTAAATTGTTTAGTTTAATTATTATGAGGAATCCATAGAATTTATAGGAAAACCAAATTTAGGATTCAATTCATTTAAAGATCTGAAACTAACGAATTAAGCATCACCTGATTAGACTGTAATCTATTTCCTTTAAAAGACATTACATTAACTTTAAGTCCCTCTGTTGGAAATCTATTTGTTTATGTCAAATCTAATATTGGAAGTTTTTATTAACTGGAAAATCTGTGTCTTTCAGTCATTTTATATTTAATATAATTTTATATATTCAAACCTTTATATTAAATTAACTTTATTTTTAAGCATTATTTTTTTATTTCTAACTTCTTAATTTGGCAGTAAATCCAAAAGATTTATCTAATTTAATCATACCTTTAGAAGTATGTTAACTTTAAGCATCAATCTAAATCAAAATCCTTCTTAAATTGTTGTGAGGTAAATAATTGATATAATTATGCATTTTATCAATATTAATATAAGTAAATTTCATAGAGTCGAATACATGATCAAGCATTTTAAATGAAAATGTTGTTTATAAATTAGTTTGAGATACTATAGGTTATGATTAATTTGTTGAATTTTAATGAGATGTTTCTTTATTAAATTTCAATTGATTATTTGCTCTTAATGGAGTACCTGCTGAAAATTTACTTCTTATATAATTCTAACTTCCAATATTCTATATAATAGTAGTTTTCTTATTTGGATTATTTCTAATCTAAATAGGAGTACTAGAAATAAATTCTATTTTTTTGAATTGTTAATCATCATCTTATTCAATTATTTTTGATTCTTTCCTAGAAAGATTATCAGTAAAATCATTTATATTATTCATCATATATTATTAAATAGTCATTTTAACTTCTTCTAAAATCATTTTACTATTCAATTTTACACAATTTCTACTTACTAAAGATCTTTATTGCTTAATCTATATTTATTCTTATTTTCTTAATTTATGTTAAATATTAGGTTAATAAGTAAGTAAAGGACAATTTTGTCTTAAATGTGTATTTCTTTAACAAAATTAACATTTATAATTTAAATCAATTAAATCATTATTATTAGCTGCATTATCTTTAATTGTATGATATATTTCCCAATCTTTTTTAGATTCCAATATTAATTTTATAAATTATTATTTGTTCAATTTAACTAATTAACAAAAATCATCACTTATAATATCTATTTTCTAATCATTAAAACCAGTAAAAAATTCATATTAATTAAATGTCTCTCCTTATCCTAATTTATAAATCAAAGAATTTGTAGTATTTGATATAAAATTTACATTCCCTTTTATTATATAATATCTAATATTTAATATATATACTTACAAATATATCTCATCTTCATTTAATACATTTCCACCCTTTTAAATATATTCCCCTGGTGAAAATTAAACTATCTTTACTAATCCTTGAATTTCTTGTAATATTTATTTACTAAAATTACAAGATAAAACCTTTATATTCTTAATAATCTTTCCAAGTATATCTGCCTACAATTCTTATTAAAGTCCTATAGATAATTTATTCATTAATTTATTAGCATCTATATTATCACCTTCTTAATTTTATATTAAATATTTTAGATTGTTTCTTACTTTATTTTGAATTTAATCATCTACATTATTAGATTTCATATATTAATTCATTATTATGACTGACTTTCTTTTAATATTGACATTTAATATACTTGTAATTTTATTTGACATCATTGAATCCTTTCAATAAAATGCCAATTGCATTCATTGAATAAGCAAATACACAACTTGAAAAAAACATAGCTACATTAGCAAATGCCATTTCATAGTTATTCTTAGGTGTAATATCTCCATATCCAACTGTAACCATTGTCATTGTAGCCCAATAAAATGCATTATTATATTGAGTCCAAATAGATTCATTTTCCAAATCATTATCCCTTATCCAATTCATTCTTTCACCATTTGAATTTAATCCAACCATCAACCACAAACAAGCCATAATATGAGCAAAGAAGTATATACTTACAACTAAAGTTAATAGATCAAAAGCATAACCCCCAAATCCTTTTTAATAAAGTTGTTCAACTATATAATCATATACTCGAAATATCCTAGCAAATATAATAATCAAAAGGAGGATTGCAAACACTTGAATTATGGTATTCTATTCAATCATTCTAAAAGATATTATAATCCATATGAATATTGAACAAACATCTAAATGAGATGATTTTGTTAAATAATTAATAAGAATATCATTTCGTGTATTAATGATTTAACCTTCAATATATATTTCTTTATTTATTGAGATAATTATTTCAACTATGTTAATGCTAATAAATAAACAACCAAAAGTTTGAAAATTTATTTCTTTTGAATTTGAAAACGATATAATCAAAGCACATATCCAGAGAGATATAAATTGTATTAGAATATTGAAAATTTCCCAATAAAATAAAAATATATTAGATGGAGAAATTATATTTTTTTAATTCTTACGAGTAATCTAAGCTATAAATTAATGAGATTTAATACTTGATGTTTTTTTAACTTTGTCTTTTTGTAAATAATTTTCTATTTATAACAATTTAGCCTTAAATTTCTATGGCATTATGTAAGAAAATTATAAGAGATTGTTTTTGAATTTCTCTATAATTTTATTTTATTTAGCTATCTTAGTAAATTTAAATGTTTCTAACTTTTTTGATATTCTTCTACTAGATGTCATATTAATTAATTTCTTTTCTTAATGAAAATCACTTAAGTTTTGGCTGAGTATTTCATCATAATTTCTTTCACTTTCTTATTGTAGATATGAAGATGAAAAATCCTTAACATATCTGATATAGGAAGATCTTGGAGAAAGCTATGGTCCCATTGGCATATCAGTATTTAAGACAATTAAACTAGGTGAATCCATTATTTATAAATAATAATATTTTTAGTAAATAGATTATTCTTGATTGATGTATTTAAAATTTTGCTGATATTTGGATATCAAAAGTGAGGCTATATTATTTATGAAGAGAGTAAATCTCTATTTCTTATATTAATATAAGTTTTGGATAAGCCATTAATATCTATCCCTTATCTACCAATTTGCTTTTTGTCAAGAAATTTCTCTCTTAATTTGATAGAGTTGGAACAATTATTTTAGGGCATGTAAGTCTAATATTCTCTCATTTGATCAATTTCATTGTAGTGAAACTAGTATATAAAATAAAGATAGTAAATAAATGAATTCTCTTTAAAAATTAATTCCTTAGTAACTTCCTTATTATTATGATCCATAACAAAGTAATTTTTTGGATGAGACCCTTTAGAAGATTGATTAAAGACATATCTACTAGATTTTCCTCTCATCATTGCTAAAGTTGGAGGTCCAGTATTGGTTGTTGGATTAGTTTAAGGTAAAAGATTAGATCCTTAATTTTCAATAGGTTGATCTTCACTACTCTTAATTTCTATTTAGATTGCCTATTATTATTATTAAGTATTTGGACTTTCTTCAGAATGTTTCTGAATTTCTCTAATTACTTCATGAAATGAACTCTACTTTTCCAAAAACTCTTCTACTGCTTATGTGATTTATTATTATATAAATAATGACTTAATCTTATTTCCCATTCTAACAAATGCTTTTCGATTTTGAAATGGATATTTTCTTTATTCTCTTATTGATATAATTTGAGGATCTGGTTTATAGTTGAGCAAAGGACAATCAATATTTGAATGAGTATACATTTTACAGAAATTGCAACTTTATAAAATCACATAGTAATTTGAATTAAGTATTAAATTATCTTTGATATTATGAAACCTTTCAAAATCTTTATTGGAAGATCTTATAATTTTTAAAAATATATCTCTTTTAATTTAATAAACTTCAGAGAATCCTATGCTTTAAGCACAAGTTTTAGTAGAAAGACCTGTAAAAAATTAATATTCTCCAAAAGTATTAGTAGATTTAATTATTTATAATACTTTTCCACTCTTTTCTTCTGTTATTTAAATTTAACCTTCTTTTATATAATATCTATGAAATATATTTTTTAATAATTACAAATTATTATCAATTTAATCTTGGTGATAAATATAATCTCCAGGAGTGAATTTTAATTATAAAAGATTCTAAGATACTTCTGATTAAGTTTGTTTAGTAAATTAAGATGTGATTATTTTTATTTTTTGCATAATATTCATTTACACATTAGTTTATAATTCTTACTTTAATTAATTAGGTAAATCATTAATAATTTAGTTTACATCCTCATTATTCTCTTTAGATTCCATTTCCACTTAATATTTGATATAATCTCTTACTCTACTTTGAATCTATTGATCTACTTAACTTTATCTCATATAAGAATTCATTAAAATGAGAGATCTTTTACATTTATATTTAGCATCCTATATACTCTTAAGAATCATTCCAATTGAACTCATTGAATATCCAAACATACAACTTGATAACAACATTAGTAAATTTACTGTGACTAATTCTGCTTCATTTTATGGTGTAATATCACCATAGCCAACAGTGACCATTGTCATAGTAGCCCAATAGAAAGAATGATTATATTTAACTGAAATAGGTTTATGTAATAAATTGTAATGTATTAACCAACAGTTCTCACTATCTGATGTAATATCACCAACATGATGAAATACACAAGCCATAAAATGAGCAAAGAAATATATCATCATTATTAAGGTAATAAGATCAACCAATTAATTAACAGCACCTTATAAATATAGAGATTCTATGAAATTTTCATAATTTCGTTTTACTTTTAAAATTGAAATAGTTAAGAGAATAACTGTTATTATCTCATTAGTCACAGGTATTTAATGAAAATCAAAATACATTAAAAACCACATTGTTAAGCTAATTAGATCTTCCAGTAATTGTCCTTTAAAGTAATATTATATTATCTCCAACTTATCAAAAATAATTTCTCCTTAAATCATAATGGGTCTATTCAAATGGATGATTATATCAATTATGATATGAATAATTAAAAACATTTCTGCTGCACTATAACTTTCATCATCTACAAATGATGATACAAATGGACAAAGCCATAAACTAAAACAATGAAAGAATGTTGCACTCACATCCCATATCATTACTAATTAGCTTCCTGGTGCAAATATATTCGTAGTACTATTCTAATTTTAATCTGATTATTATGACAATATTTTTACTTTAGTATTTTGTTTTATCAACTTTAGATTATAGATAGCTTTCTTAATTTAGTAAGTACTTATTATGTTATGACAAAATATAGGATTTCATTAATAAAGTATTTGCAAACTTTTAAATAAGTTAATTCTACTACATAGTTCTTAAAATGGACAATCCTTCAAATTTTTTTGATTATTCAGATTTCCTCTTGCCTAACTTTTATTATTTTATAATAATATTACTTATTATGTTCTTGTGGATTTCCTTCTTGCAATATTTAAATTTATAGTTTTCTTTTTATCTGCAGTTTCGTGTATACTCATCTTTATACCTTCACTATTATTTATCTTTAGCTACTGCTCAGATTCTATTGATAATCTCGAAGGTGATCTATCTTTTTCATAACATTTGAATGGGTGAGGATCATGTCTCAAGGCTGGACCCATTGCATTCTCTAAAAGATTTCTACTACTGCTTTATGAAAGCATTTAATTATCGTTTATAAATTAATGATTGCTAAAATTATTACTAACTTTTATCATAACCTTTCAAATTTCAAAGATTTCTATGGTTATGAAAAAAACTATTTTACTCCAAATTTGATCCAAACAATCAATAAATCAAACAAAACTTATTATATAATCATTTTATTACAAATCATAAGAGAAAAAATACTAAAATATTTAAATAATTATCTAGTTCAATTATAAAAATAAGGAAAAAAATATAATTCATTTATAAAAAATTGAATATCCTTACTTATAAGAATTCTTATTAAAAAGATATTATTAACATAATTCTTATATATTATATCAGACAATCCATAAAAGTATTATATCCTCGTAAAATCTTTGTATTATATATATGCATTCTATGTATCTTAAATTGATATCAATTCTTCAAAATAATTATAAAATTCTATATATTATAAAATAATATAATAAGTAAATCTTAATGGCTAATCATTTTATAATTTAATTGAATTAGAATAATTGGCTTCAGTGAAACTAGTTTTAAAAATGCATATCAATACTGTATAGTTTAAGAGTAAATGAAGAATAAACAAACAAAAAAATGATAGAAAAAATTGCTCTATTATAAAAAATTTATCAGAATCCAAGAATAATCACAAATAACTCAAAAATATTTATGAAAAACTAAAATATTAGTCATCCTTTTATTAAGAAATAACTGTAACATTAGCTTATTAATGGAAAGTGCATAAGTTGTTTCAATTGATTAATAAATGGAACAGATTTATTGATAAATGTAGACTTTAGGTGTTAAATGTCTATTTTTTGGATGAACTATTTCTTTGTAGTACTGCTTTTAATAGAAAGGAGAGATTTAAGAAAATATTCTAGAATTTATATTCTGAATTGATTTCAACTATGATGAGTGTGGCATCAATGTAATAAATGAAAAGAGATTATGTAATTCCAAATTAAAATATGACCTATATTAGATAGATATTTATCATATTTCAAATATCTTTAATGTATTTAAAATTTTAAGGTTCTCTTAATGCTCTTAGTAAATTATATCTATATTTTAAATGCCATCCTGTATTCATGATTCGAGAATTATAGATGTAAGCAACTGATTGTTATCTTAAGAAATATTGACTATTAACTTTAATTTAAATATTTTACCTAAATATTCTAAAAGTTTAATTGAATTATTTTAGTTTTTCATCCTCACAATCAACCCACAATTCCCTTAATTATTGGATATTTGTCATCTTATTTTTTTTCTCTTTCAATATTTACATAAAATCTTCAAATTCTCTATTATCCAACAATTTCAAACCTATGTCTTTATTTTAAGTAATATAACTGATAATCGCTTTTGAAAAATTTTTAGTTATATTTTTTGTATCATTGACTTTATTGATTTTCTTTGATTTTTTAACTAAGAATGAATGATCTGACATCTTCTCATCATTATCTTATTCTTCTGAATGAATTGATTGTGATTCATCAGCCTTACCTGAGAAAACGAAAAATTTGTCTTTCATCTTAAAATGTTAGGCTTATTAGTTATTCTGTCTAGGATGAGTAAGATATCTGTCTTGACTCTACATAATAGAATTTATTCTCTAAAATTTTATTTCTTAAGAATAATGAGGAGCAATACTTTAGAACGGTGAAACTAAATATCAGAATAGTAATACAAGGTATAAATGGTATTTAAGGCTTTAAAAAGGAGAATTATCCAAAATTACTATCTGTAGATTCTAAGACTTTAGCCTTTTTAAGATTTATTTCATCCTTAAAGTGGACCTTAATAAATTTAATTTTGTATCGTACATAAAAATGAGTTCCTTAATATGGCAGCACTATTATATTAGATTTTTTCTTATTATTTTAATGACGTAGAAGATTATTGAAACATTTAATAAACTAGCATTATACTTTTTAAATATGATCCATCTATATAATATATAAAAATATACTCTAATTCTTGAATCTGCTCCATCGAAACTTCGATAGACATTCTATAATTAAATTTATTATTATAATATTTGATTTTGAAAGCTTTCCTAACTCATAAGATTCCCTATCATATCGTAGTTTTTGATTAAATATTAAAATATATATTAAGTTTATTTTCATTATTGCATAAATCATTCAAAGATGAAATTCTTCCTTCCTACTTCAGCCTAGTAAACTGGACATAAATGATCTACATCTTAATAATCATCCATCAATAATGGAATTACACAAGCACTAATAAACAAAAATGATCATCAGTATTACCATAACAATTTAGTTAACATTATTAAGGCTATTAATAATTAACCCTTTCCAATCTTCAATAAAACATATTTTTAAATTTGATTGTTACAATTAAAACAATAAATTTAAGTGATATCGTCTTGTAAATTAAATATTCTAAAGTTTTTATGGCATCACTAACTCAACTTCAGTGTTATTACAAATTACTTCTCTTTTTTATCATAATACAACAAATTTTTGATTCAATATAATACTTTTTTTATAAATAAAATTTTTCCATATTTTTTATTTTCTATTTATATTGAAAGAGTATTATAAACATAATCATGAAATAAAATCTCATGATAGATGAAAAAAGAATAATTTAGATGGAAATGACTCATATTTTATTACAAAATAAACTATTGTAATTATTATGTGTAATATAATTTTCATCTTTTTGAAGACTTTTTAAGTAAAGCTTTATGCTAATAATTTTCTAATTTCTCTTTCTAAGACTCTGTATTGATAATTTCACATTACTATTAATTCTTTTAATCTATTGAATTTTACTTTGTTGTTTGGTTGATTTATTTATTATTTAATCCTTTATCCATATCTCGCTCTGATTTTGAATCAATAATACTAATATCAAATTCATTATTTTCTAGTTCTTCTTATTCTTTTCTTTCAAATTATTCCAAATTACTGTTATTAGGAATAGTAAATTATTTAATTATTGATTTCTTTTTTTTTCTTGATTAATTCTTATTTTCATTAATTGTTTCTAATATAGATATCATCTCTTTAGTATTATTTTTCTCATTTTAAATTTAAAATTTATGCCAATTTTGTATTTATTAAAGAGAAGCAGTTGCTAAAAAATCTTTATATTTTTCATCTGTTGTTTAGTCTCTAAGACGATTCCTAATTTATCTAACACATTTTCTTATTTAACATTCTGTATTCCATTTAGTAAAAACATAAGAATGACTATTAAGATTTTCATAACGTTCTAATTTCTCAATGATTGTTAAAAAGAATATATTTTATTCTTCATTAATACCTTTATTGATTAGATCATTAATTTTATTCTTGATTTCATAAAGTTTTAAATCAATAATTTTATTTATTGGTGTTCCAATTTTAGCAAGATGATAAACTAAGGACTCTTTAGATAATCCTAAGTCTATTAGATCATTAATGAAGATTTGATAATATTCAATATACAAATCTTAAGATAAATTTGGATAAGTTTATTTATGAGGATTTAGAATTTACATCTATTCATGAGACAATGGAAAATTGAGTGCTCTTACAATTTTCCTAATCAATTGGAGATCTTTGTCTGTTTTGTAAATATCTAAGAAAGAGAAACAAAGTTCAAGAGTTAGGAAGGAGGTATTGTGATTAAGTAAATGTAAATACAATCTTCTAAGAGTACTCATGTAGGCTTCTAGATTATTCAATTCTAATTAATCATAGATATTTGGTAATTTGGTAATACAATCTTTCAAATATTGATGAAGAACTGAGGATTAAGATATAAAAGATTACCATTCTTTGATTGCTATTATTGTATATTGAGTGCTTTTTCTAAATCAAATAATGGAATAGCTTATGATATTCTATTATCGTTTTTTGTAGATTCTTTGTTTTTCATAATTTCTTTTGTTGCTATAGTTGAGAGATTGTACACATGGTCTTTAGAGAAGTGATGGATATAGAGGGTTGCCTTTTCTGGTTCTACAATTGGGAATCTTATTTGACATGCATAACAGAAAATGAAATGTTGATCTTTATTGATTTCAAATATGATTTTGAACAGTTGTTCGATTGTGAGTTTTTCCATTGAAAAAACTAAATATGTGGATTGTCTTTTGAATTATGTAATGATTTATTTGGATTTTATTACAAATATTAAATTGATAATTGTAGAATGTATATATAATAAATATTTATATAAAATTAGTGTATATAATTTACAATAAATAAATAATATTTGAATTTGAATAAATGAATTGGTAACACCCATTCGTTGATGTTTTTAAATAATTTGGTGTATTTGAAATAGCACATACTCAATCAAAAGGTTAGGTTTCAGTTGTTTAAGTAAATATGTAAATTGATTAATAGGATAATTAAATAGGAAGAAAGATAATAAGATTATTAGGAGCAATATCAGCAAATAATATGGTATAGATTCCAGATCCATGTTAAGGAATCAAACAATTAGGATTAACTGGTAGATATATTTATATTGAATTCATTCCAATCAAAGGTAGATATTTTACTATGCATTTTGATTTGTAAATTAAAGACAGAGATCCTTTGATCAAATTAACAGTCTCTAATATGTATGATGTTCATAAAGTATTCATCAATATAATTAATTTAATAGGTTTAACAATCTTAACTCTTAATACCATACCCAAAAAATTCTCCCAACAAATGGACTATATTAATTTTAGATGTTGAATACTTTTTGGGTAATTTTGGATTACTACCAAGCAGTTTGTATAAGTCTTTCAAGGGAATTCATTCATTAAAATCATTTCAAATTTGTAGTTCCATGAACATTAGAGGAATCTACACAAGTGATAATCTCTATGATTGGGAAACTATGCCTAAATAAATGTTATTTAAATTGGCCAAAGGATAAAAATGGACAGAAGAATATCAAATTGCATATTGGCCTGCTCTAGATGTCCAACCTCATATTTTCAAATAACCTTTAGTGGAAGTAACTACTGATATTTTAGATAATCTAATGAAAATATAAGAAAATAAAGAGAAGTATAAATAGGAAACTTAGAAATCTTTTAAATAAGGTTAAGTTTAACATAATACATAATAAATAGAGGAATTAGTGAAAAGGAGACCTGGTGATTAGAATGTAGCCTAAAGTAAATCAGTAGATGCACAAGATCATCCACTTTAACCATATCCAATATAATAATTAGATAAAATAATAGGATTTACAGTTAATTCATGTCCTGATATTAAATGGGGAAGACAAAATGAAACATAAAAATAAATAACATATGCAGCAGGATAATTATTGGTTTAAAGCAATATTTAAGATGGTAAATAGAAGTTTTTTATGGGACATTCTAAAGCAATATCATGTTTGGATGTAAGTAAAGATGGAGAATGGTTAGTAAGTGGATAGAGTGAAAAGAATGCAATTATAAGAATATGGAAGAATAATTGTGATTGTTTAAGTGCATTTGCTACTCCATATTCATAATTGAATTATTTATCATTTAGTTAAGATAGAAAAATGTTAGTAACTGTTGGATAGGATGAACATAATAGAGAAATTATTATTGTATGGGGATTAGAAAAAATAGAAAGTAGTAGAAAACCTATATTATTTGCTAAATAAACAAGTTCATGTAATATATTGGCAATCAAATTTTCACCTGTTGATAATAATAAAATACTCTCTTGTGGACATGAAAATATTAGATTTTGGAGAATCAAAGATGAACATCTTCCTGGAGCAAGTGTTGTATTAAATCATCATGCCAGAAATACAACATTTACTAATTTTGATTTTGAATTTAATTATGAAGATTAAAATGTTAGTAACATTTATTTTGGATCTAAAAATGGATATTTATTTTAAGTTGCTTATTAAAGTTAGAAATTAATGTAAGTATATAAAGTACATAATGATGCAGTTACAGCTGTATGTTTATCTGCTGGATTTTGTATTACTGGTAGTTTAGATTAATATCTTAGAGTTTGGCCATTAGATTTTAATGAATTTTATATTGAAGCTAAACATGAAGGAATAATTACTTCATTGGATATATCAATTGATGGTTTATAAGTAGCTTGTGGTACATCAACAGGAGGATTAGGTATTTTAGATATTAGTAGTCATCATTACAAGACTATTATTAGATCACATACTAATGTTATTAATTAGATTTAAGTACATCCATTTTCTAAATTATTAATAACATTATCAGAAGATTGTACAATTAGATTATGGGATATTGAAAAATCTGATTAAGTTTATGAATTTACATTTCCATAAGATGATAAATGTGTTTGTTTATCATCATCTCCAATTGGAATGTATTTTGCAGCTGGATTCAAATCTGGAACTCATAGAATATTTGATATTGAATAGACATCTATTCTTGTTGAAGGAAAATATCATGATTTAGAAATCAAATGCATATAATACAGTTCTAATGGATAATAATTAGTTATTGGTGATGCTAAATCAATCTATAAAATATATGATGTAAGTAGAGATTATTAGCCTATTAAAACTATTTAACATTCAATATAATCTTAGAATGTTTGTGGTTAATTTTCAAAAGATTCTGCAATTTTATCACTGATTGAGAATTCAACCAATATTGAATTATGGGATACTTCATCATTATAATAAATTTTAAAGATTTAAACAAGATTTACTTTGAAAATATTGAAATGGGCAGAAAATAATGTAGAATTATTATGTGGTACTACAGATGGAAGAATTATTATTTATGGAATTGAAAGAGTTAATGACACTATTACTGCATATTATTTAAGAGAATAGACATTTATGCATAAGTAATCATTAAATGATTTTGTTGTATCACCAAATATGAAATATCTATTTTCTGTAGGTGCTGAATAATATTTAAAAGTTTGGGATTATGAATTTTAAGTTAAAGGACCAGGATCTTGTTAGGTATTTATTGGTCATTCCTCATAAATAAATTCTATTGATTGTGCTGATAATGGTAGTACTATTATTACTGCAGGTGGAAAAGAAGGAATATTTATTTGGAAATTTTTAGGTTATACAGGTAAAAATGAAAGATTGATTAGAATGGAATAAGAATAATTAGTATAATAATGTACTAAAATTGATATGTAACAAGATTAATTTGAATAATAAGATTAATAAGATGAATAAAATGAAAAATTAGATGATTATTATGATATTTAAGAAAATAATGAAAATCTTTAACCTAATAAGGATGCTCATTTGCATACATTTTAATAAAGCTAATTAGTAGAAATGTTTAGTTTAGTTAGACAATTACCTTAAAAAGAAGAATAAGAAGAAGAATAAGGATTGGCAAACAAAAATGTCAATACACCATTTAAGCCTGATCATTTTAAACCATCTAGATTATAATAAGAATTTAAACCTATTACTTTTGAATTTGAAAGATAAATTCTAAATAGAAGGATATCAAGAAGTCAACTTAAAAAATAATAGAATAAATAATATTAATCTACTTAATTACCTTTCAGATAATATATTTTACCTCAAATAAAAGGATAATCTTAATAACCGACTTTATCTTGTAAATATATGGTTGGCTATAATACTAAAACACATGATAATATCATATGGTGTTAATCTTATGGTTGGTATGCATATACATCACAAAATTTTATTATCTTTGAGAAATTATAATAGGAAAGAGAATAATAAATTTTGAGTTTTGATGCTACAGTGAGTGTGATTTACCTTGATAAAACATAAAAGCATTTAATTGTTGGTCTTGCACAGAAAGTACAGGATGCTGCTCCAATATATGTTTTTGAAATCTAAAATAATGCTAGTCAATTAGGATTTAAATAAATTGCTTAAATGAATTTTCATACATAAGGAGTTCATCAAATTTTACTAACTGAAGATGAAAAATATTTAATTTCTGTAGGTAATGGAAAAGAGTGTACTGTTGTAATTTGGGATTTCATTACTAAAAAATTAATAACTTCATCATATACATTGGATAGGATTAATGATATCAAAATATCAAAACATTCATTTTCTAAAGAAAGAATAATAGAATTTGCAACAGTTGGTAGAGATCAAATATATTTATGGGCTTTTACAAAAGATCATAAATTAGAATATTTTGATGTATTCTTTCCTAAGAATATTAATACTAATGAACTTGAAGAAATAACTACATTTGATTATATAGTTTATGAAGGAAATAAAAATAAATAATCATCATAATCATTAAATTTATCAGATAGAGTATCTTTTGATAATAGTTAATAATCATAAACTGTAAAAACTGAAGAGATACTTTTGGAAGAGGGTTCTAAAAATTAATTATCATTTCCTCAATTATAATAAGAACCAACATAAGAATCAATGAAATAATAATAATAATAATAATAATAATAATAACAACAATAAAATAAAAATTAAATTACTTAATTACTTATGTTAGGATTAAAATCAGGAGAAATTGTAATTATGAAATATGGAGAATTTAAACCAATATATAGAAAATAAATTACCAATGCTGAAATCACTTATCTTAAAGTGAGTTAAGCTGCAGGTAAAATTATTTTAGGTAGTACAGAACATTCCTTTTTTATTATGGATATAAAAACTGTTTTAACTTTGTAATCATTTTTAGATTCTGGATTTGCTTTTTAGAGAATGTAATTACCTGCAATGGTTTCATCATATGTATTAGATCCCTTTTATACTTAAGGAATCTTTGGATTAAGTAATGGTAATATATATTTGATATCTTTTACAACAAAACAATATTTTCTTTTAAATGCTTCAAATTGTGATTAAAGTGAAATAGAAATTAAATTATGCAAATTAGTTGAAGATAATATTTTAGTTACAACATTTAATCAAGGTATAGTTAAATTATGGAGAATGGACACAGCTGAATTATTAGTAGAATATTAATGGGAAAAGGAAATAGTAGAGTTTTTTTATGATGCTCAAATCAAATAGATAGTATTTATATAAGAATTTGGTTAAATTAAGACTATTCATATAGATAGATTGGATATCTATGATTAGTATTATCATATAGGTAAAGGAGGACCAGATAAAATAATTTCCTGTGTTTTTGGAATCTTTGACTCAATTCCAGGAAAGTTTGTTTTAGATGAGAGTGGTTAACTCTTCTTTTTGGAACATTTATACAAGAATTAAGAATATATAATCAGATATATCAAAGCATTAGAATTACCAAATGTATGTTAATTAGTAGAATAATGTGAAAAGAGAGTAATATTTGCAATAGAATAAGATACAGGAGTAGTTTCAACCTTATAGATAGATTATAATTCAACTAGATAGTATCCTTTTGCATTTACTCTTTTTGATTATGTTAATTTTTTAGCTAATCCACATGGAAATTTAGATAATGAATAATCATAAAAAGATACTTAAACACTCTACTCTTCAGTTGATACTTAAACATCAATTATACCTGCACAAGGATTTGATAATGTTTATTTTGCTATTCTTAATACACTTTAATATCTTTATGGAAGAAATTATAATAAGAAATAAATCATCTTATTAATCAATTTAAATGATTTCCCATTATATTTGTCATTAGATAATAATATTAAAATTTATGTTGTCACTTAAAGTATTTTATATAATTTAATTTAGATGGTTCCATTGAAGTGGTTTAACCTAATGAAGGCACCAATTAAAATTAGATTCATATAAGTTAATTAAATAGTTAAATTGATCATATTATTTGTCAGAAAAGAAAAACCAATTTTGTTATTACCAACAAAACTATTATGAATTTTTATTAATATATTTGATTTGTTAAAATATTATATTAATTTATTTATTATGTAAACCCACAAATTCTAAAATAAATAATTAACATTGTTAGACTTAGTTTTAAAGAATGATGATGATCAATATAGAATAAAATCATAATCAAATTCTAGTAGATTTGAAAGAGAAGATATTCATCATTCTTAATATAATTAATTAGGTATCTCCTTATATTATGATGCTAATATTACCGGTAATGAATAATTTGTTAGCAATTCATTGTTTCGTTCTATTCTCAAAAATATTGAAGATAAACTTTTAGAACTTGAAACTAGAATAGATAATAAAGATAATTTGACTAAATTCTCATATCAAATTGATCAACTTAAACATCAATAATATCGCAATCCATTTCTTAAAGATGATCTATTATTGCAAGAATACAAACGGCAAGATAGTCAAATATCAGAAATGATAGATGATCAATCTGTTAGAGATACAGGAGTCAAATTTCATAAACCAAGTAGATCAAGATCAACTTGTACTAATAATTATGATGAATAATTATCTTCATCTAATAATAATGCTTCAAATCTAAAATAAAAAAAAAATAAAATCACTGAAGAAACTACTTTCACTAAGTTAAATCTTTTTGAGAAGAAACTTTTATAATTTCAGGATTAATTTTAAAAATATCTATAGAAAGAAGAAATCTCATTTAAGAAATTAGAATAGTAAGTATAAGTTTCTTTAAAGGAAGCTGAAACAAGATTATTTTAAAATACTAAATCAATGGATAAATATTCTGAAAGTTTAAATAATTATAGTGAATATTATAAAGAATTCTTAAATAAATTATAATAACTTACTTCTTAAATCAAGTATTAAAATCTAATTATAGTAGCAATCATTAATAGGAAATAAACCGATTGTCAGATGATTCAAAAATACCTTTCATTTAATTAGAATAAACTATTGCTGCAATTAATAAGCTTCAAAATATTCACAATGATTAAATACTATCAATAAAAGAATCCTATACATATTTAGAAACAGATATACTAACAATAATGAAAAATTACAAAGATCTAATACTTGATAAATAAATTAAAAATAATAATGTGTAATTGAAGTGATTACTTTATTAATTATATATAAAAAATAGGTATATGAATATTAAAATAAAAAAGTAATTCATTTGATAGTTTCTGGATTTTAGATAGGAAGTTCAGAATGTACTTTCTTTGATATCATTTAGTCCATCATTTATAAAAGTTATTATTTCTTTTTTTAATGATTTTCTAAAGCAACATTTAATGTTTATTAATTCATTCTAATTCCATTATCATTAACTTTTGCTTGTTCTCTATCTAAAATATACCAAGTAAACTAAAATTAAATTATTGAATTACATTAGAAATATATTCAATCAAATTGTAAGTAACTACAATTATAATTCCAATCATTATTAGACAAGCTAAAATAACACCTGCAATATATTCCACATGATATCTAAATTACATTCTATTTAATATAGATATTATAATCAAAGTTGTAATTAGAATTAACATTGATAAATTAATAGATAAATACATTAGAACCTTTCTATGTTTAAGTGGATCCTTAAATGCATTAGTGAAATTAATATCTTTGTAAGATTTTATAACAAAATTAAAATGACACTTTTCACATTATAATGGTTTTGTTACTTTATTAAATTGATTATCTATGTACTTTTCACAAAATTCCTTTTATTCACATTATTGATGAATATGTTATTTTGATTTACAAAGACAAGGTCTAATAAAATTAGAAAATTAATCAGCTTGTCCACAAATTCCACAATATTTTTCTTCTTGAATCTATTCTTTTATAGAAGAAGATGAACTTTATTTTCTAGTATTTATTTTATTAGATATAGATAATCGAGAAGTCTTAACTTACTTTGATTACTTTTAAATTGGTGATTGATTGTATGAATCTTCTTGACTAACAAATGTGAATTAATTTTCAAATTCTTTCTAGCCTTATTTAGGTTTTAGTGGTGATAGATTACTAATACAACTTGTATTGTTAGTTGAATCTTAATTGTTTCTATCAGTATTCTCTGAGAATACACCTTCTACTAATTATTGTATCTTCTTATTTTATCTATAAGAATTAATATAATATAAAATACTCATTAATTTTAGAAGTTGATTAATCTAAAGGACATTAATTTGTGCGTATGAGATCTGAATTCAAAGTATTGACATTACTATTAATTCTGAAGCTCAAAATCTTTGGACTTGTTTCTGTCTCCATATTACTTTATTATTGAGATATTATTTATTTTTTGCGCAAAATATAAAAAGATTTATAAAGTAACTTTTTACCAAATTTCACTCTGAAATAAAAACAAAAAATATTATAGAATTTATAAATAAATGTAATTTAATAAACAAAAATAAGAGTATTAAGATAAATACAATTCTTTTCGTAATCATCCTGCCTTTAACAAATTAAATAATAACATTATCAAAGACATAATTGATTCTGTTAATATCTTATCATTTATCAAAAATTAAAGTGTTTACATTGAAAATGAGTTAATGACACATGTATTCATTATTAAAACAGGAGAGTTTAAAGTAAACAAATAAATTAATACATAGAGATGAGTAAAAGGATATTATAATCAAATTCTGTGTATTATAATCAAAAAAAATGGAAGCAATTTGAGATTTGTTTATTAGAAAAAGGTGAAACTTTTGGAATAGAACATTAAGATGAAGAACCAAAAGGATATTATAAATATTCAATTACTTGTCATTCATATGAAGGATCATTATATTCTTTAAAATTAGATTAAATCTCTTTAATTTTAAAAGATCATCACATCAAAGAATCTGTTTATGATCTATTTTATTATCAATAACAATTAAGTAAGAATAAGCTATACATCTATCGAGAATAATAAATTAATCAATTATATTCAAATATCACTTAGTCATTAAAACATAGAGAAATTAGATCATATTCTAATTTCAATAATGAAAATGTGAAAATTAGGTCAAAATCTAATGTCAACAATGAAAGTGTTAACAGTAATTATAGATTGTAAAACAGATCTATAAGTTATGATATCTCATATTGTGATAAAATATAATCATTAATTAATTACTAAAAATAAATAATAAGTAATCCAAGAAGGATTATTAAGACTGAAGTATTAGAAGATGATACTTATGTAAATTAATCAGTAAATAATCACATTAAAGCACTTAAACCATTTATAAGTAATTTTGAATCAGGAAGAAATATAAGTAAACGAACTTAACAATATTCTAATGATCGAATAGATGAATCAAATTAAAATGAAAAGATTTTTAAATTGAAAGTACTCTATAAATTAGGATGCAGACCTAAGAATAAATTACAAATAAGATTACATTAAATTCATACCTAACATCTATCCAAAATATTCCCATTCCATCCTAAATGATTGATTAATAACTTCTTATTTTTTTACAATATTAATTTCTAATTATTTACTAATGTCAAAATAATAGCAATAGCAACTCTCGTATATATGTAAAGATTAACAAAACTAAAAAACTCAAGGTTAAAATTATCGAAGAGTATATATGAATCATCATATTATTAGATAAATAACAATCAAAACAATTTTGATGATAAAAATGCTTAAAATCAAAAAAAATAAAATAAATACAATAGAAGAAACAATTCATAAGAAAAATAATAGAATTGGTAGAATCCTTCATCTTAATCTGTTATAAGTATTTATTCAATTAATTTTATTAAGTAAGAGCACAAATTAATCAACCATTAAATAAAATCTATGATTCTTAGACATTAATTTCTGCATTTCAAGAATTACTTGAACCACCTAAAGAAATTGAAGAATTCCTTGAAAAAATTCCACATTTATTTTCTAAAGCTTCTTAGAAGCCTTTAATTTCTTCTTAAATATAATTCAGTCATATTGATGAAGATGAGCCACAATGGATGCAATCTAATGATAATTTTTAAATTTTAGATATAGAAAATGAAATTGAAAAAAAAAGAATAGAATATTAAAAATAGCATGGAACATTTGAGAAAAAACAAGAATTAAAATCCAAAAAACAAAGTGAATTTATTTAAGAAGAAATATCAGAACTTTAATTAGCTAAAGAGAAATATAGATAATTAAGAGAATAAGAAGAAAAGTAATTATAAGTTGCCAATGAAACCAAAGCAAAATTATAAGAATTATTTAGCTATTCTGAATTAGAACAACCTAAAAGTGTGAATCCCTCTATTAATTCATAGATTTTATCAGTAGAAGATGTTGAAAAATAAGTATTAGCTATTAATAATAATAAATAAACAGAAACAATCCTAAATGAATAACCTTAATTAAAGATAGAGAATTATTTTAGTAATTTCAATAACAATGAAACTGATGACTTTTTTGAATAATTAGAAGAAATGGGAATTCATATACAAAGAAAATAACAAGTACCTTTATAACCTGTAGTCAAAATTTCAAGAGAAAAAATTACAACCACTCCATTTTCACTGTAGGCTTAATTACATACAAGATCTCTATAAGAATCTTTGTGGTATTATATTGATAATTTTGGAAAAGTAAGAATATTTATCCTATGACATTTTAGATATAAGGAGGTTTTACAACAGAAAATATGGATCAATGGTTTTAACATAAGTATTTAAAAGCAAAATTAAATATATCTTGGGAAGTCCCTGGAAAGTGGATTACATTAGAATAATATTTAATAAATTTAGATTAGATTGAAAAAAAACTATTAGATCCTAAATGTGCTATGGATCCATTAACATTAAAAACAAATATAAATAATATTAATAATATTCAATTAAATAATTTATAGCAATTGTAATAAATGAATGCATTTAATATAAATAGCTTTCAAAATTAATAAATGAATACTTTTTAATATTAATAAATTAATAATAATTAATATCATCAATATCAAAATTAATAAATGAATAACTAATAAAACATTGTAAATAAAAAAAAAAAAAATAATAATAATAATAATAATGGTAAAGTTTAACAATATAATAATAAATAAGATTATCAAAAAAATAATTAATCATTATATTGATTTAAATTTGAGAATTATATTATAAATTATTGATAATAATTATATGATAAATCATTTATAATAACCAAATTATTTCTATAAAATATTAATATTAATATATATACCTTTTATCCTGAAAAATTATCATAAAAATAAGATTCTTAATTTTTACTGGGACTTTCATACCTAAAATTTAAATTTTAATATTACTTTAAATAACTAGTTGATAATCCACTGCTAATATCAATCTGTGATTTAATTAAACTTAAATTATTTGCTTCTTTTCTTATTTCATTATCAATACGAATGATTTATCTTTGATATTCATCTGAATATAATGGATCAGGAGTAAAAGTTGATTTTGAAAATTTAGAAGATACTCCTGAAAGTCTTGATTCTGAATATAATCTACTCAAAGTTTCTTATTCTCTAGCTATTTCTTTTTAATAATATTTGATCAATATTGATTCATCTCTTTTTTAAGTGTAAATATTTGGAATATTTAATTCATCACATAACTTTTTAATTTTCTCTTCTTCATCCTTAATTTACTAATGATAATAATTTAATAAAGGATTATCTATATAATATGGTTAACTCTCTTGTAAAACTTTTGATTAAGCAATAGGTTCTTATTGTTCAACTTTCTTTTATTCATTTTATTCATGATTTAATTGTTACTTTTATGTTTAATTAGGATTAAATGATTCTTAGAGAGCATCACTATTCTGTAAATCTTGTTAAGAATAATTGATATCTTGAACTTCAATTTAATTTTATTTAGTTTATTCCTCTACTTAATTTTATTTTGGTGCTTCATTTTACTATTCTTCTTATTATTCTATTTATAAAAAGATTTAATCAATTAAATTTTATAAGTTGTTTGGATTACCATCAATTATGATAAGGAATTTTTCTAGAATTTAATCTTCAATCTCTTATCCAATACTTTATAACCAATTTTTAAGAGAATCCAATGTGATTAGATTTTCACTTTCAAATATTCCTAATTCACCAAGATTGATTGGATCTTAAATATTAGAGTATTGGCTAAAATAAATATATTTCTTACTTATAATTAATTTTTAATTGTTCAAAGAATGCAGTTAAAGTAGCTTCAACTTCTTTTGGTAATAACATACTTTGTGGCATTTCATAAGATTTATGATTAAGTGCTTAGTCTTTTACTTGATCATTAGTTTTTGGTAAGATTACTTATTAGAAACTTTGAAATTATGAATAAATAGTTACTCTGCCAATGTAACCAAGTTGTCCTTATCAACATCCAATACTCTAAATATGTAACTTAATTATTCTTAAGTAATTTGAAGATTGTTATCATCAAGAAATTCTAGAATTTATTCTTCTTTCAATGCACTTTATCTTGGCTAATCAAGTCTTTTATACACTCAATATATTTATTAGAATAGATACCTGTATTAATTTCAAACATATCTAAACTTGCTAATGCAATTCTTATTTCCTCTAATTTATCTTCACTCTCAACAGTAATTAAGATGAATTCACAAAAATTCATGATAGAAAAATAAAATGAAAATAAAATTTATTAAATTTTATAAGAATATACTTTTGACTACATTATTAAACTTTCTTATTTGCTAATTTTTAATATAAAAAAATTATCATTCTTATTAATTTCTGATTATGTAATAGGAGAATTTTATTGATGAAGAAATTTAAGATGAAGAGGAAGAAATAAGAGAATAGAAGGAAGTACATGAATTTGCTAAGGAAATAAAAGAAAAAGTAGAAGAAACAAACAAACTAAATAAAGAATAATAGGATTAATAAAAGGTGAATGTAAATTCAACAATTGGTCCAATTAGAGTAAAATTTGATGTGTTGAGATGTTTTTTTGATAGAATGAGTAAAGTAAGAGGAAAAAAGAAAAGTGAGCTTTTAGATGTTTTAACTTAATTCTTTTTCAAACCTCCTAGAATACCTGAACATACATATATAATAATGAGATTAATTATTCCATTCTAAGATAGGGATAGGGGAGTATATAAATTATAAGAAAAAAACTTGGCTAAATTATTTAGATAAGCTTTAGGATTGTCAGATGATGATTATCAAAGAATGGCCAATTATAAATAAGCAAGTATGTAACCTTATGGAGCACCTGTTGGTGATTTTCCTATGGTTGTACATAATGTGATTAAGGATTATTGTAGAAAAGACAGTATAATAACAATATCAGAAGTGGATTAAATACTAGATAATTTAGTTAAAGCTTAAGATACTAAAGAATAAGAATTAGTTATAGTTGATTTAATAAAAGTATGTACAGCTGATGAAATTCTATGGATTATAAGAATTATATTAAAGGATTTAAAAATAGGTTTAAAATACGAAAAGCTTCTATAATTATTTCATAAAGATGCTCCAGAATATTATAATGCAACATCATCATTAAAAGAGGTATGTAAAGAGTTTGTTGATTAAAATCATACATTAAAGAATGTATTAAGAATATTTCATGCTATTAAACCAATGTTGGCAGCTAAGAAATCACCAGAAGAAATAAGAAAATTAATTGAAGGCAAAGAATTATTGGTTGAAACTAAATTTGATGGAGAAAGAATATAATGTCATTTTACTCCTGAAGTTATAAGATTTTTTACTAGAAATTCTAATGATTATACTTATTTATACAAGGATAAATTAGGAGATATTATAAGATAAAGTGTTTAAGCTTAATGTGCAATCTTAGATGGAGAAATCATTGTTGTTAATAAAGAAACAGGAGAAAATGTTAGATTTGGTTTAAATAAAACTGTTGCTTTAAATAAAGATGTTAATGATGATGCTTTTGGTCTTTGTTATAAAATTTTTGATATTCTATATCTCAAAACCTATTAAGGATAAGAAGTCAATACTATGAGTGCTCCTTTATCTACTAGAAGAAGTTTATTATAGAGGATTATAGTACCAATCCCAAATTAATTAGAAGTAGTATAAGCTTCAACAATTAAATCTTTTGAAGAACTTATTTAAGAATTTGATATGGCTATTGAAAGAAATTAAGAAGGTATCATAATTAAATAGATGGATTCTTAATATTTACCTAATGAAAGATCTACTAAATGGGTTAAAATGAAAGGAGATTATGTTGAAAATATGACAGATAATTGTGATTTATTAGTAATAGGTGGTTATTTTGGAACATAATCACATAGAGTAGAGACATTTGATGAATTTGATAGAATTACACATTTTTTAATGGGATTAGCTTAAAAAATAGATAAAAATTAACCAACTAATAGTGTAATATTACCATTTGTTAAAGTAGGAACTGGTTTTACTGATAATGAATTATCAACAATCAGAAATAAATTAAGAAATCATTGGATTAAGAAATAAAAACCTAATTATATACCTTAAAATTGGAATCCAGGTATTAATGATAGACCAGATGTTTATATTAATAATCCTGCTCATTCAATTATATTTGAAGTTAAAGCAGCAGAAATAACAAAATCTAATACTTTTCCAACTGATTATACACTTAGATTTCCAAGATGTTATAAAACTAGAATGGATAAAGATTGGTATGAAATGATGACCATGTAAGATTTATTAAGTATGATCAATGATTCATAATATACAAAGAATCTTAAAAAAAAGAATGATAAAGAAGGTAATGATAAATAAACAGATGATGAACTTGAAAATGAAGATAGACCAATTAGATAAGCTAAATAAAGAAAATAACCTTTAAAAAAAGGTGGAGCTCATTCTAAATAGATAACTATTATGACAGAATATTAAGGATTAGATCCAAGAAATATTACAAAAGAATCTAATTTATTTGTAGGATGTGAATTTTATATTGTGAATTTAGAAGAGGATTATAATAAATAATATTTAGAATCTTTAATTTTATCTTAAAGTGGAACTTGTATATAAAATTATATTGTAGAAAGTGTTACTCATGTTGTGGCTTCAATTATTGACTTTAGAGTTAATTCAATTATTGAGAAATTTCCAACTACTATAATTAAACCTTAATGGATAATAGAATGCATTAGAAGATCATAATTAGTTAATATTGCACCCAGATTTATATTATTTGCTCCTTTGGCTATTATGAATGAAGTTAATAAATTCTATGATAAATATGGAGATTCTTATTTTGAATTTATTGATGAATTAGCTCTCAAAGATATATGTGAAAATATTAAAATTAATGAACCAGTTAATTAAGATGATTTATTATAATTAGAAGAAGAATTACTATACTAATTACCAAAATTATGGATATTTTAGCATAAGACTTTTTATCCTTATTGTTTAAGTCATTAAATTTCTGAAGTAGAATTGGAAACTTTTAAATCTAGAGTAGTTGCAAGGGGAGGTTAATTTTTAAATAGCATTTACGATGAGAAATTAGATTTCATTATTTTATTTAAAGATTAGACTTTCATTCAGAATGAAAGACTGAAATAATTTTTCAATGAAAAACCATATATGAAAACAACTACATATACTTAAATGATGCAATTAATTGAAGAATAACAGTAAAAAATATTACCATCTTGAATTTAATATTATTATTTTTAATTATGGATATTCAATACAAATCAGCTTTACCTTTTGTATTGCTAGTCTTCAATGCCGTTCTAGGTTCTTTATTTTTCGGATATTCTATTTCCTATCTAAATTCAGCCTCAAATTTTTACCCCATTTATTATCTAATCATTGATTATGATGTCTCGACTTAGAATTTACTTAAAGCTCTAGTTGGAGGTATCAAAATTAAAATAATAGTATTTAGCTATTTTTACTTTATCTGCTGGAGCTGGAGCAATGCTTTCAGGCAATTTGTTACAAAAATTTAGTATAAGAAAATCTTTTATGATTACTGATTTAATTGGAATAATTGGGGTATTACTCGAAATAATATCTAATATTTATTGGTTTTATCTTGCAAGAATTTTAATTGGTTTTTGTGTTGGACTTAATTCTTCACTTATTCCATTATATATTAAAGAATTTTCACCTAATAGATTATCAGGATCACTAGGAGCATTAAATTAACTTACAATTAATATTGGAATATTGATAGGACTTATTTCAGCTTTGTAATTTTATATTTAACTTTAGTTTTTATAAATCAAATGTAGATGAATAATCTAATGATAATATTTTTAGATTATTTTTAGAAATACCACTCATATTTTGTGTAATTAGAACTTTGTTATTGATATTTGTATTTAAAAATGAACCACCATCTTACTATGTTCAATAAAATTAATTAAGTTAGGTATTTAATTTGATAAGAAGGCATAACAAATTGTTGAGAAATATTATTTAAGAGAAAAAGTTGATTAAGTCTTAGATAAGATTAAATCAGTTATAGAATCAAAGAGACTGTAGAAAGAAACTTATAAGGATCTTTTTATGAATTATAGTTAAAGAAAACGATTATTAATTGGTTGTGGACTCTAAGTTTTGTAATAATTTTCAGGAATAAATGCAATTATGTTTTTTTCTAAAATTATATTTTCATCTGTAATTAATTAAATGTAATATTTTAGATTCTCAATAATGATGAGACAAAAATTAATTGGGCAAATGTGACAGTTGGTTTAATTAATATAACTTTTAGTTTATTGGCAATAAGTTTATTATAAAAATTTGGAAGAAGAACATTATTATTATATGGAACTATAACTTGTACAATATTTCTAGCAATAGCATTTGGTTTCTCATTTTCATAAGATCCAAATACTACAATAGAAATTTTAATTGTATTAGCAATATTTGGATATCTTGGTGCATTCTAATTATCTTTAGGACCTGTTGCATGGGTATAAAATAAAAAAAATATTAATAATTTAGATATATGATGCTGATATCTTATCTGAGAAAGGAATGTCTTTAGCAGTACTTTGTAATTGGATAAGTTGTACATTCATAGCTTTTGCTTTTGTTATTTTAGATATTGATCATAACAAAGAGAGATTGTCTATTGTTTTTGGAGTTTTTACTGGATGTTGTGTTTTAGGAGTGTTTTTCATATTCAAATTTGTTTAAGAAACAAAAGATAGAACATCATCAGCAATAAACATATTTTTCTCATTAACTAAAGTTAAAGAGGAAGGTTTATTAGGATGAATATAATAATTTACATAAATTTAATACAATATCAGTAATATAATTTATAAAGAAGAGTAAATATATATATAATTTATTGAAAGAATATAAATATATAAAATTAATAATATGGGCAATTGTGTTTCTAGTTAAGATGATATCCGAAATGCTAATAAAGTTTCACCTGTTTCATTGTAAGAATATTTATAGATTATAAAAAGAACAATAAAACACTTTACTTGGAATAGAGATTCTCATGGTTTATTTGATTATGAAAATAAAAATGTTATAAAAGGACAAATCAAAACAAATACATAATTAAGTAATATAAGCAACTTAAAATAGTGAGATTAATTCGTTAAAAAGAAAATATTAAAATAATTTAAACAAAAGAGGAGTTATAGGTAGCATATAAATTTATTAATATAGTAATTCTAAAATTAGCCAGATGTCATAGAATTACTTAAATTGACTCGTTAATTTTCAAAATATTAAGTTGAATCTAGTTTAAGAATATCAAAAGCAGAAGATTAAGAAGGTTTAAATGACAACTGCCCATGGATAGTTGTTAAATCAACAAAAAGTCAATTATCTGATGGATAAGTATGAAATAATAATGAGCAATAAAGGGATATGATTTAAAGGAAGGAGATTATGTGAAATTAGGAAGAGTGAGATTTAGAATTAGGGAAATCAAATGTTCTGTTGATAATAACAATACAAATAAAGGTAACATTGAACCAGAATTATAAAAATATGTTTCAGAGAAATGTTTAAATACTATGAATATTAATACATAAGAAGATGATAAAAGAAGTTAATCAGAAGAACCTTGTTGTAGAATATGTTATAATGATTCCTAAACAAATAAAGACAATCCATTGATTGATTGTTGTAAATGTTAAGGATCTGTTAAATACATACATATATAATGTTTATAAACATGGTTAGTTAGTAAATTATCACCTAAAACAACCAAGTTTTCAGTTTCATTTTAATGGAGATAATTTGATTGTGAAGTATGTAAGGCCATTATTCCTAGTAATTATCATTATATTAGATATCTAGGTAGAATAAGATATCAAGACAGAATTTTTGAGACCATAATTATACCTAAACCAGATGCTCCATATATAACATTAGAAATCTTAAGTAGAGAACGTAATAAGAGCAAAGGAACTCATATAATTAGTTTTGCATAAAAATAACAAATCAAATTAGGCAGAGGTCATGATTCTGATGTAAGAATTACAGATATTTCAGTATCTAGATGTCATGCTATAATTAAATTTATTAATTGTAAATTATAATTTAATAATTCTAGCTGGATTTGTAATTGAAGATTAATAATCAAAATTTGGAACTTTAGTCTTATTGAAAAATCCTGCTTTGATGTCTGTTGATATGAATAATAATATGGCCATCTAAGTGGGAAGAAGTGTAGTTAGTTTTTAAGTTTCAAAAGATTGGAATGTATAATCATATTGTATGTATTTTTAGATAATCTCATCAATAAATAGGGGAGCTGTTTAAGAAGATTAAATGTTATAAGATGATACAGATTTAATAGGAAATGCAGTTGGTGATGAAGATCAAGCATAAATTGAACAAGAATTACAAAACTTTGAAGAACATACACCATGATTTTGTTAGATAATGTTTTAATTTTGTTTTTGCTATAATAATAATGGTTCAAGGGTAGTTCTATTATTATCTATGTTTTTATTATTCTTATTTATGTTCTTTTTCTTCTTCTTATTCTAAATGCATTTCCATAAATTCAACAATTCCCTTTGAGTTTCTATCTCCATGATAATGATATATTCTATCATGATAGAAAATTCTTAGAGTTGGATAACCTCTAACTTAAAATGAATCACAAAGAGCTGATTCATGAGTACAATCAACTTTGGCTAAAGTTATTTTGCTCTTTTTTTCTTTAAATTAATAAGCAGCTTCTTCAAATTCTGGCATTAAATTTTAACTACTTTTAAAAATATAATTACCAATGTGGACACCAAGGTGCAAAGAAATCTACTAATAAAACTTCAAATCTCATTAAAGCTGCATCAAAATTTTCATAATCCAATACAACCACATTTGATTCTCTTTTGAACATCACTTAATGATTTAAATGATGTTATTTTAGTTTACCTGTTGCCAAAATTAGATTAACCAATAGTACTAAAATCATGTAAAACGAATTAATTTGATAAAATAAATATTTTTTTTATATAACCTTTTTCTAATTTATTGCCAGATTAAGTTATTTCATATATGATTATTATACTCATTATGTTTATATATTGTTTAATCAAATTAATAACTAAAACTTAAGTAATAATATCTAATCTAAATTTTTTGTAATAAAAGAATAAAGTTACAACATTATTTATTTATATTTATCAAATAAATGATTAAGAATTATTTTAGAATACAATAAAGAAATAATAATCTATTGATTTTGAAACAAAATAATGGACAAGATTTCAAAAATCAAAAATTTCTATGATCAAAGTAATTTGATTTTTCATTAATTAAATTAGTTATACAAATTCTTGGCAAGAAGAACATATTATAATTTTAATGCAACTATTTTAAGTAGACTTTAATGAACTAGAATAATCATATATTTTATCAATTTACATGGATTTAATTTAAAAATATATAGAAAAGATAGATAGATATTCTAGGTGATTTTCTTTTTATACATTATTACATAACAATTAACTTGCTATATTTATATTTATTTTTAATCAAAAAATTATTTAATTTGATGACAGATAAAAGAATAGATAAATATATTTTTAATGTGAAAGATAGAATTGGATAAGGATCTTATGCTGAAGTTTTTAAAGGAACAAATGAAAAAACTGGAGAGAAAGTAGCTATAAAAATGTTAAGCAAATCTGTAATCAATGCGTAATTTTATCTATTTATAAATTTAGAGATGATTATCTTAGAGAGGGATTAATATAAGAAATTAAAATTATGCAGAAATTGAAAAGTTCAAATATAGTCTAGTTGTTAGATGTCATGGAAACAAATAATAATTATTATATTGTTTAAGAATTTTGTGATGGTGGAGATTTTGATGAGTAAATTATCCTATTGTAAAATTTAGACTTCTCAAAAAAAGGAAGTTACTCCCAGAAAAAGAAGCTATCAAATTCCTAGTTGATGTACTTAATGGATTTACTTAACTTATAAAAAATGGTATAATTCATAGAGATCTCAAACCAGCTAATATTTTAATTGACAAATAAGTAAGTTCAATAATTATTGAAGACTTACAAATTAGCAGATTTTGGATTTGCAAAATGTGTTGATAATTTTAAAAAAACAATGATGGCTTCAATGGTTGGTACTCCATTATACATGAGTCCTTAAATATTGGATCATAAGAGATACAATTCAAAAACTGATGTATGGAGTATAGGTTTTATTTTTTATGAAGCATTATTTGGAAAAAGTAAATCTAAATTTAAACCTTCTCATAGCTCCATGGACAGCTAGATCACCAGCTGAATTACTTAAAAATATTAGAACCTAACCTTTGAAATTTCCTACAGATAAGAATTAAGTTTCATAAGAAACCTAAGATTTGATCATTGGATGTTTATAGGCTGATGAAAATAAAAGAATGTCTTGGGAGGAAATATATAAACATCCAGCAATTAGTTAATATTTTTCAGTAATTAGCTGACTTGACTATTTTTAGGATTTTATCAAGGGAAATAGTAAATTAGAAGACAAGGCTCAATATTTAATTAATGATATTAGATAAATGATATGCAAAGAGAAAATTGATATTCATAAACTATTTGCAGATTTAGACATGTCAAAAGATAAAGCTTTAGATGTTAATGAATTGGGAAAATTTCTATAGAAGGTAGATAAAGATATCACAAGAGAAGAAATTGAATACATATTTAATAAATTTGATGATGATGGAAATAATTAGATAGAATTTGAAGAATTTAAAAAGTGGTTAGAAGATAATTAAGTAATTAATTTATATTATTTAATAAATAGATTGTTACAAATGCTAATCCATAATAATAATAAAGAGGAGGTGGATCACATAAAAAACTATCTATTTTACCTCATTAATTAAAGTCTTAGAATTCTATAGAAGAAAGAGCTAATTATGTTATAGAGAAATTAAAATTATCAATCTAAAAATATAAAATCAATTTATTAGATTTATTTAAAAAAGTGATAATTTATTTGTATAATTTTAGTTTGACAAATCAGCTGATCAAAGGTTAGATAAAAGTGAAATGGGATTATTGTTAAAGAGGATTGAACCAAATATATCTTAAGAAGAAATACTTGCATGCTTTGAATTTTTTGATGCTAACGGTGATGGTGAAATCACATTTTAAGAATTTTAAACAAGTTTAAGTGAAGAAGTTGGGAAGAAAAGATAAAGTATAGATCAGCATGAATGAAATATTTGCATTATCATATAGTAATTATTAACATTAAATGAGTTTTGATTAATTATTGTTATCCAGACCACTTTATAGTCCAAATCATAAATACCCTACTTTTACTGTTCATTCACATAATCCAACACCTTACAGTATTACAACATAAGTCTCTCCAATTGAATCTCCAAGAATAGGGGATATATCAACTATCCCTAAAACATCTGAGAGAGGATAATTGTATGATAAATTAAAAGCAAATGTGAAAAACTAAGATATAATAAAGTCTATTTAAAATGGTATTAAAGGTTAAAAGGTTAGGGAAGCATATAATTTACTATCTGATTTCAATGATAAAAAATAGATAATTTAATCTTTAAAATCATTATCCACTGCAGAAGAACGGTAATTAAAAATGATTTTAATTTAGAATATTGCTAATTGATAAAATTTTAGAGAGAAAAGAAGAGATGTAAATAGCTGCTCTTAGATTAAAAGCTAAAAGATTAGAACCAATTTTTAATGTAATAAGGAGGAAACTTAAACTGAAATAAAGATTAAATTCATCTGCTGATAAAATGAAGAAGCAATCAATATATGGATTGAAATTAGCAGATCCTACAAATGAAATACAAAATCCTATGCATTCTTATGGCAATTTAGATGAATAATAATAATAATAAGATGAAAATATGAGAAAAGAATTAGTAATTGAAAAAATATAAACTAAATATGCTGCATCAGTTGCATTTTCTTGGTTAACAAATAGAACTGAAAAACAAGGTATAAATTCTAATTTTAATGAAATTTGAGAATCTATAATCCATAATTTATCTCCAGAAACTGTTAAAAGAAATAATAGAAGAAATACTACTTTAAAGTAAAGTCATAAAGGAATAACTGGTTTAAAATAGATGATAACTAAAAAAGTGAGTGAAAATTCTGATGAGATGATTAGATTAGGATAAATGAAAATGTTAGAAAATCAATAAAAATTTTATAAATCTAAAGACATAATTGCAAAATCTAAGGCAAAAGTAGATACAGGTAGAGTAAAGAGTGTATAAGTTAATAGATCATTAAGAAAAAAATAAACCTTAGATTTCTTTACAAATGAAAGAAAAGAAAATTCAGAATTAACATAATAAATAGCAAATGAAAAGAGTAATTTCATGTTTAGAAGAAGGTTAATTGTTAATGAATGACTTTTCATTATTTTATATTCTTTTTACTTTAAATTAATTTTCTTTTTCTATAAGGTTTTTCAATATCCTTAAATTCAAATTATCTTATTGATAATTTTGGTAGTAATTCTATTTTTTCTTATTTATTCTTTTAAATTTTGAATATATTTAGTTAATCATTTATTTTAGATACACTTTATATATTTGTACTATAAGATCGTAATCTATGATTCACAATAGAGGTTATTTTATTTTAACAATTCTCTCTTTAGATATTTTACTTATTAGAATGTTAAATGATTATTTCTTCTTCAAGTATCTTAATAAATCTCTGAATGAATTCAACTTCATGTCTTGAATATTCTTATTTAGGAGCTAAAATAAATGATTTGAAAAATTGCATAAAAAAATAATTAATATTTATTTTAAATAAAATAATTATTACAATTTCATTTCATTAAGCTTCAGAATCTCCATCATTATCTTTAGAATCAATTCTTCCTGATATTTATCTTTCTACTAATTGTCTATATATTCCATCAGGATTATTAAGCAATTCTTAATGTGTACCTTATTCTGCCACAACACCATTTTGTAATACAATAATTCTATTACAATTGACAATTGTACTCAATCTATGAGCAATAACTAAAACAGTAATATTTTTGCTTCCCTTTTAAATTAATTCATCAATAGCAGATTAAACTTGAAATTCACTTTCAGCATCTAAAGCTGATGTTGCTTCATCAAAAATTAATATCTTTGGTCTTTTTAATAATGCTCTGGCAATTACAATTCTTTATTTCTATCCTCCACTTAAAGTATAACCATGTTCTCCTACAAAAGTATCAAATCCATGAGGAAATTTAAATTTATCAGAAACAAATTACCAAACTCCTGCTGCTTTAGTAGCCCATTCAAAATCATCTTTTGTATAATTTTCAGTTCCATATATAATATTAGTTTCTATTGTTCCTTCAAATAAAACAGGATCTTGGGAAACTAATCCTATTGCTTTTCTTAATGCTTTGAGCTTAAATTATTTAATATTCATATCATCAAAATAAATTGAACCTGATTATGGATCATAGAATCTTTCCAATAAATGCATAATTGTTGATTTACCACTACCACTAGGTCCTACAAATGCAACATATTCTCCTTTAGTAATTTTAAGTGAAATTCCTTTCAAAACTTGAACTTAAGAGTTTGGATATGAAAATACAACCTTTTTAAATTATATTTCTCCAGTTGGAGTTATATGCTCTATAGCATCAGGTGCTTCTTTAACAAGAGACTCCCATTTAAGCATATCAAGTACTCCTTCAAAAGCTCCAGTGGCACTTACTATTTTAGCAAAAGATTCACTGATATCTGAACTAGATGAAGATAATTGTAAAGAATATAATATAATGGTAGTTAAGTCACTAAAAATATATATACATAATCATACCCAGCTGATAATTCTGCTGAATTATTCATTGCCAATTTACCACCATACCATAAAACAATCAAAGATCCTAATTAAGTAAATAAAGCAGTAGATGCTTAATAACATCCATTATTTACTCCTCTTTTTTAAGCTAATTTAATATTTAAATCTAATTATTTGTGAAATTTCTTAATTTCAAATTATTCTGTACAGAAACTCTTTACTGTTACTACACCTGATACAATTTCATCTGCTAAAGTTGTTAATTTAGCTTGATATTCTTAACCTAATTTTTCAAACTTTTTTGCTAATTTTGTATGAAGTGTTGCTAGTACAGTATATATTGGCATAGGTGCCAAAATTGCTAAAGTTACTTTCCAAGACAATGCAAATAATATTATTATATTGAATATTGTCAAACAACAATTTCTTATTAATAAAATAATATTTCCACTGACAGCTGATTTAGCTGATTGCAAATCATTTGTCATCCTAGATATTATCTCACCATTTCTGTAAGTATGAAAGAAAGTTAAATCAAAGGATAAAAAAGACTTTAGAACATCTTCTCTCATATCATTATATATCTATTCTTACCAAATTTAATTGGCAAATGCTCTTATTAAAGATAATATAGTATAAGCAGCCAAAACATATAAAAATTGTTTTGATAATGTTGAATGTAATTCTTCATCAATAACATTATTTTGAATATCCTTATTTGTTTCATCATTTGTGCCTTAATTATGAGCTTATTCCACATTTTTAGTGATTGCATCAATTAATCTACCAAGTATCCATGGTAATAACATTTGTGCTACAGCAGATAATACTATCAATACATTCACTAATATAGTTAATTTTAAATGTTATAAAGGATAGTGTAATAAGAATTTATAAGTATTCCAATTAAATGGCAATGCTTAATGTTTCACTTTTTTCTTTTTTGTTTTATTTTTCTTTGTTTTACTTTTCTTTTTCCCTGTTTATATATTTAATGGTGATAACTCAAATTATGATATCCCATTCAAACCATCAATATTTTCTTATGTAGGTACTTCATCTAAAATATCACTACTCCTCTTCTCTGTATTTTGATATACTTGAATTTCTAAGATTAAATAAATAAGTTTACATTTATTTTCTTCTTATTTTATAATTGGTGTTGGCAATCTTTCCTCTTCATCTTCACTGCCTGATAAAAATACCTTTTTTCTTTATATCTTGTTCATTTCTATCTAATGACTATCTTCCTCTTTCATTGAAACATAATAATCATTCTAGTTTCCTTTGAACAATTTATTCATTTTGTTTGCAGCATTCTCCTCTTAAACTTTATCTAATAATTTATTTTACATTTTAATATATAAAAAATTAGTCAAGGTATAAATTCTATTTTCTATATAACTTTTATACTTTTTATTAATATTCAATATTCTATTTAATTAATCAACACTCTATATAAGCAATTCTATTCTTATTTTATCAAAGGCCTTTTTAGACATTACTAATTATTGAAAATTTACTATAAATAACTTAATATTGAATTTTCTGCTATTTCACTTATTTATAATCTCTAAAGTTCCATATATAGATTTTGACCTTAAATTATTATAATATGATTATTACTATATAGTTTATGAACTTTTTTGTATTTATTTGGAATGATATAAAATTAAATTATATATCAATCAAGTATTAATATTTTTAATATTAAATATTTGTTCAAATGTCTGAAGAACAAGAAATCGATTGGGGAGTTGGTGCTTAAGCATTATATTATATGTCAAGAGCAACAAAAGATTGCAGTAAAAGATGTGGAGCATTAAAAGTGAATAGAGATTTTAATGAGTCTGAAGCAGAATGTCTAAGTATTCTAATCAAAATTAATAATTTCTATAGAAAAATGTGCTGTGTACCATGCCGGAGCATCAAGTACTCATATGAGATTTTTAATCAACTATGCTGAGACAGTGCATCTGCAATGAAAGTATTTTCATATAAATAATCATATAAAAATAACATAATCATAAGATATTTATTTAAGTATTCACATTATTCCAATTACTATACACAAATTGATCACAAAATTAATCTTTTTACCTCCTGAATCAAATTAATGATAGAATTTTCATCATCTTCAATATAATTGCTTAATTTAATCTCCAAATATCTTACTTCAGAAGTCTCAAATTCAAAATCCTCTGTTTTATAAAATTCCCTATCCTAATAAAAGATATTTATGTTGACTCAATTTGCAATCTCAACAATTTACATTTGTTACTAATACTTTTAGAGTATTTTGTATTCAAAATAGTTATCTAATTATTATAATTTTTTGTTTAATTTAATAATTAGATCATAAATGACTAAGCTCTATTAAGCACTTAATAGCTATTGTAGGTTTTTCGTTAAAACTACAATCTTCTAAATCAATAAAATATTATATTTATATATTTTTAGAATATTCCCTTTATCTTACTCTATTTATCATCTTAAAGATATTAATTAAATATATGTCAGATTAAGATGTAAACACTGTTAATTAAAAATACTTCATTTCTTTTTCCTGTAATTGACCAATTAGAAATACCTGGTTTATTAAAAAGATGATACAAATAATAACTTTAATAAAAGGGTTATATATCAAAAAATGTATTGTTCTTCAATATCATTTATAAACTTCTTAAATTTTACTAAATATTCATTCCAGTTGTTCTGATGATTTAATATTAATTTCAAATACACTTCTCAATTATCTGCTTAACATGTATAGCAATTCTTTTGAGTCTAAATATTGTGTACTTTTGCTCAGCTTAAAATATTTGATTTCTACTCTAATTATTACAATTTGAATTTTAAATTAGATATATTTAGAATTATAGTTTATTAGTGATATTTCATACAGTTGAATTTTTGTATCCTAAACATATTCCTTTAATAATCAATCTATTTTTTTAGAAATTACTATTCATGTCTAGTTTATTAATTGAATAAAATAATTATATTACAATTATTTAAAAATAAATAGAATATTTTATTCTTAAATTATTTTCATATATAACCAATTTATTTCATTACAATCTTAACAAAATGAATTAAGATATCATATCTCATTTTTGGTGCTTTCAATTTAGGCAATGGTAAATAGGTTATGATTTGTTCATACATTTTTCTTGCTTTTCTGAATTTCTCTAATCTACAAATTTTCTTAGAATCTTATTCCTAATCTCTGTTCGTTATCATAGGAGGAGGGCTGTTGTTAAAGATTTCCTCGTTTATTATAGCTAATGGTTTAATTATACCAATTTTTCCTCTGATTTTGTAACTATCAGTTTCTATTTAATAAATATGAGGAGGTAAATATGTATTTTCACCTATTCCTCCAAAACATAGTATATTGCTTCCATAAACACAACTAGAATGACTCCATCTTTTTGTTTATAATCCTTATCTTTAAGCTATAATCCAAAAGTTGTTTTAAAGATTAAAAATAAAAATCTCATTTTAATATTCCATTTTTTCTTAAGATCTGCCACCTATCAAAATTATATAATCACCAATATTTTCCATCGTGTGATTATATCTGCCTTCTGGTGCTTAACCAGAATATTGTACTTTCTCCCAACCAACTGGATGAAGTCCATAAAATACCATCTTCATTAAAGGAAATGAATTTAAAGTAGCAGTTTATCCACCAAAGATATAAACAGTTTCAATATTTCTCCTACTGTCGTATACAGTACATTGAGCATGTTAAGCAATACCTTCTTCAAATAGCAATTTTTAACCAGTCCATCTCTTAGATTCCAAAGAATATATTTATGTATCGTTGAGTAATTTCTCTGCTGCATCTAATCCACCAGTAATAACCATAAGTTTTCCAAAAAGGACTGATGCTTTGTGTTCTCTTCTAGGTTCCACTGATTCTAATGAAGTCGTCCATTAATTAGTTATTGTATTAAATAATCCTATAGTAGAATAAACTTACCTAATTTTCATTTTATGATCATAATAGCCAGATCCTCCAAATAAAACTAAAAATTACTTCCAAACTATCATTGAATGACTAGTTATAAATAGTTAAACATTTGAACAATAATTATTCCATTCTTGCTTTTCTATTTTTATATTTCAATATATACTTAAATCAAACCACCAAATTTCATTAGTTATACCTCCTCCACTCATTCCTCCAAATACATACATTCTATCTCTAATTATTCCTATTTAAGCAGACTCCCTTCTTCTAGGTACAGCATATGAATATGATTTCAAAGTCTCTTCAAAAAATGAAACAGTTGGTTATTCTTCTTCAATTTCTTCTTCTATAGGTTTTCTTTTTTTTTATTATAATCTTTAAATAATTGGTAATGTTTGTTTTTCTGTTTCTTTTGTTATTCCTAACTATTTTTCTAAATATTTTATGCTATTTGGTTCTTATTGTAAAACTTTACGTTATAAGGATTTAAATTTCTTTTTACTTAAACTTATATCTCTAAAGGTTTGAGACATTTTATTTCTTTATAACTCAAGAAAACTTTGCTATATAAACTTCTATTAAGATTTATTTGCTATTAATTCAACAAATTCTCCTGGTTAACTTCTACGTATAGAATGGAAATGAGATGAAATATCTTCTAAAGTACTGTTTTCTATACTTGGAAGAGCTAAAATTATTTTAAAGTTTTTAATTACTTAATTTTCCTGTGTGTTCAGATTCCATTTTTAATTTCCTCTTTTTCTCCATAACATATTATGAATTACTTTGATGTCTTATAGCAAGTTACATAGATTGATCTTTTATACTCTTCAACAAATCTTTATAGTTGTCTCTTTCTAAATTTAGATTAACAGCATTCATTCACTGATTATAGACAAATTAAATAATATTTTTAATTGAAACCTAACTTATATTCTAAAAAATGTAATCCATTAATAAATTATATATAAATAATCATTAAAAAAAGATTAGCAAAGAAAAAGATGTAATAATCTTTGAGTTTTCATTTTTCATCAGAAGATTCAGTGTCAAGATGATCTAAGTCTTTTTAACTTTTCAATTTAAATTTATCAAATCTGATAATTAAACCTTTAGTCCACATCTTATCAATCCGATCCAATCTCTTATTTATTTGATGATATTTCCATACAAATTATTCCATCTCTTCAATTGTATGATCTTCTTGTACTAAATCCTTAATCCATTTTGGATAGAATCTATTAATTCTTTATGGAGATGATGCAACTGTACCTCCTTAATAATTTTACACTATATTTTTTAAAGTTGGATATATTTTTACTGACCTTTTATTATGCATTAAAATAATTTATTTAATTTAAACATCACTTAGTCTCCAATTAAATTTATTGTATTAATGATTATAATCTATTCTTCTACGAATAGAACTACGATGAACCGATTGACTGTGAACAGATGAGGATTTTCTAAAAAACACTTAAAACTTATCTGATAAGCAACGCAATGGAAATACTCTCTTAATTAAATTATAATTATCCAAATCTTTCCAATCTTCTGGAGGTGTTCGAATTAATTATTGATTATAATGAATAATTCTAAACACAACAGATTTAAATCTTGTTAGTAATTAATCATATTTATGTCTCTTTTTATCTATCAATTATTGAAGAACCAATTGATGATATTCATTAATATTTTTAATTTCTCTTATTTCTCTTTACTTTTTCATATCTTATCTAGTTTATTGTAATTATACATGACTGAATTAAATTAAAACCGATCTACGTACTTTACTTCTTTAAGCTAACTAATATGGTTTATAAATACATACATTTCTAAACTTTAAGATTATTTATTAATAATTTTCTTCTTCTATGGAATAATTACTAAACCTCAAAATATAAGTTTGGACTCATCTTCATTGATTTCTCAAATATTGCATAATCCACTTTTAAAATCAATGATCTTTATAAAGCTATAGCATATGTTGTTCTTAATGTTTCTTCAATTGCTTCATATTCTCCAAACATAGTTCCCTCTAAAATATTTAATAAAGTGAATTTAGTTTTGGTCATTATTCTTACATCACCTTACAATAAGAAATATATCTCATTTGAATTCTATCCTTCTCTATATATTAGATCATTCTCTTCAATTACCAAGAATTGCACATCATTTAACAATTCAATTGTAAAATTAATATCTTACATGAAAAAAGGTACTGCTTCACAAATTTAAAGCATCCCACTTAAAACTAGATAATTTTATATTTAGTAAGGTAAATCATGAACCATCTTCTTATGATAACTAGACCAGAATGCATTATTGTTTAAATTTGTTGTAATAAATCTTTGAAATTAATTTTTTATCTTTTCTGGAAAATCAGATATATAACACAATTACTCTAATTCAAAATAATATTCATCATCTTAATTTACTCCAGATCTTTACATCATATATGCAAAATCACCTATTGTAAAAGTATAAAACCCAACTCCAATAATTAACCATAAGATTTAATATTCATACATTATAGATTAAGCATAATCACCATAACCAATTGTTGTAATAGTTTAAGTTGATTAATAAAATGCATCTAAATATTATATTCCTAATAAATAATGATATCCACAAGCAAATATATGAATTAATAGAAATGCTGTTACCATAACATCAATTATAAATTTAATTCCTTCCTTTAATTACATATTATTATCTGGCATAAATGAAGGTATTACTTTTTACTATTCTGCTTATCCTTTGTAACTATGCTTTCTCTTATAAATAAAATATTTTAATATTCTACACAATCTAAAAAATCTCAAATTATCTTATCCTATGTAAATCCAAGGAAAAATTGATATTGAATCAAAAATAAACCATGTTTTCAAATAATGCATAGCTATATCAACTAAAGATATTTTTAAAGAAGATGTTTCATCTATATAAGCAGTTAAAAAAGTTAATAAAATATCAATTGAGAAAAGAACATCTAAAATCAACACAATAAAATATAAATCGTGTTCTAAATCATCAAATGTTATAAACATAGGATAAATTATACATGAACAAAATTGCAGTAGAGTTATGACTTTCATCCAATAAACAATTAGACAATCATCAGGATAAAATGGAATCATTTTAGTTCTTTTTTAAAAATAAAACTCTATTCTCTATTATAATCTCTCCTTTCGATATTATTCTAATGAATCAAAAAAACATTGTATGATGATCAATTTTCTCACTATTCTAGTAAATACACTTCTAGTGTCTCTTGTTATTGTTGTTTTATCTTCTTATGTATTAAAAGTCCTGTCAATTAATCAACTCTAATACCCAAATATAGAAACAGTAGCTTAAGTTTTTAATTTTCTGTTCTAGGAACCATGAAGCATATATTATGAAGAAGGTCTGTTTCTTTATGTTGGAATGTCTACAGAACAGGCTCCCTACGTAATTAATTGTTCTGGATCTTCACGATCGCTAATAAGCTACATAAATTGCCTGAATATTAATTATATTCAATTCTTAATTATAATCAAATTATTACAATAAGTAAAAAACAAAAAAATATTGAATCCTAACTTTCATATAAATTTATAGATAATTAAAATTGTTGGTATTTAAATCAATTTAATAGAAAATATCGAACTAATTATGATATATATTTCATTGATTGTCTTTTAATTTCATTTTCAATTAAAATAAATGTTATTTAAGATTTATCTAACAGTTATATTAAACCTTAAGAAAATTAAATAGAAAAATTTCAATAAGATTATTATGACTATTTTAGAAATTCTAATTCTTTGCATTGAAATTAATATCAAGTAAATAAATCGCAAAATATTATTGTTAACAAATAATTGATTTATAATTTTTATCATTCATATTTAAGGAATTTGAACATAATAAATATTAGAATGGATTAAATTCATTCATTGTGTTTTGATTTGTTCATGTAATTTATGTATAACATCAAACTCAGATTGATAATCATAAACATTGTTGAAAAAATCAAATTAAAATATAAACAATTTAGTAATAATGTAAACAATATCATTTTATATAACTGAATATCTCACTGAATAAGGATAAAATGCTAGAAAATTTATGAATGTAATGTTTGATTAATAGACTAGCTATCTGTAAAGAAGAATTCTTAAAATGATATGTGATTTCATCAGATATTTTCATTTAAATTATTAATTCATTTATATAGCATAAATATTTGCTTTCAAGAAATTATTATTTTTATTATTGTATTTTACAATGTCGAAATAATACTATAATAATATGTGGCAGGAAACAATAAATGATATTCAAGACTTGATATAAGTTGAGAATTTCTAAAACGAACCTGACTTTTTAAAAAAGCCATCTCAGGATTTGTTTTAACATTATGCATAAAATTACATTCGTTACATAGGAATTTATAAGAAGTTTTAATAAACAAATAATTATTATTAGATTAGAAGATTGTTATGATTAGATGGTGCATCCATAGAAAAAATTAAATTTGAAGGAATTGCTAGAGTTAGCAATAATTAGAATGATCGAAAATAAAAAATTAGTTATCTAATATAATGTGCACTCAAACAGTTATCAATCAGATATGGTGAATTTAGATGAATTAATAACAGACTTAAAACTTACTCCAGATTATTTAGAAGTGCCTATTCCAAGATATTTTAAAAAAGAAACAGACAAAGAAAGATTGGATGAGAGGAACTTCATTATTGATAAAACATTGCAGGATATGGATTTGGGTTAGCCAGAAGAAACTGTGATAGAAGAACAATACTTTTTTGATACAAGATTAGAAAATATTATAGAAATAATTTAGAGAAATGAAAGAGGAAGGTAAGGTATTAAAAGAGGAATGTAATTGAAATAATTGAAAAAAGAGAGATTAAGAAAAGAGAACAAAACAAAAAGATTAGCAGAAGGTGAGGAGATTACTGATGAATAAGAAAATGATAAATCAGTTTTAATAATCTAAAAATATTTCAAAGGTTATAAAGGAAGAGAATAAGTTTATTTTATGAGAGAAGAAGAGATGAAATTCTTGGGAATTCAAAGGGATGCTGAAGATCCAAAATAACCAAATTCCTAATTTATGAAAGCATAAGAATAAAGATAAAAGTAGAAATTAATAATATTTTTTTTAGAATGACATTAATTCAATAATAACATATGAAAGATTATGAAGCTAAAAAAATAGAACTTAAAAAATTGGTTTAGGAAACAGAAGGACCAGAAATTAAAGAGAAGAAAATCAAAGAAAGAATTGATTGGATTGATATGTATTTGGATAAAACAGAAGGAAGTAATAATTACATTATAATAAGAAAAACTACCTGCTAAAGCTATTGATTATTATGATGATAAAAAAAGATATCCTCCAACTTAAGAAGAATTAGATGCTTTGAAAGGAGGAAAGAAAGGTGCTAAAAAGGAAAACAAACCTGAAAAGAAAGGAAAAAAAGGGAAAAAAGACAAGAAGGAAGAAAAAAAAGACACAATAGATTTAACTACAGTTATAAAAATAAATGAGAGAGTTGAAGAATATTTGACAACTTGGGGATCAACAGATGATTCAACAAATTTTCAATAAACTTTTGTAACTGATGTTGCAAAAGGTTTAGTAAGATCATCGGTTGAAACTGAAATGAATAGTTTAGTTGATGAACTAATTGAAATTGAATTAGACAATAGACATTTGTTTTTATTAAAGAAGCCTAGAAAGAGACCACCTAAGCCAAGACCAGTAAAACCTCCTAAACCCAAAAACTTTAAAGTTCCTGGAGCAGGTGGTGTAAAAGGAAGAGATGTCTTCGATTTGTTAAGTGAATTATTAGAATATGGAATTGTCAAAAAATTAATGCCTGCCAACTTGGCTGATCTAAAAGGTGGATAAAATGTATTAGGAGCAACATAAGAATAACAGTTTGCAACTACACCTGATCCTTCTTATCCTTAATTAAGATCGGCATTAGCTGAATTTGTTGGTATGTAATTGGGTTCTCCAGTTTTAAAGGAAAAATTAGATAAAATGTCTTATTTCTTATTCTTTGGCCCATCAGGATCTGGTAAAACTTTAGCAATTAGAGCTTTGGCAACTGAATGCAATGCTATGTTATTGGATATTACACCTAGTTCTCCTGAAGTATAATAAAAGTTTTCTGATAAATCTTCGATTGGAAAGACATTTTATACTGTTTTTTATGTGGCTAAGGTCTTGCATCCAACAATTATTTTTATGGATAACATAGAATAAGTGTTTGGATCTGCAAAAAAGAAAAAGGGTGTTCCTGCAGCTCCTTGGGCTAAATTAAAGAAACCACTTTAAGATTTTAAGAAGGCTAAGTTTATTGAACCAACTACAAGAGTTGTTTTTATTGGATGCACTAATTAGCCAGAATTAATGATTATGAAAGATACTAAGAACTTCTTTGAAAAAAAATTCTTTTTCCCAATGCTAAATTACGATACTAGATTGACATTACTAAAGTATTTTATTGAAGAAAAAGGTGTAAAATTGGAACCTAATTTTCCTTTGAGCACTTTGGCCCATCTGACAGAAGGATATACCGCTGGATCTTTCAAAAATGTTCTTGATAAAATTATAACACCAGAAAGAATAAAAAAGATTCCTGATGAGCCAATAACTATTAATGAATTTGTGGATAGACTTGCAAGGCAACCTTATGTAAAGTCTTAAGCTGAATATGATAAATTGAGAGTATTAATTTTAATGTATTTTAGACCTTTTTTGATGAAGTCACAGGAACAAAAGACAGAAGAGAGAAATCTAAGGCTGTTGCTGTAGACCCAAAAAAGGGTGGGAAGAAAAAATGATATATTAATCATTAAATCAAACATATATAATAAATATTAATATTAAATGGCGTGTTGTTCATGTTCCTAATCGCTGATTTTCACCATCGTCTTAATCACATTATTGTTTGCAGCTGTCACAATTGATGCTGTTAGATTTGCTTGGTTAACTATTTCATTTATGTTTGGAATAGTGTTAATGATAGGTAAGATATCATCCTCTACCATAATTATTAGATTACATGTTTTCTAATGAAAAAGGCTTCATGTATGATCCAGATTATAAAACTTGGAGATAAAAAACTCAAACAGATGCATGATTATTCTATAATTTTACATACATTAATTGCACAATTCATTATTTCGCTCTATATTATAATTTATTATTTTTATACTTAATTGTGTTTATTAATTCAATGATAATATTGATTATATAAAGCAATTGATCTATGGATAAAGTCAGATTATATCATTTAGCAGAACAAAGATGCAAACCACTTGGATGCAGAATGAAATCATGTCAAGAATCAGCTTAGGATCCTAATTTATGCTAGCAATATCATAGAGAACTCTTAGAATGTATTGCAAAGGAGAAATCAAGATTAATAGATAATTGGAATAGAACAGGCAAATTCTCTTCTTGATTACACAATATACATTAATAAATTTAATTTTTATATTGAATGAAAGGTGAAGTTGTCAATTTGGATCCAGAAACTAATCCTAAATTGAAGGAAATCTTGGATTTACTTCTATTAGCAGGTTATTTTAGAATTCGTATTCCTTCAATTAAACCATTTGATAAGGTATTATTCTATAAATTAATATTTAGATTTTAGGAGGTCTCAGTTGGTGTATTACACAATCTAACTTTGCAATTGATATTTAATATAATGATGATTATAATATAGGGTAAAAGATCAAGGTCTCAGAATAAATTGTCAGATCTTTAATCGAAATGTAATCCCCATATACTCTTTAACCACATTAAATTTAAGGTCTAGATTTGAATGCCATCTACCCAGTAATTAAATGGCTCATTAAATTTGTCTTAGAAACAAGAGAATTTAGATAGGATTAAAATTATAGAGTAAGTAAATTAGTTGGTAAAAATGCTAATTAAGCATTATATTAATAAGATCAAGAAGAAAAGAAAGCAATATAAGAAATTGTATCATAATTAGATTTATTATAAGATAATAGATAAACTAAGAATTTGAAAAAATTATCAAAAAAAGACCCTTTACGTGTTTATTCTACATTAATTGAATATGGAGATTTATCAAGTCAAAGAACATATAACAAATTTTGTGCTTTGATTTCAGGAATTTAAAAATAAAAATAAGGAAACTAGTAGAATGTAAGTGCTGTTAATAGCAAAACTCAATCAAATTCAACTTTAGCATTTTAATAAAATTTATTTCTTGATGAAGTACCTGAAAAAAAAGCAACTAATTAAAATTAATAAGTTACTTTAGAATAGCTAACAAATCTATAAAAAGAGAAAATGTAATAAGCACAGGCATAAATTAAAGAAATGTCTTAAATTGCTGGTCCATCGGCTGAAGCCACATTAAATGAAGAAGAAGGAAGGAAATTTCAGAAATTATAAAGAAGAAATTCTATTGCTGGACAATCTTTATCTTAGTTGATTTCCAAAGAAAAAATTGCTGAGGGATTAAAATAATAAACTTAAGAAGAAGATTAAGAAGTAGTAAATACTGTAAACATAAAATTATAAGAGAAAATTATTCTTGAGTAATAATTTAAATTACAATAATAAAATCTTAACAATTTAGAGAAAGCAATAGAATAGGATATGCAGGAAGTAGATTTACTAGAATAATAAAATAACTAATTGTAAGAATAAATAAATGATGAAAAATCGCGTCTTAATAAGATTGTAGATGCTTTAAAAGTAATAGAGTCAAAAACAAAAAAAGCCAATCAATCAGATATAAAAAGGGCTGAAGAATAGGTTGCAAAAAAAAATGAATTAAAAGAATAAAAAGCAGAATTAAAAAGGGAGATTAAATAAGAATAATAAAAAATAGAGAGAGAAAAAGAAGAAGCTTTAAGGAATATGCCACAAGAAAATGATTAGGAATTGTTAAAAGAAATGAAATCATAATATAATTAAAAAAAGGAAAAGTTTGAAAAGAAATTCTAACAATTTCAACTTTTAAATTAGGAGATAGTTGTTCTAGAGAGAAAGCTGGAATCTTTTCCATAACCTTCTGAAATTGCATAATATCATTAAAGGTTTTTAGAATTATATGATTCAATCAATGAAGAGATGGAGTCAAATAAAAAATTATTGTTGAAGTATAATAATTTACTAGAAGTGAAATAATTAGCAGCTTAATTTGTGGATATTTATAGAACTTTTAAAGAAAATTATACAAATAATTTAAAGGATAAAAAAGGAAAAATTGAATTATCCTAAAATTTAGATTCTACTTACAAGGTATTAGATTATGTATCTTTTAGTAATTATAAAAATAATTATAACTATATCAAGAGAAGTTGTAATAGTCTGAAAACAAAAGATAAAGTAATTTGGAATAATATAGACAAGCTTTGGCAATTGAGAGAGAATATTATAAATTATTAAAGGAAATTAAATTTGAATATGAAAAATACGAATAATACACAAATAAAAATGAATGACAGCATCAATATAATAAATCAATAATAATATTTATTTTATTATTAATTTGTGTTAAATTAAGTTAACTAACCATATCTGTGTTACTCATCAGATTGAATGCAGTGTCAATGATAGGGAATATAAATTTGAAATAATAGAATTATAATAATTGGATTTAATGTAATTATTATTTTTTCACTATTTCAAACAAAATCTATTGTCTGATTTTATTGATAATATAAATTACTTTACTTCATGGGTTGTGGTAGTAGTGCAGGAGCTGTAATTGAATAAAATAGAGCGCCTGGATTCAAAGGTCCAGTTTTTATGACAATAAAGCATGCTTTATTAGAAAGGGATGTTAGATTCATAGGAGTTATGGATCCTTATATCAAATTAATTATGGGAAAATAAGAATTTAAGACACCTGTTGCAAAAGAAGGAGGAAAACATCCGTACATATATATTTTATTATTATTTAAATAGAAAATGGGAAGGATGCACACACACATTTTAAAAATTACTCGGAGAACCAGATGTGATAATAGGATAAGTCTGGTGTGAAAATACTATAACATCAGACATTCTGATTGGTGAAGGTGCATTTTCTTTAACTTCTATAAGAAAAGGAAATGCTGAACCAAAAAGAATTTCATTCCTACTTTTTCATCATGGTGAAAAAGCAGGTGAAATCAGTTTGGAAGCTACTTTCACTCTTGATCCTAGTGGAAAAGACTTACCAGAAATCAAAGCTCCAGATACGGAAGGAAAGTTCATTGTCAAACCAAAATTTGGTAGGTTAAAGAAGAATGCCAATCTATTATTAAAAATGGATCCTTTCCTAACTATTCATTTTGGTAATGAAACTATGAACACATCTGTTGATGCTGCTGGACATACCACACCAAAATGGAATGATGAAATAATCTTTACAAGGGAAACAAATGAAGATACTTTATACATAGAAGTTTGGGCTGAATCTCTGATTGGATGGAACGACTTCTTGGGATGTGGTAATAAACTTATTTATCTATTAGGTTATGCTTCAATTACTGATTCTTTAGCACTAAAAGAAAATTAATTGCAAACAGTTACATTATTTTATGATGGTGCAAATGTTGGAGAAGTAGAGATAGAATGCACTTTTAAGACAGCCAAACCTTAGGATTATTTATAAAAGGACAAATAATCAACAGAACCCCCAACAAAAGAATCTTTTTAATAATAACTTTAAACACAATATTAATAACCATAATAATAATAGCCATAATAATAATAACCACAATAATAGTAAGTATTTCCTTAATAATTGAATTAATTCGTTCAAAATTATGAAGCTAGATATCAAAATAGTTATGGATAATAGCCTATGAATGGAAGAGTAGATTTTACTTACCCTAATGGAGATCATTATTCCGGAGATATGATGAATAATTTGAAACACGGTTAGGGAAGACTCTAATTTAGTTATGGTGGATACTATGAGGGTCAATGGGCTAATGATTAAGTATACAGTATTATGAATTCTTTTAGTACAATGGAATGGGAGTATTAGTAGTTGGAGACTCTAGATATGAAGGTTAATTTATAAATGGGAAAAAAAATGGATAAGGAAAATAAGTATGGAATAATAGATAGCAATATGATGGATAATGGGTTGATAATAATATGCATGGAAACGGGTACTGAATTTTATATATCTAGTGAATGGACATTTGTGAACGGAGCAAAGAAGAAGGGAGTTTGGGCTCATGGAAATAGATTAAGATGGTTGGATGATGATTAAAATATAATATAGGCTGGTAAAACTATGACATCAGGATTCATGTTAACAAGTCCAAATTAATAATTTACATTGTCTTTCTTCCATGATGGCCGTTTATACATTTTCCATAATTAGACAAGATAACCTATTTTCTCGGTATTCAAATCTTATAAAAATAGGCTATTAATTTTAATCGATAACCTCTTGCACCTGTTTGGTTGAAATTTGATCCTTCAGGAGAGTTATAAATGATTGATGCCAAAGGAGTACCATATTGGGTGTCAGGGCAAAACTTTGGAATTTTTGCTCCCCCATTTGTATTGATTTTGTAAGATGATGGCCGATTAGTTATCTAAGATGCTAATGGATAAGCAAAATGGTATTCACATTGATATAATCAAAAATAAGAAAAACATAATAAATATTATTTCAATATTCAAATACATTACTTATTAGCGAATCAATTTTAAGATTATCATATTTGATAAAAATTGATGCTCTAACAATTTATATTCTGATGTAAAGTATTTTAGTTTAGTAATCAAACTAAATTTAAGTATAATATTTTAATTGCATTATATTCATGAATTAAAGTTATTTACTCTAATTATTTACCCAACCTATAGCTGAAGGATTGTCCATTGTGGAATTAGATCAATTTTTAGATTATATTGCAAAAGTTAATTCAAACCAAGAAAATTAATAATCTGTAGATTTATACATGGAGAACAATTTCTCATTAAAATTAATTATGATCATGAGAACAATTTACCATTTTGATTCAATTATGCAAATGAATCCTCAGAAATACAACTCTTAAAGGTTTAAATCATTAGTTATCTTTGCTACTTAGCAACTAAGAAAACTATCATAAATCACATCAGAACAAGATTAATAAATTATATTTTCTTTATCTATTCATTTAGGTATTAAATATTTCAAATCTCATAATAAACTTATATCCCATCTAATTGGAATAGTATTTGAGGCATTCTAAGAGAAAAATGAGTTATTTGATTATTTATTACAATAAATGTCGTAATCCTTAGCTAGTAGCCACTAATAAATGTCAATTTCTATTATATCAATATTATTTATATTGGATTAATTGTTGAGATTTCTATTTGACATTAGAACATTGGATTAATAACTTTAAATGATTATTGAACAAATATTTCAATAATTGTAATATATTGATTATGCAAATATTGATATTTAGGTTGGAAAAACTTTAAGTAGCATCATAGTTATATGCATTCAAAAATACAATTGTTATTAACAAGAAAAATTGTTAATATTATCCTAAGATCAACATTTATTAAAATTCATATAGATGTATTTATTATAAGACTAAATAATAACCTCAAACTTAGTCAAATCTTTAAGCATACTCATCAAAAATTAATAATAAGTTCAAGCTTAACTAAAATTTGATTAGCAGTAAATCCCATATTTAGGATAATTGACAAATTAAGTATTACCTCTTCTTATATAATCATTTTTGGAAAAAAAATTTGAACACTCAACATCTTTATCAGTTTTATAATTTGTAAACGAATGTTTAAGTTACTCCTTTTCATACGATTTTTTTTTAAATAATTAACAACAATTTTTATTTAATGTCATTTTTGATAACCTAATCTTTGATAATAATGATCATGAAAATTTTAATGAAAATTCTACAAATTTTTATGAGGATATCTAAGCTATAATAAATTTTGATGTAAATATTATTTAATTATTTAGAATGACACAATTAAAAGTTTAATAGCATAAATTTTGGATAAACTTTCTAAAAATATTGATGGATTTTTAAAAAATTATTATGATTTGGCAAATGAACTGTTGCTGTTTCATTTTGAAGTGATTCAAGAAACTACATTATGCAATAAATTATAACAAGAAATTATTTAATGTAATTTTTTTACTTGTTCTTCAAAAATAAGATATAATGCAATAATGTTATCTTTTTGTATATTAAATAAATAACTTACATCAAGAAAAGATGTTAGATAAAGCATTGAATATTTTTTGAAACAGAACCTAAAGTATATGAAAAAAAAAGCTGATTCTCTTGGAAAATGTTTAGGAATGGAATTCATTAAATTAGTCTTACCTTTAATATTCTCTAGTTCTGATAGATCTTTTACAAAATGTATAAAATTCTGTTTCGGAATTTTAAATTAAACAAAGCAAAAAAGAGGAGTAAAGTTTTTTGCAGTCAAATGTTTAATTCATCTCATATAGAATTAGGATATTTAACTCAAAATGGAAGACTCACTAGCATTTTAACATCATGAATTTTGTGTTTTATTATCATTATGCGATCTTGATATATATTATGAATTTGCATCAATTGTAGTCTAGAATTGTAATGTAATCATAGATACTTATCTTGATGATATAATGAAAGCGATTGCCAAAAGAATTGATTTAGGGTGTAAAAAAATCAATTTGAATCAGACATAATATATTAATCACACATCAATCGTTTTTAGTTGTATAAAGATTATTGATACTATTTTATCCTAATCATATACACAAAAATATATAGTAATTATTACATAAAAAAATTTAGGCCTAAATAGAACCCACATTGATTTAAATATTAAATTAATTATTACAACCAGAGAATTTGTTATTTGTAGATGAGATCTTTGATGCTGGCGCTAAATTCATTGCCTATACAAAGGGGTTGACAGAAATAATACATATAATTTTTGATAGTTTACCTTCTATTATGGAAAAGGAAGGTAAATTAACAATTGAGAGCGTTTTTAGACTATTTTTGTAAAGCACAATCCATGCTTCTGAGGTGATAAAATCAAAATCTTAATGGATATCAATTGTATATAAAATAATTAAAATCCTAGATGTTAAAATTTGTTTATTCGGAGCTTTAAAAAAATTATTCAATTGAAGATAATATCAGAATTTCAATATTGATTTAAATATTCTATCAGTACTATAATTTAGATGAATGCTGTTTATTGTTGACAGAATAATTTTATAAAATTCTTTCGCTATAATTGTAATAGAAAGAAATATTACCAAAAACTTTTATTTCGATATTTATGCCAGTTATCATGGATAATTCTAAATTATTAAATGTACATTTAAGATAGATCATTATTAATACAAGTGGTTATTTAAACTTGACTTTTGGAAGAGCCTTAACAGTTTACAATTATAAGTTTTATTTTATTATCATTCACTTCCTAATTTTAAACTCTAACATTCTATATGAAGAATAACATAGACATTAGATAATTGAATAATTGTTCAATAATTTTCTTAATAAATATGCTGCATATATTGAGAAAATATCTTTTCATTAAAAAATTGGTAACCCAAACTTCTCATAGCAGGTAACATTTATTCTGAATAATAGATGGAAAAATCAATTCCAAGTTTTGATCTAGAATATTAAGACAATCAACTAGAATTACATTTGAAAGAGATGTCAAACTATAAGAAAGAGAATTAGATTGAAAAACCAAACATTATGGATCTTGAGTCTACTTACATAATGTCATAAAATTAATAAACTTAGATAGTTTAAAACATTTTACAATATCTAAAAATTAACTATCCTGCAATATTATCCTAGCTTACATCAGCAGATCAATTTCTTTTAAATTCAATATTATAAATTAAAGAAGTTGATGCATAGAATTAGTTGGGCGTTAGATAAATCATGAATGTGAAAAAGCTACAGAGAAAGACTTAAAATTAAAAATAGTACAATGTTATGTGATTTTAAATATATATATTAAGTTTTAAAATCATATAATATATTATAATTTCATTAAAATGTTGAATTTTTTAAGGTAAAGAATTAAGGATTATAACTAAGATTCTTTTTCAACATAATTATCAATAATATTTAATAATGCTTAAATTCTCTGAAGAATTCAATTTTCAATATTGAAGGAATTAGGAATATTTAAAAAGACAAAAGCTATTAATAACAAACCCTAATGTCATTTCTTATGTATTATTGAAATTAATTTTGTTGCTTGTTTGATAAACAATTTATTAAACACATGATAAAAGTTTTCTTACCATGAAATTTAATATTGCAGTTTATTGATTAATTTGATGAGTATTTTATAATGGACCAATTGATATACTGATACATTTAGTAGAAGTTATTAGTAGTTATATTTTATTTTTAAAGGAAAATCAGAAGAAATATTATTATTTATTTGATTATCTTATTGAGAGAAATAGCTTAGACAGTAGTATAAGTGTCAATTAAAACAGGAAAGAATTTATGAATTATAATTCCTTTTTAAATTTTATGTTTATAATTTTAAAACTTTCTTAAATAAATGCTTTGAATTTCTAAAAGTATCAGAGATGATGTTGATCTATTCTTAAGATATTAGATTATCCTAAAAGACTAATTGAACATCCTAATTATTAGATATCATTAATATTATTATAAGTTTATTTAGGTGCTATAAATTAAATAACAAGAGCTATAATATTTTTTTGATAGACAGCAATTAATACAAAGAGAAATTGTTAAGATGTGAAAATTTTCCTAAGATAAATTATATTTTGAAAGATAAAAAAGCAAACATAAATTTAAATTAAATGTTGAATTAATGAGACCAAGTAAAAAATAATTTATTCTTAATGATGAATTAGAATAACAAATTAATTACAAGAAGTTGAAATTTTAGATTAATTTATGGATTAAGTTAGAAATAAAATACCTGAACGTTTGCAAATTTTAAAAGTATCTGATGTAAATGTGGGAGCAATCAAAAAAAAAAAATAAAATTTCTATTGCCTTTGCTAAACAGGGTATTATAAAATATTTTAAGGAGATTGAATCATCTTGTTTTAAGAACAAATAAAGAAAAATTCTATAACCTGGGATTAAAATAATTCGAGAAATAAGATTTCATATTTCAGAATGAACATTAATATTTTTAGAATTTATAATTAGCATAACCACAAATATAACATTAATAGATTAGAAATTATTTCAAATATTTTTATAGCTTAAATCCTTTTGGACATTATCATTTATATATAAAAATTTTTTTAATTATTAATAAAATTTTGAATTTAAATTTGCTTTTTATACCGGTATGGATATATTATTTAAAATTTAATAAAAAGTCATCTGCAATGTCTTAAAAAGAATCCATTTTACTTGGAGGAGGTTGTTGTCCTCCTAGAACAAGCCCACTGGAACAATTAATCTAAAAATCAGATAATTAAGACATCTATACTTTCTTTAATAAATTCAGATTCTATGTTCAAATAATTTGTACTCAAGCTGTTGTTGCTGCTGATAAGTCAGAAAGTTAAGAAATAATGATAGCAATACAGTGGTTTATCTTTTAAGAAGAAAACATCTACAAACTTAACAAGAGTTCCTAAAGTGTCGCCAAATCTTACGATTTAATTTTTTAGGGAATCCGCGAATTATTGAAAAGCTGCTTGATATATGTTAGAACAGACCCATTTAAGTGTTTTTATATCTTATAGATAACAGCATCTCTATCAAAAGTCATATTTAGCTTCCATTTAAAAAATGATAAGAGATTTATGGAATGTGATTTATAAAAAGAAATTTTGGAGATATGTGATAAATTAAGATAATAAATGGAAATTGAAAAAAATGATTGGATTCAAAGTTAATTGGAACTCTATCTTTTCTTAACAAAAACTTCTTTCTAGATGGCACCAACAAACAGGAGCGAAAGGGATAAACTTTTATACGGATGTTTGAAAGGGATCATTAATTCCTTAATAGAAATGAAGCCAAATATGGAACTGCTTGAAACATTGTTTCAGGGACTCTGTCAACTTTACAATATGTATATTGAAAATAAAAATAGAAAATACTATTAAGTTTATTTTTATATTGATATTTTGTAATGGGAGATAATTTATTCTTTTAAGAATGAATAATTATAAGATTTAGAGGAAATATTATTTCGTATTGAGGCAATTTATAAGAAAATTGTGAGCAATTCAAATATATGGAAATATCATTATTTGTGGATTTAGATGATAGGGAAAATTTTAATTTATAATCCTTTAATAGCAAAACAAAAATTTTATCAGCTGACGAAAACTCACAAATCAGGAGCAAAGTCAAGTTAAATTTGGAAGGAATATCAGAATAAGGGATTCCTGATTTAAGTGAACAAAATTGACGATTAAGCTCTCATTTAACTTAATTCACTAAAAAATAATTAATTACTTTAAATTGATAGACCAATATTCGAAGAATGCTTCAAAGGATGGGAAAATTTCTTACTACTTAAGGATTTTCTTTTGAATGAACAATATCAAAATTTTCCTTTTACATTTGGATCATATTTAAACCGCAAATTAGATTTCGGAAGAAGAGGCCAATGAAAATGAAAATTTATTGGCATTAAACAATATCCAAAAACTTTTAGGTTTCCTCATTCCAAATAAGTTACTAACTTTAATTAAAGAAAATGAAGAGAAATAGGAGGAACTAATGAAAATTTGTAGAAATTTAAAGAGTCACAAATCATTTAATGATACTATATTATTGCAAGCATTTAAATAATAAATTACAACATTGATTCAAAAATTTGATGTGTATTTCCAAAATACCTTAAATATCCAGAAAATTATGAGTCTTAATTAATTCAAATTATTGTCAGAGAGAAATCGAAATGTCCATTACGAAAAACTTAACAACCTATTAAGATTGTAAGGGATATTATAGTTTTATATAAATGAATCACAAAAATAAAATGTTAATGATAACAATGATTAATATCAGTAGTGGTTAAAATTAATTAGGGAAGAATTATAAAATATTGATTCAAAGGAAATAAAATTTTCGTTTTTTGACTTATCCTAAACATCACTTTCTTTTAACAAAAAAAAAATGGAAGAAGCTAAAAAGTTGATAGAGTTTTATCAGAAAACAATTTCCAAGTTAGAAATAGATGAGCTCCAAAATAACTTGGTTCAATATTTTTAGAATTTATTACATAATCTTTATTCATGTTATGAAAATTAGATCAATGAACTTAAAAAAGAAGCTGATGAATACAATTAACACTTGAGGGATATAATGATTATAAAGCAGTAAATTGAGACATTTACTTAAATTGAAAATCTTAAACAAATCAAATAAGCTCTTGCTGACCATTTACTTCAGTACCTAGAAAACTTAAATTATAAAAATTGGAAGCTCAAATCACAATTTTGTGTTTCAAAGAAGTCTTTTTTAACTATATTAGCAACAGCCCAGCCAGAAAAATTCAAAAAGTTAAAAGAAATTATTGATCTTGATGAGTATCTGCTCAATATAATTTAAAATTATCCAAAAAGATATAGATAAAACGCTGATTTTGATACATAAAATTTAAATGAAATAAAAAGTATAGCAATTTAAGACGAAGACTTTGCAAATAAATTATCAAAGTAAAAAGGAATTTTATAATTCCTTTTATATAAATAAAGTATATTCGAAAAAATGATTGATTCATAAGAATAAGATTTATAGGTGATTATGAAGGAATTTGGGGAATTATTTATTGATAAAGCACCTTCTTTACAACTTATTGAAAAACTGAAGTTTGCTATGGAAAACTTAAAGGTTGATGAATCACTAAAAATTGTGAATGATGATAAATTTATTTTAAGTGAATTAAGATTGGAGAAAGAAAAATATTAAAATTTTATATCTGAATTGAGAAAAATTGAAGATTACAACAAATCTCTTAAGGTTTGCGATTGTAATAAATTGATCATCCAAACAGAAAGTGTTATTAAAACTCTAGAAGCCTTTAAATAACAAGATAACGATATTACGAAAATGCTAATTAATTAAGAACTCATGATATTAAAAACCATTATCAAGGAATAAAGAAATTTACTTACATCTAATTATGAAAAGATAATTTAGGAGAAAGTTGAATTAGGAGTTAATGAAAAAGATTAAATAAAATGAAGAAATTTAATTGAATAATAAACCAATAGGAAACAGCTAATTAGCGGAAATTAAGGATTGTGCTGTTGTTAATTAAAATATTAATGCATTTAGGTTTTCCAGCAATGAAAACTATATAACTTACTTATAATGTATGATTAAGGTTGTAAAATTGAAAAAATTACAATTACAAGATGAGAAGGAGCTATTAAACAATTTACTAAATGAAGTTACTTTTTTCTCTGACAAACTAGATCAAATGCAACAGTATAAGTAAGAATATAAAACCAATTTTAATTAAAGCGTTATATAACGTGTTTCAAAATTCATTAAAAATTTCGAGTTATTAAAATTTACAAAAGCTAATTTATAGCAGCAGATAGATGAAAAATTTGAATTGTACTTATCGAGAATAGAAACCAATTTATCTACAACAGTAAATGATCAAGGGATTACTTAAGCTTCAATTAATATTCCCAATTTTCTCAATTAATTAATGGCTTATGTAATAGAAAAATTACTCAATAAAAGGTATTTTTCTAACCTCCTAATTGAATAAGATCTTTTGATTTAATAAATAAAAAAACTATACTTATTGGACATAGAAGAAGTTGAAGATGAAGAAGAATCAAATCAAAAAAAAGGTTTATTCAAAAGTTTGATTCAAAAATTCCAAAATTTTCAAAATAATGACCATTAGAAAATTAAATAGGGTCTAGTGTTTACTACAATTTAGGTTTCCATGAATTGTTACTCAGAAAAAAATTTTTCTTTTTGTTAAGAAGTTCTCATTTAATTTTGGGTTCAAGAAAAAGATCCAACAGTTAGAAATATTTTAAAAAATTAAAACTTAATCATTTTGTAAATGAAAATTTTGTCGAAAGATTGGTAGACTTAACATGATAGAATTGCAGGAGAAATGTAATAAAAGTTGTGTCGAATTGATTTTTTGTAAGAATAAATTGCCCAAGAACAAAAGAGAGTAACAATTGAAAGATATGGATGAAACTACTGAGCAATTAGATGAATATATTCAAAATATCAGTGAAATGGGATAATAACTTAAATTGATAACCGATTTCATTAATCATATCAGAAAAGGCTTGATAAGAGTTGAGGGGAAAATAGATTATATGAAAAAACAACTAAATAGCTTGGGTAATGACATTAAATTTCTTAGAGGAAAAACAGTTGAAGAACTTTTTGAAATTAGAAAATCGAAAGTATTAAAAGAGGCAGCAAATAAAAATCTTAAGTCTATATATGTACCATTAGAAACTTTGGAGATATTTCATCAATCAGAGAAGCCTGAAAAGAAAAGCTAATTTAATGAATAAGATGTTAAAGGAAACATAGGAAAAGGATGTGGGAAAGTAAATGATAAAGGACATGAAGAAATAGATAGGGAAAGACATGAAGAAGTAGATGATTTAGGAAATAAAAAAATAGATGATCAAGGACATGAAGAAGTAAATGATTAAGAACATAAAGTAATAAATGATGAAGGAAATGATGAAATGATTCAAAAAGCAGAGAGAGGGAAAAATAATGAAGAAAATAAAAGTATTTTGATGAATTTTGACAATTTATGTGATAAAAAAGGAGAAGTGAATGAATTTTTATTAGATGGTAAAGAAACAGTATTATTAATTCATGGGGTAGCTGGATCAGGCAAAAGTACTGCAGCTAAGAAAATAGAAGAATTTATTTGGAAATTATATGACACTAAAGAAAAAATTGGTAATTAAATCCTGATACCTATTTATATTTCATTACCCTCTTTAAAAAATCCTGTGTTTTAAGCAGTAGAGGAGGCCCTCCATTAAGATGAGTATGGCTTTGATGAGCTTTAATTGAAAGAATGCAAAGAGATTTTAAAAAAGAAACAATTCCGTTTTCTATTGATAATGGACAGTTACGATGAGATGAAGTTGGAGAATATTTAGAAAAACTTAAACACCAATAATAAACTAAAATAGATATGGTCAAATCCACTTGCTATTTTTACTACAAGAAGTGAAATTTTGTCAAGTTGTAATTATGTTCAATTGTTTGAACCTGAAGATAAGGATAAATTAAAAGAAATCAAGCTTCTAAAATTTGATTCAACATAAATGACGAAATATCTAGAGAAATTTACAATTTAAAGTGTTAAAATGTTGATTTTTGAAATTTATGAATGGCAAACTCAAATTTCAAATAAAGTAGCAATAGATATAGAAAAGTTTGAAATTAGTTGGGAACAATTAAGATAATAATTTCTGAAAATAGAAGAATCAGAGTGTAATAACAATACACTATTGAATTAACAATAGATAGAGCAAATTTTATCGTTTTTGAAGAATAATGATTATATAGCCTTAAAAAATCATGATGCTTTAAGAAGTTTGAGCATCAATTTAACAAAATTATGGAGCGTTTAATAGTATGACAAAATGATTAAGTAGATCAATTTAAATAAATTGTCAACTCCATATATGATGGAAATAGTAGTTTAAGTGTTGCCCGAAATGATGATCAAAGCTAATGAAATAATTAACTTGAAATAAAATTTTATAAATAATTTCTAAAATATGTTTAAAGACCTCATAAAAAGTAAATATTTGATTCAAATGTATTAATAATTAAAGAAAAAACTAGTGGCATCAAAAAATGGAGATGAAAACTCTTAGAATATTGATTTTGATGAAAAATTTGAATTTACATCACTTGCTTTTGAAAATTTGGACAAACTCAACTATTAAGAAATTGCCTTCAAATTTTGGGATAAAATAGAAGAAAACTAAATTCCTATTTAATTTTCGATTTCTCAAGAAAATAAAGAATTAAAGAATAAACTTTATCAAATATTTAAAGACAACCTAATGTTATTATAAAAATCAATAGATAAAGTTGTAATTCCAAATGAAATAATTGAAGCAGTTATTGATGCATTAAAGGAATTCAATCTTACAAGTTATGATTTTTATACGGAGTTTATAAATTAATACCATATGAAGTAAATAGAAAAGCAGAGAAAATTAGGAAAATCTATAATAGTTGATCGTTTTCTTCATGATTTAAAAAAATATTCAACTAACCTTGCAAGAACAATGAGCATGAAAGAAATAACTTAAGTTTATTATCAATAATAAGGGTTATTGTATAAAGAAGAAAAAGAAAACGAAATGTGGCTAAATGAATTTTTTAATGATGATGATTAATATGGATATTATAAAAAAGATATAAGAAGTTGCTCATTTATTTCATAAAAAGGTACAATATTTTCATTTGTGCATAAATCTATTTAAGAGTTCTTAATTGCTGCTGATTGTTATGAAGTCTTAGCTCTATCATAAAATCTCGATCTATCTATCATGAAAAATATAATTGAAATTTTGTAAAATGAAAATAATAACATTAAGGATTTTTAAGGATTGATAGAGGTTACTGGTCTATAACTTTTCAATAATTCTCAAGTTTAGCCTCTGCAAAAAAATCAATAGATATTAGAGAACTTAGAAAATAAATTAAACTCAATATCTCTTTTGGTAGAGAGTGTAAGAAAAAATGATTTTAACAAAAGGGATTATTCAACTGACATTTATGTAGAAACAAGATAATATCTTATGTAAAAAATATCTCGAAACTAAAAGATTATTGAATTTTTGAAATTTTTAGTACTTCTGACAAAAATAGATAATGATTTGGTAATAAGTGGATCTAATTCTCTTAATCTTTTGGTTTAAATGAAGGTGGATTTAACAAGCTAAAATTTTTAAAAAATAAGAATAAAGAATTCTTCTGTATTTGGAGGTAATTTTGCAAAATGTAATTTATCAAGATCTGAATTTGATAATGTGAATATTAACGGAATAAATATAAATGGAGCTAAATTTTTTGAATGCTAATGGAAAAATTTAATATTTAAAGATATAGAATAACTGGATGGCCTTAGTAGTAGTGTAAATTCAGTTTGTTTTTGTGATGATAATACAATAGCATCTGGTAGTAGTGATAACTCTATTCGTCTATGGGATATTAAAACAGGAGATCAAAAAGCCAAATTAAATGGCCATACTAGCGTTGTCTGCTCAGTCTGTTTCTTTTCTGATGATAATACATTAGCATTTGGTAGTTATGATAAGTCTATCCGTCTATGGGATGTCAAAACAGGATAATAAAAAGCCAAATTAGATGGTCATAGTGGA